ATCTTTCCCTTTACTCGGAATGAGTTATTAATTTTCTGCTTAGAGTCGTCGCTGGCTATTTCGCGTGCTTTAGCAGCTCTACCACACTCAGCACTCTTGCCTCTGGATACAGCAGAGCTTTACTTTCCATGCCTCCCCAAAACCATTATATGATTTAGCGTAAGTTCTAGTATATTTTATACAACCAGAATATAGTTTTCTTATAATAAAAAATATATATGAGCAGATTAAGACAAAATTAAAGCTTATTTTATACTCACCGAAAGCGCTAGACACTTCACCATCAGCTGAACGTGGGGCGAATCTCCTGCTCCCAATCAAAACTCTCCAGCAAGGCCATGAAATCAACATCATCTCCTATCGTCATTCCATTGATTAAGGGATCGGGAAATGAGGGGTCTGCCATTGGCGATAGAACACGATCGAGGACTTGTCGGATCAGCTTCTGCCCTTGCAACGCAAGCTCATAATCCCCCTCGTGTTGCTGGATGAAGGTGTCTGCGTGCGAGATGAAGACGCTCAGCTTTTGAATGATCTCCGAGCGAGGAAACGGTGCAGAAGAGAGCACTGGCTCAAGTTTGGGCTGGGAGTGTCGGAGTAGTTCTGTCGCCAAGGCGCCTGCAGCAGGAAGGCCGATATAACACAGCTGTTTATAGTCAGGGGTGATCGACAGCGACGAGGTAGAACACTTACATCGAGGATCGTCAACATGTGGGTCTTGAGGAATCGCATCTGTCTCGACACCAAGTCAAGTAAACAAGTGATGATCTCCAGAGAGACTTTGATCAATGCATCGTGACCCTTGCCTATTCGTTTGACAAGAGTCGAATAGATTAGGAAGTCCTGGTGCAAAAACTCCTGGTGCAATGTTGCAAGCTCGGGATTGGTCGACTCAGGGCCCCATTGCAGGAAGGCGGGCAGTTCAGAGCGCCATTGGCGTGCTCTCTTAAGGACTCTCCTGTCGGTCTATTATCAGTATCCCGAAGATTGATCTCTCAAGCGCAAGCGGTCGAAGCACTCACTCAGCATGTTCTTCCACATTGTCGCGCCCCTGGCCAATTGACAACTCTAGGATATCCTCTCGAATCAAACAGGCAAGATGGATGGTACGTGCTCTTGCGCCGCTGCCCAGTTTCCCCTCTGTATTCCAGCCTTGCGCATCCAGCTTCAGTAGTGCAGCCTGCCGCACGGTAGGAGCGGCGATCAACTCTTCCCAGGTCAGGTCCAGCGGCGACTGGATATTGCAGTACTGTTTGCATATCCGGGGCGGCCTACCGAGGAACAGCGCCAGGTCTTTGTCCATGGCGTATGCTCCGATCATGATCCTCTTCCGCAACTCGGATAGAAAAAAGGGAATGCTTCTGTCGTCCCCCGCCTGATGAAGGCCCAAAGCAAAGACAATCGTAGTAAGATCACCGAGTTTTTGCCAGGTTCTGTAATCTATCCTCTGTCAGTTTAATTCTGATGTCAAAACCGAGCACAAGACCTACCGCCTGTGCCATATGTATGATGGACCAAGACCGAGTGCTGAAGTATTGCGCAGCAAAGACTGTCACTGATCGTTCCCAATTTATCACATAGCTGTAGACAAATATCGCTCGCTGCCAAAGCAATCCGCCGTAGCCCCTTTCTATCGTTGCCAGGGAGGATTTCGCTCTGGAAGATCGGATCGTCATGCGCAACGTGATAGATCGCATAACCTATGGACGAGAGGAGAAGCGCATAGCTGTCCCATCGAGCACCACTCAGCGCTACATACTCCGACAGCGTCATTGAAGCCCGCAATTCGATCTCCGTAACTGTATTGCGGAAAAGGGTCCTCGATAGCTCCAGCACAGCCGCGTACTTGTCCCGAACACCCTCTGTAGCATCCCGATAATGCTCTCGGAGTACCTTGATGATGCACCGGAACATCTGGGTGCTGAAGATCCACCCCTCCCAGATAGCAAACCGCTTCTCCAGCAGCTCCTCAAACAGCGGCAAATGATCCAAGAGCAGCAGAACCTGCGCCCCCAGCTCCACCTGCCTCGAATCAACCGCCGCGACGATCGATCCCGACCCCGAACCCCGCTGGCGCGCGGCCGCATCGCATGGTCTAAGACAGCAGCGTACCCCGTGACGTTGTCGGAATAGCTAGTTAGTCCCAGAAAGCCGGGGTTGGCAAATGGCCGCTTCTCCCATGCATGCGACTCGCCAATCGTCAGGGGTGACGCAGAGACTGATGCGGATACGGACACAGACACGGTGTGAACGCCGATGGGGGAGACACTCGCATTGACGCTGACGTTTGCGTTCTGCTGACTCTGGCTTTGGCTTGGACTGTGGGTTAGTTTCTGCCTGGGTTTACGAATCGCTGCTGCCTTGCTCTGGCGCGGTTTTGTGAGGGGAGAAGGGTGATGCGCTGCTGAGGATCCAGAGACTGTGGAGGATACAGACAAGTCGCGCATGTTATCACTTGCGCTCGGGTCTTGGTTTTGGCTCTGTGCTGTTGCATTGCTTTGGCGGGGTTTTGTGAGGGGGGAAGGGTGATAAAAGCACTCGTCCGTTCGACCCCGGCGGACGCAGCGGTTACATATCGGCCTCGTATGGTCGCACCCCAGTTTTGATTTCCTGCATGGCTCGCAGGACGGGAGCTGGCCGTTGCGACGTTTTCGTTCCATGTTCTCTGGATTGTTTGTGGATGCAACTGGTGGTTCAGTTGGTAGATTGACAGTAATTAGGTAAGATGGTGTCCCCAGGCCAGTTCGCAGCCGAATCGGGGATAGTCTGACACGAGCACGAATCGCCCCTGATGGCTAGACTGATGGTTAGGGATTCAGTGCTTTGCTTCATATATGGACTATTCTTGATTCATCCAAGTCTTCGCTCTATACTGCAATTATCATGTATTCAATTTAAAGCTAAATTATCCTGGTGCAGTCTAATTCGGAACGTAAATGGCTATGTAGACATTCTCCCGTGGAAAACCAGAGCCGTCCGAAATGCTATGCCCAGGATGAAAATATAACTTTTGAATGTGATGGAAAGAGTGCTATATAGTCTTGCAATCCGCAGTCGATAGAACAGATATTGTTCTCACCGTTACGACTAGACGAAACGGGGCTGGATTCGGACCTGAGATGCTTTGATGTCAGAGTTGATGGTTGTGACCGCTGACTCAATGGCATTTAGGCGTTTATTGACTACTTCAATAGCCATGCTTCATGAGGAGACCCAATTCCCACGCGTCTATCTCACCATTCAGGTCGCCTTGGTTATCCTTTTCGGTTAGACGTTCGAGCTCCCAGATGTCCCTCAGATCAAGCTCATTGACGAGGCATCAGGGTGGTGCTCTCAATTTCTGCAGTCAATGCACCAGGCTCCCATCTTCTGCTGGAAATCCAGCCATTCAGTCCTTGCTATCTGCATATAGTTGTTCAGCATATCCCAGCTCGAGCCTTGGTCATTGCAACTTTCATGACAAGCTTCGGTTGTTCCTTCCATTCTGGCCGTTCATTGGGTAAGGCAAAGGGTAATTCCGGTAAGTTGGGCTGTACAACGGCGGTGGCCATGTACATTGAGAGGAAGATGATCATGTTTTCCCGTGGTCATGTCCTCCGCGCGCGTACCAACGGGGTAGTTTGTAGTGATTTTTAAGACAGGTTTCTCCATGTCATCGCTGTGTTGGCTCTTCCTGTCCTTCTGCGCTGCCTTGCCTGGTGGCTGCTCTCAGCGCCGAGAGTCGCTGGGCCTTGGATCCAGCCATTAAAGTAGATGGAAATACGAAAGTAATGGATGAGATGGTTAAAGTAGGAAGTGAGAAGTGAGAAGTGGGAAGTGGGAAGTGGGAAGTTATGATGTGTTGGGGGTAGAGATGAGATATGAGGTATGAAGGGTTGGAAAGGCTTCAGGAGGTGAATGTTCAGAAACAGCTGATTCGATATCCCTCCCACCTTACTAGATGATGTTTTGATAGTGAATTCTGTGGTACTATTAATATCCCCGACCAGGCAAATGCAGCGATTGCAAGTTGGAGTCGTATTGATGAGCGGAGTTCGGAGTTCGATATGAACTCTACCTTGTCCGAATGTTCAACCCCGAGGACAAAAAATGCTGCCTGCAACGATCAATCTGTATGCCTGGACGACTGGAATATAAATATGTGCATGATTCAAGGTCTGGAGACACAGATAGATAACTACAATCAAACAAAGGACACAGATCAGCTGCTTACCTCTTCATCATGCCTCTCACACTCTCAAACCCCTTCAAATCATCTAAATCGCAACGCCAGACGGCAGAGAAAGCCCAGAAGTCTGTCAAGGATGACTCGTCATCTGTCTACAGTGATGCTGCCACGCTGGTAGCTGGCAAAGAACAATCACCGAAGTCGGCGCCAGACTCTCAAGACCAGAGGGGCCTAGACTTTAGTTCTATGAGATATAGTATGTTTCCTTCCCTGATATTCGCTTTCGTTTGACTTAACTGATCCTGAATGCTAATATCTATCGTGGTATAGCGCCGACGGGAATGTGCCCTCGTTCCTAAACCGGAGTGACTACCTTATGCTCGATGAATGGGAAGGTGGAACAGAATGTGCCTAACGAAGGATGACTGATGACATGTTACTTCTGCTGTGGACGATACTACAGCTCTACACATAATAATATACTATCTCTTACTAAAAACGGCATGCTGCTCGTAAACACTCCTGACTTTCTTCCTATATCATAGAGTATATAAGTGCCAGGGACGGAATGGACGGCTCGGATATCTAGTCAAACCAAAGTAATGACAATCTTACCAAGTCTATATATTCAGCCGACTGTTATTTTCTCCAACCACGACTAACTCTCAGCTCGATCGGTCTAGAACTATGTCAGCATCAACTCCAAATGGCGCCACATCAACCGGCAATTGTATGCCGAGGTATCACAATCCGCAGACGCGGGGTATGCGGACAATCACCTGGAGGGCTTTGAATAGAAATACTTGAAGGGAGAATATATCTACACCTGCATCACTAATCAAGAACTCAAACCCCATCACCAAAATGCAAGCAGTAATATTCAAAGGCCCTTTGGAGGTCACACTGGAAACGCGCCCTATCCCGCAGATCCAGGATCCTACAGATGCAATCATCAAAGTCCGCTACACAGCACTATGCGGCAGGTCAGACATCTCCCCTTTCTTCCCATAAAAGATAGCAAATAACGATAGAGATGCAGTGAACTCCACGTTTTCCGCGGGCACCAACCCTCCAGCACAGGCTTCATAATGGGCCACGAATTCACCGGCGAAGTCCTCGAAACCGGCCCCGCAGTCAAAAACTTCAAAAAGGGCGATTGCGTCGTCTCCCCCTTCACCATCAGCTGCGGCGAATGTTTCTACTGCGCCCGGGGCTGTTCCTCGCGGTGCGCCAAGGGGAAGCTGTTTGGCTCGGCGGTGCTGGACGGGGGACAGGCGGAGTACGTGCGTGTCCCGTTGGCGGATGGCACGCTGGTCGCGGCGCCGGCTGCCGTGGATGAGAAGAAGCTGGTGTTGATGGCTGATATCTTCCCGACGGGGTACTTTGCCGCGAGGAATGCGTTTCGGGGGTGGGAGGGGAGGTTGTGCGGGGAGTACGGTCGTGCTTTTTGGGTGTGGGCCTGTGGGGTTGTGTGCGCTTATCAGTGCGTTGGAGTATCGGCCGGCGGCTTTGATTGCGGTGGATAGTGTGCCGGATAGACTGGAGCGAGCGAGGAGCTTGGGTGCGGAGGCGTGGAATTTCCAGACGGATGCGCAGGGGCTGCGGGAGAGGGTGCTCGAGCTGACGGATGGGCGGGGGCGGATGTTGCTATTGAGGTGGTCGGGCATAGCAGCGCGCTGCGGATGGCGTTTGAGTTGTTGAGGCCGTGGGGAAGGATCTCGAGTGTGGGTGTGCATAATGGGGAGATTCCATGGACGGGGAATGAGGCGTATGGGAAGAATCTGCAGATTCAGATGGGGAGATGTCCTGTTCGGAGCATCTTTGGGGATGCGTTGGAATTGCTGGTGAAGAAACAGGATTCACTGGAGTGGGTATGCAGCTTCCTTCCGATAGCACCGCTGACCATGTCTAGGTTTATGACTGCTGATATTCGACCGCTGTCGGAAGCTATTGCGGCGTGAGTCTTCACATCTCTTATCGACCATGCTAACAGTTGCAGGTACGACGACTTCAATCAGATGAAATCCCAGAAGATCATCTTTGAAGCCGGAAAGTAATAGCAGGAGTGTCATTATGACCGCCAGTTGAGCGGTATATGTGTGTTCGAATTACGTATTTAACAAGAAGAATATGCACATTCAGTATGCTAGTCAACTCCGACGTCTCGCCTGCTCTCGTTGTGCCCTCTTCTGCCGACATCGAATCCCAAAGAACATCGTCCACCACAAACACCCAGTAGACAACACACATATCAGCGCCAGAGTTGTATACGCCCACCCATGCCCCATGGCGTTCGTCATGGGCGCAATGGCCGCCGACGCCCCAGCACCCAACTCGCAACGAAACAGATTATTCGCCGCCGTCGCAGCAGCAGACCGTTTCGGCCATAGATCCACCAAGAGAGCATTCAACACCTGCGACGCGCAGCTCAGACCCAACGAGAAGAGGAACAGTAGGATCACCGGTCCGGCAAGATTCACCTTATGGTTCATCACCCACCCGTAGGCGATCATCATCACGCAGCAGATGTAAAAAGCCGGCAAGGCAATCTCCAGCCGGGCTCGCTCAACATTGAAGTTACTGAGATCGCTTTGCTTCCGTTTCTCGATGGGGAGGCCAGCACGGACGGCATGGCGGCGGTAGTTCCAGTCAACTAGAGGGCCGGTAACAAAGGAGGCAACGATTCCGCCTGCGCCAATAGGAATGTACACCAATGCGGACTGGATATCGTTGAAACCATAGATCTCATGGAAGGAGGTGGATGCGCCGGTCATCACTGCGTAGAAACCGGCGAATACCAATCCTGCGGCGAGGAGGATTAGGCCGGTTTCGAGCTCGAACGCGATGAGGAGGGTCGGAAGGGGGTTGGGGAGCTGGAAGCGGTAGTTCTTGCGGTACTCGGCAATTGTCGCTTGGTCTGCTGCGAGTCCAGCTCCCTTGCGACGACGATGTCGGATTATATCGGTGACGTTGTTGTTCAGAGGCGGCGGGGGAACGGATCCGTCACCGACGACTTTGCGACACGTTTCAGGGAGGAACAGGAGCAAAATGGCAAAGAAGACAGAGCTGAGGATTAATAAAAACCAGAAGATCCAATGCCAGTCCAGATACTGGCTGATTAGACCACCGATGATAGGAGAGAGGGACGGACCCAGCATGAGCCCAATCGATGCAAACGCAATGTATGAGCCTCGTTCGGCGGACGTGATCATGTCGCCGACGAGACCATTGGATAAAGCGACAGTGCCGCTACTTCCGGCGCTCTGGATACAGCGAAGCACCATCAAAGCTGCATAGCTGTTTTGGAGCGAAAGACCGATGTTTGCAGCGATGTAGATGGTGAAGCAGATGATGTATGCCGGCCGTCTACCTACTTTATCAGAGAAGCCAGCAATCAACATAGGTGAAGCTCCTTGAAGAAGCTAGGCACGTTAGTGATTCACTCAAGGCTTCTCATTTGACAATCCATACCAGATAGGTTGTAACGGTAAGATTGATCTTGGAGATAGATACTTGCAGCGAGGAAGCGATAGTGTCTAGCGCGGGAAAATAGATGCTGGACGAGAGCGGGGAGAAGAAGCCAGCCAGGGATCCCATCAAGACAATGGCCCTCTTCTCGCTGGTGGTGAACACAGAGAAATCCTTGGGGGAGGCATGTTGACTGGGTTGTGTCTCTTTGGCGATGGCCTCTTGGGCATCTTGCTGCTGCTGCTGCTTCTCATCCGACATGGAAATAGGGTTTCTAGGACCGATCTGGTGTCACCTATGCTCGGATGTTGTGAAACCAGAAATTTTGCGACCCTGATTCAAAAGAGATGTATTTAAGCTAGACCCGCATAGCTACCCCATTTTGGAGGCCCGGTTCAGGGCCGGCATCGGCAGTTGGCCTCAAGGCCAGAACCCAGGGATTTGGTGGAATAGCAGCAGATTTTTACAGGGTCTGACAAGTGGCAGAAGAATTCATTACATTTAACTTGTAGAGCATGCATAGAGGACATCTAACCCACCCATTCTTCTCTATAATTGCGTATGCTGTCATTCCTGGTGACTGACGGATGAGGTGGGGAAAGCTTGGCTTGGTGGAAAGCTTGACTGCTGCCTGAGTCAGTCACCGGCTAACCGGCACATGTCCCTTTTGCCTGAGGCTCACCGGCCAGAAGTCTGGCATTGAGTTAACAGCGAGGCCCTTTATCTTCAGGACTACAGAAATCACCAGACTATGTACTACCTTAAGGTAGGGCACTGATGCAGTAAGTGCATATCTGGCCAGAAAGACAATTAAGATGATATAAAGATATTGGATTCCGTAGAAAGATGGTTACTTCCGCTCCCAAACCCCCATCCACTGTCCCCATGCTACCACTCTTCCCTCAATCAAACCTGCAATCTCCGCCTTGGTAGCCACAGCCCCCAACTTACTTACAACCATTGGCTCCAACAGCCCAATCACCTGGAAGAAGTACCGATGCGGTCCATGGCCCAGCATTCCACGTGGAGGGATGTAGATCGTTCCCCGACGATTCGCGCCATACTTGAACCCGCCCCTGAGGACATGACTTCCCGCAGCAGTGGGCTTAAAGTCCTCGTTTGATACACTGCACTTGCTCGCAGGAATACCGTAGTACAGACCATGGACGACAGGCTCAGCGAGTGGTGCATCCGGATCTTCAACCACAAGAAGCCACTCTTGGATGTTGCTGGCGATGGCTGGCGGCGCGGACCATTTGAGGGTTGGGAAGAGGTTGTCTCCAAAGAAGCTGTATTTGACTGGGATTTTCGAGCCGGATGGTCCGATATCTGGACATTCAACTGTGACCGTTGGTCTAGGATGCTCTGCGAACGGAGGGGTATGCTGGATGAGGCCTGCGTCATGGCCCTTGCGGTTGGCGAGCAGCCAGGATAGGGGTCTTTCGATCCACTCCATTGCGTTGCACAAAACTTGATGGATGGTTATGATTATGAGGTGGCACTGTGGTCGATGAGGATAGCATTATAAGAGGTTGTTGGATGCAAGACGCCTGAAACGGCCCGGAAACGGCTTCGGGGTATCCCAGCTGTTGGAGTTTGTAGAAATCGGCGATAAAGAGTGCTTAATTCCGTTAACTCAGAAGACAGCTTTCCCACGCACACTGGCTGTATTAGAGGTCCATTCATCCTAATGGATTGAATCGATTGATATCCGAAACATCCACAGGATGGGTGAGAGTCATTGGACGGCGAGTCTTGCCTCCAAGATCCACGCAGGACGGACATCTGCTCTTTTACGACTCCCTCATGCACTTTCTACCGGGATTTTTCTTAATCTGTATTCAAATATTAAAGATTCCTCTTTACTCTGTCAGTCTAATTGCTGGTGGGCCAAAGCCGTCATAATGGTATAAAGGTGACAAAGTCTAACGAAGCAAGCAGGAGCACACAGACTGTGATGGTCATTGTGCTGACTGGTTTATGTATAGTTTCCTGTTGCGTTTGACTGCCCCTTGCACCAAAGCCATCTGCAAGATGAATTGCTACGGCTTCAAGCAAACATGAGAGGCAGATACTTCAAGATAAATAGTTTAGGTATGCTAGGAGATTGACAAAATGCTAATGCAGACACGTGATTGGTAGATAGGCCGAAAGCCTCGGACCTCTGGCCTCGGCTGAGTTGGAGAATGCGGGGAAATCTCATGTACGGAGAGATACATGGTCTGATAATTCTACTTCTGAACCATATAATCGGTCGAGATATCTTATCAAATTCAATCAAGGATCAGCTGGACCTCGACACTCTGTAAAGTCCAAACACCATGGCTGACGTCTCTCCAAACCCCATTCCTTTCTCAGAGCCCCATATTTGCGGGGCTACCATCCCCATACTACACCGCCAGTCATCGCCGATTCCAGAAAGCTTGCCGCGCATTCGTATGGGAGCACCTCCTCAGCCATGCAATGGAGTGGGAGAAGGCGGGTACAGTCCCTGAACATGTCTTCAAGGATTTCTGTAAGCATAACATGTTGCTGCCGAATCTGCCTGCCCCGTTGCCGGTTGACTGGCTGAAGAGACTGGGGATTCATGATATTCTGGGAGTGAAGGTTGAGGAATGGGATTACTTGCATACCGGAATCTACTGCGATGAGGTATGATAGAGAGAAACCAGCCAACGAAACGGAGAAACTGATTAAGGTGATAGTTGGCCCGGTCGGGTTTGGCTGGACCGGGGGCCTCGTTGAGCGCTGGTTTCGCTTTTGGCATTCCTCCGATCATTAAGTACGGCAGCAAGGAGCTACAAGAACGTTTTCTTCCTGATCTCCTCACAGGAAGGAAACGTGGCTGCATTGCCATTACGGAGCCAGAAGCCGGAAGCGATGTCGCCAATATCACCACCACTGCCACGAAGACGCCAGATGGAAAGTACTACATCATCAATGGGACAAAGAAATGGTATCCCCCCCGCCCCCCGAGAATATATCATAAGCGATAAACATTTCTAATACGGGCTAGGATTACAAACGGCATCTGGTCCGATTATACCACCATGGCCGTCCGCACAGGTGGCCCCGGAGCCGCCGGTCTCTCGGTCATTGTCGTCCCACTTAAGGGCTACCCCGGCGTCACCATGCGTCGACTCAAGGTCTCTGGCCAGACCACCGGTGGAACGACGTACATCGAGCTCGACGATGTCAAAGTCCCCGTGGGCAACCTGATCGGCCGCGAAGGCGACGGCATGCGCATCATCATGACCAACTTCAACCACGAACGTCTGACCATCGCGGTCGGCGTCACTCGCCAGGCCCGTGTTGCTCTCGCTGCCGCCTTCCAGTACACGATGAAACGCGAGGCATTTGGCAAGACACTCATGGATCAACCTGTGGTGAGGCACCGACTAGCCAAGGCGGGTGCGGAGCTCGAGACGATGTGGGCGTGGGTGGAGCAGATCCTGTACCAGTTGTGTCATCTCAGCAAGGAGGACGCAGATCAACAGCTGGGAGGCATCACAGCGCTGGCCAAGGCCAAGGCGGCTATGGTGCTGAATGAATGTGCACAGTGTGCGGTCTTATTGTTTGGTGGTGCTGGGTATACCGCTAGTGGACAGGGAGAGTTGGTCGAGGGTAGGTTTCTCGCCTTCACGGTTTTTGGCTATAAGCTGACTTGCGATAGCGATTCTGCGAGATGTCCCTGGAGCTCGCATACCAGGTGGATCGGAGGACGTCCTTCTGGATCTGGCTGTGCGACAACTCGTCAAGATCTACCAGGCAGGGGAGAAGAAGATCGCAAAACAGGCAAAGATGTGATGGCATACTGTCGCAATCTGGATGAGATTCATATTATGGAATCCTAGCGAGTGAAGCAGCTAGAAGGAGTATTTTGCCAATGTATAAAATACTATATGCTAGATATCTATTCTCTTATTTCGCACCTAATTCCCTTAGTTCTATTCCCTCGCAATTTGCTTCCACCACTTGGGAACACAGGATAGGCGCAAGTTGGGGAACAAGCTGTCCTGACCAGTCCTGTGTATAAGCCTGATGCTTCCATGGGTCTTTTCAATAGTCCAACCCCTCTGCTACAATAATAGAATACTGCATAGTTGCTTCATCCAACCTCCCTTCAAATGTGAGTGACCCGAAGGATCTCTCAAGTTTTGCAGTATTATATCCAAAGTCGCGGTGAGAGAGAAGACTGGGCAAAGCACAGTCGGGACCTATTGAATACTTTGTCCAAGTTCGCAACGAAAGATAGCCTCAAGCTATTCATTCACATCTGAAAGACTCGTCGGGACAACCGCCCATGTTCGTGCCATAAGCGACAAACTCGCCAAACAAGGCGACCTCCCCGAGGAGGTGGCAGAGAAGATCAGGAGCACAATTGACAGCGACAAAAAGAGCAACATGTTTCTAAAGTGGCATGGGACAACTGACTTTACCTCGTTCATTACCGACAAGGAGACGGCTAAGTCTACTGACAAGATCCTCGAAGCCATGTATTATGAAAATGCTATCGATGATGCATTGATCCGCGCCTTTTATACAAAGAAAGCTGAATAGCTGAACGAACCCACAATGAACTTGCTAATATGCGGGTTAAGGACTAGCCTGGGGCCTCTTTACTACACAAGAAGACCTCTCTTATGTTATAGCGTGTTTGAGAGTTCAAAAGTGAGGTTGATTAATGTTTGAGTTGTTGTTTATTGTTATAGTTAAGTATGGGTCCTGCCTTTGCTTCCCTTCTAAGGGATTAATAACAAAGGGCGGTATTCGAATTGCCAAAATCTTTGAATTAAAGTGAAATACAGTCTCTGCATTGATCCAGTTTACCACTTTAAGTTACAGGTCTGCTCGGATAACTGTATGCAGATTAGCAGGTTGGTGTATAGTGCTAAATCAGACACACTTGAGTAAATATGAAACAGATCTTGTGTTAAATATAGGTATCTGTCACACTGTGGGATCAGTCTCTGCTGTTCTTTGCTGCTGCCATGCATGTCTTTAAGGATGTAGTGATGAAGGCATAGGCGTCCATATATTCCATTTTTTTCTGAATTGAACAGTAACAATATTGTCATGTCGGTTGGATGGAGTAAGGTACAATCAATAGAAGGAAAAATTATTTTTATATAGGATGAGCATGCTTAGTACCATGATCGCTTTTACTCACTCATTATCATGCTGTAAGAAATTATCAATGTGTAGTGTTAGATATAGTAACCTGATGAGCACTACTTTCGCGCATGTAAGACACACAATCAGGATACGTATCAATTATGTAGGGGGTAACGAGAATCTTGGACATGTAGTTTACGTAGCTTTATCGAGGCAAAAACAAGCTCCTTTTGAGAGAATGAGACCGAACTGTAGGCATAGTATATACCTGACATATGCTATTCTGCGACAAAGCCTTCGCACTGATGACCGGAAACCAAGCCGTCACTAACAAAAAGAGTCTCATCCCCCTTTTGCCCAGTTATAATGAGAACCTCTCAGTATCTTTCGCTCGGAGAATCAACGGGCGCTGTTTAAAGTCGGGTCGGTGGGGTAGGCGTGTCCATGCTGATATCATAAACATATTCCTGTTCTGTCTCATCAAGCGTCAACGATAGATGAGAGTGGTGGGGATGAAAAATTGAGGGTCATCAAACATAGTGTCATTCATTGCCACTAAGTGATCAACATTCAAATGACAGTGCAACGAGAACGCAGAACTTGCACCCAGCCAAGAAACAACAGAGAACCGAAATCATCGCTTAGCATCCACAACATAAGCATTCAACGCATTCGATACAGCATTCGCAGGCCTCCTCGCAAAGGAAACAGCAGCACATGGCCATCAGACTGGAACCAATCAGTACATATCATTCACTCAGAGGCGGGGAGTCAAACCAAGCAGTCAAACATCCACGATCCTTCTTCTCCTCTTGAGGCGGGCTTGGTATTGCATCTGAAGGTTCAGTATGGTCCGTTGCTGTTTGGCAGTGTACGACTCCTACCTGGGGCGGATATGGCTGCGGAGGTGGGTATTGCCCCTGAGGGGGAGGGTAACTATCAAGTCATTCGTCAGAACAAACTCTATCGAGAAGGTGAGTTGCAGTGGCTGAGTACATACTATCCTTGTTGTGGTTGCTGTGGATAGGACATCTTGTATAGGATAGAACAATCAAAGGAACGCTTGTTGAGTCAGGTTGCTAGCGACCAGCGACTTCAAGAGTATATGAATCTGTGAAATCTAGCAAGGGATCAGGCAGAAGGAATAAATCCCCAGCGCATCGCCGGGGCTGCAGCTGGATGGGGACGCATCCTCGCGCCTGGCCTGTCTTGGCCCTGTAGTTTGATCCTAGGGTCCACACTAACAATCAATCTGGAGAAGCCCATGATTCGTAAGGTTCAGGGAAGCTGTGGAACAGCAGACATAACAGTTCATCGTTGGCCTCGCAGATGCCAGCATGCTGTTTTCTACATATGTCAGTAACCTGCAGCTATTGCTCTTAGCAATCACAGCAGCAACAACCCAAGCTTCTGATATCTCCATGCCTCTCTTTGACTGCAATCTGCCAAGAGAAACATTCCTAGAGGAAAAGGGATTGACTGCCAAGAACCCCAAGAGGAAATGGATGGGGATGTCTCGCCCTTTAGGGCTGACACTAGCCACATTGCTCCACTGGCTCTGATCGACAATCCAATAATTATGGAAAGTCAATGCTCCACTGCAGTTCCCCTGTGCAAGGAATTGTGTTGCCTGATTTTGCGTTCTCTGTTGTTACCCCCCTAGGACAGTTGATTGGATGGTAGCCTCCGGATATTATTATGAAAGGTTGTGATGAGTGTTGCATTAGCCACATATGTACCTCAGGGGTACTCCGTAGTGATTCAAGATATAACTATTAAGAAACGCAAAATAAGATGGCTTATAGATAGTGCCTTACAGTAGATAACTATATAGTCAGAATGAAGCACATGTCATAATAGCACTTGCTAACATCTATGGATAGACAAGAGATTTTCATTTAAATTACCTTCAAACAGCTGCTAATTGACTGTGCTAGATATTCCCTCACGTATTAGCACTAAATGGATTTAGTAGTTTCAGATGCTACATCTGCTGATCCTTTCTTGGCTTTCCAGTGTGCTAATACAACTGGCATGTAAATCATCTGGTAACTACAAATTCAGTAGTTAAGATTACTTATGCTAAGCATTCTATATACTGTCATCTACTAGTATACATGAATGAACAGGGGTAATATACACATTGACCCGTATATATCTTGCACACCCCTTTCCCAGCGAGCCCCTGGGCCACATCAGCAACAGGACCCTAAAGCTGCCTCATATGGGCGAATGACAAAACCCATACACTCCACTGGCGGATAATCCCTAGGCACGAGCGCCTTCTCGGGAATAATCTCCGCAATCTCTTTTTTTCAAGGGATGACCTGAAACCACCCGAGGACACAACAGGCAGATAGTGAGAGGACAAGAAAAGCTTGTGGGTATGATATGGCGTGCATCTCACCTTGCCCAAATGACCAGTCACCATGCATCATTGGCCTGTGGACACTCCTTGCTCTACATGCTATCTACTGCATTGTGGAAAGAAATTGACTAGTGTGTACACGATGACAGATTACCATTGGCAATATGAATAGAAACAGATGTACAATAGAGCACGTGAGAATGTATCATTTTGCTATTTGAGCCATGTAGCGGCAGAGGAAGAGCCCAAAAGTCATGCACTTAAACAGTCGGCAATTCTACCTCTCACAACATTAAAAAGACGGGTTAGCGTTGGTCAGGAGCTGCTCAAAGTAGGCCTAGATCTGTCAGTCACTTATCCCTCTTCTGAGACCTAAGATAAACATACCTGGAACCAAGTACCAGCCTCAGGAGCAGGCTGCAGAGCATCGCTGTATCCGCAGTGCGCATCATACCGGGCCGAAGAGGAGTTGGACGTGCCATCACTCTCTCCACCGGGCTTGATCCACACAAAGGCATCCTGGAGCGCATCGCCGGTGTTGGTCGAGGGGCGCACACCGAAGCCGGTGCCGATGACGTTGCACCAGTCACCCCAGGCGCTTTGCTTGGTGGGCTGGACGCCGTTGCGGGCTGGAACAGCGGTCAGTCGGCACGGTTGGGAGATTGGATAAATACTTACAGGTATCCATGATGAAATGCGCGTCGAAGCCGGCACTCTTGAGCAGAGGCGCCATGGCGTTGATGTACTTCTTCTCGTCGCAGTTGGGGTCTCCCTGCGTGTAGGACGGGCAGGTACTGAGCGACCAGGCGTTATAGTTGGCTACGTTGGTGGCCAGACCACGAACAGCGGCGGGGGAACCGGCGTCGGTGTAGACTTTGGCGAAGAGAGTTGCGGCAGGGCCCAAGTTGGCGGGCCATCCGAGCCATCCAGCGTGGCCTGATGAGTTAGTGTCTGGATGGGATGCAAGGGGCAGAGAGGCATACCTGCGTCGATGTACATGGCGACGTTGGGCAGGTTGAGCTGCTTTAGAGCATAGTTGACACACTCCAGGTAGGCGCTCTGCGCATTGGCGCATTTGGCGACGTTGAGGTTGGTCACCAGGTTGGCCAAGCTGTCGGGTTCTGCAAGATGTCAGAGAAAAGAGGGAGCGCAACGGAGGTGTATGGCCTACCGATGACGAGGATGGTGTGGACGTCAGAGTACTTCACCAGCTGAGCACGAATAGCGTCAATGTATGCCTTGTAGTTGGCCACACCGTTGTTGGCAATCGAGTACTCGCCATTACTGGCCAGAGCGGCGCAGTCACGGTCCGGCAAGTCGTAGACCACGAAGATACCAGCGATAGGAGGGCTGGCGCCGGCCTTGTTCTTGGCCTGAATGTCGGCTAGGTAAGTCCCCATTGTGGGCACCTTGGCGGCAACGTCGCTACAACTGTCAGGAATTGCTCTCAGTATTGGGGTAAGACGACTTACAGCCAGACAAATGAGGGCACTTGAGCGACGGCACTAGCCTTGGGCTGGAGCGAGCTGGACAGAGAAGGCATGGCCAGAGTATGGACCTCGGAGGAGTAGTAGGGGTTGGCATAGAGCTGGTAGCCGCTGAAAGGGTTACCGGATGCGGTCACGGTGGGTGCGGATGTAGTTGGACCAGTCGTCGTAGGTTTGGTGGTCGTCTGGGTCGTCGTCGTTGTCGTTGTCGAGAGGGTGGTGGTCGTCGCGGTGGCTCCCGGGATACACTGAGCGTAGTCTGCAGAAGTCAGTATAACTCTCTACTCAGGACGATATCTAACATACAGGGATTCAGTGTGCTACAGGCCGCACCAGCAACACAGTTTGTCGGGCCAGACCAGCCTTGGCCGCCACCTAGAAGCATATCAGCAATTGATCAACTCTTACTCAAGTGATAGTCAAAGCATACATTGCCCCCATACAGTCTGCTGGGCCTGCACAGCAGGCAACAGTAGAGTCAATGCGATGGAAGATGCAAGGTGCTTCATCTTGGCGTCGTATATGGTGAAATCCTCAAGACTGAAGAGGAATGACTATTTGAAAAGACTCGACTTCAATGGAGATTCGGAGGATAATTTATATCCCTCTGTCACATATCTTGGTCGGAACCATCGCCGGCTTTCCGGAGGGTACAAGGTATACACAGTCCAGGGGCCAATCGCATAGCATATCATCCGTTCAAGAAATCCATTTAGCCTCAGGAATTATATGGGATAAGATTAGGACTGAAGCGAAAGACTAATGCCCGAGATGAAAGGGTGACAGACACAAAGTCAGTATGCACTCATAGACAACCGAAAAGGGTAAGCGATTATTGCATGGCAGCATTCATGAAAAGTCCCGCATAATCGCATTTCTTCAGCCAACACCCCTAAGATCCTGATCCTTCATTTCATGCAGTGGAACAATCCTGTTCCTGCTTTTTTCCGGGAGTTGATGACCCTATAGAAGCGCCAATCACAACTCCCGGCAGCAGCCACATGAGCCCTGGCAGGTTGCAGTTTGCGGGGAACATACGACACAAACGATATTAACCTTGCGTTCAACTGGACATGGGGGTTTCAGATTTACCTATGAAAATGCTTAGCGTCATTTCTTCCCCGCGTCTGCAACACTTTGCTGCATGCTGTCTTTAGGCATGGATATTACACTCCTTCGACTTCAATTGCCGATCTTAGGGGTGTAGTTCTGCAGGTGCCGGTTCTGCGGCCCGGAATGCCATGCTAGAGAGATCCTGCAACTTGCATCTCGTACGCATTCTTGGTGGCTGGATTGCTGCAATGTGATGCACATCATCTAAGAACGCAGAGCCTATGGAAGACTTCGGCCCGTTTAGGCAAAATGGCTGTCTCAAGACACCGCGGTCCACGATGCCGTTTTCAATATTGCTTGTCGGACCCCTTTCTACTCGGATAGTACAGACAACGATCCTCATCAAGAAATAGGTGGCGTCATCGAAATAGGAAATTTGTTGTCCGCACCATCTGACAGATAATCTGTGTACGAAAGATATTGCAGTGAATGCCGGCTGCAGAACTCCGTGTCGGAAGCACGCTAGCGCAGGGAATATCAAGTGATGCTGGTCCCCTCTTAATCTAGACTGATGTGGCTACGGTGTCCTTTTCCGGTAAGACTACTTCCCATGCTTAATCAAGGAGAGGACAGGCAGCTGATCACGGGTAGTCAGCTTTGGCCAGCCCTTGATGCTGTGAGGCCACCCTTACGCTGTGATAATACTTGCTAGAATCAGTCACATCCAGCTTAATAGGGGGCCTGCTTGTCTCCTGTCCTCTGTCACCTACTATGCCGCACAATGATGACATCCAACGATGAATCTCACCGACAGAGTCCTACATATTTCAACCTGTACAGCAAGGGAAGTGCTACTGACCGGATTCCCTTATTAACGTGAGAGTGGATCGATACTCGGCAGTTCGGATCAACAGTATAAAGCTTGACAAGATCGGCAACCATTTATCACCAACGATGATCGATGCGCGTCAGGTTTCAAACTTACAAGCGCCTCTCGCAAATAGGAATATTCCTTATGCTTTATGGTCGCATACAATAATCACATCAATAATTTCCACGGGTAACTTCCAGAATGCAGAGATCACTCACTGAAAGAGCGGTACGACTTGCTCTTGTGTTCGACTTTGGTAATATCAGGCTTCATCAAGATGGAAAGGAAAGAGCTCTACTGATTGCAGCAGTCTTCAACTTTCATTTAAGCTTGAACAGGTCCCTTGTCTCCTAATGGCATGGGCAGCAATAGTCCATACTATTCAGCGGCGGGATAAGGAAGTGTGCTTGGATCACCAAGGCATCCCTCGAATTATTAGCTCGATAATTCATGCCGTGCGGATGCATATAATTCGTTGCGTTTGCAAAGGCCCTGCCATGTTAAAGGAACTGATGGCGCCTAAGTCAGTAAGAAGGCATTTGCCCATCACAGATCACAGATCGATGACTACCTTTCCCTCGCCATCTTACTAACATGCGGGCTGGATCCCTTGATACTATTTAACCATCATGCATTATACCCAAACAGGAGTACAACAGGAGTACCCTCAACTAAGCATTGCCGGATCGGACAGTCATGGATAACATTAGCAGAGTCAAGATTGTAGAAATCGACATGAGTCTATGGCTGCCACTTGGCCTGAGGCCAGCATTTTGATACCGCACCTTCGCAAGTCGAGAAGTTGGCTGGCTGACCCAATCCGCAAAATATGTGGATCTGGGTTGGCCCTGATTCAACCCGCAACCAAATCGGTTAACCATACCCAACCTGTATGGATATAGATAAGCTTATTCAACCATACCTATGCCTAGCCAAGTATATTCTTATTTATGTGCATAGAAAATGATTCAATCTTTTATATACAAAAATATTAAGCCTACTAAGAAAAATTAGAGCTCGGGCCGATTTTTAATTTTAGATAGCGGTGATGAGGATGGTGGTGATAGTACGGAGTATATATATATCTTCTGCATTACTTTTCATCCTCACCTCAGGCCTCTTACCCCCTAACTAAACTCATCCTAGCTTATCAAGTACCTAATATATAAAGATTTAACAATCATATTATTCAGTTGAATCTGCAGATACCTTGGGGGTTGAGGTAAAACACAAGAAAAGACGGCCGCTTGCTTTAGTAATCCATTATCCGCAGTCCAACCCGCATGGATATGAGAGTGGGTTAGATAGGCGGTGGTTCAACCCATATCCACTCCACAACCAGTATATCCAGAAAAACAGTCAGACATCAATATTGTTCAACAGGCGCAGGTCCCCTGAATATGCGGTTGGACTTTCCGTGTCTTGCCAGGTTAGCCTAGTGTAAGCTCTATACTCGATCGATCATAGCAGTTATCCACTCATGCTTAATGACAGGCTGTGATTGGTCGATAGTCAGGAGACATTGAGGGCTAAAATGTTGTCTTTTAATCCTCTTTAATCCTTCCAATGTTTCCAATCTCCTTGAGTGGCTAGTAGGAACAGACTCAGGTCTCAGGGGAACATCTAGAATTCGAGAAAATACTACTCATTTGTAGGGGTAATCAGTTGCGCAGAACTCGAAGACGACCAATTGGCCAGCCCACCACGTGATGTTATTGCCGGGGAAATATCCATCATTCCGTCGGAACATTCTTGGAATAGATGTCTTGATGTCGATGACACAAGAGCTATTATTTACCTCGATCTATTCCTACTGCTGTCGAATCATGATTAAAGAGCTCTGCATCCGAGATTAAATTAGTGCTGACTCAACATACGGTACATGCTGAGAGCTCTTGGCGTAGGCTGACGTGTTTGCCACTTTCACTCTCTTCTCTACAGAGTACACTCTGTCTAGTATTATCCTGCAGACTTTCGAGTCAGGCTCACTTACTCTGCGATTCCTTCATCAATAGTACAATCCGCAGATATTAATAGAGCAAAGCTCTCCCTGATAAGCTCTATCCGTGCTTGATCAGCGCTCAATGGCGTCCATCAGCAAGACCCACTCCGTCTCCTTTTCACTTTCTCCGAAAATTCCCATCCGAGTTCTCTCTGACAAAGTTAAAAGAGCCAAGTCTTCCTTTCTACACACCACAACCCAATCCTAAATCATACCGAGCATCTGCCGGTCAACGGGTCATGATGGAACCCGACAGCTATGTTGACCCGAATCTGACTCGGTCGGACCTCCTGGTTCTGCAGACTCTGCTCTCGGACATTCAGGCACAATCATCCGGCTCGAAACCCGTCCTTCAAGGTAGACATTCCCTTTCCATGTTCGAAATCGTGATCCGCTGAGACCCCCAAATATGTCCCATCCCAAACCAACTCGCAGTACAAATCTGTCCCCGAGCAATTGGAAGCCTTCAACAATCCTCAGCATATCGACTTTGAGCCTACTGTCACTGTGACCTGGGACACCGCTGATCTCAAGGCCAAATTGCCGTCTGCTGTTAACCAATGGCTCCTCCAGCCGTACATCCAGCTGGGACGAAGAGTTGTCCGGGTGGAAACTGACGTTGTGATGCTCACGCATCTCATCCTGTACTTTACCACGTCCGTCCCCAGTGCACTCTACCTGTACTATCACTTCACTTGGGTCCACGGCGTCCTTCACTGGATCCTGCAGTCGTACTACGTGGGAACCTACACGCTCATGATGCACCAGCACATCCACATGGGCGGGATCCTAGCCAAGCGATTCTGGCTCTTTGACTCGCTCTTTCCCTACATCACCAATCCTCTCATGGGACATACGTGGAACTCATACTACTACCATCACGTCAAGCATCATCATGTCGAAGGGAATGGGCCTGGTGATTTATCCTCGACAGTCAGGTACCAACGAGACGAGCTGTACGATTTTCTGTGCTATGTCGGCCGATTCCTTTTCCTCGTGTGGTTTGAGCTTCCGAGCTACTTCTTCCGTAAGGGCCAGTTCCTCCAAGGTCTCAAGGCTGGTTCCTGGGAGATCGGAAACTACCTCTTCATCTACGGAATGTATCGCTTGGTGAATGCTCACGCAACGCTCTTTGTCTTCATCCTTCCCTTGTTTCTCCTCCGATTGGGCTTGATGATTGGCAACTGGGGGCAGCACGCCTTTGTTGACGAGACGGACCCCAACTCGGATTTCAGATCGAGTATCACCCTGATTGATGTTCCGGTACGATTCCTTATTATTACCATTTCTAACTAGCATCGCTAACAATACCAGAGCAACCGCTTCTGCTTCAACGACGGCTACCATACCTCTCACCATCTCAATCCCCGCCGTCACTGGCGCGAGCACCCCGCGGCGTTTCTCAAGCAAAAAGACCGCTACGCGAGTGAGCATGCGCTGGTCTTCCGCAATATCGACTATCTCATGATTACTTACCGGCTCATCCGCAAGGACTATACGCATCTGGCCAAGTGTCTGGTCCCCATGGGCGATCAGATTTCCATGTCGATCGAGGAGAGAGCGGCGATGCTGCAGAGTAAGACGAGGAAGTTTACCGAGGCGGAAATTGCGAGGAAATTTGCGGTGAGTCGGTAGACTTGACAGCGGTCGGTCGCTACCAACGGCACCAGCTCAAGTCTGTATACGATGGTTCCTCGACACAAAATCGTGTATATATTTTAATACTCGATTCTTAGCCTATATTTTAGCTTAGATAGACTTAGCACGAAAATTCAAGGAACTGTACATGTTCAATCAGCGAGACAACAACATAGAAATCGATTGCTGCAGCGAGTGTCGTGTCTGTGTTCATCGCTAGTCTATCAATCTAAGAATGCTGTGCGATAGTTGCGACTATTATACTACGGTAAACCACGATTGTATTAATACTAGCAAATATTTCGGCAGTCTAGGTGAAATATAAATCCAGTCAATTGACCTCCGTAGTGCATGAATCTGTTCCCCTAGCCACGAACAAGCAGCAACGCGGCCATGTCTATAACTGGTCACTGACACACTTCGAGCCCAAACCCACCTCCCTCTACTCAGAAGGGGAATCTTCCTCCTCATTGACTGGAGCAGGTGCCTGCTGCATCTGCATCCGTCTCATCATCTCCGCAGCCTCGAACGCATACTTGCACTTCATCCTCAGCGCCCCACCATAGCGATACATGACAAACGGAAACGGCATGCACACTACCGTCAGAAAAGCCGGTAGAGAACTCGCCCAGTGAATCCCAAGACTGTCATACATCTGGGTTGTGAACAAGGGAAACACAGCCCCGACGATCGAGCGGAAGATAGCGGCAGCTGCAAGAACAGACGCCGCGTAGATGGTATAGGCATCAATCAGGTAGTTGACAATGGGCAGGATGACGAGGACGCAGCCGAAGCCGAAGGGCGCGGAGAGGATGATGCTAATTGACCAGTGGATGCGGGGGTAATTGGTCCAGGCGAAGGCGAACATGCCGACTGGGAGGGCGACGGCGCCGATGATGGCGGGTGGAAGCCGCGATTCGGCCGTTGCTGAGTTTGATAGTAGTAGGTTCGTGTAGCGTCTGTTGTTGTCGTAGATGGCGTAGACTAGTCCGATGATAATGCCGACAGCGATACCCATGAAGGCGAGCCCGCCGACGCCTTCGCTCCATCCACGCTGTTCATTGTAGACGATGGGCATGGCGCTCATGAACATGTAGACGGTGCCGTATATAATGGCCATGTAGAGCGAGGCAACCAGCACGATCGGTTCCCGGAAGAGCAGAACCCAAGGGCGTATGAGAGCTCGCTGGAAGACCTCCGACGGCTTCTTCTTGCCTTGGTTCTTTTCGAGAATACTGATGTAGACCTTACCATGAGCTTTAAAAAGTTGGTCTGCCCTCCTGATCAGGAGCACTGGCCCATATGTCTCCGGGACAAAGATGACGCCGATGATGCCAATCACCCCGATAAAGATACAGCACACGCCCTGCACCCACCTCCATCCAACGTTTTCGGAGACGAACCCGCCGACGATAGGACCAAGGATGGGACCAAGAAATGGTGCGACACAGTACAGTGTCATGGCGAGGCCTCTCTGAGCTGGAGGGAAGATATCTGCGATGGCACCGCCCGAGTTGACCAGCGGTGAGCCGCCAAATGTGCCGCTGAAGAATCGCAGCACCAAGAGGGTGGCGACATCGTGACTTCCAGCGGAACCTCCGATGAAGGCTACCATGGCGATGTGCGAGACGATCCAGAGAGCTTGTCTTCCGTATAGTTCGGATCTACAAGGCACGATTAAGTTGGAATGTACCTGTATCTAAGATGACAGAGACTCACTAAAGAGAAACGGATTGTCAGCGGGTCTGTTAAGGGCTTTAAATAGAGTGCTGCTTACCAAGGGGCCCCATACTGCTGGGCCAATTGCAAACCCAAGAACAAAGAGGGAGAGGCCGACGGTAAACACCTCTGTGCTCATATTGAAGTCTGAAATGAGCTCATTTGCGGAAGCAGAGTACGCTGAAGATGTAAAGGTGATGGCAAAGACAGAGAAGGTCACTATCGCCGTGATGAACCATTTCCTGAACTGAGACCAGTTCATTGGGTTTTCTGGATCATCCCTTTGGAATTCAACTATAAAAGGGTCTTCCTCGGTGCCTTGGCCATCGTAGATAGGAGTTTGCTGGACTTCGGGGTCCGCTGCTGTCTTGGATTCGGCTTGTTGAGACATACTTCCAACACCTGAGCGACCAAGGTCTACGAAAGGAATCCCAGGGAAGAAACAAGCGACAATAAGGATGTAGCATGTCCATCGCATAAATTGCTCTGGTGTTTGAAGATTTATAGCTGATGTTGTCAGTCTCAAAGAACATACAGAGGCGGACCTGTGTTTTATTGGCTGTCATGCTGGCACTATTCGATGCGCGGAAGGAAAGCTGACTGGCCGACAGACATAGGGCATTCCCTTAAGCCAATTGCATGCCTTTCCGCTATGGGGTTATGCCTGGACGGATCGTAGTATGATTGGCACATGTCGTATAATGCCTTAACTAATACATGCTTTGTCCCCTCGTGCCGCCAGAGTGTGGACAATCTCCAACTCGCCTGCCTTTGTTCACGTAAGCTTTATCTGAGTGGAATCTCAAGGACAACTGGGTGAGTTAAATGTAATGAATAAGTGTATTGATATGAGAAGCCATCGAGTCACCTCCTTGAGACCATTTCGCAGGGAGCGATTGAAGATCTCCATCGCGTGCCAGGCTTGTCGCTTGAGGAAGGTGAAATGCGATGGCGGTCGTCCGGGTATCCTTGACCCATTCATCATGTCCTCCTATAAGATGTTTCTATAAGACTGACTGATAATGTCATTCGCAGCCTGTACTAGATGCCTGCGAAGAGGAAAGGCATGTACGTACAGCATTGATTCCAACGCCGTCGGACGACAAACCAAGCGCAAACCCCTGGTCCCAAAGGCATCAACAATCCGCAGTCATACTCCGATTCCGGCCTCGTCTCCTAACTTGGGAGCTTGCTCGCTTTTGACACCCTCGACGTCTGGACCTTTGTCCAGATCGGAGCAGGTCGATGAAGACCGAGAGCCGGAGCTTGATGGGGATCAAAACCGTGGGTACTACAGCACCCATGGGCAGTTTGCTGGTGAAGTCGCAGCTGCAATAGATGTGAGAACAGGGTTCATCCCGGCCGCTACTTCAAACCTCGTCCCGTTCGTGGATGCACCCTTGTTTGGGGTGTTAGACCTGCACCTTCCGTACAATGGTCTAGACTCCGCAACGGAACTGCCTCCCCGCGCTCATGCTGATAGGCTTGTCTGGATATATTGGCAACACGTCAACCCGGTGGAACCTGTACTGAGTCGAGAAAGTTTCCTGCACGACTATGAGGCGACGTACTCTCGATCTGGTGCACTGCTCCACGCGGAACATGACGTCTGGCTAAGCATCCTCAATGTCGTCTTTGCCCTGGCAGTGCAGAGACAAGAATCTATCCCTCCACATCAGCGCGACGAAGAGGGGAATCGCTTTTTCCAACGCGCGTGGCTGCTTCTCCGACCTGAGATGATTCTATGGAAGCCTGGAACGCTCGAGCTGGTCCAATGTTTGATGCTTATGAATCGATACCTCCACTGCACCAGCAACCAACTGAAGACATGGATGACAGCGGGGTTGGCAATACGCATTGCGCAGAGCACCTGTTGCCATCTACCCGAGGGATCTTCAGCCAAGCATTCTTCTACTGACAGGCAGTTGAAAGAAAGGGTATGGGCCGGCTGTGTGGCTTTAGACCGGTATGTACCACAGACATACAGAAAGGAGTGTCGCCTGCAGTCATGCTGACTCGCCAAGCTGCGTCTCCTGGTCCCTTGGCCGGACATCGGCACCATCCTTGATCCCCTTACCGAACAGGGCCGACTCCAATTCTACAAGCGCGAGCCCCCTACAGGGCGGTAGACATGCGGGGCATCTTTCACGAGAGCTTCATGAAATCGGCAATCAGATTCAGTTGGCACAGACACAGACGCGGAATCCTCTCGCTGCCAGATTGGGACTGCCACGTCTATATCAACAGGACGACTACCACGCCGTGGCGGTGCAGCTAGATGCATGTCTCAACAAATGGGAAAATGGTCTCCCCAGCGACTGGAAGTTGCAGAACCTTGGGAAGGTTGTCGATAGGACTTCCCGAGTAGAGCGATATGTACTTCACCTTCGGTATGCAACTAATTCAACTGTCGGTCTCGTTTACAATATTTAGTCAGAACGCAGGGAAAAAATAGCCTACTAACACCGGTGTATAGACTCCTTCACTCTCGAATCGTCCTGTACAGACCTATGCTCGCACGGCTCTACTCTCTGAAATCCCACCCGGCTGCAATTCAGGCACAGCCCATCCCTCCAAGCCTAAGCGATCGTCTTCTCAGAGAATGTGCCGGAATGTGCGTGGAAACCGCGCAGAAGCTCACCTCGTTGATCATCGAGACGCTGGAGCCGAACGAACCAATGGGTCTCCTGCCATGGTGGTATCGAGTATACTATCTACACATTGCCGGAACCAACTTTCTAGCGGCCATGTTCGACGCGGGCCTGTTCACCACATCGGTGTCGCAGTCGTGGAGAGATGTCCTGTCAGCCCTCCGCGCACATGAGCATCTGAGTATGTACGTCCAACAATGCATCCGGACCTTTGAACTGCTCTCGACACGGATCCTGGAGACGCAATATCCGTCTCCGGATGTGACTGGGGGGACGCCGCTCCAGGAGGCCACCTCTGGGTCCCTGTTCGACCACATTTTCCAGGATTTGGGGTTCGATTGCGATAGTTTTCTCTTTGGCATGGAGAATTTCACTGAAGGCTTACGAGATAGTTCGAGCTGATGAAGACGGAATGAGGGGTTTCCCCTGCATTGCGATTGCTCCGCGCTGGTTGTCCCCAAATGCCTTGGCAAAAATCCAAGGAGACTGAGAATGAGGAGAGTTCTATGGTGGTCCCTGTACAGACATGACTACTATAAGCCGAGACCTCTGCGTACCTTGACCCAAAACATGCCGTCCAATTTCGAGAAGAAGTAAACTTCCTCGTGCTTCAGCTCCCAAATATCTGTCAACTCCCTTCGTGAGGGGCTTTTGCCATCCAGGACGGTTTTGAACTGAGAGACGTTTCTTTCATTCATTCATTCATTCATTCATTCATCCTTTTTATGTCTTGGTTCTCTTCTAACGATAATAATACCTATTTATAGAGCATATTTAACAGAGCGCTACTCGGTCCCTTTTTCCTTTAACATCAACTGCAATAGCACTGTCTCCTCATTAAGCAAGTTCGTCTGAGAGGAACGTCCTCCTATTATTAAGGTATTTATTTTTAGCAAGGTAAGAGCCGGAAGAGGCCCAATCCTGCGTAAGTGTGTGATTTTAACACTGTTGTACAACCTCATATAGTGGGCCAATAGACTGATGAAAGGCGAGCAGAACTAAGCTAAGAGCGCTTCCAACTTTGTACGAAGAGCAAAACTGGTAGAAGCAGGAGACAAATCTGTTTAAAAGAAGCCTGCATTTACGTGACCCTCAACTCCTAGTTTCCTGAGGTCCAGCGTAACTTATCTTCATAGAAAGATATTGTTACAACATCGATGTGCTGGCTGACAACCGTCGGTATCTCTTTGTTGGGAGAAATTTACGCCTCCGGCTGTAGCGGGCGCTCCTCCCATTGCAGTAATATCCAAGTTTGTGTAAGGTTGTCCAACACTCTGCTTTGATAAGGCTACATTTGTTGTTTGTTGAAACAAATACGCCGATTAGAAGAGGCTGTTTGAGATTAATGTAATCCAAATCAGTGATATCATCTATGCCACGAATCCAGTGACATCTATCCGTGTTGCTCTTTGGACCAGGGAAGCTTAGGGCTAATTTCTGAGCTAAAAATAATATTCAACGGGGTGACTACATATTCAAGAAGTGGCAACAAAGGAGACCAATCCGTATTCCTGGCAGACACCGATTCTTCTTGTTTCTCTTTCACCGACGAGGATGCCATGTACAAGACCTTGGATAATCAAAGAGTTATCGGGCTGTCTCTTTGTCTGATCTGGTATCATAAGTTCTTCTAGTTCAATGGCCCCGGAGACTCGAATTAAACTTCCTTTGTTCTCAAGGATGACACTGGTCAAGGACTCCAGGGTCGCTCGATCGAGGGTGCTTGTCTGTTGTCTTTGTTCAACCATGAATCGACACCACAGTAGAACATAACCAATGGCTAACAACATATAAATGAGCATTCCACCCCCCGCCCCGAAGACAGCTCTCCCAGGACTCTTGTAGAAACCACTCGAACGTATTCAAGATGAGCGACTTCAAATTCAACGGCCAGAAGCTCGACGTGGATCTCATTGCATCCATCGCCAAGCTGTTGGACACCAACGGCATTCCTAATGTCATGTGGGGGCCTTACGTTTTGGCATGTTACGGGGCGCCTCTGGTCCTCCAGGTGAGTTCTATGACTTGTGTCCCCGCGCAATCTAACCGAGCCTGAGACACTAACCAGTGAGTCCATCTTAGGAATTCTCCTTTGTTATCCCTGATCAGCTCATCGATAGAGCCCGCGAGGTCCTCCTCGCAGCGAACTTCGTCCCCTGCCAGGACGACTGTCGCCTGGTCCGGCCAGTTTGCAGCCTCCCGCGTCCCTACGCGCACTTCATCCTCGACGACACGGACCAACCGGGCGTAGTCCGCGGTGACACGCCCCCATTCGGAACTTGGCATTCGTTTCGCCTGGAGCTGCACAAAAAGTCTCGACTGCTGTGGACATTGCCGGACATCCCGCTAGGGGCGCCCGCCCCGGATGATCCCAGCTACATGCTAGTCACCGATGATCGGCTCGATGACTACGACCCAAGAATGCACTTAGGCCGAGTGCCATATACTCACTACCCTGTCAAAATACCCACGCTTCCGCGCTATGCGGAGTCCTTGGCGTACGGGTATCTTCGCGAGCAGAGTCCTGAGGGTGAGGGGCATAACCTTCGAGCAGGGTTTTTTCTTGGTGAAATGACCTACATCGGACAGTACTGTAAGCTAAGGGTAGCTGACCTTGATGAGCGCCGCATTCGCCGTTTCTGGCGGCTTCGGTACCACCCTAGCGGTTATCACCCACTGTTTCGTTATAGCGCCAGACTGGCGGCGGAATTGAGGACCGCGAATTTCTTTCCCGAGGAGGAGAGAGAAGGAGAAGCACAGGAGAACACCTGAGGGAAGACATGATTCTGATGTTGACGCGTATTGGTTGGTTAGATTTGCCTGTTTCCTTGTAGTCTTTTGTCTTGAATCTTTCCTTTTCAGCTTTGAACCAAAGATGACTATTTCTATGTCTGTTATATCGTGCTCGAATCCATTATTGATTCTATTCAGATTAATGCGTAGACGAGACGCGACAAAGGAGTGGGGGATAAATAGAAGTCACTGGAGAGGCTTTGTCTGAGTGAAACACGCCTTTATCCTCCAGCTCTAAATCCCCTGAGACCAGATGTGTCAGAGTGCTTTTCTTTATCCGTTCATTATGGGCTTGCCGTATGTAGTCTCACCTTCATACCACTGCATTCTTGATAGGATGAATAGAAAGATAGTAAGAGACACTTCAAGCAGGCAAGATCTCCCTGTGATAAATAGCTGTCGGGAACCTTTAGATTTGCCACAGTCACAAACCAGTGCTGAATTGTGAGTAAATCAATCAATAAAAGTGATCTATTCATCATGGCCACCCAACAGCAGCTCTGGGAAGCAGCCCGTGCCGCGATTACCTCTCTACAAGGGATACCAGAGCTACACCAAGCCAAGGTCGCAATCATTGGGGTGTAGCACTGCAAAATCACATCTCAGATCGGGTCACCAAGGTGAGTTGATATTCTTGCCTTTACTCAACCTACCTTGCTCACGGACTCACCCTTTCAGGACGTTGATATACTGATTTTCGATGGGGACCATCCGATCTGTACTCGAGCTATCCGGGCTGAGTTAGTCTCCTTGATTCCGAGGAAGTTTGAGGAGAGAGCGCAGCCAATATACTTCACGGGCAACCCCGACAACTTAATCCAGGTGGACATCATCCCACCGGACTTGGTAAGATTGATTGAAACTTCACTCAATATTTCCTCTGGCATTGGAAGAAGGCTGACCAACGCATTAATAGCCGCCCTATCTTCCTGCTGACGCGGCAACTCTGGGGGAGGTGGACCCGAACCATCTTCCTTTTCTTGCCCTGCTGGACCTGCTGGTCCACAAAATCCACTGCTGCAGCTTGCGGCCCTCACCGGACAAGCGAGCCCAGGATGCGAAGGACGCGCGCGAGCTAGTCAATATACTGTCTCGGCAGGAGGCCATTGCCCTCAATGACTCACAGGAACAGGCCGTCCTGTCTGGTTTGGAAGAAATGGTGGAGTATTCTGGGGAAACAAGAGAGTGGTGGGAATCTGCCCTCGGGCTGAGCGGCTGAACGGCGGGGCGACGTTCATAAACACGTTGTTACGGAGACATATGTACTGGGAGTTCGTGAGGCCTGCGATATTCATGGTTTCTCTATCTGATTTGTATCTCTGTTTAAGGTGGGCCATCTGCTTAAGCACATCTGGGGTGACATGAGGATTTTTGCAATTATCGATGCTTGTTTATTGCAAATACTTTGTCTATCGAGCTGGATTGCTACATGCATAGCTCTAGATCCTTTTTAACATTATTCATCATGGCCTGGGTTCTTCTTTGCTCCTCTCACATGTCCTTGACTGTCGCGAATTCAATGGAAGGAAACCGCTTCATTTTACAGAGCACCAACAGTATACCCACGATAGTTTACCGAGCGCCCATGCTATGGAAAAGGAGCAAGTTCCAAAGGGACGGAGGATGCTTTGGATAGTGGTTTATAGCTCCTGTTTTGTAACTATCCTACAGCCTTTAGTCCTCCACAGCGATAACAGGCTGAGTCGCACAGTGAATTACACCACCAGCTAATGGAAGCGTATGCACAAACACAGGCCGTATCACCCGGCCAGGACATAGCTTTTGAAATGTTTCCACAGCGTCCCGGTCTCTCACTTCATCGCCGAACTGAGGCAGGATCAAGCCGCCATTGACAAAGTAAAAGTTCACGTAGTTGGTCGCCGGTTCGTCATAGGACAAATGCCCGAGAAGAGCAGGGTCCGGCTCGTCCACCGTATGGATCTCGAACGGACGGCCCTTTGCGTCCACTGACCGAGTGAGAATCTCTCGGACTTCCTCGTAAACATCGAGCCAGGGCCTAGGCACGCTCGCATGGGGCCTCGAGAGAATAACCACACCTGGCCGGATAAAGTTCACCTCAGCATCGGCATGCACATCGGTAATATCGAGATCTTTCCGGCCGGGGAACCAGATGATTTTCTCAACCCCCAGCAAGCGTCGTAGCTCTGCTTCGATCTCGGTCCGCGAGAGGCCTGCATTGCGGTTGTCGTTGATGATACTGCTTTCGGTCGCCAGGAGGGTACCCTCCCCGTCCACGACTAATGCGCCGCCTTCCAGACAGACTCTGGACTCGACGAGTGTCACCGGAGAAGGAAAGACGTCAGTCTCTATGACTCTCCTGGCAAAGGTTGCGTTCTCGTCCAATTGCTCAGTGTTCATGATAGGCCAGTCCAGTCCATCTGGCGCGCGGTCCTGGCTCTCCATCTCGTCCCTCTTTCCCCACTCGCGGAAGCGAAAGTTGATCGCGAACCGGCGTGAGCGGGCATCTCCAGTGCCGAGCACGTATACTGGCCCTGTATCCCGAACCCACAGATGATTTGTTGCAAGTGGAATGAAGGAGATATTCGATGTGTTGCCGGTATACTTTGGAATGGCCTGGTTGACCATCGACTGGGCTTTTGGGAGATCTTCAGGTCGCGAGTACAACCGCACAGGCTCGAAGGCTGAGATCGCAGAGGCAAGATTGGCTATGTCGGTACATGCGCTGTCATAGTAGGCTGAGGCGATCGAGTGTCTGGATGGGAAGCCCAGAAGGGTGGCGAGATGACGAGAGGTTTCTGCGGGATAGATGTATCTGCCTGCGTATTGTCCTACTGTCGATGCTGCGTTTGACATGGCTTGAGAGAACCTCATATTGAATATTTCCTGACTGGATGCATCGCTGGTGAAAGGGACGAGAATGACGTTTTAGTAGGTGAGCTTCTCGTGACATGGGTGGGGCTCACTACGGGAATTATCGTCATGCCTCTTTATTGCCCGTATTCGGCAATAGAGGCGGCCAATCACTGGACCTCATTTGAGACAGGGCTAGGCTACCACAAATCGGACGAGACGATGGAATGAATCTCTTTGGCCTCTCTCAATACTAATAGATATATACAAACTCGTCATTATCCCGGTCAGTGACATCCAGCAGTCCATTGTTGCCCATCTCCTCCTGCATACTCTCCTCATCGCCTCCCGCGCCGTGATAGTGATCCTCCATCGAGCGATCCACCATCTTGGCTGGCTTCCCATTCCGCACCCGCTTCTTCTCCTGCAGCTTGTTCAACAGGACCAGATCAGCCCACTGGATCAAGACAACAGCGACCAGCGCCACAAAAATCCCCAGACAAGCTTGCAGACCGGGATGGTACGTCGGCGCATCCGCCGAGCTGAACAGGAGCGGTCCGACGATATTACCAGCCGCACTCGCCGCATTGTACAGGCTCATCACGACCGACTTCTTCGTCATACCGGCCGTATTGCCAACCATCCACGACACCACCAGCGGATTCCCGGCAAACAGGAATGCAAGCAGATAGTATCCCGCCATCAGCGCGCCCTGCACTGACCCATTGCGCGGCAGAGCATGCAGCATCGCCAGCCCGGCCACGACTGGTACCATGAACGCCGCCAGGACCGCGCCCTTCAACCGGGCCTTTTGCGCCAGGTAACTAGCCAGCAGGATCACGATCCATTGTAGAGCGCCGAATGGCATGTTCAGCAAGGTGGTGGTGTACTTGTTGAAACCGAGACCCTTGAGGATCAGCGGGCCAAAGACGTTGGTCACGCTGGCGCCGATATTGAGGAGCATGGCCATCGCGATCCATAGGTATGTCTTTGGCTCGAGGCCGGCTTCGACGACGTGCGAGAGCTTGAATTCGCGGCTTCCGGCGCCAGTCTGGTTCGCGCGGAGCCGTTCCATCGCTTGCAGTTTCTCTTGTTCGGTCAGGAACCGGGCGGAAACGATGTCGTTGTCCATTTTCCAGTAGACGATAGGGGCGGAGATGACCGTGATGAGGCCGACGAAGAGGAAGATACTGGGCTGATTAGCTGTGGTTTCGATACTGGGTGATGTAGCTTACATCTGCCATTCCTTGAGCAGATCCGACTTGATGTGTCCCAGGCCGTAGGACAGGGCGGCGGCCACGATCGTCGCCAACCCGTTGGTACTGTACCAGGCCGCGACACGGATCGGCTGCTCCGCACGACGATACCATTGACTCGTGATGATGGAGAACAGTGGCAAGCAGCCAGCCTCGAAAAGGCCGAGGAAGAACCGCGCGGCCATTAAGCCGCCAAAGCTATGGCATGCCGCCATGCATGTCTGCGCGATGCCCCATCCGAGGACCAAGGAAGGCATCAGAATCCGATGCGGTACTTTGACAATCAAGAACGATGAGAATGGTTGCCAGGCCAGCTGAGCGATAGGGGCGATTGATCCAACAAGCGAGTACTGGTTGCCCGTGAGGTGAGCGTCGGCTTGGAGCCCAAATGTGGCGCCGTACCCGAGCACAGATTTATCCAGAATCTGAAGGAAGTATACCCAAACCAGAATAACGAGAATAACACGGTCGGTCTTGCGACAGATGCGCTTGCTGTCCTCTTCGGTCAGGGGAATCCGAACGGTGTGGATGGCGTCGAGGCCAGTGGGTTTGGCCATTTGGCCTTCATCGTGGAAGGAGGCTGGTTTGGAGGTCATGTTGCACTGAGTATGAGCAATAGAAGGCCAGGTGCCCGGCCGTTGGGGAAGTCTCCTCGACAGGACGATCTGAACTCTTTATATCAATAGGCTTATGCACCCCCACACAGCATCCTTGGTTTCTCCACGGGGTTGAAGCTTTCGGCAGTGAGTCTGGGCCTTTCACGTTCATGCGGTCCGAGCTTAGCCGGCTATTGAATGAGCTAATGAGATTCGTGCCGATCTACTGTTTAGTAGCACTGTAGACTACTCCATCCGACCGATTCCCAATCCCCGGAAAAGTCCCCGCATTCTCAGAGTTTGCCGTCTCAGCCCATCTGAACCTTGAACATTGCCCCCCCACGCCTCCGCAAAGTCTACCCCCACGGATGCGTGGGCTGAGGACGCATTCCACAGTTCCTGGTTTCGCTTGGATAGGGTCATAAACAATCATAGATGGCAAAATGGAAGTGGTGACATCAGACAATAAGGTCACCTTGTCTCATTATCTATCCCCCATGCAGGTTATTAGGATGCTCTGCTGAACGAAGACTTGGGACGATGATATGCACCCACATACTACTCTCTTTCACTCGTAGATAGAAAGGAAGGAGCAGTCTCATTCAGCGCTTTGTACTATGACATTAAGACCCTGCACTAGTACAAGATATCCTAGTTCTGATGTCGTCGTTCTGTTGTTCCATATGATCGGGAGCATTAACTGCCTGAAATATGAGGCACCAAGAGTATTCCCCTATGATTGGTCAGTTAGCGATATTTGCAAGGCACAATAATTCGGCTAAGGTTCAGAAAAATCAAATCTTTTCCTGATAGTGCTGTTCTGCTTTTTTCTTCCTGTTTGTTTTCTTCATCTTCATCAATCTTGCAGCAGAATTGCCACGACTCATTAAGTCACTGTGAGCAAAGCTTGTTACTCCGTTGCAAACTGTCAAACAAGCCATGGATGCCACTACCCTTGTTGCCCAATCCCTCGGCCAAGAGGGCCAAGAGAGCCAAGAGAAACGACCCATGACCAATGATGCTGCAGTAGACGAGGATGACCTGCAGCTGCTGAAACTGGGCTATCGATCCGAGCTGGCCCGCGCTTGGGGTGCATTCGACAACTTTGCTTGCTCCTTCTCCGCGCTGTACTGCATCGGCGGTATCCGTGTGCTTTTCTACATTGCGCTGAGCGCTGGTGGACCAGCTGCTATGTATGTCCTCCTTATTATCGTCTTTGTCGAATTTAACTGACGGTGAGAAGGTGGAGCTCATGGATTTCTGGAAGCATCGTGGCCATCATCACCGCTGCCACCCTGGCAGAGGCCTGCTCCACCTACCCTGCTGCAGGATCGATCTACTACTGGGCTTTCCGTTCGTGGGGAGGCGGCAAGCTCGGACGGTTTGTGTCTTTTCTTGTTGCGGCATGGACGCTGGTCGCTTGGACTTCATTTCTAGCAACCGACTCGTTCGGAGTGGCCAACTATGTCATTTCCGAGGTGGTAGCCTTCAACCCAAACACGTCGATGCCGTATGAAACATCAGACGTCAAGGCTCGCGCGGTGGCCTGGGCTTTGTCGTTGCTGTTTCTGGCACTTGCAACTTCGCTGAACTTTCTCCCGCCCCGCACCTATGCATGGGTTTTCCGAGCAGGCTTCATCGTTATCATGATTGACATTCTCCTGAATATGATCTGGCTGCCCATCGGAGTCTCCAAAACCTATGGCTTCCGGTCCGCCGAGTATGTCTTCACCTCCACTTACAACGGAGGAGGTACAGCCCCCAGCCTGAACTGGGTTCTGTCCTGGTATCTGCCTGCCAGCTGTCTCGTCGGTCAGGATGCATCTGGCCATGTCGCCGAAGAGACAGTCACAGCCAGGAAATCGGCCGCCAAAGGAGTCTTTTGGTCGACTGTGGCCTCAGCCCTCTGTGGTTTCCCCATTATCATCCTCTTCCTGTTCTGCATGCCCCCGATCGAAACATTCTACGACACCAGTGTGCCACAGCCATTTATCAACATGTATGCCATGGCTCTGGGTCCCCGTGCTCATGCCGTCGCAACGACAGTCGCAATCATCGGAGCGGTTCTGAACACCTCCATCTCCCTCGTCGCCGTTTCCCGACTGGTCTTTGCCATCGCGCGAGACTCCGTTTTCCCTTTCAGCAATATACTTTGCCGCGTGTCTAAGAGCAAGCAGCCCCATAACGCGGTTGTCTTTATCTCCACATGCGCCGCTCTCCTCCTCTGCACCCAGTTGCCTTCCCAGGTTGCGTTTTACAGCTTGACGTCTACCTCTGCAGCTGGTTCGATTGCCGCATATGGCTTGGTCGGTTTTGGCCGCGCCTTTATCACCCGCAAGTCCTTTCGACCAGGCTTCTGGGAGCTAGGCCGAGCGGGAGTACTTTGCGCCGTGGTCACTTTTATTTGGAACAGTTTCGCCTTTTCAGTGCTGTGCGCCCCGCAGTACGGTGATAGTGCTATCGACGGGGATGCAAGCTTGTTCAACTACTGCATCGTCATCATGGCTGGCATTACAGTCATTGCGCTAGAGGAGTGGTGGCGCAAGTCCCGGAACGACTGGTTTGGCAATCTCAAGGTGGTTGACGACAGCTCGGATAATCCGGGTGATGTTAGCTCCGCGGAGACTGAGGCCGCTTCTGCCTAGGCATCGGCGGTGACAGTGAGCCTACACTGCAAGACAGGTAGGAGGACCAGGGATAGGTAAGTGAGTACTTTTAGTATGTAGCATGACGGGTGTTCGAGGACTGCTCTGGCATGACTCGATCTGAGAAATACCGTTGAACTTGATCTGGATAATACCAGCGAAAGGACATGCTTCATACTCTTCTCCGTTTCATGGCGTCTTGCCTTTTTGCTCTACTAACTGCAGCTGTAACGGACTCCACATCCACGTGTTTTGCCCAGCCCTACCCTGTCAGCTACCATCCTGGTGGATGACTGACAGGATGCCTGCCCAATGCGCCCGCGTTTAACGAAATCATTCAGATATACTTGTCCAGCGCCACTTGCTCACGTACGAGACCGCTCATTCAGGACTGCGGTATACTTTTACATCTGTCGCCGCGGAACCCTCTCTGACCAGATGAATATCCAAATGCTCTACCGACGGCATCCACACGGAGCTTCATTTGTAGACCGTCCATTGTCCAACCCAGGATACGGCGAAGGAAGATCCAGGTCCAGGCCCGTATCCGTCACCGTAACAACCCACTCCTTCCTCAGCCTCCTCTTCCCCCACAGCAGAAATACCTTAGCACCATCGTGAGCAATCCAACCGCCACCGGCACCCCAACCCCAATGCCCACCTTTTCCCTCATAAGCAGATACCCCCTCGGTAAGCTCAAAGAGTCAGTCGGCACAGGAACGACCGTCGACTCCGCAGCCCGGAAGTGTATCTGGATTGGCGTGGCCGTGACTGCGTACGCCGTCTCGCGCGTTGAAACCCCGTCCACAATTGTGATGATCTTTGGGTTATTGAACAGTCTCGTGTAGAAATGTTGGCCCAGTCGAAGTGTCTTCGCTATTTTAACAGCCCGAATAAACATATTTTCGATTGAAAGTAAGCTTAGGGAATCTTAATATTATAAATAGTTCAACAATATCTCTCCATTTACTTTTGACCTTACCTGAAATATGCAAAGGGAGCTGACCTATGATCACCTACGATATGCGCATGCTTATTCTGTTCTCTGACCGGCGGTCGCCTATACTTCATGAGCGCCAGCCGGCTAGACTTGTCTTCGCGATTTGTATACGTCTACTACCAAACCAGAAGAGGACAAGCCAACGGCAGCACTCCGAGGCGCATATCTAACAGAAAATAATACCCGTTTCATGATTCGTCGTCCTTGTCGATCATTTCCCTTATTCTCTTCCCAATTATTGCGGATGGCCAGGATAGCGGATCCCATATACGCGGCGCCAAGACCTCGCATTACGCCTCTTCAGCGCGGCTTGACCAAGCCAAGCTATCACCAAGCATCGTGAATCAATTACTGATCGCGGATTACGCCTCTTCAGGTCTAAGCCAGGTACCGTCGGCAACATATGCTTCCGTTGCGTGGGCCTGCGCTCATTGAGTCTGGAGACGATGACGCGGCTAGGGCCATCATGTTCAGGAAGATATCAACCAAAAGAGTATAAAAGGCTGGCCATAGTCATGCCAGTATGAGAGAACACACAAGCGTCCCTTCAGAGTCTATTGTCCGATATCAAAAAGAAGATGCACTTTTCCAAGCTTTTCCTCGTCGCGGCTGCCACTCTGGCCGCCGCTCACCCCGGCGAAGTCCACGATGCTCGCGCCCTGAAGCGGGAGATTCGCGCTCGCGATGCATATGCCGTTGCAGCCAAGCGTGCACTGGATGCTTGTGCTAGCACCACCGAGGCACAGCAGCTGAACCAGCGCAATGTCGCCCGTCGTGCCCGCACTGCCCGCCAGCTCCGCCAGAGCAAGGGGATCAAAACTAGTAGGTGATCTCTACCTTTCGTCGTGCTCCCAGCTGACAGTTAAGATGCTCGCAAGTGGCGTCGTGATCTGGCTGCTCTCGAGAAGTGGGAAGCCGTCGACCACAACAAGACCGATATCCTCGACTACTCCGCCAACACGCCCGAGTCACGTATTTTCGGCGGCAACACCAGTGCCATCCTAACCCCTACCGTTACCGACGGCCCATACTATGTCTGGGGAGAGATTCTGCGCCAGAACGTCAAGGAGGAGAAGTACTGCGACGGTGTCGACCTCACCGTTGAGGTGCAGTACATCGACGTCAACACCTGCAAGCCTGTGAAGGGCGCTGTGGTGGATATCTGGAACGCCAATGCCACCGGTGTCTACAGGTATGAACTCGTCACTTACCCAGAGGATGGACCCTGCTGACTCGACTGACAGTGGCATCTCTACCACGGGCAACTACGCTGCTAACGGCTGGGACTCCACCTACCTCCGCGGTATCCAGCAGACCGACAACGACGGTGTGGTCACCTTCGACACCATCTTCCCCGGCCACTACGACGGTCGTGCCACCCACACTCACCTCCTCACGCATCTCAACGCCACGATGAACGCCAATGGCACCCTGGAAGTCGGCACCGGCAGCATCGCCCACATTGGCCAACTCTTCTGGAACGAGGTCCTTCGCTCTGCGGTCGAGGATACCTCCCCTTACAACACCAACACGCAGGCCATCACCACCAACGCCGACGACATGTGGAGTGTTCTGCAGGCATCGGATGAGTACGACCCCTTCCCCGAGTATCTGTACCTGGGCGAGGGATTGGAGGATGGTCTCTTCGCGTGGATCCAAATCGGTATCAATGCCTCGGCCGACTACACCGACAACTCGTACTACAGCATTGCTGCGTACTATGAGGAAGACGGTGGACACCAGAACACTGCCAGCTCGGCCTTTGGTGGCTCTGGTGGTGGAAGTATGAATGGTACCATGCCTTCGGGGTCTGCTCCTTCGGGTGCGATGCCCTCTGGTGCGATGCCCTCTGCCAGTCCTTCTTCCAGTGCATAAATCACTTTAGATGGCTTGGGTACAGGTTCCTGGGGTAGACCGCATGAACAAACTGGTATATGTATATTTCCTTGTAGGCTAGAGATAGAAATTGAACATGTTGCTCCGATCGACGTAACTTGCAAACCCAATCATCACATATGACTATTCACGAGGTCACTGAACGTCCTTCCACGGCCTTCCGTTGGTCGACTTGGCCAGATCCTCCATTGTCTTCCACTTCCAGGTCTTCTCATGCAGATTGACCGAGTCATTATCATTCCCCAGCCCAGACGCGGTATGATTGATTTTATTCTCCCCCATCAGGAAACGCAGATACCTGGCCGGCTCATTCGAGACCTTCTCCGTCGTTTCCTCCTTGTACTTCGTCAGATCAACCTCCGTGATCTTAATCGGGCCCGCTCCTGCACCCTCCATGACCTTCGCAATCTCCTCGATCGACCGTGTATCACCACCAATATGCACCACCTCGGGAATACTCATCAACGGCATCGCCGCTAAAGACGCCACCGTCCTCCCTACATCCTCCAACCCGGTAAACGACACCAGTGATTTCGCACTGCCCACACTCTCATACCTGTCCCGGCCGGTATCAAACCCAAACCACGGCCCAATGCTATCCTCCAGAAACAACCCACAGAACACTCTGCACACCTTCACCTGCGGGATGAGCCGCCCCGCAAGTTCAAAATGCCTCTTCTTCTGATCCCACTCTCCATGCGGGAAGTCATGAACGTAATGGTCCACTCCAAACTCGGAGGGAAAGTAGACCTGGACCCCGGTTGAGGGTAACGCACGCAGCAGCTTCTCTTTGAATTCGTGGCCGGATGCGCCGATTGTGTTGACGAGCACGTCGACGTCCTCCAGGGCGGCGTGGAGGTTGTCCTCGTCGTATTTGCGGACTGTCACCATTGCGCCAGAATCTTCTGGCGCTGGAGGGACGGGTGGGTTGTCATGTCTGGATAGGAGGATTATCTCCGAGAAGTAGCCGTGGAAGGGAGGTGAGAGGAAGGCGGAGGCGACGTGTTTGCCTAGGTGCCCTGTGGCGCCTGCGATGGCTACCACGGGGCGGGAGGTAATTGGGGGTGTTGATGGCATGAGTCAAATCTGCTTTCCAGAACTTTCGGATTGAAATAGACGAGACCCCTTGGTATCAATATCTTGGTTGCAGTCTCATGTCTTATACTTCGTCGGGATGACATGATCTGCTGGCTGACGTCAGTATAGAGTACTAACTTATTCCGCACATTTCCAAACACAACAAACGGCGCAAACAGGCCAGATCCAATGAGATGTCTCAATTGTCCTTGTTTGCTATAGGCTCAAACAGACCAAACTGTATGATATGGTTAGGTTATAAAGAATGGTTGGCTTCCACGGAATGCTTCCGTCTGCGGGGAATGGGTGATCGATGGTCAAAGCAAAGCCATTAGTGAGCCTTACGAATCGATTCAAGCCTCTGCCAGGGGCCGAGGATTCCAGTACTGGACATGCCGAGTTCAAGTGCCGAAGGCTACTAATCTACAACAAAAACCTAGATCCGGTCTTGACTCCCAGCTCCTTGAGGGGCTGTCAAGAGTCCTCCCATGGATTGTAGGTATTTGATTGTCAGTTAAATAGAAGAACAGCCTGTATAAGATTGCTACCACACAATGACTGGCTTAATCGTCTCCCCCGACTGCATATCACGGATCGCCTGCGCAAAGTCCTCTGCCTTGTAGAATTTGACAATCTTCTGCAGCGGCAGGCTTCCTTCTCGTACCCATTTGACCATCTTAGGCACATACTCTTTTGGGTTAACATCTCCCTCCACCACGCCCATATACTGCTTCCCTGCTACCATGAACTCATGAATCGGAATGGTCAACGTCCCCGTCTCCGGCGCTGTTCCAACCTGCAGAATCTTTCCCTTGAATGAAGCCATTCTGACGCCTTGGGCAATCAGCGCCGGCACACCAGTCGTGTCCAGCACGATGTTAACCCCCAGGTTGTTCGTCGCCGCTAAAACAGCATCCGATACACTCTGCGGATCCGCCGTCGTATCAACCTGCACAACATGCGTAGCACCTAGTTCCTTCGCCAGCTCCAGACGGGACGCATGTCGCTCAACACCGATGATCTGCGCACAGCCTGCAATCTTCGCGCCCATAACCGCACTCAATCCGACACCTCCGAGCCCCAAGACAGCCACCCGGTCCTTCGGGGTCGCCTTTGCCGCATTGAGAATCGCCCCGCTCCCGGTCTGGATTCCACACCCTAGAGGCGACAGCAACTGCAGCTCGGACTTGGTGTCGACAATCCCGCGAACATTGACTACCGAATCTTCGCGGACGATCGAGTAACTCGCGAAACTCGACTGGCCAAAGAATCGTCCGTAGATGCTCGATTCCGTCGCGGTGGACGCCGATGCTGATGCTGATGCCTCGTCACTGAACACAAGGTTATCAGGCTCCACCTCGAAGTTTATCGGGTTGAAGTTGACACAATGGGCCGGATGGCCTGTCTCACATGGTTCGCAGGCCTTGCACGCGGAGAAGGAGAGGATGACTGGGTCGCCGACTTGGGCGACCTGCACCCCGGAGCCAACTTCGCGGACGTATCCGGCGCCTGTTGTTCACTTAGCTGGTGCGCTTGTCTTATGGGAGAATTCTATAATACCTTCATGACCCATGATCCGCGGATAGTGCACACCGAATCCGCTCTCTGCGCCTGCGAAATGCAGGTCTGTCTGGCATATTCCCGAGGCGACGATCTCAACTAGGAGTTCTTTTTCTTTCAGGGGACGGAGAGTGATGTCCTTGAGCTTCCATCCTCCTGTCTTGTAGGAGCCGTAGGAGACGATACCTCGTTTGCGGGGTGGGAGTTGATTGCCTGTCATTTTGGCCTGGCTGCAACCAGGATAATAAGAATCGTTCCTTTCCTGAAATTCCCCAATATTTAAACCCCAGAGATTGATGGAGGGTGGAGATTCCCCGCCCCGCCCGCCCCCATCCCGACTCCGACTGCCGACGATCGAGGGGATCCACATAGAATCTATCGCGGGTATGATTTATCACATATATGCTGAAAGAAGAGTTGATAGTTGTTAATCTCACTTCAACACAGCTTGCCGTGATATTGAAGCCTATCGGATGAAGGCTTGGCATTCATCCAGCTAAATTTAACATCGACCTCAGCAAAGCTGTCAGCCATGTCTAACTGGGAAAAAGCAAAGGTCACACCTAGCAGCTAGTCGAATTCACCGACCTACGTACCATCATGGCTCTTGGCCAAGGGGGGATACGAGCTGCCAAGATTCGAGGCTGCCAAGCAGTAAATGACCGGGTGTTTCGACATACCAGAGACCGTCTTTTTCCGCTCAGGCCCTGATTATCAGCACCTTCGTGGACAAGGCTAGCCAACCATTGCCAACGCCATTCCCTAGCCAAGAGTATCCTAAATTATGCAGGAGCAGAGCCACGCGGGGCCACGTCATCAGCCGCACAGTATTTATTATGAGCGGCGACTCACTTAAACGGGACAGGTCTTCAGGTCCAGGGGCTTCTTCTAAGCGGCCAGCAGCGCCAGTCAACCGCGATAATGGCTGCAAAAGCTCCCTGCAATACTCCCAAGACAAGCCTCCTCATTCTCCTCTGCTGCTCCCTTTTCATCAACCCGGCAGACGGAACAACAGCCACCCTTACCGAATCTGCAGCCTACGCGTCGCAACGACCCTGCGCAAAGCGCTGCTTCTACTGGGGCTCCTCCTCGGAAGGCGGCCCCGATTACCTCGCAATCGGGGTCGGTTGCCAAGTCGATCCCATCATGAATGAATGCATCTGTCGCTCGGATCTGCAGCAAACCGCCGACTCGTTCCTCCGCAAATGCGTGAGTGACAAATGCGGCGAGAATGCCATCGATGTTTCCAGCGCCGTCAGCATATACGACGATTATTGTACGAGTAATGGGTACACGAGGGCGACGTCCACCGCGCAGACGACTTCATCAGGTACGCCGATCGCCCCTGCGACCGTAACGGTGACTGTCGTGCAGACGGTGCTGGCGTCTGGGGGACGACGCCTGCGACCGGCAGTCCTCGGGCTACTGTGAAGTCGAGGTTGACCGTTGTGGATGCTTTAGTCTCGACAGCTCAGACGAGTACTGCGACGTCCACAAGTGAGAAGGGATCGGATCGGACGACCGAGTCTACGAAGCAGTCGGTGCCATCGGCAACCCAGACGTCCACGACAACATCACCGACCACTTCCTCGGGTACTGGGGAAGGAGGCAAGTCCGGTCAAGGCGATGGAAGCAAACTGAAGGTGGGAGAGATTGTCGGTATTGTCGTTGGTATTCTCGGCTTCATCGCAACGGCTGTGGGGTCGTGGTTTTCATACAAGACCCTCAAGCAGAGGAAACGTCTCGCGAATGCTCCCTGACGATGCAGTGCTTGCCATTCCCATGGAGCAAAGACTCTTACGGCTGTGTTCTGGAATTGGTAATACTAGACAGTTCAGTGATCTACTGTAGGTCAGATATATATAAAATATGGAATCAGGACTCTTCATGCCTTACCTCTAAGGCGCTAATAACTAGTTATCCGAAAACCCAACGCGGATGAGTAAGCACAATCTTCCAATCACATGACTTTTCATCATCATCATCACCGACACGTCCGTATTGCCTCATCATTTCCCTACTGTTGGAAACCACAATTAATGCTGGCAAAATGGGCTCTTAGGCGCGCCCAGCGCAGTCTGACTGGTATTAGTATTGCCAGGACAGTCAGACCCTCGTACTATCCTCTGGGCCCTCGGCCATTTCACTCAATCCGCACCACATCAGGAAAAAGGCCACAGGATGTAACCCCAATACAGAGGCGTGCCCTCTTTACATCCGCCATTCCACCTGTCCTGATCCCGCCTGTAATTTTTGTCAGTCTGCTACTGGGTCTATGGACGTGGAAATGTTTCTGGATCGTCGTCATGCAAGACAAGCTCTTGTATATCTCATGGCTCCCGCCGTTCGCCCGCTCGGAGCAGATATCCGACTACGCAGGCGAATGCAAGCCCGTCCGCTGGGACGAAAAGCGCATTCGAAGCTTGGACGGGACCAAGTTGGTTGTATGCGAAGGGCGCATGCCACCCCCCGCTCGCAGCGTGACGCAGAAGCTGTCTGCCCAGGTGCAGGCGCAAGACCCGGCACGGAAGAAGCTAGTGGTGATCTGCTACTTCCAGGGAAATGGTGGCTCGACTCCCATGCGTTTGCCGCTGTTGTCGCAGTTCCTGCGGGCTATCCACTCGCCAAGCGGGGACGTGGACTACCTCGTCGTCGCCCTGTCGTATCGCGGGTACTGGAAGTCCTCTGGTCGGGCGAGCCAGATAGGGATCGAGCTCGACGCGGTGGCGTTTCTGCAATGGGTAGCGGAGACGTATAGCGCACCTGACAGGGATGTCCGGATGGTGCTCTGGGGTCATAGTTTGGGTACGGCGATTGCGAGCTCTGCGGCGGCGACGTACCTGGCTCGGCACTCAACCCAGGCGGTTCCTATCGCCGGGCTGATTCTCGAAGCACCGATGTCCAGCATCAAGGACATGCTGATCAGTCTGTATCCGCAAAAGTGGCTGCCGTATCGGTACCTGTGGCCGTTCCTGTGGAACAACTGGAGCAGTGCGGTAGCGCTGGAGCGGATGGCGCGGTGGCGAGATCAAGATCGTGAAGAGAGAGAGCCCGAGCATGCGGTTCCGCCGATTCTGCTGCTTTCCGCTGAGAAGGACGAGGTCATCCCGGCATATGCGGCTGCGGAGCTGGAGCAAGGGGGCCGAAGACTTGGACTGAGAGTGGACAGATTGGACGTCTCTGGGGCCATGCACATGGAGATACCGATCAAAGCGGCAGGCAGGCAGGCCATGATGGATTTTATAAAGAGATGTACCGCTTCGTAGAGAGGGCAGAGATAGACAATTAAATTTGATCTCTAGTAAGTTAAGGATATTTCCGTTTACTACTATTAATAGTACCCTGCATAGCCTGTCTAGCCCAGAATACAAATATACCCAGCACTGAAAATTCTTCGAATCACGTTTAATGTTTCTTTTTCCTATCGATTAGCGAACGCAGATCAGAACGGACGGTACCTAGTTTCTAGTCACTCCGCCGAAGAAACAGAATTCAGCAAATGCAGCCGCTGCCGGAGATGAGCCTGCAGCGTCCTCGCCTCCAGCATGGCCGCGCGCGCGTAATGTAAAAAAGCTGGCCAAAACAGCATTTGGCGAGAATGCCCTGGCGCTAGCTGTCGGGAATTGTGTGATCGTGAAGCCTGAGTATGAATTTCGCCTGTGTTGATAGGGCTTGGCTAAGCAGTCCCTACACACCATACTCGACTTCTAAACTGTCTAGAACTGGTGCAGTCCCTCTTACCTCCTGGCGTTGTGCAAGTGCTGGCGGATGTCAATGACCCTGGCATTGCCCATATCTCCTTCACGGGTTCGTCAGCAACCGGCAAGAACATCATGTACGCTGCTGCTAAGACGCTCAAGTGGGTAGCATTAGAGCTGTTCGTACCCTCTGACCCTGCATGTTCCGTCAATTCAGGCTGACGAGTCCAGGGGAGGACACAATGCTGCCATCATCTTGCCCGATGTGGACATTGAAAAAGTGGCTCGGCCGGTCGCCATGGGCACGTGGTGGACTTCCGGTCAGTCATGTGTTGCGGTCAAACGTGTTTATATCGATGGATCCATATATGAGCGCTTCATGCGCGCTCCGCTAGACTTTGCCCGCTCTCAGTTCACGGTCGGATGTTCTGGAGTCGATGGTGCCACCGTCATGGGCCTGAGCCAGAACAAGATGCAGTACCAGAAACTGAGAGAGCTGATTGAAAGCTGTCGACGAGAAGGCTGCACTATTTCGCTAGATGAACCTCACACAGCAAAGGACGATCTGGAACGGCAATCCCTCGAGTCGGGGTTCTTTCTCTGGCCGACGATTGTAGATAATCCGCCGGCTGATTCCCCGCTGGTGTCTGAAGAACGGTTTGGCGGGTTATACTACCGACAGGTGAGAGGGACAAGTGCTGACACGTCTTTCCAGGACCGATCATCCCCTGTATGCCTTCCTCTGATATCGATGCGGTGATTGCCGCTGCCAATTCAACTTCAACCGGATTGAGCGCAAGCGTATGGGGCAAGCATGCAGAGACAACGCAGCGGATCGCGGACAGTCTAGACGTAGGAACCGTTTTCGTCGACGGCCCCTCGCGTCCAGACCCTCGAGTTCCATTTTCGGGTCGTAAGGAGACGGAATTGGGGTCGAGTATGGATTGACGGGGCTGATCGAGTACTGATATGTGAAGTTTCATGGAAAAGTACACGTAATGCTCTCAACTACTAATATAAGAGAGCGCCTTTGACAAGTACGTACCTTATGCCTATAGCTGCCTGTACTCTGACAATGCTTTGTGTTTTGTGCGTGGAACACTGCTCCGGCGGTCAGTTCACATCTTGAGACCATGCCAGCCAGACATACAGAACATTGTGACTACAAGCATAGTATCATTGTTGAGTTCCAGTCTCCTAGATCAACAATGATCCGCGGTTTGCAAGTCATAGTCAACCCTGACACAAACGACGCAAGGAATACTTCAGTGGTCGAAGCGTGGCACTCGAAGTGCGCCGCGCCCGAGCACCAACATGTCGAAACCAGGTCACAATGGCCTGCCAAGACACAGTAATGTAGATGAGGCTATTCCAGAATCCCTGCAGTGGTAGAGCAAAGCTCGAGGCGCAACTCAAGCCGAATACGTAGTGATTCGAGGCGGCAAGCCCATAAACCCGGTTGGCGGAGGAAGGGACCTGAAAACAGTCAATAGATTGTAGAAGAATGAGAGGCAAGCACGCACCCATGTGATAATCAACGCCGCAAAGAAGAGGACGGCATATTTGTAGTACGCTCCCGACGCGGAGCTAGTATACGCGCCGGACTGGCCTAGGTCGCAGTTGTGGCGGCTGAGAGTAATCGAAGTTGCAGGAGAGATATTGGAGGAAAGAGATACTGCAGTACTAGGAGGGGCATTTCGGGGACCGGCGTGATTCTGAGTAGACCAGACCTCGGGAGAAATGATTCGTTGGGATGAAGCAGCAGTAGAGGCAGGACTCCGCTCTCTGTTTGAGTGCCGCTGAAAGCTATCAAGTGGCACTGGTTGGGCTGTTCCATGGAGATCAACGTCCCCCAACACGGTGGTGTCTGTGGCATGTTCGAAGGCCGGCCTGACGATCTTTGTCAGTTCGCGTCGTTGTCGCCAGATGGTCACGCCAACACGGATGTAGATGGCGAGGATGAGCAAGATAATGAACCAGACTGGTCCGTAGAATACAGCGATCTGGAGAAAGTCCCACCGCAACGAGACCCAGCACCATAACTGATCATGATAAACATCGACACTCAAGCACGACTGCAGCGGGACTTACCACAGAATCCCCGTACACCTTGCCCCTCGACTCGGAGCTGAGGAAGAGATACACAAACGCAGGAATAAACGGCACTCCGTAACAGAAAAGCACATACTTCCACTCCAGCATCCCTAAACGCCTGGTATCGTAATGCTTGAAGAACGCCAGGTACACATTGTAAGCCATGGCGAGCGCCCACAGGGAGTCGGCTGGCAAGAACCTTGCAGACCAGTATCAGTGAATGAATCCTGCCATATCACGAGCATTGACTGACCACTGAATCATGAACCCCTGGAACTGGCACAGGGCGCCTCGGGAATGAGCCTGCAGACTGGACTCGGCGATGAGGGTCGCAACATTCGACAAGAGATTGCCCCAGGAGGCATAGAAGATCAAGCGGTTGATCGGTTTGCGAAATTCCGTCGAGCTGACAAAGGTTGCAATGACGATACCCGAGGCAACCACAGACACGCACGAGCATACACGCTCGATGATCGACAACACAGACTGCTGATGGCGACTGAGCTGCGTGCTGTGTTGGTACATGGAGATCCAGCCTCGTCATGGACCTATTGATACTTGCTAGTTTGTGCAAACGCGCAGAAAATAATCGACGCCGATCGGCCGATCTCTGGAAGACCTCGGATAGCTCAGCCTTTCTGATAGTAGACATACAAGCTGACTCCAAGACATGTACACAATCCTCCTTGTAAAATTACTGTACTATTGCAAATTCATTGTCATATTGCATGGCACAAATACTGAAGCCGAGACAGCTATCCGGATCAGCGGAATGCTGATTGAGTTTCCCGGTTAATCCCGTACATAGTCGTTCATTATGGGGATATCTTTCTGAAAGGTAGAAATAGAGGAGGTAGCAGTTATCTGATGTTATTAAACTGGCGTGAGAGACATGATAACTGCGCTGTTGTCCTCCATACGGGGATCGTGAGTGATGATGCGCCGATTACATGTCTGCCTTCACCACCCCAAATGCGTCATGCTTCGGGATTTGCACTTGTTCCCGGAATTCTAGTGATTTGGCAAAATGATTCCAAGTCGCAGATCATCTCTTGCCTGTGTGGAATGCTCCTCTTATACCTCTCTAGAAGAAAGTCGTTCTCACATTCCTTGAACTCATGCATTTCTACTGTCACGATATTCCGGTTGTACTGCTTCGGACTTACGTTCCGCGCTTCATCGAAGCTATAATGATCGAACCGGGGAGGGACACTATTTATACCTGCTCCCTGCTCTGTGCTGTAGACAGTCGCTCGTGGCGTGTTGGGGAGGATCCATATATTCACAAGAAGGATGCTGCCATTCTTATCGCCCTGGTAGAGTCCATTCCTGCATAGGATTAAGAGGCCTCTTGGAATTATGGCATAGAGTTCCTAAGACATCGGTCTATGCTTGGTACAGAAAGTCTTTGTATAGTGCGGCGGTGTGAAAGAGGTAAGTATCACTCCGATGGATTATCACTCCAGGACCTCGATACATCAGATGTTGTCAATATTGATGCCTTGAGTACTACACAATAGCCGAAAATGACCGGGACTCGTCAGCAGTTTCCCAGGATGACCTGCTTCAAGAATACGTCCCTCACTGAGCACCACCACCAAATCACTGTCCAAAATAGTTCTCAAGCGATGCGCAACAGTGATAATCGTCTTATTCGCAAACTCCTCCCGAATAACCCGTTGCATAACCTCATCGGTTCCCCAGTCAACATTACTAGCCGCCTCGTCCAGTACCAGAATTGTGCCAGGCCTCAGCATTGCCCTCGCAGACAAAAGAGCTGCTGCTGGCCATGCGACAGAGCCATAATATCAACATCGATGTCAAGTCCACGGCGCTTCTGAACGTGCTCCCACCGCCCGACTTTCCTGAGGGCTGTGATGCACTCCTCAGGTGTCAGGGCCCCTATCAGTCAAGCATTGGAAAAAAGCCACTATTCCACTAGAACGCTTAGTAGGCTTAGCTTTCTGGCAATTTTCCACAGGTATGCGATCCGGCACACGTCGAAGAGATTCCAGCTCTTCATCAGTGGGTTTAAGAGCCATAGTGAGTCATTACAGGCGGCTGGCATACAATCACGACCTGCAAATCCAAAGATCCTTGTCGAGACCTACGTGGATGGACCCCCGAGGTCCATGCCAACTTCGTCCTCTGCAACGGAGAATTGCTCTTCTTTGAGGTTTCTGATGACTTCCCTTGCCCAGCGGACGAGAGTGATGCTGGATTTGAAGCGGACTTCTTTGAGCAGGCAAATGTCCTGCCGTCGGCCTAACCGCCAGGCGAGCTGGAAATCATCCGGATGACTTTACTCCAAATTCTTCTTGACGTCGGCTTTCGGACCGGTGTCTTCCACCTGGAAGCCCGCGTAAAGGGATCCACCGTGGATTATGCAGAAGAAGATGGAAGTTTGAACCTTCGTCAAAAACGCCGAGATGCAAATGTCGCCTCTTGCGACGCTCCCACCTGTTTCCTAATCAAGATCAATCCCCGCATCCTCGATTCCAATCCATTTATGCTACACGGATCACCTACGGAATTGACTACATGGCCCTCCATCTTCTAGCATGTTTACAAGACGATGCTCGCGTCCTTGCATTTTCCCACCCAACGCGTGCATCCACCAGTGACAATAAATTCTGGTGCCAGGTCGTGTCCATTGCGAACAATGATCGGCAAGGAGGTATTTGTACGACGCGGGACCCATATCAGACCCCTGTCAACCACCATCCAGAGCTGAAAGCCCATGTAGTGATAGGCCCATCCTTCTTCAAGTAAGGAGATTACGTTCCCTCCCTGACAGCAGACACTCGCGCATTGTTGGCTTTCTTTCTGGTGATTTCCAGTAAAAGCCACTCGTGGTGCTAAAAGCAGCGCAAGAGATCCGTAAACAATTCAAAATTCGTCTATCAAGTGAGAAATTATAGTAATGGATCACCAATAAGTGCTTCCTCGCGTAGGCTGTTTGAGGCTGTGATCGATCTTCCAACACGTAGTCGAAGAGTAAAACACCAGCTTCCAATCATTTCATAAATTAATTACTCTGGTGAAATCGAGAAATATGAGAAATCCCCTAGCCGAGTTTCAGGCGACCAGCAAGTTATGGTTAACGCCCATACTACGCCTTTGGTTATCCCAGGTATAAATTCACCATTTACCTATCTAGTTAGTCTGGACTTGGTGAGTCATACTTAGATAGCTATGTTAACTAACTATTTAGTATGACATTAGGGCATACCTTACAGATGGGCTGTGCATATTTAAAGGGTGCGGTGGCCCTGTCATTTCCACCGAGACTAACAGCTCAATCCCTGCAGCAGTAGTGGAACACAGACAAATCGGTGTAATATATCTCTGCTCCTCATGGCACAACCAAGCAGCTCACAATATGCGTCAATCGACCCGACATTAAAAAAGCTGGCGCAATCATTGAATGCATCAGACTCAAGTTCAGCCGCTGAGATTGCCAATGCTCTGGCATTGCTCCTGGATGGGAAGCTTAGTGAAACCCAAGCTGCCGCTCTGCTCAGTTTACTGCACCACCGAGAGAAAGACAAGCAAATTGTCGTTATTTTAGAGTGTATTCGCTTGCTGGCCGCGGCACAGGTAAAAGTCGATACGGCTGCATTAAACAGGGTCGTTTCGGGCCGAAACCTAGCTCGCGGGAAATACCAGGGTGGACTGGCGAGTTTCAACCCCCAAAATGTTTAGGGGAAATATAAGAGCTAATCTTTCCAATGGCGCAGTGTGATATCTCCGGAACAGGAGGGAATGCGACGGCTGTCATTTCTGTGGCTGCCATGGCGTCCGTCGTTGCATCAGCGAAACTGCTCATCGCCCAGCATGGCTACTTGAGCGCTACGTATCCAGTCTCCTCGGCTAACCCTGAGGACATCATCAGCAACATCGAACCGAACGCCCCGCTCCTTGCAATGGTCACAGCAAACCACATCCCCAGAATCTACAAGCATAGTAACTATTTGTTTCTCCCAGAGCGCAATTTCTTTCCACAAATGCAACACGCCAATCGCATTCGGTTGGGACTGGGGATCAGGACGATATTCGACCTAACCAGCACATTACTCCATCCACTGCATGCCAGCTGCGGCCTGGAGGCCCGAGTAGTCGGCGTAGCGAATCCAGTCCTTGGTCCTGTCTTGGCACAGGCACTCCGATACATGGGGTTCGGAAAGCCCTCGTTGTCTGCGGGAACGACTCAATGGATATTATCGCTCCAGAGGGTTCAACCTCATGTTGGATGCTTATGGATCCACCTGCCGAGGCCACCAGTCCAGGAATACAGCACTTTCGCCTGCAGCCCAGGGATTTTGGGCTGTCGGAGAATCCATTGGCCAGTATTCAAGCGAAAGGTAGTTCCGAGCAGGAGGCTTGTGTTCTCTCGCAGTTGCTACATAATCAGTTGTCTGGTGATGACCCTCTTTTGCAGTGTGTGCTTATGCATGTGGCCGCGCTGTTTGTTACTTCTGGGGTCTGTGATACATTGCAAGAGGATGGCGTTGCAGAGACGGGCCCCTGTGGCGGTAGATGGAAGGAAGGTGCCCGTCTCGCGAGGTCTTGTATTATGAGTGGCGAGGCTCTGAAGGGTTTTGAAACCTTTGGCTACGTGACGAGTCGGTTGGAATAGCTTTCTTGGGGTCTATCATAGCGGGGTGAGGCTTGAAATTCAAAACAAAGAAGTGGGAAACCCATCAATGCATGTATCACTTGCTGCAATCGTATTCAGACATTAGAGCATAGAAGGCGTGACTTTTGTAAGTGGCTAAGTCGGGTACCAACTATCTGTCGGGTAACCTACAACGAGTGGATGTAATATACAAGATGGAAAGAAGAGAGTTAAGCACTCTTGATTTTATGTAAGAATAAGCATCAGTTATTGAGAATAGCTTGCAGCACGGCAGTATGCGAGGAGGCCCTGTCGTCAATCAACATCGTCCGGATCAAGGACTGTATTAGGGCTTATTGTAGCCCTTCCTGATGGACGATGCTCAGTAATGGCCTAGTGAACTCATAGGTGTTGTCAAGAAAGTAACGTTAAGCATGCGCAAGCATCTGTGCGCGCTCTGTATAAGACACACTGTCGTGCCTGTCGGACAAGTGCAGTAGCTCATCATGCCAAATCTTAACACATTTGTCCGTGCTGTTTGAAGGATTCTGGAAAGAAAACAAAAAGAGTGGAATATTTTCTTAAACCATGTGTCTGTCGATGGGGCCTGGTATGACAAGGGCACACTCTGCCCACACTGCCTGAAAGAACAGCGTATATGTACTTCCGCCGAGTATTCTGAGCACCTAGCGATGCTTGCAATGCGGACAGAATGCACACAGTGGCATACCCCTCCCTGGGAGTCCATTGAGAATTCCTGACATACAACGCTTGATCGCTCAAAATATCCAGTCACAAAATGACAATCTGGTCAAGGACAAAATGGGATCCAGCCAAAGGTCGTTCTTGATATTGCGATGACCATTGTGGATTTGATCTACGAGACTCAGCCGCATTGCCAACAGCGCATTGACAATCTGCGTATTCTTCTGGAAGCCTTTCAATGGACATTGCCTAACGCGTACTGGCAGGCACGATGTATTGTCATGTAGAAGCTCGGGTTATGTACCATAGAGAATTCGCTCATAGTCCCAAGATATCAACTAGCTAGGATGTGCTGGTGGGCTAGATGGTTGTTTGATTTGACTGATTTCTTTCCTTTTTTTTTTTTTTCCTTCTTCCTTACCCATTCCTTTTAGTTGTAATTAGTATGAAAGTCTACTCCTAGACGCTGTATTCATTACCCAGTGGGTGGCTATTGTATTCACTGTCAAGTGTTGCTATGTTCACTGTCTTGTCTAGCTTCCAGTATTATCGAGTGACGGACCAAATCAGTTGTTCGCTACAATCAAGAAATGAGGTACGTTGTTGCTTTACCACTGCAGTAGCCCTCAATCTGCGCAAGGCCAACGTTCAACTGTGGTCGCTTAGGACGAATTCCTTACGTGTTGACCGTTTGAATCTTTCCTCGATACTTCCTCCTCGCGGGCGGCGCTTTCGTGAAGTGGCGTTACTGTTTGAACAATGTCTTCTCTTGGACACTCGCTACTTTGCCATTTCGAGTCCGACGGATTGGACACCAACTCCACATGCATGAATACAGGAAGGGTCGACGGACATGGGATTCCAATCCTATCCAGGGGAAAGCAACCCGCACAGTGTTTACACCTCAGTGATCTGTTGGGCACCCTCGACATGGTAGCTCCCTGTTTGGTTCCAGGCACCCTAAGATCTGTACTGGACAATTATTGATACCTGTGACCTCCTGTATTTGTGGATTCCCTTCAATATGTTATCAATGACGTTAATGTATTAATCCAAACAGCAGACAGCGAAATTCGCTGCTCCTGTCGTCCTTAATCCTCTTGATAGATTACTAAAGAAGCAGAGATCAACAAACCCAAAGAGGCATATGGACTATAGTGTCCAGACGCTATATCAGTAAATTATATATATGGATGTGTGTGTGTGGAGACGCGAAAGAGAGATGTCCAGCGATACTTTTTTCGCGCGTTGTTAAAAACATTTGAACCTTCAATAAACCCAAGACAGATTCTGATGAATATCATATTCGTGAAAAAGTCTTGCGTGAAATGTCTTGATCTTCGTGGATGGTGACTGGAAACATTGGCAGATGCCAAGTCCAAGAATACGAGGGAGATCCTTTAAAATGAGGATCTTCCCCTCCATCGCTCGGTCAAATTCTCACGACGTCAACCCTCAGAAAAAGGCTTCCATCATGTTTGCAGCAGCCAACCAAGAAGATAGTCTGAAAGACCTCAGCCGTGCAGCAGAGTCATTCTGGAATAGAGGGCAATTGGCGCAAGCTGAAGAAGCCGCACGGCGTGCCCTGGACGGGCAAAAACAGCTTCTTGGGGATGGCCATCGCGAAACATTGACAACAGCCACTACACTGGCAGGGATCCTAAAGCAGCAGGACCGTGACGATGAAGCTGCGACATTGTTCGAAAACATCCTGCAAACAGCTGACAAGGTCCTCGGCGGCGAGGATCTGGTTACCTTGCGGGTCCTCAATGATTTCGGGTTACTTTTACAGAAACAAAGGAAATATGACGCCGCGCGTCGGATGCATGAACAAGCCGTGAGGGCGTATATTGCGCACTATGGCGAAGAACACAGTTCCAGCATTACCAGCATGACGAATCTGGCCCGAGTGATGAAGGATGAAGGTGACTACGAGGGGGCAGAAGGCCTATTTCGACATGGACTGGCGCTTCGCGAGGACCTGCTGGGAGTCACGCATCCTGAAACCATGGATAGTGTACGTTTCTTGGGCGAACTCCTGTTGGAGACGGACCGAGGAGAGCAGGCGGAATCGCTCTTCAGAGAGACCGCCGGTCGACAGCTGGCACTGATCGGAGGAAATAGTACAGACGTGCTACAGTGTATGAGCAGTTTTGCGGTGCTGATGCTGGAGCATGGTCGCACGGATGCTGCCATCGATATCGCCAAGCGAGCAGTCGAGACTAGAAGACAATGGAAGGATAAGCACGCCCTAGATACTGTAGATCCCAATACGCTCACGTCGTTGAACAACCTGGCAGGCGTGCTACAGAGCTGCGGTCACCATTCCACCGCCGAAGAAATCCACCGAGAGGTCCTGGATGGGTCACTTTTGGTCCTGGGACCCGATCATCCCAATACACTATCAACGTGCAGTAATTTGGCTGAGGTACTAGAGAAACGCGGTGCATTCGCGGAGGCAGAAGACCTAAACCGACAGGCGTATCAGGGACGAGTCAGGATACTTGGCCCTGAACATTCCAGGACAATAGCTAGCATGGCGGACCTGGTGGATGTGCTGGCATGGCAGGAAAAGTGCGTCGAGGCGACAGAACTAAACATTTCTCTGGTCGATGTGAAGCGGAAGGTGATGGGTGCTGATGACCCCTCGACGCTGTGGAGTATGTTTACCCTTGGAATGCTTTATGAGCGCCAGGGGAATTTGCGTACTGCACGGAATACGTTCGACAGTGCATTTGCGGCAGCGAAGACTGCCTGTCCACCAGATCACCCTGTCCGCAGGTCATGCGAAGCCGCTTACTACAGACTAAAAGACGTTGGAGACACTAGGGATTAGCCCATTGGAGGCATTGCCTACAGCCCTTGTCTTGATATTCTCTGATCAGCATGTTAACATCTCCGATTCCTGCAATCGGTCCTTATATACAGAAGCACAATCCCAGCGATTTCATCCTACGGCTCCCTTCACCACGCCACACTATCGGTAAGCCCGTGCTTCCTGCAGTAGTAATGCCACTTATCTCCCCCCATGTGCTGTCCCTCCGTTTTGCAATAGTGAAGGACGTTAATGTCGACCTTGGTTGTGCAATCCGGGCATCGATCCCACTTTTGCCTTCCCGTGTTGTGATATTTATAAGAAAGGCATGCGTTTGTAGTCTCGTCTTTGGCTTGTTTGTCGTAAACAATCTATCCACTGTCAGTTAAGCTGTTCTAGTGTAGGCCTGGATTCGAGTACCACTTCATTGCGGCCGTCCTTATCGGCTTTCCTGCTAATGCAGATACCTGTGTAGTGCAAGTCCGCGAACACACTGCCAGTCTGTCAGTATGGCCCCGATCATCATGGTCAGAAATTGACTGGCCTAGTGGCCAGAGTAGCAACAAGGAGAGAGATAGAGGCCTTCATGTTTAAAGCGGGAATATCGGACAAGGCAAGATCATAAACAGGTGTGTAGGACTGAGGATGAGTGTTGACTCTGATGAGTTCTGTACCTCGAAGAACTCGGCAGGTACTTAACGGCGAGCGGAGTGAACCAGGAGGAATCAAGGCCCTGCTCGATTATCGACCAAGTCGCTACTGTGATGATGCCATAACCGTATGGGCCCATCAGAGTCCAAAGACTGCTCTTGTGGGTTCAACGAGGACTAAGACATTCGTTCGCGTGGTCAACAATGAGATGGGCTGGTATGGTAGAATGTAGGTCCTTGCGTGACCGTAATGTGACGAGTAGATACTTGCTTGTTCTTCTTAGGCCAATGAATGCAAACAAGGGACTGCATGATAAGAGCCCTGTAGTTGCGTACATGTTTCTCTCCACGGCAGATTGGCCCCTAATCCCTACATTTCTACGACATTCAACTGACCCCTTTTCGTTTTCCCGAGAAGCTGCAAAGAATGGAGTGCGGGATAGACCCCTGCAGTCCAGTTGTGCATGGTTCACTCTCTTGGAGGGGCTAGGCACCAAATCCTACAATCCTACGGCATTGAACTGATCATATCTCGTTACTCCGAGAAGCTGCAAAGAAGGGATCGCGTGGTAGAGATCTGTATTCGTGTACATATTTCACTTGAACATAGATAGGGTAGTGTCGTGGCCCTCAAATCCTGGAATCGGCATCGAACCAGTCAATCTCCCGTTGCGTGGGTGATAGAGATTGACGATGGCGGTCGAGACTGGGCGATGGATTAGCTTTTTGATGTCGGATGGAACGTTGGTGCTCTCAAACTGGTTATAGTAGTGCGAATAATCTTAACCTTATACGATTCGGAGCTGGAGATATCGCTGGTAAGCCTGGGTCGGCTCCCGAGGAAGTCGTCTCCCTTGCTGATAGACCAATGTGTAAATGGCCAAAGCAACTCGTGGGAACTGACAATCTTATATGCTAGGGGCTGATGTTTCTCAGATTTGAACAAAGTTGATACATACAAAAGGCTGGAAAGCCGTACTTAATGCGCCTACTAAGTCAAGCCTATTTCCTAGGGAAAACGATAACGAGCCCACTCCTACGGAGCGATCTTCTGCTATAAGGAATGCAATGATACGCAGACCTTGATATCGGAAGCCGTCCAGGTCGCTTCAATGAAGTCGACAGAATCACCAACGATCCCTTCCGTGGCTGGGAGAGCTGACACGTGGTTTCTAATGTTCGGACTGGAAATCAACCCGAGCGGCTGCGTGGAGACTACTGGCTGAAGAAGGTTATAGCATACAGACATCCTCGACTTCAGTAAACTGTTGACGCAGACCACCTTTCGTTACTCTCGACTCGCTGTCGGCGGGCCAGGACATAACTAGGAGGCATGTGACTCTGGCGTAACTTTCAGTCAAAGTCAAGAACACAGGGACCTACCCCGTCATAAGGTTGTCCACTCCATGTGTCTGCTCCAGAATGTAAGTGGTTTGAAAGTATGCAGACGCTCTGGCTCTGGTGAGTTGGCCGCAGTGATACTTCCCCCAAGTAGGGAACCTGCATTAACAACTGGCATGAGAATGTCAAACAATCGGTTGGACCCTGGGGTCTATCGCCTTTGTAGGGTCTTGACTGCCTTGGTCTGAAGGGTAGTGTTCGTCTTTGTTCGCCTCGGACACGACATCCAACGAATAGCTTTCAGATCCCTGTCCGGCAGTGTCCCACGTTTATGTCCGTTCACAAAGACTGGCGAATCGGCTGTTTTGACCACCTGAGGGTCCGCCGGGACTTTTCCGCATTCTGGCCCGATGCTGCGTGCCGTCGGGCTTTTTGCTCGATCTTTATTACTTCCTGCCCGTGCTATCCATGAGCTTAGGCAATTGCCTGTTGGCAAACAGGATCGGCTTCCTTGCTTCTATGTCTACCGGAGTTTGACCATATAAGACTCCTATCCGGCTCTTTTCAGTGGAATAATATCAGTGGGGATCTTTCGGGACTCCACCCCCGGAATTCTCCCCGCACAATCCGGGGTTGGTCCATCCACAGTTTCTGGTCCAGAACGGGAACAAAAAGGCAGAGAGAACCCAACGGGAAACCCCGTTCTTTATTAACACATTAGTAGTTATTTAACCATCACGTCTGTGGCACAGAGTGTGCCATTTGCAGCACCATGAGATTCCGGGGGAGGTGGAGAGAAACCATATCGAGGCCATTGAGGCCTCCTCCTCTCCTTGCTTCCGGCGGAGATTCGATCGACACCCCATCGCCTTTATAACGCCCCGTTTCCCCAGATCGTCGAGCACACTAGAACTCTTATCTCCACTCGCTGGAATTATTAAACTTATCGGTGATCATCCAAACCCATCCGGAAACCGTCATCATGGGCAACGAGACGGTTGTCCCATCCGAGAACGAGCTGAAGAACTTCAACCCTGGCAACCCTGGCAACCCCGATGTGGTTGAGCTCATCCGCCATGCGGAGGAGAGTGATGCTACTGATCGGTTACTTACTGTGAGACAAGCTTTGTCAAAGTACAAAAAGGCCGTCTTCTGGGCCATGTTTCTTTCTACGAGTTTGATTATGGAGGGATATGACCTGGTCATTGTCAGTACTTCCTTCTCCCCTAATTAGGAAGGGTAAAAGCTAACGCGTGGATTGGCAGATTACCTCTTTCTACGGCCAATCCCAGTTTATCGAACGATTCGGCGAGTTCTCCGACAAAGCAGGAAAAAAGGTTATCACAGCCGCATGGCAGTCGGGGTTGTCGAACTCGTCCATGGTAGGACAGCTGACCGGGTTACTCCTCAACGCTTACGCCCAGGACCGATTTGGCTGTCGACCAACAATGATGTTCTTTATGGCCTGGATGGCGGTTATGATCTTCATCCCGGTTTTTGCGCCTTCGTTGCCGATCCTGGCCTGGGGTGAGGCGATGTGTGGCGTCTCATGGGGAGTTTTTCAGGTTCGTCGCCCTCCTCTGTTCTATGCATAATATTAACTCCTTTTAATAGACCCTCTCGACTACGTATGCTTCCGAAGTTGTCCCCACCGTCCTACGACCGTATGTCACAGCCTATGTCTGCATGTGCTGGGGTGCTGGTATCCTTCTGTCGTCCGGCGTCGTTCGTGCTGTCGCTGGCATCGAAGGAGATCTAGGCTGGCGGCTACCGTTTGTTCTGCAGTGGGTCTGGCCCATTCCCCTGTTCATAGGAGCGTACCTGGCTCCTGAATCGCCTTGGAACGCCGTCCGACGGGGTAATGTCGACCTGGCGAGAAAGAGCTTGAAACGCCTGCGACAGGACTCGCCGGAAAAAGAGCGGGAGATCGAGGCGACGCTGGCGTACATCCAGCATACCACGAAACTGGAGCAAGCGGAGACAGACAATGCAAGCTTCCTAGAATGCTTCAAGGGGACGAACTTGCGGCGGACAGAAATTGTAGGTTGTTCATTTACGACGAAAATGGCGTTGGTTGCTAACCAGATCTACTAGAATTGTGTCGTCTGGGCGGCTCAAACCCTCAGCGGCAATGCCATCCTCGGTTACTCGGTCGTCTTTCTCGAAGCCGCTGGGTTTAGCGAACTGCAAGCCTTCGATGTCAACATCTCCCTTTCTGCATGCTACATCATCGGCGGCGTCATCTGCTGGCTTCTCTTCCCGCACTTCGGCCGCGCAACCATTTACATGAGCGGCCTGTCGTTCATGTTTGTCTGTATGGTGGTCATTGGTGGTCTTGGCTTCGCAGAAGGCAACAAGGGCGCACAGCTGGCCATCGGCATCCTCCTGGTCATTTGCACTCTCTGCAATATGATTACCGTCGGACCGGTCTGCTACCCCATCGTTGCAGAAACCCCTTCGGGGCGATTGAGATATAAGACGATTGTGATCGGGCGGTTTGTGTACAACCTGACGGGTATTTTCAGCAACTCGCTTACGCCGCGCATGATTGCTGCTTCTGGTAAGCTGCACCACTCTTTATTGTATGGAAATCACTGACCGCGGACATTGTAGCATGGAACTGGGGAGCGAAAACAGGCTTCTTCTACGCTGGCACCAACCTTCTCTGCAACATTTGGTGTTGGTTCCGTCTTCCTGAGACCAAGGACCGCACCTTTGGAGAGATTGACTTGCTCTTCCACCACCGCGTCCCTGCAAGAAAGTTCAAGTATACTAAAGTGGATCGTAAGTTGCACCTGTCTCTAGACTGTGTCTCCTATTCTAATATAATGGACAGAGTTTGCCCATCAGCGAGAATACATATCGAAGGAGGAGGAGGGAAATATGGGAGCGGCGGAGCATATTGCTTAAACAGCTATTCTTTGAGCTGCCATGTTGTGTTTGAGCGCGTCTCTGGCAGGTAGAGCACTCCGATAATGTTAGGAAGCTGTGCGATGTTATCTGTTTTTCTTTCAAGATTCAATTTCTTATCCCATCGCAGGAACACTATATCCTCTATATTCTGCTCTGAATCACTACTTCGCCCGTGTGCAGTAAAGCAACATCTCTCCATGGATAAATCCTAGTTTCAGGCCGTGAAACTCAATTAGAATCTGAAATAGACTTTCAGACTGCGTCTAGGTGCTGGTCTGCATCCTGACACAGGTAACCTGCAGATTGTGAAACAGCCTGGCTAGGCATGCTGCAGATCGCTCACTTATGCTACGGTACAAGTCATATATGTCTGGGTTACAGTTCAGCGATGTGTCAACTTCAGTTCATATGTGGTTAGGGTGATCGGCGCGGCTAGTGAGTAGGCTAGGAATAGTCAAAATAAGCAATGCCTGTTTAGGGTGGTTAAGGGCTTGATTTCCAGTAAGCTTATACGAGAGTGAAGGAGTGTCAAGCTCTTGAATTTAGGGGATTCTCATAGCAGACATGAGACTTTGCTCAACTGTACGCCATTACAGAATCCGAAACCCTGCTTATGCGTCTGCTGATTGCTAGCCAAGCTACTGGTGCAATGGCACAGCTTTGCATACCAATCAATTACCGACAGGGATTGGCATCTCTTTTGTATGCATGGCGTCCAATAAATTATCACACCTATGCGGTGTGACAGACCCGTGTTTGCCATGTGCGACATCTTGGGTATTGCACAACCAAATCCAAAAAGCTTTAAGACTGAGGAGTTCCGGAGGGATCCTGGACACTGATTCTTGCAGTCGTAACAGGTCATGATGTTCATAATACTCGCAGCTACATCATTGCTTTACATCTCATATATACTCTTATCAGCCATCAAAACCATCTACTTCCATCCATTAAGCCACATCCCGGGCCCAAAATGGCGGATCGCATTTCCCCTCCTACAGCACCTTTCAGCCATCCGCGGAAGACTAGACCTAGACCTTCGCTCCTGGCATGAGAAATACGGAGACGTCGTACGCTCCGGCCCGGACGAGGTTACCTTCATCACCGCGGACGCCTGGAAGGATATCTACGGCCATGGCCACCGCCAGCTCCCGAAAGTGCAAATTTGCACCATCCACGGCAAGGACATCTTCAGCGCCAACGACGTGGACCATGCTCGGTTCCGAAAGGCGCTCTCGCACGCGTTCTCGGCCAAGGGCCTGCAGGCACAGGAGTGCCTCGTCACACGGTACATCGATAAACTGATCAAGCGACTGAAGGACTTCGCGGAGACGGGGCGGGCGGCGGATATGGGCAAGTGGTATAATCTGGCGACGTTCGACCTTATCGGGGATCTTGCTTTTGGCGAGCCGTTCGGGGCCTGGATCGTGCGGAGTATCATCACTGGGTGGCGACGATGTTTGGGTTTGTGAAGTCGATTCCGTTCCTGCGGGCGCTGCATCGGTATCCGATGGTGTTAAGGGTGATTCTCGCGTTTCACCCGGGATCGTTAATGGAGATGAGAAGCAAGCAGGTCGAGCATGCGAAGGCGACTGTGCGTAAACGGTTGAATAGCTCGGCGGCTGGTCGCGGAGACTTTATGGATTCGATGCTGCGGCATCAAGGGGACAAGGACGGGTTGAGTCTGGAGGAGCTGGAGGAAAATGCGAATGTCCTCATTCTGGCTGGGAGTGAGACTACGGCTGCACTCCTGTCCGGCGTTACGTACTGGCTTCTTCGGACCCCCGATGCGCTTGATAAGGTGACACGCGAGGTGAGAGCGGCGTTTGCATCGGAGACGGACATCACGTTCAACCAGGTCACGGCAAAATTGCCATACATGCTGGCATGCCTCAACGAAGCCTTTCGGCTGTATCCTCCTGTACCAGGGGACTCCAGCGTTGGACGGAAGTGCCCTACTGGATCTCTGGCTACCGCGTTCCTGCGAATGTAGGTCGTCACTGAGAATATAACGGGCCGAGACTGACTTTCTTAGACCAAGGTCTCTGTCCACCAGTTGTCCGCGTATTCGTCACCGAGGAATTTCCACCAAGCAGACCGATTTATCCCTGAACGATGGCTACCAGAGGCGATCGAGGACCCTGCATCGCCCTTTTTTTCGGACAACCGCGCCGTCTTTCAGCCATTCTCGGTCGGGCCGCGGAATTGCCTCGGCAGGAACTTGGCTTACACTGAGATGCGTGTGATACTTGCACGGGTGCTCTGGACTTTCGACCTGGAACTGTGTGAGGAGAGTCGTGATTGGAAGGATCAGAAGGTATTTGTGATATGGGAGAGGAGCCCATTGATGTGCAAGCTTACCATGCGAGACGATCGTGGGGATCTTCAAGGGGGTTGCTGAAGAGATTATATTGCAGCGTCTTCACGCGGTGCGTTTTCAAAAAAGTGACACCATAAGTACCACGAGTCTGTATAATCAATTCATCTATGGGATTGGTACCGCATATCCTTCAAGGCGTCCATGGATCGACCTGGCTCATCCTAAATTCTGTATGATAATTCTCGTGGGCGGATTTCGAAACTCCAGGGTTAGTGAAGATACTCCTCATGACAGCGGAAACCGCTTCCGGATCCAAGTGATTTGGACTCGTGTCTGAGTGGGGAATCGCAGTGGCAAAAGGTATCAAATCTAAAGACGACAGTTTAGTCAGGTGTCTCGCTCTGTCTGCGACAAGAAATGGAGCTCAGCAGTCTACAATAACAGCTCAGACAGTTTCACACCGCAATGAGACATTCATGCATGTGGTAAGCAATAGCTCAGACTTACCAAGACTACCTTCAGCTCGAGATTAAACCGATGCTATTTTCACCGGAGGACAGAATCGCTGTGTCAAATTAACTGTAGTCTATATGGTGTTCAGGGCCTTCCAATCATTCTTTCCCTCAGACGATGTGGAGATGAGGAGATTCAGGAGAGGCTTTTGAAATGTCAATGCGCCATGCCAATCTAACGAGAAGGGATATGACTATCAGCTAACCCAACGAACGTGGCAGAGCGGCCATCGGATCCGAGAAATGAAAATGCCATCGGTTGGCAGGCTAGAGGGCGACCGGCCCATCAATGCCGATCAAGAAAGCTCAATTCAACAGCTTCAAGGTTAATGGGATCGAGACCAGACTGGTGCCAACCAAGCATTTAAGGGTTAGTCGCTTTTCCTGTGAATCGCCTCATATTGCTTACAGCTGTCTTCCTTGTCGGTTTGTCTGCCGATATGCTGCTCTAGGATGCCGGGGGCCAAATAATCTTCTATTGGAGGTTTACTGCCTGACTGAGCAGTAGACAATATTTGGAATCCTCGCACAGACCCTACCAACAGAACTATTATTACATGATGTATGCTATTGGTGCATGTCTTCATGTCTGTCCTGGAGTCAAGACCTGTAGGGCCGCCAAGCAGGGATTGAAGCTTGCCACAAGGGAGGCCGGTGGCTGCCCGACAGGAAATCAGGGACAAGAAGCGAGACGAGCAAACAGGAATTCATCCAGCATGGCAGAAAGAATAGATACATCCTGGTCACTCTGGGTTGGACTAGTCACCGGAGCCGAAACGTAAATATACCGCTGGTCCAGTTGTCGCCTAAATCGGAATCTGCCTGATTGTATCTGATCTGTCCACCCAGAATTGCCACAGAAGCTGTCAGTGTCAGCTGCTCTGATAGCCTAAACGACAGCTCCACTCAACTAACTACCGGTCACCAGTAGCTCTTCTGGCCCGGGGAAGACATGCCTGCGCTCTCCAGTATAGTCTGCGCCGTGTCTGTCACGGGTTCCCGGTTGTCCTCTTCATCGGGCCAGACTCCAGCAATATGCGACCCTGGACTCTAACCGAGATCCATCCGATCATGCACCCAGGTGACTATCGCTGGGCCACATGGTTAAAAGTTCACGTGCTTGACGAGAAACGACTAGCAATGTTACGCTTAATCTACTGTGTCGCCACTATGTAGATAGGTAACGTCTACATGCAAATAGCCCAGAGGCCCAATGTCGCCGTGTAGGTGCAACTTGCCTGTGCCGGCGTAACGGCCCGTGGTGAGCCAGAATCATTACAAAGTTTCATTCCTACTTTGAGCTATGACTGTAGAGTCACGCTTGGAAATCCAACAGTGGCGTAAAACCTACTGGTTTATGGCTGAGGTTCGTGTTGGGGAGGAGCTAGGACCGACCCTGTTAATATCACCACTGAATCTCATTTGACCAATGTAGTTAACCTTTGGGCGTCTCGTGGCAGTACCGATGAGGAGAATATCAACACAGGGTACGGAACATTTACTGTTTCAAATTGCGAGGATTGGCCTCCTTCTGACCGGAAGAATCCCCGTATTATTGGATAATACCGTATTAGCCAGTTCGTGAATATATTCCGAATTCGACCCTGAAACCGCGTGACTGGCACCACGATGAAGCATCTCGACATCAATAGACCTGAATAATACAGGCTGTTGGATCTAGAATTCAATTGGAGACAGGCTAAGGTGGCTGCAAGGGCTTCCTAAATCAAGCCTCGGCTGAAGACGGGCTGAGCTGACAGGTTAAAGGCGGATGGCAAGATTCCATTTGCCCCAGCAAAAGAATGCGGGATCAGACTCGACCCGGAGAACTAACCAAAGACGTGCCTCGTTGCTTGAGTTTATCCTGAAGATCCGCTCTTTTATCCGGGGAGAGACACGGGGGCTGGCACGAAAAGGCCAAGTCTCCGGAGACGGAGAAATTCAGTCTGGCCTCCGTTTCTCAGATATCAAAAGACTTGTCGGACCAGTAGAGAACATACGAAATAACTTGATGTCTGGAATAAAACTGCCACATACACATCTCGATCTCAGTAACTTCCATCAACAACAGACTGACTGACAAGATGGACAAAAAGAGTACGGCCCGTCCAGCCGAAACACCATCGACGCAAGCGAGACGCCAAGCGCTCTGGCCGTGATATTAGCTTGTCCAGACGCTCCTTGGCTTGCTGCATCAATCCAATCACCTCATGGGCACTGCTGGCCTAGTCCCTTCTGATCCCAGTCGGCAACACCCCTTTTATCCAGTTCGTTCTCACTGTCCCCCAGACAAGGTAGTCTCCGGCTCAATTCATCACACCAATCATCCATGTCAGCTGGTGGCGTCCATACTTTTTCCCTTCAGCCCTTTTGCCATGCGTTGCTTCGTCCCAAGCTTTGACCAAGTCGGGTCAAGGGCTGCGTGCTCCATCCTCGTGTTTCTCCCCAGATTCAGTGCTATAATATGTAGCTGCTACCCCGCCATTCTCTCGCTCTTGATCAGTCCTCTCGTGTTTGTCCCAGAGGTGCATTTGCTTGCAACACAGTCACAATGGTTCAGATCGCCAACATCGGCGCCAGGGGCGCACAGGAAAAGGTGCTGATCGCCCAGGCTGAGGCTCCCCAGTTCGAGAAAGTCGACTGGAAAAGAGAGCCTCACCTGCGCAAGCTGTACATGCTGGCGGGGGCGCTGATGGTTGCTTCGGCCACCACCGGTTATGATGGGTATGTACCTCTGCTGGGGAGAAAGATCTGCCAGAACTAATGCGATCGTATAGTATGCTTGTCAATACTTCGCAGATGATGGACAACTGGACCCTTTACTTCTCCCCCAAGGTGAAGGAGAGCAACTGGCTGGGTCTCCTGGTCAACATGTTCAATATTGGTGCCATTCTCAGTTTCTTCATCACGTATGTTCTCCAGCCCCCCTGGCCATGCGCAAGGAAATTCTAATACCGATCCTCCCAGTCCCCACATTGCCGATCACTTCGGCCGTAGAATCGCCATCGTCATCGGGTGTTGTTTCATGGTCGTCGGAGGTGTCATCGGCTGTGCTGCCAACGGCTACAACATGTACATCGCTGGTCGGTTCATCTTGGGTTTCGGCAACGGCCTCGCCCAGATGTGCTCTCCCCTCCTGCTTGTTGAGATCGTTCATCCTCAGCACCGTGGTCCCGTTACTACCATCTATAACTGTCTCTGGAACGCCGGTGCGCTGCTCGTCTCCGTCATTGGTTGGGGTACCTCATACGTCGCGAGCGAGTGGTCCTGGCGGTCTATCACGCTGCTGCAGATTGTTCCCTCGGTCATCCAGCTCGTTTTTATCTACTGTAAGTCATTCCTCTGGTACCCGCTTTATTCATAGAGTAATGGCTAATCGGAGCGGCGTCAAAGGGATCCCCGAATCTCCTCGTTTCCTCATCAACAAGGAGCGCCACGAAGAGGCCCTCGCTGTTCTCACCAAATACCACGGTGGTGGCGACGTGCTCAACACCGTTGTGCAGTTCGAATACCGTGAGATCAAGGAGACCATCCGCCTGGAGAAGGAGGCGGGTTCGAAGAGCAGCTACATTGACTTCTTGCGCACCAAGGGTAACCTGTGGCGTCTGGCCATTATCATCTCTCTGGGTGTCATCTCGCAGTACTCGGGTAATGCTCTGTTCTCCAACTACATGAACCAGATCTACGAGGGGGCCGGCATCACCAGCCAGAACCAGAAATTGGCCCTGAGCACCGGCAAGACCATCCTCGATATCATTGTCACGGTCGCCGCCGCCCTGCAGGTCGACAACTTCGGTCGTCGTCCTCTGTTCCTGACCTCGATCTCCGGTTTGTCTCTCTCCCTTGAAACTCGTTCTTTCCATCATCAAAACTAACCCCATCGCAGGCATGGTCGGCTCCTTCGTGTGCTGGACCATCACCGGTGCCGTCTATGAAAATTCCGGCGAGACCAACAGCGGCTCTGGCTACGCACAGGTCGTCTTCATCTGGCTCTTCGGTATCTTCTACGACATTGGTTTCTCCGGTCTGCTGGTCGCCTACGCCCTCGAGATCCTCCCCTTCCAGCTCCGTGCCAAGGGTATGATGATCATGAACCTCACCGTCCAGGCCATTCTTGCCCTCGGTAACCAGACCAACATGCTCGCCTGGAGCAACCTGCCCAACCACTGGAACTTTATGCTTTTCTACACCCTCTGGAACTTTTGCGAGCTGATCTTCGTCTACTTCTTCTACGTCGAGACCAAGGGTAACACCCTTGAGGAGGTGGCGCGCATCTTCGACGGCGACGACGCCATTGCGCATATTGACCTGCAGCAGGTCGAGAAGGAGATCGCGGCCGAGGCCACGTACCACGAGACTGTTACTGAAAAGTCGGCTGCTTGATCTCTGTCTTTGACAGGTTATGTCTAATGCAGTGGATGTGGTGTTGGGTTTGTTTCTAGCTATATTATAATACCGAAGCCTGTCTTCAAGTATCAGCCCGATCTCTTTTCGTATTCTTGCTGTAGTCGACGTAGTCTTGTCGCTCATAGATATTTGTCAGTTATCTGCAATCATGATTGAACGTCATAAATACTGACTTCTTCGGTCATCCCAGTCTATACCCATCCCCGTATACCGATTCATCAATATATAGTAAACCTTCATCAACACAAACAACACCACAGCCAGCAGATTAAGCCCCACGAACATTGGATTTCCCGTCTTTATTGAGGCTCATTATCCGCACAATAACATTGTGCGATGTGTGTCCCAAGGAATGTCCACCCGGCCGACGGACTTTTCATACTTTGGTAACATAGTAGAATCCACCCCTTGCATGAAGTGTTTCTTTGGGGTCAACAGACCACCTCGTGCATGCAGATTGGGGACTCCGATGGGTGGAATACTCATCTCTTTCCTTACTAGTACCTGCATCTTAAAGCAACTGCAGGAACATTCCGCAGGGAACGCCTGTGAATAAATGGATGCGTCCCGAACCGAGCAAGCCCAGCAAAGACCCGAGAACGGCCGTACATGCTTCATCCTGAGACATCGAATATTTCTTCGGCTCTGCGTGCGCTCGTCTGTTGTGGAGAGCTTTCAAAAGAACACTGATTCGGAAGTTGGTGGCATGATTGCTGGGAATTGCCAAACATTCTATCAGCAGGCAAGATCCATCTTTCCGTGCAACTCGGCACAGCCGCACTGTGTTAGACCTACCGTGGTACCAATTGCCCAGTAGCACGTGGTAGAGCACTGAATGGTTATAGTCATCAAATGCCCCAAAGATGTCCATATGCAAGACTCCTCCTGAGGACCAAATCTGTTCAACTATCGAACCTACCACTGCAGGGAGAACCAAACCACTGACGATCGCACGAAGTTATTGTCATTGGCTGTGGATCTGTGTAACGTTATGATATCCCTTGCAGACAACTACTTGTGTTAGCGAATCATGGAGCAAGCAAATGAAGACTTAATGAGACAACTCACATTCATACTGGCGATCTTCATGCATGTTTTCAGCTCGCCACATCTCAATTCCAGCGGCTGCTCCCATCCCGACCATATAAACAACACCCTTCACCTCATCAAGCACGTATCTCTGCCACTCGCTTCCTTCTCTCTCCTAACATACCTTGGTCAGACCAAATCTTCAAATCCAATCTATCGCCATGAAGTTCGCCGCCGTCCTTCTTGCCCTCCCCCTGGCGGCCAGCGCCTGGAAAGTCACCACCGGATACTGGGCCGGCTCTGAACCCGATTACTGCACTTCTGCCAACCTAGCCCAGGACGAGGAAGTAACCGTCAGCGACCTGTCCAAGAACCAGAAGGTTATGTTCTTCTCGGACGATGAATGCGAGAACTTTGAATTCTCGATCGGAGAGGCTGGCTCCTCCAAGCTGGAGTCGGATATCAGGAGCTTCCAGGTGATGGAGTTTGAGCCTGACACAGAGCGAGGAGATTTGAAGTAGGAGATTTGGTATGCCATTGTATCAGTTGTGTTTTCCGATCTGTGCTGATCATAGAACAAGATTCGCATGACGATAGAACTGCTGGAACAGACCTGTAGAGAGTGTGGATGCTATATCAAATCAGCATTAATATAAACTTTTATAAGATCTGTCAATACGGGTCAGCGCGGCAAGGGCTGTTATTAGCTTTGATGCATTGTGATTCAGTACATGGGCATTGATGGCATCCTAAATCACCTATCATGCAGTTAGGGAGATAGAAATACTTGCTGCACAAATCCATCACCCTCCTAGCTTATTTTCCTCTGGTTATTAATTTAATCATTACCACAGCAGATAATTCGACGCAAGCCGAGAAGATATCCGCCAAAATTTCCTCTAATCACAGCTCGCAAAATGATGAAATGGACCGCCACTGTTACAACCAAGACCGCCATAACAGATCGAGACCTCTCAACTCTTCAAGGAAATAAAATGAATCCACATAGATCTTCCGTAGTGTCGTGTGGCGCAGCTTGGCCCCGGTCTTCAGGACGAATCGCGGGGTAAATCCGGAGAGTAACCTATATCAAAGGAGCTACTCTCCGGCGGGGTCCAATATCGACCAGCCACACTATGAACAGATCAGATTCCCAGATGCAGTCTACCGACTCTTCAGACAGCCTATAAGTACTGCATCAACGTACACGCTATGAGGGTTGTACACTGCAGATCTCCGCGATAACGCAACGTCAATATGGCGAGCATCTTCTCCAAGCTCATCACGGCCCTTGTAGGGCTGCTAGCTCTGATTCCCGCTACTTCTGCGTTCACCAACCCCATACGCAACCCCGGAGGAAGTGATCCATTCATGGTGTACACTGGCGGGTACTACTACCTGATGACCACGACATGGACCGACGTGGAGATGACACGCGCAACCACCATCGAGGGTCTCAAGACCGGCGCAAAGAAAGTAGTCTATTCCACCTCGACTGCCTCACGATGCTGCAACGTCTGGGCTCCCGAGGTCCACTACCTCGGCGGCAAGTGGTACATCTACTACACGGCCGGCCAGACAACCAATCTCGACGGCCAACGGCTCCACGTTCTGACCGGTAAGACACCATCTACTTTTTCCTCCTGTTCAACAAGACTAACAGTTTAGGCGGCTCCACTCCCTGGGACACATTCACCTACACCGGCCAGCTAACAAACGAATGGTCCATCGACGCCTCCGTCCTCCGCACCAACGCATACGGCAACTTCCTCATGTTCTCCTGCTTCCACGGCGTAACCTACCAGTCCATTTGCCTGCAGCAACTGGGCGCGGACTATGTCTCCCTCACCGGCGATATCCACGTCATCTCGCAGCCCACCTTGGATTTCGAGAAGCACGGCACACCCGTCAACGAGGGCCCCGTGGCCTTGTATTTCAACGGGGTCACATACATCGCCTACTCGGCGTCTTATTGCTGGACGCCATACTACTGTCTCGGTCTGCTGACCTGGGACGGCAAGACCAACCCCACGTCGGCGAGTGCCTGGACAAAGCGTAACGGGTGTGTGCTGTCCTCGGCGAACGGAAACTATGGCACGGGTCACAACTCGTTCTTCCAGAGCCCGGATACCTCGCAGACGTGGATCGCGTACCATGCTACGAATAATAGTGCGGGTGCTTGTGATAATTCTCGGTACACGATGGTCCAGCAGCTTGGGACGCATAGCGACGGGAGCCCGAACTTTGGGACGTCGCTGCCTTTTAGTCATGTGTTCAGTGAGCCGAGTGGGAAGTAGGTGACTCGCCTGGAGGATGATTGGACGATGAAGTCACGGTGTGTAAAAGGGCTGTCTCTGCAAGATTAGAGGAAGATTTCTATCTATGGATATGGGGGCATGATGTATGACCCCGAGAGTACTGCGTAAGAGAGCTCAATATGTTTGTATATTGTACGGCACCTTTTGAATCATCCTAGTTTGGGTAGTGGTAACCAGGAGCACCCTGGCGACCGTTGTACTTGTTGAAATTTGCAACCGAACCTCCCGTATTCTCAGTTAACTCCTTGCAATTAGAGCAAGGGTGCCACGTGTTTGTCCATATAGGACCGGAGAGATGGTCATCATAGGTGTCAGTTTCCCGCAATCCTCGCGCAGACAATGCCAAGCCGTGTATGGCGCCTTTGTCGGCTGCATCCCTATTCTAAGTTAGTAAGACCTTTAGTGAAGAGAATAGATTATGCAAATCTGAGCACGAGGCGGAGAGGATACGTCTCTCCACACCGTCAAAGGGTGTGTGCCACGATTCCCACGGCTGCGAATGGTTGGTGACCATGCTTGCAGCCAACCACTGAGTCTAAAGCGCTCTCCTGGCCCGGTTAAGCACTGCTAGCCATGACCCAGTTCTGGTCTTGTCCGCATTGTATCCAGACATACTCCCTCCCGGAGAGTACCTGCCGTCCCCCGCAGTTCTCCGAGCACATTGAACTACTGTGGGCAGGCGTACTGAACAAAGTCGCTGGCACCATTTACCGAACATTGCTGTGAGTGGCAGGTAGAAGTGCGGTTTGTAGCGCCAGCTAGCGCTGGTCCGAGAAGGCCCAGCAACAGCCCCAGCATGTCTGCTAAAGACCAGAAATCGACGTTCTTTAACGTGGATTTACTTTGTTGAAACTTTGCTATATAATGGTCTGCGGCCGGTTTTGGATGCAAAGACCTTTGGACATGTTTTAAGGCACCGGTCATCCCTTAGGTTTGTTGACAGGCCCGCCAGTGTTTCAGGTGATTAAGCTTCGCGAGGGACTCAAGACGATCCGCAGGGGCAGATATGCCAAGTGATGTGACGTGTTGCCCTAAGGGTTTGACAGAGGGAATCCAGCGTTATACGTAGATCATGGGCATCGCTGCAGTACTTGGTATGGATGTGAGGCATGATCATCCAAAGTAGACGACCAGATGACAAAGTCGTCAATAAAGCCTCTCCAGAAGCTGCGTAGATCTCGGAATATATTGTCGATTTGGCGTTGTACGTAAGTCCCGCTATTCCGGAACCCCATAGGACATACCTTGAAGTATTCCTGACCTCGGTAAGAGACACCTGCGACGTGCTTATATGCTGATGGATGGGTTCGCCATTGGTAGAAAAACCGTGTTGCGTCGATGACGGTGATATATTATGCGCCAGACATTAACGAGAGTATTTCCTCCTGGGGTGGCAATGGATACACGTCAGGTATTGCCTCATGGTTGAGGTCTCTATTATCAACCACAACGCGGGATTTGAGCTTCTCTTCGTGTTGAGGTTGCAACGACGCATCACGGTGGTGACTGCCGTCAGGGGCACAGTTCTCTCAGCTGAGCCATAATCGCAAAAAGGGACAAGATATTATAGAGGACTTGAAGGTTCAGGAAAGAGAACAGACACTGTGTGAGATCAACCGGAATTCCTGAAGTCGAGGGGAAGTGTTGTTGATGCCAGTGGAGAGGTGGAGTTGTAAGTAGTACAAAGCAGGAAAGGAAGAAGCTGTTGACTGGCAAAAAGGATGCTACATAGTGAATATACTACTTGAGAAGTGTATATGGTGAACCCTGCAAACTTCCCTACAAAAATTCACCATATAGTTTTTCACGGCTCCTTAGCATTCCAACTACTGAATTTGAGGAAGAATACATTTCATGAGGAGAAGTAGGCCAACCAGGCCAGCTTCTGGATGATGTTTGGGTTTATGATTGTTTGCACTCTTGTTGGGTATTTTAGGCTGCGAAAGGCTGGTAAGGTTAGCTTGAAACAGGACTGAGCAGGACCTGTCTGGTATGGCTTGGGTGATTCAGCTGCCTACTTTGGCTGCTATGTACCAACGCCATCTTTAATGAAGTGCGTGTAGTGATGTTCTGGATGGTCAGATCAAGGTTCCTGAAGAAGCGCATTCAGATCATAATAGTCAAATTCCTGATCTGCCGATCTGTTGCACAACTTTAGGCACAGTGAATATATCAGCAAATTACCGCGGAGTTTCAATCAATCGCAGTACATAGCATACATGATGGGACATTGAGAGCGCATTATTCATAGCTTTCCTTTACGCAAGGCTGCAATGTCCAATTTGAGTACCCTTGCAGCGTTTCCACCTAGGAAGTCTCCTCTGACATCATCACGAAGCTTGATATCTCTGGAAATCGACTCAAGGCACTTGGCCCAGCTCAGCTGAGGGAAGTTGGTTCCAAACATGACCTTCTTTCGTCCAGTAGTATTTGCGAACTGAATCAGTTCCTGAGCAGTCTAGTGTCAGCGCTATTGGCGTGAAGTCTCCGCAGACGAGGTGAGGTGCCTTTACCGGTGGGTAGTATTTTGGTAAATAAGCTGAAGTGTCAATGTAGACATTCGGATGTTTCCAAGCTACCCCGATCATTTCCTGTGTCCAGGGATACCCGATATGCCCACAGATTATAGATAAGGAGGGAAATTTGAGCGCAACCTCATCAATGTACTGGGATTTGTCAGCAGTGGCGTTAAGAGACAAGACAAGATGGGATGTTACAGGAACTGGCCGGCCGACTTCGCTAGGGCAGAGGGGCCCGGTATGTCCGACCTGGGTAAGCTAAGAGTCCACGAAACATATTAGTCTCCATTCCCTCTTTCGGTGCTCTAAGTACTCACAAACGGGATATCGAGTTCTATGCACTTGACATAGAGCGGCCAGCTAATGGATGATGCTTTTCAGTCAACGGATACAATCGTGGGCGTGGGTAGAAACATACTAATGCCTATCGGTGGGCGGTAAGTTCCAGAGCCATGGCACAACGCGAACGCCTTTGAACCCTTCCACTGTCACATATTTTGCTATCTCTTTCACATAACCTACAGGGTCAAGTAGGTTAACACTGGCAATGCCGATGAAACGGTCAGGATAGGCGCGCGTAAACTGCGCTACATCTTCATTGGAAAAAACTGCTTGCCCTGGTCGATACCACGCAGAGAGGCATATCTGTGATACTCCAGCGGCGTCCATAAGAGCAACAAGCTCGTCAGGTGTGCGTCGTTGCGACAGCAAGCTACTATCCACATGGGACTGCTCAAATAAACGACGCACCTCAGGCACACCCTCCTGTCTCCATTGTGCAGTGGTTAGCCAACAGTCAACAAAAGAGTTGAGCTCATATTACGTTTCATCGTAATGATTTGTAGATCTACTTACGTCTGGGGAAGGACAGGGTTGGCCCAAACGTCAATGACTGGCAAGGGCATCGTTCGATTGTCATGGACACTGGTCTGTGCATGTTACCGTACTTTGAACATTGTGAGAGAGAGCTTATAAGGCTCCTCCACCGACTAACTATGTGCTCGGTTACGGAAGGAAGAATGTCTTCCACCGCTTTCATCCCGAGGGCAACAAGGACCTCGGCTTGCACGTCACGACCCCTCAAAAACACGTGTAATGAGTGTTAAATGCTTCCAATATACGGATATCTATCAATCGACAGCTAGATGGTCAGCTTTAGAATTATGTTTCGTGTATGTGATAGGCTTGTGATGCGGAAAACCATGCTGGCTATCATGCCCTCATGATTTTGGCTTAGGCATCGTGGCGAATTGGATCTTCGGCTGAATTCTGTTACTTTCTGAGAATAGGGTCCAACTGCTTTTGGGCTTGCCTTCTGGAAGAAGCATAGTGATTATGTTTATCCATATTTTTCTCTCAGAGCCAGAGATACCGGTACATCTTAGCATGATAAGCGATTGGCCTTCAGAGGTCGCTCTTCGTGGTAGGGAAGTTACAGAAAATCAATAAGAAAGAATTTCTAGGCAATTCAATATCTGTTGTTTAGTTTTCGAGCGTGTAGTTTCGCTAGGCAGGAGCAAACACTCTGTTAATGTATCTGAGCCTCCGCATGGTCTTCTCGATATTTCCCACTCCAAAAGTCTTATTTGGACGTGGATCTGGAAATTCTGTTTTATGACTCATTGACCCCGCAACTAACTAACAAACTAACAATTAATAGTTAAGTAGAGCGCCAGATCATTTGAAGACGATCTCCCGAATTATTTCCGCACTCATAGCTTGACTATACAGTGACGAAATGACAGACATCAAATACCTGATCGAGCCGACAGAGGCTCCAAATCCACAAATCCCCAAGGGGCAAATAGTCGAAGTCTCCATTATTGATAAGTATTCTGGTGACGACACCCAGGGTCATCATTCGCTGATACATATAGTAGCACGCGGATGTATCTTCCTGCCTCTGATATAGTGACTCCCAGGCCAGAGCACCGCCCGTATCTAACTCTCCCGTCTTTCTCATTCCTAATAAGACATACCGGCACCAACCGCCAACTTCTCTTCGATCTTGGTCTGCGGCTGGACTATGCTACACTTCCACCTGCTGTCCAGGATTTCCTCACAAAGTCGGGCTGGAAACTGGCCGTTGAGAAGAATGTCTCTGAAATTCTACAGGAGAATAACGTCTTGCTTGATGACATTGAAGGCATCATATTCAGTCATCACCACTTCGATCACCTTGGAGACATCACTCAATTTCCTAGGTCAACGAAGATCATAGTTGGACAAGGATTTCAGAAAGCCTATTTGCCTGGATGGCCGGAGATTCCCCACTCCTCTTTGATAGAAGAAGACTGGAAAGACCGCACCGTCGATGAACTTCATTTCAACTCCCACTCAACTATAGAAATCGGTGCCTTCAAAGCGATTGACTACTTTGAAGATGGCAGTCTTTACCTCCTCGACGCCCCAGGCCACACAATAGGCCATATTGCCGCCCTGGCGCGTGTCACGTCCGGCGTCACGTCAGGTTACAAAGACTCTGGCGAAGATACTTTTGTTCTTATGGGAGGCGATATCTGCCACTACCCCGGCGTCCTTCGACCGACTGAATGGCGCCCTCTGTTGCAAGAGTACCACCCGAGTCCCCTGCCTGAGCTCTACGCGCACACATGCCCCGGATCAATCTTCCAACGCTTACACCCCCGAAAAAGTTGCAATGAGCCGTTCTACCAGATGCCGGAACAGTGCATGGTTGACAGGCATGCAGCGCGAGATTCGATCCGCAAGCTGGGAATGCTGGACGCGAGAGATAATATCCTGGTTGTCCTTGCGCACGATGAGTCAATCATTGGAATTGCAGATATGTTCCCAGCAACAATCAACAACTGGAAGGAGAAAAGCTACGGGGAGAGGGTCCGATGGAGGTTTCTGAGGGATTTTCGGGCCTCTCCCGCTCAATGAACTCATGCCACGAGCAGAATGAACAGGTGGCCTTTGCGTTGAGGCGATGCATGAAAATGCTACCAGTGAACCAATGTCAAAACGTAAGCAACGCGCAAAAATTCGCCAAGGATATCCGCCAAGTATCCGGCTACTTTCTACAGAGACTTCGAATCTATCCGCATCCTTGGGTATACATGGAGCACATCTTCATAGATATTGAGAGCTTACGCAGACAGCCGGTAACTCGGACATACCACATTTTGCATGCACCTTCCATGAGAGGTGCCACCGCACCTACTAAAACTTGGCTGGTTGAATTATGGTCAAGCGTCAATTTCCGCGAACTCGAGACTGGATCAACGGCAATTTATTGCGACCTACCTCTCCATTCGTTCTTGTCTGCAGAGGAATCGATAGCGTAACGTAACAGGTCTAGACACGTACACTCTTGAATAAGCCTTCGACATCCGGCTCCATCTTCCTATTACTGTTTAACTTTACCTGGGCTGTCTTCAAATCATGATCAACGTCGAGGCGCCTTTCTACTGGCAGGATTATCAGGGCACTGCCTGAGTATTAAATGGTGGCAACTACCTTAGTTCTACACGAGAAATACTAGCTCTCACATATAGTTTCTTTGAGAGCCCAATGGAAGATGATGTTGTACACGGATCGATCTCTGTATCCGCCACTGGGGCCCACTGTAAATGCTCCTTGATCGACAATTTGCCCGAACTAAACCAATCAGAGAGAAGTCTTGTTCTTATTTCGCAGGAACAGATACTACTTCATAGCATATGCAACCGAAGCAGCAGCCAGCATCGAATCCAAAGCAGATTGTCATTCGATGAACTGTAGGCACCAATTATCCGTTTACCTGCAACGGGTCGGGAATGGCCGCTATTGGTGAAATTACTGTAACGTTCGAAGACAACCTTGATGAAAGCCTAGCAAGAGTCCCCAAGTTGGTTGATTTGATTAGCTCAGCAGGATCAGCTCCTATCCTCAACGGCGACACCGGGACTGTTAGTCACAGCGCTCATAATATTCACTTCTAATGTCTTCTGTCCTGTCTGGGTTCGCTCCTTTTTGCCTGAGAATTCCAGCCGTTTTAGATGGATTTTCGAACTAGACGGAGGAGTGCACTCTCGGTACTGTTAGAACGTGTGTCATTCAGCTAAGCATGCATCGCCATTTTGTAGACATGAGTTTCGAAGGCTCAATGGAGACTTTGTAGCATGACAGTATAACTGACTTTCGAGCCTGCGCTGACAGGACTGTGCTAGCTCGGCTTTCATCAACAAAGCCTGACGGATACCCATGGTCTGACCGATATGATCAAGAGTACGCAACACCCATTCACGGACGTCGTCGGACACCCCAGTCGCAGTTGCAGCCACTGCAAGGGGGTACATAAACAAGAAGACGCCACTGAGTGGAGGCATTGCGCCGTTTATGTTGAGGCTTATATAATCTCTTCCGTCGGGGCTCATATAATCCGGAAATAGAGGCTGACTCGCGGCAGCGACGCAAATATCGACGGCCAACTGGATGACCATACGGCGGGCATGCGGTATTTGCTCGATTGAAGTATCACATTGGGACGCAAGGTGCAATATCAACTCATTCACAAAGAGGCGGCCCGTGAGATAGTGGGTTAGAATCCGCGAAGCCCAGACGTCCTCATAAAGGTGGAAGCGACCAGAGAAGTATTGTGAGGTGTCTGTTGAAACTTTTTCCATATAACCAAATTTGGCAGGAAGGCTTGTTGACCATCCCTCGAGCTGCATTTCGCAGGCCAGTGCCTCCGTTAAAGCGCTGCTCATTGATTGGCCACTGGCTTTGGCGAGACTGGCACGCAGACGGATAAATTTAAGGAGGATAACGATCAATGAGACAGCGGAAAGTCATCGTTGGCCTCGACAGGTATATCCGGCGCCGCCCAACCTTCTAACTCCAGTGGAAAGCGCCCTCCGGTCTGGAAGTATTTGAAAATCAAAGTAAATGTGAACATGATCTGAACACGATGGTTCTTGGTGAAGAAATCTCGCGGTGACCGATTCCGCAAGGCTGCTGCACCTTGCAAATGCACGATCCATGATAGCTTTGACGTCGGGTTGGCGTCGACAATCTGTATGGACGAACGATCAGATCCATCACTCCTCCATGGGGACCGGTAGCTGCCTACCTCGAATAGAGCAACCATCAATATTATCTTCATGGTACCGTCCAGTCGGTAGGCGGTCTTAGATCTCAGTGTGCTCTGGATTATTCTGATGGCTTGACCATACCTCTGCCGTGCTCCACGTAAGATCGCCTCATCCTTTCGAATATTCGACAGGGCAGCTAAACCGACCGAAGCAACCGCACTTCTCAGAGTCGCATCTTCGCCGAATCGACGCATAAATGGCGATGTAATGTTTTGAGGTGGGCATCGGCCGGCCCAGGCGTAAGTGGTGAAGTGATAGACGAAGAAATGCAGCCCGAGTTCGTCCATATCAAGGGACGGCAAGGTTGAGGATAATGAGGTAGCCGAGATAGGCTTTTGATTTGACCTTATAAGCTGCAAATCAGGTGAAGAAGCGGAATCGAATCCTGCATCCTTTCTTTGGGCTCTGGATCGAGCCTGGGCAGCTGTAGCTCGTCTGATGGTGCGGGCATTCTCGTCTCGGAATAACAGAGGGAGCTCGTCCCGGTATCCTATGCATTCCTTGCCAGCTCTTTTACACTGGGAGCAGACAGGGACGGCCATATCACACTGTCAAGGTCAGTATGGCTCCTTTCCCTTGCGGTGGAGGATCGCCTACTTTGATGCGTCTCTGGCGACACCCGAGACAGAATTTGCTCGGACGACAACAAAAAGGCATTTTGTCGCTGCACGGTTGACGGATCAATGTCTCTCAAATTAATGGCAATACATTTAAGACGATTCAAGCTATGTGTTGCCGATATACTGAATTCAACTAGGCAGTCTCAGAAGACGTGGATCGGCCAGATTTGTACAAAAGATCGATCTAGGCCCATGCTCGAGAGCCGCAGATGTCAGGTTGCCAAGGGCCATCTTCAGCCACACACCGACTGGTAGAAACAATTCCTTTCCTAAGATTGAATGTCGTGGATAATGATATACGAAACATCGGCTGCGTAGACAGAGACCGATGAATGAGGCGTTGCTGTCACTAACCCTTTTAAGCAGTAGCCAAGCGCCCACTGCGCTTGCCAAATGAGGCAAGTATTTCGTCTGCGCTAGCCTAATTAGGATGGCCTTGGTAATATGATTGGCTACACAACCGAAGTCCGCTGACTGAGATGGAAATGATGCCTTTGATTGGCTGGGGGATTGTCCTCCTCGGTGCAGCTCTTGTCTCATCAGCGTATCTGAAGTTTGGGATTCTTCAGGGGACCAGACTTGGTTACAAGATAGAGATAACATAATAGCTGCCTAAAAGTCTAAAAGTCTAAAAGTGTGGCAGTGTCCCAAAATACATTCCCTATTTTACAGCACTAGGCGCTTATGTTCGAGTGCCTATCCTTCAACGGCATTCGTTTCATGCAGAAGTTATTATATATATTTGGAGATGGTATCAATCAAGGAGAAAACGTAGACTCTTCCCAAAAATTCAAGTTTATAAAGAATATTTCTTAATATATCATGCATCTGGCACGGGAACACAAGGCATCTTATTACCAATACAGCCCTTCTTTAGGTGCTGCCGTTCTCTTTGCAGCCATGTACTCGATCGCCTTTGTCCTAGCTGTATTTCAATGGATCCGATACAGAGCTTGGGTATGGATCACCATGGTTATCGCAGTGGCTAGTAAGGTGCCTACTTGCAATATTGGCAACTGTCACCACTAATATACCAAAGTGGAAGCAATAGGCTTCATTTCCCGCTCTATATCCGCCCAACACGTCTCTGAACGCACTCCATACGTACTGCAATTCTCTCTTATTATCCTCGCACCCGTCCTGATGGCAGCCTGCTGTTATATCCTCTTCGGCCGTATCCTCTTCCACGTCGTCCCATCTGAAGCACGAACCTTTCAACTCTGCTGGGTTCCTCCTCGCTTTATCACTCCGATCTTCGTGGGCTTTGATATTGTGGCGCTCCTGCTTCAGCTAGGCGGGGCAGTCTTGATCACATCAGCCGATGGTACTAGCAGTGATGCGAAGGACAAGTTTGACACTGGTCGCAATCTTGCACTGATTGGTGTCATAGTCCAGTTGATCGCGTTTGGGTTATTCTCCATTGCTGCCTTTCGGTTCAACTTCACGTCGAAACGGTTCGCGAAGCCTGTCGGCGAGCAATTCGAAATGCTTGAGAGCCGTGGTGCAAGACCTGGTGGTCCGAGGAAGAGTGCCGACTGGAATGCGCTGCTGAGAGTAGTCAACTTTTCAACTCTGATGATTCTTGTAAGTGTTTTATACTGATCTTTCTCTCGTGTTAGATCATCGCTGACTCCTGTCTACAGATACGTTCGGTCTATCGTCTGGTCGAATTCACCGAAGGCAAGAATGGATTTATCAATCTACATGAGTGGTGCCTGTATGTCTTTGATGCATTGCCCATCCTCCCATGTGCAGCATTGTTCGTCTATTGGCATCCGGGGAAATACCTCCCATATTTGGGATTTCGGCTGCCAAAGCATGCACGGTAGATATTGCGTGGGCTTTACAAAGGTCGCATCGACCTACCCTTTCATCAAGATCATGAAAAGGGTCTGGAATATGGCCAACGTGCATTTGGGATCTTTGTGTGGAATCTATCCAGTTTTGTTATACGAGAGTAATATTCCGCAGCTCTACATCGTCACCAACTTGTTCCCCATTCATAATTCCATGCACGTACGCTGCCCCAACCAGCCGGAATTCATCCTCCGTCTCAGTCCCTCTTAGCACCATCGCGGCCCCGAGCCCGCCAAAAGCCACACCTCATCCCCAACCGCCATCGAGGCCGGTCCCAAGCCGATGTACCGATTTGCAGTGACAAATAGCCTCCGTCGACCATGTTTCTGTCTTAGCGCATTATAAAACTCTTGTCCCTCTGCAGGAAGCTGTAATGTCTCGCTCTCATCCCAAGGCAGCCATGAGGAACTGTAGTATGCTTTCTCGACCTCATCCATAGAGGGTGTAAAGCAATTGTCTTCAGCAATCCCAAGAAATTGCAGCTTATACAACAAATGAGTCAATGTCTGGCGATCTGGCTGACTGAGGTTCGTTTCCGGGTCTGCGACAACAGCCGTGAGTTCCTCCACAGACAACTCCGAGAGAGGTGGACTCGACCAGGTCTTCCGAACATGGTATGCAGCCGAGAGGAGATCAACAACATTCTCTGGATCTTTTTCTGCAGCGCGGGCTGTTCCAGCAGCTTTGACGCAGACGAGACTGCGCACCATTGCGTTGAAAAGGTCCCCGTAGGACGGAGGAGCAGGCATTGAACCATCAAGCGCCTGGTCCGCACAGAGGGTGCGCCACAGCGCCTCTGTTCTCGCTTGGCCGGTGTGGTAAGGGACAGGGAGAAGCAGAGTGAGTTCCAGCCACTTTTGGTCAAAGAACATGGACATCTGCCCGGGTCCGCTGGTGGTGTTCCCTATCGCGACAGCCGAGTCAAACTTGACACCAGTCACAGGAAGTTTGTTCCATGAGCTACCCGTTATGGACCTCATGGGCGAATCTCCGGCTGCATGATGATTGGCGCACATCATATTGCAGAAGTTGGCGCTGTAATCCGGAACCCAGGAGGGTAGATCGGCAATATTCCTAAGGGATTCGTCGTGGACGGCGGAAAGAATGCGCAACTCGCCTGCCTTCTGGATGATCTCCTTTGTTGCTCTGGCGAATACCTCTCCTACGGACTGAGAGTAGTCCGGCTTCCAATCAACCGTACCACCCTCACGGAGCAGACCGTAGAGCCCAAAGATCTTATCCCTGGGGTCGGTCGCATTGAAGGTCCAGGTGTCAAAAATGAGATTCTCTAGCGACAGCTCTCGAGGAACAGTGGCCTTGTCGCCCTTCTGCAATCGCTCCCGCCACTGCGTGAGATATACCACCTCGCTCTCAAGAGCTGCCACTGGCCGATGCGGCGCAATAAACGCAGTTGACGTCGGTCGGCCCAGCAGCTCTTGTCGAAAGTAGATCTGTTGTGCCACTGTGTGGAATGCTTTCCACGGGATCTCGCGTGTCCCGCAGTAGCCCATGATGGTGTCGGAGAGGATGTTCTCCTGGACGATCCAGAGACGCCGGAAGTATGGGCGTTGAAAGAGGGCCGCGAGGGAAGTCCACTCTTCCATCGAAATGTAGGGGATCTTTGCAGCAGCGTAGATCTCTTCAGGTTGCTCTCTATATGGTTGTATCTCCTTGCTTCGGATGAAGTCTCCTGCCGCGGTATCCAGTTTCTCGATAGCCTTTATCGCCATATCGGTGTAGGAATCCCCGGGCCCAAGCCAGACAAGCGTAAACGCTGCGTTCTTGTATATCTGATCCATGATCCCAACCTGCGCTCCCCTCTCCGCGATATCATCCTGGTTGATACAAATCTGATCAATCCAGCACCATCTTTCCGGACCTTCAGGCCAATCCACTCGCGGCTCCAGTCTTCCTCCCTTCTGCATGACCTCTTCCAGACACCGGATAATCTCCTCGTAGCCCCCTTGCCTCGCATAATCAAGCGGAGTATTCCCCGATCATCCGCAATGCACGCATCCGCACCCGCAGAAAGCAACAAGTCGACCCCCTCTCGACTTCCCACCTGCGCCGCGTAACTCAACGGCGTCACGCCCCATTCATCCCTGACATTAACGTCCACACCAGAGCACAGAAGCGGCTGAATCAGGTCCTCCTTCCCGGCAATAGACGCCCAATGAAGCGATGTCCGGAGAAGTTTCCTCCGATTACCTCTGTTGCAGCATTTCGCCCATGCGTCTCTGGGGACGGAGACGAGCGCATCGTACGCATTTCGCGTGATGTATAACAACCTCCCGTCGACGGATATACATTCTCTGTGCCCTGGGGGATAATTCTCTGAATATCTGTCTCGGGTTTCCTGGACCTGGCCGAGTTCGCTGTGTGGGTTGCCCCAGGTGTAGGACATGGCTTGGTACGAAGGCCCATCTTTCAGATCGACGTTTTTGATGGTGCAATGTAGTAGGCCATCGGAGTCTTTGTGGTCAACTCGTAAGAGTCGGATTGATGTGGAGTTGGGCAGGGGCTCGTAGTCATATGTTTGACCGGTCTGGGGAGTGATGCGAGACATCCTATTCCAGGCGGTGATGGTGTCTCTTCGCCCTGGTTTGCTCTTTACTGGAAGTACTACTCTTTTCCAACTCCAAATGTGTGTCGAGGGGAAAGAGACCCAGAGTCTGAAGGCTCACGGAATACGAGATTCAAGATCCAAGCGAAGCATCTAGCTCGATACGGCAAGCCATTGGGAGAAAACCAAAAAAGAAAAATAACTTTCTGTAGGGCTTTAAGTCTGTTAGTATTTATATTCTCTGCTAGTAGTGAAATTTAGTTTATGAAATTAGATTAGGTTACGCCTTTAACCGACAACGATTATCTTATTATTTCGATCAACTAGGGTTTCATCCATAATTGAATGAGGTTTTCTGGATATTTACCCCACAGTGCAAAGGAGGAATGAAACAGAAATCTAAGGCACAGACCACTGCTTCTGTTATATTGTGCGGTCTTTGCTCGAATTATGTGACAGAATGGAAGCAATAGTCACCGACCATTCGATTTATAGGCGACAATCACATCGCCTACCATATTGATGAATGTCCATGGGGAATTACCCTGCATGATGTATGACCAAATCTCAAGAACACAATCAGCCATGCTATCCAAATCGCTCATATCAGCTTGAAAATTGGTACTTGGAATGGAAGCGAAGCCTTCTTTCACAACTTCTTTAATCCAGTGTACCAGGTGATGCTCTGATTCTACACTCCAAAAGTGAGTTTTAATCAGTTGAATTGCAACGCGACTCGCTAGAGAGGGAACAATTCGAGTTTACTAACCTGATAGAGGATCATTATTGAGGGTTCCTTTGAGTTCCCGCAGCCATTTATCAAGGAAAACGGCACATTCTAGACCGCATAACGCAGCCTCAACGTCTCAGAATCAAAGCCTGATTACGTTTGACGTACTCAATGCCGAGTTTAACTAATATGCCCAGTGTGTGGATAGCGTGTTGAGCGGCGAGTTGTTGGCTCCACTCGCGTTTCCCAGCTGTCATTGCACGAAGGCCATCCGCGATGCTGACAGGGTCCCATGAGTGAGACTCTCGGGACTGTTCGTCGCCACCCAAGAGGCAGTTACGGATATAAGCAAAACTCAGCATTGCACCTGACATAAAGGGCAAGGGGCCATTGGGGTCAAAGGGCTCGAGATTAGACTCTGGCGTTTTCTGCCAGGCTGTTGTCCACCTACGTAAGGCGGTTCTGAAAGCATCGTAATTTAGATTAGAACCTTGTAGTGGATATTTGTGCAATAAGCCAAGTCGAGAAGAAATTAGCTTACTGGAAAAGCTCCTGCTGATCTGAGGACTGCCGAACATTCAGAGTCCCTAGGGGAGCTGGAGTCTATACGATATCCTGTATCAGTCCATGCAACAGCACATAGTTAGCACAGGGCGTCGGGACACATTTGCGCATGGTGTCTTGGCCAGGCGTCAACAAGTCTTTCAGGGCATCATGAAAGGTTGATTGTCCGTTGTGGTTGTCCTGGTGCAGCAGCCTCCACGTGACTGAGTCAGGTGCTGTCCACTCAGGACAAGTGGATGGCAGTTTCAAATCCATCTCATAACTCCAGATAATGGGCGGCAAGTTGAGCAAAATGCTCTGGGTGTTCAGAAAGCAGAATGCAAACAACTTTGCCCGCCTCTCCAATTCTTGCTTAGCCCAGGCCTCCCATGCAATATCGGAATTGCGCCGAGTCTCTGGTAAGCCAGTCAACCGTAGAGTCTGGGCAAGCAAGCCACGTAAGATCATGGCCTCTTCTCGCAGACCCAAATCCGTTTGCCATGTCGCAAGCCAACCAAGACAAAGCAAACAGGAAACTTCATCAGTATCAGTTCTGCTCACAGCAGTAGCATCACTCTCAGAGGTTGTTAGTTTCCTCAGTGCTGCTCTGGTTCTCAGGCTTTGACGTTCTAATATCATAAGTTTCGCATAATGAAATAGCTGAGTTGCTGACTTTGATTCATATCGAGCTGCAGCACCCACGGCTAATATTGCGAGGCACAGCTCGGGTGAACACTCGTCAAGTTTGAAGGTTGGGGCATGTGTGAAGGGCATAAGAGGGTAGAAGCCCGTGAAATACCCAGCTATGAACCGCGTCAAAGCATCACTGGACGGGAAGGTGGAATCCGAATATGCACATGCTTCAAACGACTGTATTAATCTGCTTCTTTGACAGTCTGTAATGATCGGATGGGCGAAATACGGGACTATCTGAGAACCTTGTCCATGAGAATGGCTGCATGTCAGTTTAGAGCCTTTGACGCCGACAACGCGACTGACCTAGTATTATTTGTGGAACTGGAAGAACAGCAGAGTGTTGATAGCTAGCTTGAGGCAGTTGGTGGGGGGTAGATGTTGAACCTGGAGTTGCAACTTGAACAACTGGGATCCCGTCAGGGCGGTCCGCGTAACTCGGACTTTCAGCGGACGAGATCCCTCCTGGAAGACTCTGCTCAGCCCCATTTCCTCCTAGACAGTAGAATTTAGAAAACCATGATGCTGGTGAATAAAGCGGCTGATATTGAAGCTTACTTCCGTCCCTATCAACCTGCTCCCAGTCTGCAAGACGCCGCCTAGATAAATCTGGTTAGTTACTCAGTCTATTTCCTAGTTGATCAGAAAAGAAACGCATCAAGACCAGTATTACGAAAGAAAAGGAAGGGGCATCTCGCTTTATACCGGTGCTGAGTGCATCTGATTTGAGACGGAAGATGATACGGTTGACTCGAGGTCAGGTCCGACCTAAGAGCTGTACCTCCTTCTAACAATATCTCTCTTCGCTGACTAGCGCTGGTCCGCGTATTCTCTGTGCAAGCCTTGACTGAATTTGCTGTGAATTGCGTATATAACTGCCGCGACGAATTCTCGATAGACCCATGCTCGATGCGTTCATGTCGCCTGAGGAGATCTCGTCTCGAGAAGAGTGGGCCACATGAACAGCTAAAAGGCTTTTCATTGGTATCTTGTTGTATATGATCAGCTATCTGTAGCACTTTTGCCGAGAGCGGTTACCAACGTCTCCTCGTATGCCGCTGTAAGTGCTCCAGCCGGCGGAACTCCCTTTGGCAGAACGCACAAATGAACTGTTTTCCATTGGCTTCAGCGCTAGGCTCCAGTAAAGAGGCCATTACAGCTCCGAGTGGAAGCAGTACACAAGCGCAGGAAATTCGGAATCTGCAGACCAGTACCAGGAAAATGAATGTAGGTTCGAACGAAAATTAGGGATGATGCAATTGAACCATCGAGTGGCAGGATTAAGGGAACTTTTGGAGACGCCGTTGGGGAAGTGGGGCGTCGGGCCTCAAGCCATGGAGAGGATGGGGTTAACCGAAAAATTCAATGGTTTATTATTATCCATAATGATCTAGTTCAAGGAGCAGACCTATATGGATTTCTCTTTCCTAGGACTATTACTTTCCTCGGTAAAGAGGTGGCGGCTTAAAGGGGACACTGATCAAGATGATATACGTTTATTCACATCCCTATACGCTGCGTCCAGTCTGACTGTAGCGCCATACCATAGGCAGATAGGTCTTTTCTACTAAGTAATCTAGGGGATATCGAATGGAAAAGTACTATTGGAAGCTTTGCGTCGAGGACATCAGCGTCCCCGTCTGTCTATCGAAGGCTCTTAAATCCCTCACCGCAGAACACTTATTCCGCGACCTTGATACAGACCCTGCCGATCTGAGAACCGGAAGAGACATACTCATAAGCCTGGATGACTGCGTCTTCCTTGAAGTCAAAGACTTTGTCAACAGGCAGTCGCAGCCCCTTGGTTGTCACGAAGCGCGTGACCTCCTCCAGCAGCTGCGTGGATCCAACGACGATACCACGCACGACGGCACCCTTGGCAAGAGCCAGGGAAGCGACATCAGGCATTTTTGACTGTTCGGCTGGGGACAAAAAGCCGATAACAGAGATATTACCACCCATTTTGATGGCCTTCAGGCTCTCACCAATCGTACCGGATCCGCCGTTTTCAAAAATGTAGTCCACACCCTCTCCGTTCGTCAGACGAAGGACCTCTTTGGACCACTCAGGGTGCTTCTTGTAATTGACGGTAAGGTCAGCACCGAACTTCTGCTTGACAAAATCGAGCTTCTCATCGCTAGAAGAGGTCACGATGGTTCTAGCTCCCGCGGCTTTGGCGAGGATCAAGCCACTGATGGATACTCCACCTGTGCCTACTCCGCTGGTAAGGGTGTATTTTCGATGATGATCAATGAATTAAAGGGCTACTCACCTTGAAATAAGACAGTCTGGCCTGGCCTGAGAGGAATATTTCCGTACAGAGCGTTCCAGGCAGTCACACCGGTGCAAACCAAAGTAGACCATTCACAAAAACTCAGAGGCGACTCTTTGGGGATTTGGACGACAGAGGCCGCGGGTAAGCAAACGTATTCACGGAGTACGCCGTCAATAGGTCCGCCTTGGCCGTTATTCCAGTCCTTCTGCTGACCAAAGAGGTTCGAAAGATCAAAGGTGCCAATGACGTGGTCTCCCACAGCAAACTTCTTGACGCCCTCGCCAACCTTAACAATGACACCGGCGGCATCGGAGCAAGGAATGACATTATCTTTGACGGGGAATGGGTACAGAGAGGTGGCAACGGCAATATCACGGTAGTTTAACGAGACACCATGTACCCTTATCAAGACTTCATATTTGGTCGGCTCGGCGATTTCCTCCTTGAAAGCCTTGAGGTTGCGGACCGAGTCGCGGGGACCGTTAAAGCGTATGACGGTTTGAGACATGGCAGCTAGGAGGGTATGAAACAGCAATTAGAATGGTTGCCAAAGAAGTCAATTTGGAAACTGTATCTGAAGTGTCGAAGGGATGAAGATTGTATACCCTTATATAGGTGAAAAGTACCGCGTCATTTCTCAACCTGGCAGCTAAGACACCATTTGATTTGAAATCCACATGAAGTAATGGCGGGCGATTTCCAATCATCATCATCATGTCATGTATGGGTGAATAAGGTGTTTGATTAGAATGCGAGTAGCAAAGATCCGCATTTGATGGCAATTCTGAAGTGGTTGAGCCGTTTGGAGATGAAGCTTTGGGGAAGTGGGCCCTTCCTAACTACATCTCCAATTTTGGAGAACATAAGGCTTGCAAGTCCTATGTTATGATTAGTTGTATAATTTCATACTCTCAAGAGAGTAATGGATTCGTCTTTCTCAGTCCTGTGTTATTGAATGAAGGAGAGCCATAATCGGCCAACCAGCAAATGAAGGTACTCTAGAGTGCGCGTATTGCTTATACACAAACAACATACTAGTGGTTTTAATGGCTGACACTACAAGACTCCCGACTCAAGCCGGCATGACTCATGAGCGCATGGATATTCCTTATGCAAGTCACAGATTCAAAGACGCAGGATCCCTTTGATTTTGATCTATTCTGCATCACAATAATGAAATCTCCATCTCTCACTGCCAACTGCCTCCTCGAGCTCGTCAATCTAGACAGCACAGATCATTTCGCTGAGCTCCAAAGACAACGGAAAATCTGCGGCTGGTTCTCCGACCCGCAGACCCTCCAGAAATGGAAACAAAAACAACAAGAAAACCTCAAAGCCCTCTTCTGGATCACCATCCCCGATCCCATCACTAGTGATGAGAAAGGCATTCGCATTCGCGCAGGCCACATCGCCCTCGACGCATACTGCGACCCGCCTGACCCCGACCTCGCGCGCGCAGACAAGTCCGTGCTGACCATCAGCTCGTTCTTCATCCTGCCTGAATACCGCTCCTACGGGCTGGGACGGCATGCGATGCGCTTGATTGAGGAAATGGCCATCGTGGAGCCGTATGGTAGCCCGCGCTGTCGGTTCGTTACGCTTAATGCGCAGAGTAAACGGTATCTGTATGATGAGGGGCCCGAGTGGCGGGGTCTCTGGGAGAGACTGGGCATGACGCCGCCGGCGTTTAGTATTCAGGAGTGGTATGAGAGTCTTGGGTATGTGAGCTGGAAGGAAGAGCCGCTTTATGAGGAGAGGACGCTGGATGGGGAGGTGGTTAAGCTGTGGGAGGCGTTCATGAGGAAGGAGGTGCAGCCGGAGACTTCCGTTGATCAATAAACTGGGATTTTGATATGTCTCTCCCCGAGTTCTCTAGTCTTGGAGTACAATGCATTGTCCCATATGTTGGGAGACAAAGGAGGGTGAGACAATGCATTGTATTCCCTGTTTAATAGATTTTCGCGAGGTAATGGGAAACAAAGAACAACACTGCATTATATTCCCGTATACTTCATGATAGTCGCACATTTCCGGTGACAATGCCACAACTCGCTCATGCTCAGAGGCAGTGACGTTCAAGACAGATGATACGATGTCTAAGACAACGGATGGAGAGCGATATAATATTTCATATCGGTCAAGGCGACAGAACTTGCATTTACTCCATCAATTCAAATATCCCTCCCACCAAGCCTGTCTGCAATCGTCAATTTGAACCTTGAAATGTCACCAGAGCTGTACAAAATCTCCCCTACCAGTCTCAAGTACCTCGAGACCCCGGAACTATGGAAGATCATCGAGTCAGACGGTGAGCTCGCACCCCATGAAAAAGAAATCGTGCAGAAACGCTTCATTGACAACAACATCTACACCGTACCAAGCGCCAGAGCCTTCAAAAAGCTGACTGGCCACTCATCGGACCCCATCGCTGACGTTATCAGGTACGACCGTGTCAAAACCCTGAAGAGTCTCGTCGACGCCGGCCTCAACCTCCAGCACTACAGCCGCAGCGGCTGGAAGCTGCTCGGTCTGGCTCTGGCCTCCAAAGCCGAGCGCATCTCGAGATACATCATTGACACTTCCTCTCCGGAGGAGCTTTGCGGACGCATAGGCGCTACCAGTGACTGCGAAGACGGCACGTTCCTCTCCCTCGCCGCGACCTGGGATGCATCCATCTTCGCTCACCTGTGGGACCGCGTCCGGCACCTTCCCAGCAAACAGCGCAGACTGTCTGACGACGCCATGTACGTGCTTTGCAGATTCTGCGATGCCCGTCTGGCGGAGCTTCTGATGGCTGATGGGGTCGATCTGGCTTCAGTTGTTCATGGCGCCCTCGGGCGAGACGGCCTGGCATGCAGCGGCGGAGTGTGCCAACGATTTGGAGTTTCTGAAGCGAATCGCGGTTCGGTCGCCGGAAAGTATCAATGAGAGAACAGTGGACGGTGCGACGCCTCTCATGTATGCTGCGGCTTTCAACCATTTCCCGGAAATCGTCGTCTTTCTTCTCTCGCGTGGTGCTGATCCAGCGCTGGTCAATGCTGCAGGTAATACTGCAGCTAGTCTGGCGCGGCGGTATGGTAGCCAGGCTTTGGTGGATTCGCTTACGGACGAAGAGTAGTTTGATTTCTCTTGGGGTATAATCCCTGTTTCCCTTGACTCGTTGTTTTCGTTGGCGCGTGGGGTCGTCCATCTCGTTCTCCTGTCGTCTGTCCCGCTGCTATAGTCCAATTGAAGGCATATCACAGTTCATCAGCGTATCTTCACCTTTATCACCACCACTCAAGTAAGTGTAGTATTAGTACCTCCACTTTGACGCATATACAGGGATGATCCCATCTTGATTGGCTGTCAGGCAAGGGCTTGATGCATGAAATATGCGTCTCCCCCTCGTTCAGTCGGTGAACTGGAGGTGATTCATCGACCTCACCCCGCCAGTTGTGCAAGCCGAAAATTGAACGGTCCATTAGATACTTAACTTCATACGTAGTTTATCAATCATACCCTAGAGCCCGATACTCACAGATGAAGGTCATTATAGTTGGCGGTGGAATCGCCGGACTGGCGGCTGCGATTGGACTCCGTCGTGCCGGCCACAAGGTCCAGGTAAACCTCTGATTAGAACAGGTTGAGTGGAGAGAAAACTAACATGACAGATCTTCGAACGCTCCTCGTTCCTCCGTGAAGTCGGAGCAGCAATCCATGTCCAGCCGAACGCCTCCCGGATTCTCTCCCACTGGGATTTCGACCCTAAGAAAGCTCGCTTCGTGACGGGTCTTCGAACGATGGTGGTACCAGGAACATCACTCACGTCAAAAGTCGGAGTGGATTGCTCCCACTTCGTCGAGACGTATGGTGCGCCCTGGTATCTGGCTCATCGAGTCGACTTGCACTCTGAACTGCGGCGCCTAGCGACAACACCCGACGCGCCCGGAATCCCCGTGGAGATCATCTTGCGGTCTGAGGTCGTTGGCTTCGACGCTGAGAATGGGTCAGTCATTTTGGTCGATGGGTCAGTTCATCGAGCTGACCTTGTTGTCGCTGCGGATGGTGTACATACTATTGCCATTCACCATGTCATCGGCCATGCTACCCCGGCTGTCGCCACAGGTTCCGCTGCGTTCCGGTTTCTGATTCCGACGGAGGATATCCAGCGGGATCCAGAGACGGCGCACCTTTGGGAGGATGGTTTGATGAGGATATACGTTGCGGAAGGTGTGCGCCGACTAATCTGGTATTCGTGCGCCGAGTAAGGCCCTCAATCATCAGTATTGTACGCATCAGCTCACGAGGACCAGTAACACGGTTGAGAATTTTGTGGGCATACATCTGTATGAGGGCGGCGATGGTCAAAAAGAAGGTCAGTATCCATAACCGTGCAATTCCCCTTCAGGTACTGACCGTCTCGGATAGACTGGAACCTGTCCGCCGACGTCAGCGACGTTCTCGCCCAGTACCAAGACTTCCACCCGACGCTCCTCAGAATCATCAAGTAGGCTTATCTATCAACTTCAGCCCAAAACGCGCCCTAACCAAGCACAGAAAAGCAACAAGCATCAAACGATGGCCGCTCCTCTACCGCGATCCCATCCCAACCTGGAGTCGCGGACGCCTCGTGCTGATAGGCGACGCCGCACACCCAATGCTCCCTCGTACGTTATCCCGATTGCCCATTTAAACTAGCTGACCTCTCCAGACCAAGGCCAAGGAGGCGCCCAGGCAATCGAAGACGGCGGTGCCTTGGGTGAGATCTTCTCGCGGATGCCGGATCACCCGACGCAAGACGAGATCCGGGATCGTCTAGCGCTGTTTGAGAAGGTTCGTGTCCACCGTGCGGCTGTAATAACAATATTCTCCAATGCTGGGCAAGATCAGGGGTGGAAGGTCAGGGAACGCGCGCAGCAGTATATGCCGGCAGGGGCCAAGGTTCCTTCTTCGCCGCCGGAGTTTATGGAGCATAATTTTCGGTGTGACGTGTTGGAGGAGAGTCGGCGGTTGTTGGAGTTGTATTTGAGTGGAAGATCGGAGGTTTGAGTGCTCTAGATTATAAACTATACAGTTTGTGTGCATTTTCATGTTTTGATGAGCAGACATCTGTAGGTTTACATATGTATTTCACGAGCATTGGAGAGTCGGTCAATATGTGGTGGAGAATGTCTCAGGCCCGGTCTGCTGTTATTCAACTAATGATCATGCTGCGTATGCTTATAAGATGACGGTGGGTGTCTATGGGGTTTACCTGCACAGCTGTCTTGACATATAGTCAAGCTGCTGAGGTAGGCCAATCGTCCCGTCTATTGTCCTGTAAGTCGCATCTACCACTTGTCTGTTTTCTTTACGATTCCAGTAACCCATCCATAAATCTCTTGCTTTCTTCCGGATGATTTCATCATGCGTGAAATCATCTACTGAGGACGGTTGAGAGCCAGTTTCACATCCGCAGTTGATCCCCCGCCACGAGTGACTCGGAGGAAGCATCAGAGTACAGGTCGCCGCCAAAGATGGAGAGGACCTCGGGGCAGCTTCAACAGAAGGAAAAGTGTCGAGAGCTGAGCCCGGGTTACAATTCAATGACACAAGGCTCGTACTTTATATATTGAGGCGTGCCATGACTGCCATCCGTGTACATCCTCTAACTAGGAGAAACGATTGGTTCTATATATAAAAATATATAACCTTTATTTCCTCCCATTGCGCCATTAGCCTGACGTAGCGGCAGCAGCTTCACTTTGTGATCAATTTCAAGTATACAAATCCCGGGTCCAAGTGCCACGCCCAGTTTAAATATATTAACTAAAATAAATAAAGTTCTGTCAACCAATAGGGCTGGTAGCTCAGTGGTAGAGCGTGAGATTGCAAATCTTAAGGTCGCGTGTTCGATCCACGCTTAGCCCTTCTTTTTTTCCCCACTGTGCCTTGCCTGCGGTAGGTACTCCTTAATCGCGGTCTTTACCTTGTATTTTTTACTTTTATGTAAATCTCCTATTTTCTCCTAGCATTTCTGATTTGCTGTCGGTGCAATTTTTGAAGACCGTTTAGCATGTGAAAGTCCCTCTGTACTTGCGGCCTCGTATATATACATATCTACAGCCCATGTGGGAGGAGACATAGACGGTCTACTCATACTTATACATCATATAAGACCAAAAGTGGCATTTGCATGCTGAATCTAAAAAAAAGTCATCGCGTACGGACATCGGACATACAAAGGAAATGAGCCGCCGAGGCCAGTAGGTATCAATAATATACATCCCTCCCGAAACGATCCATCGTTCTATCCACCTACGCCCTTCCCGTTTTCACCTCATACATAGTAGTAACCTGTATTCCTCCCTCGACGAACTTGCCCGACTCCTCATCCACGTGCTGACCATGACCACCGCTCACATCATTAACGTAGGTCGGCCCACTCTGACTGTGCTCGCGAAGGATGAACTCGTCGCTGGCGTGGTCGCCCAGTTTACTTGTATGCGAAACCAACGGGTCGGGTTTAGATTTGCCGAAGACGGAGAGGGAGTAGCTGGCGCTTCCGCCGTAGCGATGCGCGTTCTTGGAGGAGGGGTCTTTGGAGGAGCCGAGCCAGACGGAGGAGCTGAAGAGGGGTTTGATGCAGGGGGCGTTGACGGCGATGATTGCGACGAACTGGTTGTTAGCTGTTAGTGAGGCAAAAGACGTTTGCTTGGGAGGGAGGGGCCGTACGGTCTCGCGGATTGCCCAGATGGTGCTGGTGTTGATGCTGTTGATGCTCTGCAGGGAGAGGACGCAGCGGAGGAGGGCGGCGCACATGACGAAGACACCGCCGCAGAGCAGGACGCCGATGACGAGTTTTCTGTTTTTTTTTTTGTTAGTGCTCGCGTGTGCAGGTTGGAAGTGATGTGCGTACCGGCGCAATGCTAGTCGGACTTTGGCGAGCAGGGGAACGGGAATGGAGACGAGGACGGCATCCGTACTGCCGCTGGTTAGTCTCCTCGCTGTGGTTGATTTTCGTGCCTGCAACTTACCAGACGTTGGTTACGGCGAGGACGATGTAGTTGATTCGGTCGACAGTGCATTGTTCTAGAGGGTCAGAATCGCATCGTTGTATACAGAGTTTCGGCAATGATGCTTACCTCCAGGATCCGGGTATATCTGCCAATGCTTTTGTATCGGGAGGCAGTGGAAGAAAATGGTGAAGATGACCGCGGCATAGGAAAACACGCACAGCACCGCGTTGATCTTGACGAGCTTCTGCTGCATGAGACCCAGTCTACCATGGTTAGCACCTTGCCTGGAGGGTAACGGGAAACGTACGTCAAGCGGTTGTAGAAGAATAACATGCAAGCCTTGAGACACCAGATGAGTGTCACATAGCAGGTCCATCCAGCAAGCAGACATTTGGAGCCGATGACAAGGCTCTTGACCTGCTCCGGGGTCATGGCGGCTCGCTGAGCATCAGTGAGGCCAATGTTGGCACCATGTTGGCCTGTCCAGTCAGTCGATTATCCGTTGTCATCGGTCGAGGTTACTCACCGATGAGTTCCAACATGGTGAGTTCGGCCTGCATATCTCTGTCAGTGGATGCAGTGTCATTTCTGCCGAAGACACCAGAGAACCCACGGTCCAAAAGAGCAATGCGATGATGGCAAAGTAGTCATCGCCCTGCCAGTTCTTCACTCCAACCACCTTCCATCGTGCAAATATTCGACCAAGAATGATGAGAACCCCCATTCCATATTCGGTCCAGGCCTCCTTCTGAAACGGGGTTGCCTGGGGCATCTTGGGAGACTGAATAATGAACAGGAACAGGACGCGGGACGCAAGTGATCGTACGATGTCAGATGCTATATCTTAAATTAACCAGCGTAACTGTCCCGGCTGGCGCTTGCTACCCATGCACCTGGAAGTTGACCGGTTCATTACCATCGATGTTAGTGGATCTGTGTCAGGTAAAATACCTTCAAGCTTTGTCTTTACCTGTGCATGGAGGTGCCTGTCAGGGGAAACCGACCAGGAGGATTTTGGGTTCGGTGAATGTCAATCTAAGTTTGATAGATTCTGAACCAGAGTTGTGGGCTCTCGTTCCCTGGTAAGCATGGATAGAATTATGGTAGCTCTCGTAATAGTGGGAAATCCAACCAGACAAAGACACTTGTTGGATGATCTACATAACAATGCGTCTAGACGACGCCAATGCGCCTGTCTCGGTATGAGACAATATCCTTGTTGATCCCCGGCAAGACTTTCCTGGACCCTGGTCGATGGTGCCATAAAGTGCGACATGGATCATTGGGGCTTGCTTACCATTATTCTCTACGGAGTAGACTGCTACCGAGGCCTTGGCTGACGACGATCGTTGAAAGCCTAACACACCCCTGACAAAGGTTATTACTCATAGAAAGTTGCGTTAGAGTTCGCCATGAGAAATACGAGGCTGTCACCATTCCAGACATGGTAGTGCTCGTGAATTCCGGCATATCTGCTTTTAAGCTTTTACGGTAGTCTGCACGATACGAGAATTTGCTTTTCCCAGTTCACATGCAGATATAAGTCGAGCAATCTGTGCATTTAAAAGCGGGCAACTTCCTTCTCTCAAGTAAGTAAACACACACCATATCCTTACTATCCACGGGTTAATAGTACAAGGAACTAAGGAGCGAGCCGAGACTACACTCAATGCTCGTTAAATTGGAGTAACGTCCCATCCTCGGGTTTAAAGTTGATTGGCTTGCACCCATGCGGCATAGCCTTCCCTATCAAGCCGTCGTAAACGGGTATCCAGAGTCTCAGTATGGAGATAGGTGTGTATGAGGTGAGAGAAACGGGAAAAGGGCCAGCCCCTGCCCTAACTCGTAACAGGTTAGGCGTCTGCGCTACGAAGTACGAACAAATTGCATTTACCGAATTGACACTTCGGAGCTCGGAAAGTGGACTCCAACGGGAGACTTAGGGCCACTATTCTTTTCGTGTCCAAGCCACAGAGCCACGACGGCTTACCAGAACCAGTAAAAGAACAGCAGCACTACGCCCAGTACTCTCTCGGGGAATTTCCCGTCTTTGACCAGGGCGGACCTGATCCACTATTTTTCTGGGGTGATTTCCAGCCAAGTCAATAATAGTCACGCCCGTTGATGTCGGAGGACGGGCGTACTCCTTATGGAGACCTGTCATATGTGGGAGCGCACTCGGCTCTGAGAACTGCATGATGCATGGACGTTATGTCCTGCAGATGTCCGATTCACTAGATACAATATTGCTTTTTCTACTCCGTCCTGGGTCGATGATAGCACCTGTGAAGATTACAGAACTCCATGGAAGAAGAGGTGTCACAAGCTGTCTGTCTGCTCGTGGGAATGATCGCCGGTTCTTCCCGCCAAGAGGAAGCCAGCAGGGATGATGCAGAAGTTGATACAGACTATCTGGAGACCAATTTCTCCCAGAATGCTATGGCTGCCAGACCAGTTCTGGCCCCCATCCCTCTGGCTATTGAGCCATTCATGAGGAGACGATCGTCGATGCCTCAGGGCTTCCCAAGAAAGATCCAATCAGAGACCATGATAAACGACCATTTCTCCCAGCAGGCCAATAGAGTTCGGACGTCACAACGGCCAGAACACGGATTATGGTTTTCCGAATGAGCAGCACCATTTTCGTCGACACGCGACTAACTTCACAGTCGACCCCGCTCGTACATGCTGCGACTTTCCCCTCTGATCATGGTCGACAGGCCGGCTTTCCTGGGTCTCCTCAGGAGTGGCAGAAACGAATGGCTCGGTGACACGAGAGACCTTAGCTTCGCCTTACCCCTCCTGCACAATGAACCCTGTCGCCCATAATAAGGGGGATTTTTCGTCAAGATGATACTCCAGCCTCACCTTGACACTCTCAAAACTTGGTCACCAAACACCAAAGACAGACAGACGCCATCATGGGTTCGATTGGGAACACACAAGATGTATATGACTACATCATCTGTGGGTGAGTACATCAGCAAGTATACCACTCGCTGGCCCTAACTCACCATTCGCAGTGGAGGAACCTCTGGTTGTGTAGTCGCAGGTCGCCTTGCTGAGAATCCTGATATCAAAATCCTTGTCATCGAAGCCGGACAACACAATCGGGACCTGGAAAATGTACACATGGCCGGAGGGTAAGCGATTACCAGACTTCAACTCCTCGCCTCATGGTTAACTCCTTATAGATGGTCGAACAACTTCGACTCAGAGACCGACTGGAACATAATCACGAAGCCAATGCCCGGAGTTGACAATCGCCAGGTGAAACTCAGTCGTGGTCGGTTTCTCGGCGGTTGTAGTGGATGCAATGGCACACTGTGCATACGAGGTGCCAAACAGGACTACGATGACTGGGGACTGGAAGGTTGGAGTGGCGAGGAGTTCTTTGCTGCCATGAGAAAGGTATTTTGGATCATAAGAAAGCAGATTGAGATATACTGACTGTATAGGCGGAAACCTTCCACACCAAGCCCTGGTTCAAAGCGGACGAGAAGAGCCACGGGTATTCCGGCCCTCTGCACACCGAACCCCATGACCTCGCCCCTATTGCCAATCTCCTCTTGGACTCCTTCGTTTCACAGGGTCTGCCTCTACACCACGACATGTTCAGCACCGGCGACATACCCCATGGATGCGGCCACGTGCCTCGGACGGTCTACAAGGGCATTCGGTCCACTGCGGCGGACTACATCACTAAGGAATACCACCGCAATAATGTGACCATCCAGACAGACACCACCGTCGACCGCGTCGTGCTCGAACAGGGTCCCGATGGGCTCCGAGCAACCAGTGTCATCACCCAGCTGGCAGATGGGACACCACGCACATTCCACGCGCGAAAGGAAATCATTGTCTCCGGAGGAGCATACTGCAGTCCTGCCATCCTGATGCGCTCAGGAATCGGAGCCCGCGAGGAGTTGGAGCAGCACGGCATCCCCTGCCAAGTTGATCTCCCCGGCGTGGGCAAGAACCTCATGGACCACCTGGTAAGACCAAGACCATCCCCCTGACCACATCCACACATACTCACATCGCAGATCGTCTTCATGTTCTACGAAACCGAAAAAGAAGGCCTCACGAACGACTTCCACGTCTACCACGACAACAACCTCGCCAAAACCTACCAGCAGTGGAAAGAGCACAAGTCCGGCTTCCTCTCCACCTTCCCCTTCGGCTCCTTCGCTTTCGCCCGCATCGACGACCGTCTAAAGGACGAGCCCCTCTGGCGCGACGCCCCCCGCCAACCCGGCCGTGATCCCATGGGCCTCACCCCCAAGCAACCCAACATTGAGTTCTTCACGACGGAATGCTACGGCGGCCCTAAGCAGTACAACCAGTTCCCCATCGACCACAAACACGCCTTTTCCATGATTGCCGAGCTCTTTGCGCCCAAGTCCCGCGGTACCGTGACGCTCAAGTCCAAGGATGCAAAGGAGAACCCGGTCGTCGACTGCAACTATCTCTCTGACCCATTGGATATGCTCGTGTTGACCGAGGCGTGTCGCTTCGGCAACGAGATTGTGATGAACGGTGCGGGAACGAAGGATATCGTCAAGGGGTCGTGGCCGCCGAATCTCAAGCATCATACGTACAAGACGAGAGAGGAGTGGATTCCGTATGTCAAGGAGCATGCGACGACTTGTAAGTCATCCGCACTCGAAACATGCGGTCCTATATCTAACTGACGGGATAGGCTATCACGCTTCCGGCACATGCGCAATGGGCAAAGACGACAATCTGATGGCTGTGCTGGATAACAAGCTACGGGTGAAGAGTGTTGCTGGTCTTCGGGTGGCGGATTGCAGCGTTATGCCTACGTTGCATGGGGGACATACCCAGATGCCTGCGTATGGCATTGGGGAGAGGTGTGCTGACTTTATCAAGGAGACTTGGTAGCAGCCTGTTGATTAAGTTCAGTACATATGCAGGTATCGTAGTAGATTCAATCAAGCGATTATATTTATGTTCCTACTGTCTGTACTCGGGGCTGTAAAGAATATCCAGAAAGAATTCGCATTTTTGAGCTGAGTTTTATTTCATTTTGCCAAAAGAAAGAGGTGTGGTGATTTGAGAAGAAGGGTAGAAAAAATAAAAAACAGGACTAAGCGTGGATCGAACACGCGACCTTAAGATTTGCAATCTCACGCTCTACCACTGAGCTACCAGTCCTGCTCGGGACTGAGTGGCAAAAATTGTGTCATATCATTACAAAAGTAGGGAGAGAGCAAAGGAAAATTCTGCAAAAAGTCGGATTTGCGCGTTTACGATTGTCTCGACGGAAGACATTGTACAATAATATTGTGGCCTGGGGAATGATGGAGGGTGCATAACATATCTTTATCCCTGGCTTGATTCCTTATGTGAAGATCAGATAGTACTGTAGAATGTACCTTGGCAATGCTTGATAACTGATCTACCGAAACGGTCGCCACGCTCCTTGAAGAATCTCTCCTTTACTCTGTATAGATACAACTCATGATCTGCGTCAATCTGTAGGGCTATGAGAAGTCAGGCACTTGTGTTCACTAGAGTTAGATCGAACTGATCCACTGTCTCTCAGACCACATCGTGTCGTCTTCCCTTTTATGGCACAGACTGTGTCTTTTTTACATAATAGTTTGCCTCTTCAGGTGGATGCCCCGTCAATTTCTGACAGTTGTATCTCCACTGGCTAGCCACGGCCCAGAAAAAATGACACAACTGAGGGGCAGAAATTTTCATTCGCCATCCGGGCTGATCTTCTCACTGAGACCTTGACAGCTGTGTAACTGCACCTGCATACCTGACTGGCATCATGGCTGTTCAAAACGATATAACCTCGGATGCCAAGGGTCTGGAGGTATCCAGCGCTGAAAAGCGCCGGAGATTAGCAGACAAGGTCCGTTTTCGCTCGAATAATGTGAACTCGCTGCGAGGCGACCACCACCACAGCGATGAGGAGAGCAATGAGGAGGTACAGGAGTCGGAGACGCCCGACCTGAAGCGGCAGTTGAAGGATAGACATTTGCAGATGATTGCCATCGGTCAGTATCTGATCCTTTGCGGAGAAACAAAAGTCTAATAGCCATCAGGAGGAACAATTGGAACCGGACTGTTTATCAGCAGTGGAACGGCCATTGCGCATGCTGGTCCAGTCGGGGCTCTGATCGCCTACATCTTTGTCGGCACGATCGTGTACTCGGTGATGACCTCGCTGGGAGAAGTCGCGACGTACATGCCCACCGCGGGCGCCTTCACCTCGTATACAACACGACTGGTCGATCCCAGTCTGGGATTTGCCATGGGATGGGTCTACTGGTTCAACTGGGCTTCGACATTCGCGGTGGAATTGACGGCCTCCGGGATGATTATCCAATACTGGAGAGAGGACTTGTCGATTGCCATCTTCATCGGGGTGTTCTGGGTGTTCATCACACTGATCAATTTTCTCCCTGTCGGCTTCTACGGAGAGCTCGAGTTCTGGTTCTCGGCCATCAAGGTGCTTACTGTTCTTGGTTTTATGATCTTCGCCATCTGCATCGATGCCGGCGTAGGCAAGCAGGGCTACCTGGGATTTCACACCTGGAAGGACCCCGGCGCGTTCGCACCATACCTCATCGAATCAAACGTCAATACCGCCAAATTTGTGGGATTCTGGGCCGTCCTGATCCAAGCCGGGTTCTCCTACCAAGGCACCGAGCTCGTGGGTGTCGCCGCCGGAGAGACCGAGAACCCAGAGAAGACCGTCCCCTCGGCCATCCGCAAGACCTTCTTCCGCATCCTCATCTTCTTCGTCCTAACGATCTTCTTCATCGGTCTGCTGGTACCCTATGACAACCCCAACCTGGTCACCGACACCTCCAACGCCTCCGCCTCCCCCATGGTCATCGCCGCCAACCTCGCCGGCGTCCAGGTCCTCCCCGGCCTGATCAACGCCGTCCTCCTAACAGTCGTCCTCTCCGCCGCCAACTCCAATGTCTACAGTGGCAGCCGCGTGCTCCTCGGTCTCGCGCGAGAGGGCTTCGCACCACAATGGTTCGCCAAGGTCACCCAGCGCGGCGTGCCCTACATCAGCGTAGCCTTCACCGCCGCCTTCGGGCTCCTCGGCTTCCTCAACCTCTCCGAGTCCGGCGGCAGGGTCTTCAACTGGCTGGTCAACATCTCTGGCGTGGCCGGGTTCATCTGCTGGGCGTCCATCAATGCCTGCCACATTGCGTTTATGCGCGTGCTAGCCGCGCGCAATATCTCCCGGGATACCCTTCCCTACAAGGCGATCTGGCAGCCGTGGCTGGCGTACTACGGGCTGTTCTTCAACGTGTTGATCATCTTCACGCAGGGGTTCACGGCGTGGATCCCCACGTTTGATGTCTCGGATTTCTTTGTCGCGTATGTCTGTCCGATTCTGTTTGTGGTGTTGTATCTAGGGCATAAGATCGTCTTCCGCACCAAGTTTGTGGATCCCCTCGAGGCGGATCTGGATACAGGACGCGTCGAGACGAAGAGTACCTCGTGGGAGACGTCTGCTCCGAACAAGGGGTGGTTTGAGAGGGCTAAGGGTCGGTTCATTGGCTAGCATAATCAACTCCACAGAATAAATAGATAGCGACATAGATATAGATATATATATAGATTGAATGACATTAACTCTGTTCGTACTATATGCTTCTATCTATCCATCACCACTACTCCGTACAAACGCATGCATCTTTTAGTATAGTACATTTTGCCAAGATTAAATCCACCGAAACATCCTCGCCATGGACGCAAACCCCCCAGAAACGCCGTCACCCCGGTCAACACCACCAACACCCCATACTCAGACCCATACGCCCCAAACGCCTCCTCCGCCTTCCACCCACCGACTTTCAGCAGCGCCTCGCTCAACGGCCCACTAACCACATTCCCGACCCCGCGCCCCGTCTCCAAGAACGCAAATACCATACTCACATGCGCCGAGCGCTCACTCTTCTGCACCTCGTGCGACAGTGCCGACCAACTCGACGAGTACCCCCCGCAAAGAACCCATACACAATACAGAAAATGTACAACGTCGCTATGTGGTTCGCTAACCCCCACAGCAAGAAAACCGAAGCGACAGCCCCCGCCGAGGAAAGCAGGATGCATTTCGTGACGTGGTGCCGGTCAGCGAGGTAGCCGGTGAAGATGCAGCCGAAGACGGTCATGAGGTTGAAGAGGGTGACGGTGAGGGAGGCGAGGAAGTCGCTTGCGCCGAGGGTGCGGGCGTAGGACGTTAAAAAGATGGAGGGGATCCAGAAGCCGATGGCTTGCATTGTGTTGCCGAGCTGGTAGATCAGGTAGACTTTGTCCCAGAGGAAGCGGAGGCTGAGCTGACGGAGGTGCGAGTGGCGGATGGGGATGCGGGGCTTGTGGAAGGTCATGAAGGGGGCGGCGAGGAGGAAGAGCGCGATGGAACAGGCGCGGAGGGTCGTTTGCCAGCCGTACCGGTTGAGGAGGGTTTGGAGGATGAGCGGGAAGAGGATGCCTGTCAGGCCAGAGCCGCTCTTTGGGAGAGGTCAGTTGGGTGGAAGTAGTTGGATGGAGAAGAGGGGAGGGGGGGGGGAGGATTACCCAGACGATGCCGAAGGCGAGGCCTTTCTTCTCGACGAACCAGTCGGATAGGAAGAGGATGGATGGCGTGTAGGCTAGACATCCCCCGATCCCGTATGCGACGCCCTGCGACATGATCAAGTGGGTGACGCTTGTCGAGAACGAACTCAGGCCCAGCGCGAGACACATGAGGACGAATCCCGCGGTCGAAAACCAGCGTCGAGCTCGGGGGAATGCAAACATGACGGCGATAACGATGGGTGTGGGCAGGTAAGCCAGGCCCTACATAGTCCATGTCAGTCTCGGTCATGTATACACGAAAGATAAAATCTGACCATTGCGCAGGTCCCAATGGACGCAATCTCCGTCGAGTCCGAAAAAGGCTCATGGGTTCGATAATAGTTTTCAAAGACCCCAAATGATTGTGCGAATCCTCTCATCCGTCAACTTTTGCTGTTTCATGTGGAGGATGTGAACGACTCACCCCATACTATACCTTCCACCATGAAACAAGCCGCCAGAAACAGCCATGCTTGATATCCTCCGTCAACTGGCGGTAGTCGGGAGTCATCAAACTCGTCGATGTCATCCGAGAAATCGTCCGACGAGGTCGGTATATGCGAGAATGTCTCTTTGAAGAGCGCTGGGGGTACCGATTCGAGCTCGTTGGCAGCCATCATAGTGCATGGAACGAGCAAGCAGGAAGCAATCCCAAACCTGAAGTAAGTACACCGTCTCGTCTCAAACGAAGAGGCAGGAATGATGAAATACTCTGCGTTGGGATCCACAAGGGTCCGTATAACATCAGGTGAGGCGTGTCCATGACGGTGGAAGCCAGGGCGAGCAATCGTGAGTAGTGGAGAGACGGAGAAAATAGAACCTGGTATCATCCCTTCTGGCTTTGTCACTCGCCGAGAAGCTTTATCATAGTCCTGGTATGTAGGATGTCCCCGAGGGAATGAAACAAGGACAGTTCCGTGTCGATCAGGTCAAGCGCCGTGCCTTTGGTATGTATACCTAGCCCGTTTGGGATGATGGGGAGCTCCCATCTTCTCGACTTGAGCTGGGCTTTTATTGTTGGATATCACTGCCAGACTATTCTGCTTGCCTGTGAACATTTGCCTAATGGGTTTGTGTAATCTCAGCGTATGCTGGCTGCTAGTCACGCCGCTGTACCTCATTTGAGACTTCTTGCATTCTACCGGAATCAATCCTAATATGCAGGCAGGTACACGAGCTCGGCACTCATAGAAAAGGTTGATACACACCATGAGGTCTGAGCAGAGCAATTGTAAACTCCAGGTCAATCAGCTGATATGAAACAACCGAATAATGAAACTTCCCTATGGATATGATACAGCTGCAGATGCTATGTCTTATTCCGCCTCAAACCCTTTGCCAAAGAACAGGAATGATCTTTCGTCATAACTCCGATCAACATGCTCCAACCTGCAGGAAACGGTTCATTCGGCGCAGGAGGCTTAGAAGCGTGGAGCTTGGAGCTCTGAAAATAACTTTGACGCTCGGAGAAGTTGCCAGCTCTGCATTCTTCAGCATTATAAGCATCTGAGATATGTGGAGTATCGGAAAGGCTCTTGCTTGCTGCCCGAACAAGGAGTCGAGGATCGACCTGTAGGACACTGGGCAGCAGGACAGAACGCGTGTGCTTCATCATCGTCCATTAGGTAATTGTTTCCTTCCCTAGGTTCATTACTCATAGGTTATCTATAGCAATGTGCTTTTGATTGATTCATAGATCGTCAGTCGGGTTGCATAGTTCTAAACCGTGTTTACTACTTGATCTGAATAAATGGAAGCCCAAACCGCCAAAAGCAGATATCACTGACCTCGTTCTATTTACGATGCAAGTACAACTAGTCTTATCAGCTCGTTCAAACATGTTCAGTCCGTGACATTCCAAGCGAGCGAGGGATGAGCGCCGGGAATGCTTGTGCTCACTCCTACCTGGTTATAACCCTCGTCCGAACACCCGGATACCGTTGATAAGCACTTTTCCGTTTGATATCAAGAAACCTCGATATTGCAGTGACAGGGCTCGTAAGAATATGTTTCTTGCACCTGGCACTCACTCTCATCATTATCGTTGGTCTGCTGCCTCATCGGACAACTGGGCCAACTGCAGTCATACTATGTTGATGGTGATAGATGACAGGCAGCTGTTCTTGGTGTCGAAGAAAGGTCGTCTACTAATGTCCTACAAGGATGCTGGGGATTAACCGCCACTGAGAATTTCATGATCTGCTGCAAGTGACAAATGTGCACCACGCAAACTTGCTTGGGTATTCATCTCATGGGACAGCACTTTGTTGGAGTATGTGGTCAACGTAAGGGTTCCCATACGCTTGATCATTTAACTCAGGCCCCATACAGCCAGCTATATTGCTATTACCATGTGTCTACCAATTAGTAAAAGCATTATCTGTAGGTTTGCTAGGATATCCGTATGGGTGTAGAGCGTTGCAGTTCAAATTGTCCACGCGAGGTTCCTTATTGTTGGGCCTAAGTCAACCCACGATAGGCAACAGAATGACCTTACACCTCCTCAGAAGATCACACCGAGTCAATCCGATCGTATGGATAACTTGTTGAGCTCTTATTAGCCAGCGTTGACCATTACCAACGGAAAAAACACTGCCGGGCAAACAGCAGACCCGCGCCAGCGTTGCTTCATTCAGTGGCTGCTTGCTTGGTCAGCCTTCCTACTCCGTAACTAGTCTGCGGTAACGGCGAATTACTAGAAGCAGTATAGCATTCCTATTCAAGAAAAGTACACAACTGAGGCCTGGCATATCAGTGCATGGTCTATAAACCTTCGTCCTTGCCCAGTCAAGATAATAGCTAACTTTTGTTGCTATTTTTCCCACCCTTTTGCGGTCCTCTAGCTAGAGTGGCATAACCGAACCGCTAAAATCGAATCCGACCCTCACCGAACTCGCAGCGGTTCGGTTCGGTTCCTAGATTGAGAAATCGCAGCGGGTTAGGGGCGGGTCAGGGTCGGATCCAGGGGGTCAGCGGTTAAACCGCTAGAAACCGTTTTGCTTAGTAATCACTAATTTCTAAGATTTCTCTAGAAATATTAGTATCACTAGATAGCCTAGTATCTAGTCTATCTAAGAATGAAATATCGATTGAAAATATCTAGTGGTTGGTGAGATATAAGAGAATAAGCATTTCTGTCATAGGTTGGTATGAAAGTAGTGGTGGTTTATATATATATACAACCAACCCTTGACAATCACCATGTTTAAAAATGATTTTTTAACCACCACCTATTCAGCCCTATAGATATTGAATCGATATTTTAGATATAGATTAAAATGACTATAATTACCATATATTTCATATAAAATATTAATTTTCTATAGGTATAGTAATAGTATGGTAGATAGTATGGCCATTTGAAATTTCAAAACAGTTAAAATTCACCGAATGATAGCGGTTTAACCAAACCAAATCTAATTATAGTTAGTTAGCAGTGGCCTAGCGAGGCCTATTTAGGCCTATCTAGGCCTAGTAGCGGTTTTTTGCGGTTAAACTCAAACTGAATCGGAACGGATCAGGTTTGGTTCTGATTTCTAAGATTTGGACTCGAAATCGCAGCGGTTCGGTTCCAACTAGGTTTGAACTCGCCCGAACTTGGACTGAATGCAACTCTAGTTATATTTGCTTTCTTGTGGCTATTCATGTTCTCAACCATGCTTCTAGTACTCAAAGTTGAGCAAAAACTGGCAGCGGCTGGTGAACCACATATATGGCCGAATAGAGAAGACTTGACCATGAAATATACGATCCAACGCACAGGGAGCTCGTCGATTGATACCATGCCCTTAGGTAAAAGGCTTCATGGCTACCTGCGACACATCGGCTGCGTTGTCCTAAGAGCACTTGATCCAGGTGCTGTTTGACCCCCTCACAGGACCAGTGCGTTTCCGAGCCCCAAGAGGCATTGACTCTAACTTGTCTGATTAGAGATCTTGATCAAATTAATCTATCCACTGTTGACAATGGGCAAACCAGGCCAGAAACATAATTATGTAACACATGAATCAATCCAGCCCAGACTATATTAGTAATGCTAGATCTGGCTAGGGGTTGAGATCCTGGCTATTACGACAGCACGTTCATTCCTTTCATGAGTTCTGGACGCTGCTTTGGTCCATACTGGAGCCTGCCACAGTCGCAAGCGTGTCGTCTTCTGGTCCCCTCCTGGGATAGATGATCTTGATGATGCTTAGATTGGATATGTTCCTGTAAGTACCTCTAGAATACACATGAGGGCAGTTATGACAAAGATTCCGACATTGTAACAGCAGCGCTCCTGAAATAGAGAGGCCAAAGTCATTGTGCCGCAAACGCAGCCGCATAAACATTCATGTCTTTGACAAACCTGCCTAACCTTCTTGGCCTCCAGCCAAGAAGCTGCTCATCCCGCGCAGAAGAGCCCCGGAACATCATACTCATTACTTTAGCAAAGTTGTCCCCACCAGCACCCTTCAGCGTCACCATCCCTTTGAAACCCCAGCTTACAGCCATGGATTCAAAGATCTCACGCATGCCCTCCTGGCTCGTAACCAGGTCAAAAACAGGGTATACACCCATTCCGGAGATGAAAGGGAGCTTCACAATAGCACACTGAAAGGCTCACACTACATCATTAATATGTACCAGACCTGGCCTTGCATCCGCGTCTAAAGGAATCTTAATCAACATCTTCTCTGAACAAACGCCCAGCCCAACTATCATTCGTGGACATCGTCGCTTCGTAGTAGCGCATTGGGATGTCAAGCGTAATGCCAAATTGGGGTGTGGGTAGTTAATTTGGGTCTGACTGCTACTCAGCCAGCCACATCTCTCTCTAATACATTCTTAAGAGGCTATGTAAAACACTGATCTTGGCCCTCTTCAAAGACATAATTTGGTGCTTGAGACCTGAGCACCTGAAGCACCCACCCAATCCTAGGTGGAAATTTCAAATGCAGTCATTAACAGTGTAAACATTACGCAAGGAAACCAGGTCGGGGATGTGAAATAACTGGAATGAGGGAGGCAACCTGTCATTGCCCATAAGGACCTTGCTTTGCTTCGCTCACCCCGAAATAGCGGCCTGATTCAGCGTATCAGACCGGGGGTGCATTTCATACCCAAAACTCACTGGCTGTATAGCAGGAAATCAGCCGCCACAGAACTGTCGGAGCAGTTGTTAGCTAGAAATGCCAGAGTTAGTGCCAGGGTTCACACCTGAGTCCACCCTAGCATGGCCGTTTTGGCCCCTTTCACAGAACATATACGATCGCTGATAGATTAGCCTAATAATGACCAGCGAAGCCAAAAAGAGCAAAGACTGCGCTATGGCATCTAACCCTACAGGCACATGGGTGGGGAAATATGAGAACTGACAGGTAATTATCCCCAGGCTTGCCTTCAGCCGCAAAACGTGAGTGTAATTCTCATTTCCCACCTCTTCTTCGTAGCCTGTCAGGTAAGCTCGGATTTTTCTACCGCCAATTAGAAGGAACATGCGTGCAGCGGGTTTCTTGGCGCTTGATCTAGCTCCCTTTTCAAGTCAATTATCAATTTTCCACTCAACTTTCTGGACATACTATTACATACAGCCCGAAATTGACCCCTGTAAATGGATGTGCTGTACAAGGCGGACCTGCAACAGCGATGCACCTGTAGAAAGAGAGTCTATTGATTGGGCCATTTTGACCTCCAAATACGCCCGGGCCAATAGCACCCAAGGCCTTCCGGAGAATCCTTCCAGGGAATACTACCAGAGAATCCTCCCAGAGAATCCTTTAGACTGTACGCATGTATGATGAACAAGGTGCTGGGCCATTTTGACCTCCAAATACGCCCGGGCCAATAGAACCCAAGGCCTTCCGGAGAATCCTTCCAGGGAATACTACCAGAGAATCCTCCCAGAGAATCCTTTAGACTGTACGCATGTACGATGAACAAGGTGCTAGTATCCTGCTTTGACTATAAGAACAGTGGATTTCGCTCAAGTCATCACACATGCAAGGAGAACAACCTCAGAGAACAATTTCTTCTTACCTTTCCTCATATTCTGCTCATCATGAAGTTTCTCAATCTTCTCTTTGTTGCTTTTACACTTAGCGGTTTTTCTTCCGCTATTCCTACGCCTGAGGCGGATAAACTCGAACCTATCACTGGAACCGTTATTTCTACTGGTGTCACTGAGAAAGGCGAGCCCTACACTATCACGGCTGACTTCGTTGAATTGACCGATGAGAAGTGTAAGTTGCCTATCACCTGTTTCGCTAAGACAGAGCCTCGAATCACTCCCTCCAACCAGTCCTGAAACTAATGACTCCCATATAGTGGCCCTTTTGGGGAAAGCCCTGGAAATGCCACCTCTGGCCTCGAAAAACGTTGGGGCTTCGGCGCCAGTGCGAACTGCAACCAATGGTTTGAAAATAAATATTGCTACTGCAGCGGCGCAATTTCGAACCGTGGGGATTCCTACTGGGGTAGCCAGGATTTCTGCAACACGCATATGTTTAAGAACTTCCAAAACGGAGACCTCTACACCGTCAAGTGGCTACCGACGGTTAAGATCGAGTATTGGGTTACGAACACGTGCAACCACGATAGATATGTTGGAGACAACTGCGGTGCTATCTTTCTTGACCTCATCGATTGGTGCCAATGGTCGTGGGAGACTGCTAAGGGAGGACATCAGCAACTCGATGACTGTCTTTGGTTCAGGTTCGACGTGAATGGCCGTTAGAGCAGAGCCGGGGAAGATTGAAGAAAAGTGTTGAGGGGAATCAATAGGCGATAAGGCGGAAGCTGCGGGTAGGCACTATATAGCAAGCGGCGTAGGCTATATTGAGTGAATAAGAATTGAATAGCTAACTGATAACTGGGCTGAATCCTCTCTCAGGAGAGGTACAACTGAACACGTAGGAATATCTGCTGTGCCAAGGTTACTATTCCAATAAAGTATAGTTGATATCTATGATATCCTCAACAAAAAGAGTGCCTTGTTGTCTACGAGCTTAGATAGGACAATAGCATACTTTTTCCAATCACCTACCGCATACTCTGGTGAATAACGAATTCTGACTATTGCGCGGAGGGGTATAACTTTAGCGGCCGGAGCTTCCTGGAGGGTGCGGGCCGCGGCGGGGGCAGCTTGGGCACATCCAGCCGAGGACTTGGCGGGCATAGAGTCGCCTAATCAGTGAATTGCCAAGCCGTATTACAACTGGGGTTCCTGGGGGCTGGTATAGGCTTGCGGCCAGGGGGTTGCTACCATTTAGTAACAGGCAATTGGGAAACTAGCTGCGGGCAGCTGGCTCCTAAGGCTCGCGCTGAGCAACAGTTAATAATCTGTCTGGTTCCCATGTACAAGCTCATTCAATTAAACGGCCTTGGAGGGCTTTTGAGTTTAACGGCTCGGAACTAGAGCCAGCCCACCATTCCATATTCAGCTCCAGTTTTTTAAGGTATTTGCAGTAAGATTCCAACATAGCATCCGTCCACTACGCACACGGGTAATTATCTCATTATCTACTGGAGCAAATCCCATTCAAACTGACAGGCCTGTAGACCAGCTCTTACTAAGGACTCGGCAGCCTTTTTGGCCTCAACCTCTGGCTGCCGCGCCCGCAGTTCGCGCTCCCGTCCGGCTGCTTGCTCTAGAGCCTTCTTAATATCTTCCACCTCAGCAAATCGTTGATTTGGATCTTCTATAACCCGTTTCTTATTCTTTGCACTAGAAAATGAATCTAGTTCGCTTGAGAGTTTATAGGCGACCAGGTCTCCTTAATCGATAGAACTATAGTGCAGTAACTTACATATACTACCATGTGACATTCAGAAACTGTGAAGCAATGGATGCTTGTACGGCGGACTATTTATACAAAAGGAACTTTTGGATTTTTTACTGTTCACTGCACATATTACCTATTGCCACTACCTCCACGAATCTCCTACCTGAATATAGTGAACAAACATAGTTACTATGGTTGCACTAGATGAGAATTTAATATCAATACTAGATGGCATTTGATATTGATACTAGGTGGCATTCGATATCAATACTAGGTGAGAATTCAATATCGCTACTTGACGGCATTCAATATCGATACTAGACAGCATTTGATATCGCTACTAGATGGCAATCGATATCGATACTAGGTGAGAATTCGATATCGATACTAGACGGCATTCAATATCGCTACTAGATGGCATTTGATATTGATGCTAGATGGTTTGATATCAATACTAGATGCCATTCAATATTAATACTAGATGAGAAAAAATTAATATTAAAATATTTAAGGCACTAACACACAGCACGGAAAGACCGCACTTTTGAACTAAAAGACCACACACAACCATGGTCTTTCTGTTGTCACCAACACATACTCCGTAGTGCAGCCTGAACATATATACCTCCACCACATTGATGCTACGTCGTGAGGCGGGATTTATATTTATCTTCCTTCGCGAAAATGGTAAACATTTGCAAGACTGGAATATATGTATCAACTAAGGTATCTGACTATGTCTAGAAATCCGCCGGCTCAGGTAACTTCTCCGGCGTGTCATCACGATACGTATCCGTAATCAAATGCGCAAAACTCGCAGACCAGGCCACGCGCGGCGACAAGTACTCCAACCCCCACAGATCAGCCACAAACTTCAGGATAGACGTATGCGTGAACTCGCCGTTCTGATCCGTCGGCCTGTTCTGCACCACACCCTTACCCACCCACGGCGACATCAGCACCGTCGGCACCCGGATGCCCAACCGATCAAACGCAAACGTGGAGGACCTGCCATCCCGCGCCGTCTCAGTGTAGGTCAGGTCATCGCCGGCAGGCACGTTCTCCGGCGGCGGGACATGGTCCGCGAAGCCGCCGTGCTCGTCAAAGGTGAGGATGAAGAGGGTCTCGTGCCACTGCGGGGACGAGCGGAGCGCCTCGTAGACGCTCTTGATCCAGCCCTCGCCCATGTTGATGGGTGAGGGAGGGTGGAAGGACATGTACGAGCAGCACTCCGGGTTGATCCAGGTGAACTGGGGCAGGGTACCTGCTTTAGCGTCGCGGTAGAACTGGTCGATGGGGCGGACGTTGGTCTCGCCGAGGCCGGACATGGCGGTCCAGCGGTAGAAGAGCGCGTCGGGGAGGAAGCCAGTCGTGTTGGAGTAGTTGATCCAGCTGATGTTGTTTTCGGAGAGCTGCTCGAAGATGGAGCGCTGAGGGAGGGCCGACCTATCGAAGTCGGGGTCGTTGGCGCCGTGGCCGTGGGACGTGCCAGACGTCAAATAGGCGCGGTTTGGGTTGGTTGGGCCGGGCACGGCGGCAAACCAGCGGTCGAAGAGAACAAAGTTCTCGGCCATGGCGTTGAAGACGGGGACGTGCTCGGGGTGTAGTAGTTGATGACCTCGCCGGCGCGTGAGAGGTTGCCTTCGATGCCGTATGCGGCGATCTGCTCGGCGACGAAGCCTTGCATGTTGGGGCCATCGGAGTCATAATCTGGATGGTAGGTGCTGTACACTTGTTGATTTCCACCGGTGATACTGTGGTCAGGATCATCCGGGGCGATATTCTTCGCCGTCGGCTTTGCGCACACCATTGGCGAGTAGGGATCGGAGACATTGGCCGGGTTGCAGTACTCGCGGTTTACGAGGCCATCAATACTAGGATTATATGTGAGTCCGCCGGCATAGTTGTCGAACGACAGGTTCTCCTGCACCAGAACCACGACGTTCTTGATCGGACTGGAGAGTCTGCTGTGGGGCACATGAGGCGCAGCGCCTGCGCCAAAGCCCAGCGTGAAGAAAACAGCCAGCGATAATACAGTCATGGTAAACAGGAGCAGCGAGATGGCGACGAGAGCCCACCAGGAACGGGGTCGTCTGCGCGACCCCAGATATTTATCTCCTCGGGTGGATCATGCGGTAGCAGACGCTCCGTCTCGTCCGAGGCCTGTTTACCTGCTGGAAATGATGCATGTGCATCTTTATCTGCTTTGGGTTGCATTTTGGCGGTGGTTCTGTAACCCTTTCGGGGGATGTTGATGAGAGTCGTGAGAATGACTCGCCAGTCACCCTGGAAGATCATCCTCACTCTCCGACGTGGGGTTTATCTTGGCTGGCTGATCCTGATCTGATCATCCGGCATCCACTCGCGCGTCAACATGTGGGCAATACTGCATCTTATTGGGTACAGCAGCTCTAGTGCCTGGGAGCTAAAGAGCCTGCTTTAACAGAGAATAACCGGCGCGTGGCTGGGGGATGAGAATTCTATTGGTTTGTCACTTTGTGGCGCTGATTGGCGGGTGTGCTCCACAACCGGACACAATATCCTCATTTGCTGGATATGCCTCTATTCACTGTTGTACAGTTCTGGTCTACACGGTTTATGATGTATCTAAATTATACCACACCTTCGATTTCCCGTCCCCCGTCTGTAGTCTATCATACTGGTTATTCTGTTCACCCGCTAAAGATTTCCCCCTTAAATCACCTGGTTTGCTGCCCTCTCGCAACCTATCCATCGTTGGTCTCAGACTTGGAAGGCAGCTGCTTCTTCTTGACAGTACGCCATTCCATAGTCACTGCACCCAGGGTGGCAAGGCAGGCCATAATGAGACCAACCTGGAAGACCACCCGCAGTGAGTCATTATAAGCCCCCAGCGAGGCAGCACTGTCCTCGACAGGAACGTGATCGAGAAGCTGGGTGGCCCCTGTATTCTGGACGACTTGCGAACTTATCGCTAGATGCTTGACCAGCTGGTTGCTGAGGACGTTCTGGCCGACCGACGTAAAGACCGCGCCAAAGAGTTGTTGAGCAAAGAACATGAGCGATGCGCCGATGGCCACCTGCTCGCGGGGGAGCACTGTCTGCGCCGCCATGTTTGGTATCTGGTTGCAGGTGCCGAGGCCATAGCCATATAGCACATGAAAGCCAATCCACTTGCCCTTTGGTGTGTGGACCCCGAGAGTGGTGAGCAGACCGGCGCCGATGGTGGACAGGACGATCCCCAGCATCAGAAAGGGCGTGTAGTAGCCGATGCGGGAGACTAGCTGGCCAGTGAGTATGGACGCTACCACCAGCGGAAGAAGCATAGGAAGGAGGCGGATGCCGCTCTCGACGGCCGAGACACCGTCAATCACCTGGAACCAGATGGGAAGATAGTACACTGTCGGCCATCAGCAAGCGGATCACTCGTGAAGTTTGCAATTCCAGCCGACTCACCGAACAAGATAACATGTGCTCCGAGGCAGCAGCTTGCCCAAAAGCCAGAGGCGATGGTCCGTTGTAGGAAGACGTGTGGTGGCAGCATCGCCTGCTCTGGCTTCCACACTTGGATCAAGACGAACGCGATCAGAAACACAAAGGCCAACACCAGCAGCGCGACGATCCGACCCTCGCTCCACTAGACGCGGTCAATACAATGCCGAACAAAAGCTACTATCGCAGAAAACTTACCGCGTACTTGGTACCACCCCACTGCAGAGCCAAGCAAAGACAAACGATCCCAGGAATGATAGCAAGTATTCCCAGACCATTCAGCTGACGCAGCTTCTCCCTCAGTGGCTTCTGGGTGTTCGGACGGTCGGGAATGTCGAGAAAAAGAAGGATGACCGCAATTACCATTGCTCCTAGGGGAAGATTGATATAGAAGCACCATCTCCAGGTGATGTTGGTGGTGAATGCGCCGCCAACCAGCGGGCCAGCCACCGAGGCGACCCCAAACACAGCCCCAAAGGCCCCCTGATACTTGGGCCGCTTGTGCAGTGGAAGCGCATACACGAGGATTGTCATGGCACCTGCAGAAATGCCTCCAGAACCCAGGCCAGCAATGGTTCTGCCGAGAATGAACCCGATCGAGTTTGGAGCCGCGCCGCAGAGGGCTGAACCGACCTCGAACAGGACAATGGACGTCACGAAGGTGGCCTTGATGCTGAAAACAGTGTATATCTTCCCAAACAGCAGCTGAAAAGCACAGTTGGTGAGCAGGTACGCCGTGCCATACCACCCAATATCTCCTGCTGAATGAAACTCGTCGGTGATCTGCGGAATCGCGGGCGAGATGATGAGCCGGTCCTGCGTGGTCGGCATCAGTACAGAGAGTCAATCTCGACGGGATATGGTTCAAATTACCAGAGAAACCAGGAACATGCCAATGAAAATGGAAGTTATCAGCAGAGCGAGCTTGAGCCCAGTTGGGTAGACAATGTCATCCTTGTCCTGGTCTTCGGCGGGTTTCCCTTGAGACATCGTCGATAGATACAAAGCCACTGGCGAACAACAGAAAAGAAGATCAATGAGCGTTTCTTCAACTGGGGACAGGATTTGAAAGATCTGAGAATGCATAATAGATGGTGGTAAAAAAATTAGATGAATATATTTATATATATTGCCCTATAGACCACTCGCTGCTCGGGTCTCAAAATTGTTTTTTTCCCCTCCGAGCCCCGACCGCTGTTTCTGTTCATCTTTTCTTCAACTCACCCCGACACATTTCTCAATCCCACGCAGAATATGCAACAATGACTCGGTCTACAGACGAAGGAAATTTCAAAAGCTACTCGTGCTTGACTTGTCGGCAGCGAAAGGTTAAATGCGACCGGCGTGTTCCGTGTTGCAACTGCGTCAAGGTCAACAAGCAATGCAGCTTCATTCCCCCGGTGCGTGGGAAACGAAAAAGAACCAAACCTCCCCGAGAGGGTCTGCACGCAAAACTGGAACGGTACGAGAAACTGTTGAGTCTACACGGCATCAAGTCTGAGCCATCCGATGCTGTCGATGACTCCGACTCCGAAACTGATGTGTGCGTGGACGAGGATGCCAATGTCGTCGACACTCCACAGTCCACACTCGAGGAGACGAAACCAAAACTCATCATACGAGAAGGGGTATCCAGATACTTTGACAGGTGTGTTGCGTCTATTGCCTTTTACCATCGTTCCTAGCATCTGACATCGTGCAGTGCACCTTGGTCTATTTTCGGCGGCGAGGTAAGCACAGTCCTCGCTTTCCTCCTGGCTGCCTCGGTCTTGTCTAATATCGTTTAGTTTCAACATCCAGAGGTCGGTGGACATGTGGATGAATCGTTTTCTGACGAGAATGGGTTGTTCTTCGGACAGAACGAGAAAGTCGAAAATCTCGCAAGCCTCCACCCGTCTGTGCAGATACTGCCAAAGCTAAGGGATATATATGCCGATCGGGTTGACCCTCTGGTTAAAATCCTGCATCTTCCGACATTGTCGGCTACGTTAGAGAATGCACTGCGGCATCCAGCAGAGCGATCCAGAAGCCTAGAGGCTATCATGTTCGCTTTCTACCTGGCGGTCGTTGGTACTCTCAACGAAGTCGAGTGCCAGGATCTGTTCGGACTCTCGAAATCGGTCATGTATTCCCGCTATAGAGTCGCAACTCGTCAAGCTTTGATCAATGCCAGATTCCTGTCGTCTTCCAGTCCAATGACTCTTCAGGCATATGTATTGTTCATGGTAAGCCATGGCTATCCAGCCCTGTTTCACGGCGACTAACAGATGAAGATGTGCGTCAGAAAGAGTTACTCATGCGACACATTGTTTGTCTTGTCGGGCGTCGCCATCCGGCTGGCACGCAAAATGGGACTCCACCGTGATGGCTCATTTCTGGGACTTTCGCCGTTTGACGCAGAAATGCGAAGACGACTATGGTGGCATTTGGTCCATGTGGATTTTCGGGTCGCCGATGTGCTGGGGACCAGACCGTCAATGGATATTACCTGCGCGGACACCAAAACACCACTCAATGTCGATGACGAGGATCTGCATCCAGACATGACTGACCTGCCGCCTGAACGCAATGGCATCACCCCTATCTCCCTTTGCCTGATCAGACACGAGATCATGGTCTCTTTGCATGACTTCTCAACATCTTCTCCTGCTGACATGCGCTGGGAAGTACTACTGGGGCCCAAAGTCCCTCCCGCCAGAAAGGACCATATTATCAGCCAAATCGAGGATCATTTAGAACGAAAGTACTTGCGGTATTGTGACCCGGCAAACCCGCTGCATACTTTCGTATCCATCATGATCCGGTTCTCCATATGCAAGATGAAGCTCGTTGCTCACAATCCGCGCCAATTCGCCAGCTGTCCCCCAAAAGATCTTCAAAGAGAGCGCGACATCGTATTCGCCAATGCCACAAAATTATTGGAATATGTAACTCTGGTGCAGGGCGGTCATCGCGGTCTGGAGAAATACACGTGGCAGATCGGCACAAGCGCGCTGTGGAACGCTATGCTTTACATGCTGATCGAAATTCGACATCGTAGAACCGGGCCGGAGGTGGACCGGTCCTGGCAGTTGATCGGAGTCGTGTTCTCTTGCCCTCGGATCTTTGGCAGAACCCCTGCACCGGTGGATACGGTGCTTCGCAAGTGGACGCTGGAGGTATGGAACTACTATGTTGCTGCTTCGAAGGCTGAGGGGCTGCCGGAACCATCGACGCCGGAGTATATCAACGAGATTTGCGGTAGGATCAGGTCAACAGGCAATCCATCTCGAACCGAACATGCGTCTGCGGACCGTGGCCCTGTTGTTGGGAGTTTGCCCGGCTGCAACCAAATACAAACCAATGGATATGAAAGTCTTCCTGATTTCGGATCTCTTGACTCTTACGAGTTTCCTGATATCCTGTCTTTCGAGATGGACTCGAATGAATGGGTACAGTGGGAGCAATTGGTTGCAGAGGGAGGCCGCTCGTGAGTGCGAGTTTACATGCTCCCAACTAAGACTAGAATCTTTAAGTCCTAACCATAATATCAATGGACTTTGATGACCCCCAACTGGTACGCAATGAAACCAACATTACACTTCTCTTCCAGCGTCAGCTCCTTCCAACTCTTCTTCTCCTCCCACTTGCTCTCTTTCTCATCCTCATCCAAAGCAGCATTATACTGCTCACATGTAAAACTCTCACTCTCGAAGAACGCTCTGACGTCGTTTCCTAGGCGGCCCATCGAAGTACTACCCCCAGAGGCAAACACTTGCCGGAGGATATCGCGTATCCGGGTTGCTAGAGCTTCATCGCCAAGCCGCAGCCTCTGCCCGGGTGATGATAGATGATCAGCTACGCCGGTATCAATCTTTTCGATCAATTTGTGCATGTTGACGAGGCATTCTTGCTGTAACAACCCAAGAACTATTAGGAATCTTCCAAAAGCGATTTGGTCACCGAAGACTCACATCTATGATGCGCCAGTAATTGTGATTCCGGACGGTGGCGGCCCATTGCGGCGGGCTATGCATGAGAATGTCAGAGAAATGCAAAGGACTATCCCGTTCTGGAAAGGCACTAAGACTTACTCAGAGCAAAGAATCGTGTCCCCGCCGCGTGCATGCCATGCAAGCCGCAGACTCTGACGCAGTTGTTGATCCGCGGTATTCTTATTGTTTGAATCGGCCCAGCCACCGCTGACTCCTCCAGCAACGTAGGGACTCGAAAGGCTGAATCCCGCGGCGGTCTTCATGCTGTCTTTTGTGGCTGCTAGATTCTGCCTCTCTGTTGTAGTTAGACTTCGGGTACTATGCAGTTCTCCGCCGAGGGTGAAGGTTGCCGCGAAGATGTTTCCTGAATCCTTAATCAGCATTGGTTGATGATGGTCTGAAGGATCTCACCATAGTCGCGGATGAATTGCTTAACATCCTCTGGCGTCTTTGTGTCTTGGGCTTGCTTGATGCATTCTGGGGTCAGCTCTAGGCAGGAACTGTCCAGCTCGACGACAGCTCGGGGAAACTATCGTAAGTATTAGTTTAATTTTCTGTATGTTTCTTCAAGTCATGGCTGACCTTGTATGAGATGTGTAAGTTGTCAAAAGTACTAGTTTTGGTGTCTTTTGAGGCATTTGAATGCTCTTCCTCGGACGCCCTTGAAACAGATCCCGTGCTGGCGAGGGTTTCACTACCTCCAACTGCACTACCCAAATTTGTTAGATAGAGACGCATTGAAGGTCTGATGTACTCACCCAGCGGCTTTCACCACGGTAGCACTGAAACCCTGTCTTGCTAATATAGTCTGAAAAGCATTCTGCGTCTCTGTCACCTCGACAGCGGCCTCATCATGGACATAGAACGGAGGAAATGGAGGCAAAGGCTCCAAGGAAGATGTCAGTTCCAAGCAGAGAAAAAAGGCCAAATGGTGGACCTCACATTCGTCGTGGTACCGTCGCCCTTCCTAGGCGCAAGATTGAACGCTTCAACAAGTTAACAGGAGAGCATTGCCGCGGATAGTATCTGGTACTAATTTACCTCTCTTGGGGGCTTTCCGCATGATACCATTGGCCCCGTTTAGATAATAACCATGCAGCGCACGATTATTCGCCAAAATACGAGCCCATTGAATTTCAGTCAGATCCTCTGGGTCACTGGCTTGCTCTGAACTACACAGACATGTAGTTAACAGGATATGACATTGAAAAGACTGCAAAAGGGAGCTTTACCCAGCGACTGTAGCAAAATTCATCGAACTGGCAGCAAGCTTGCCCAGCCTCTTGGACAGCTCCTCGACGTCCGCCACCTGAGCGCCATTTTTATCGCCCATCTGTGCAAGGATATCTTTGATACCTTCTTGCAGTTCCTTGTTGGGCTCAATAGGCGCCTTTGGCTTGCTCTCGGCACTACTTGGGAGGAGCTTGACTTTGACTACGCCAACCGTCCCGTCGGATGAGGGCTCTTTGTTGCCGCCTTTGACTTTTGTCTATCCTTCATGAGGTTGCATGGACCTATCGTTTCGATTCGTTTCATACCTCTCCTGCCAAAGCCATATAATAGGCAAGTGTGATCCCATCATTGACGAAACTGGTGTCGTCGGCGGTAAACTTTAGCTTCTGGGAGCTGTTTTGGTCAGGAATAAGTGGTCAACCTTTCAGCTGGGGTATCTCCTTACATTCTTGCATGACTTCGAATATCAGACAGCAATATTTTGTCGGCATGCCCTTCTTTGATGGTATCGCTCGAAAACGATGGAAAGGGTGTCGCATCTTTGCTGACGATGGTGATCTGGAATTTCGGCCACGTGCGATGAGAAATCTCTAGAGGGTTGCCTTGAGGAGGCTGAGACATGATGAAGCTGGACTAGATTTTCTTTATGAAACCAGAATAGGACTCTAAATACAGATGCAACTTGCTTAACTCAAGAACGGGGAGACCTGTAGGAGCATGTGAGTACAGAAAGCGAGAAAATGCTTGCAACAATCAAGGCCCGGACCTTCAGATATCTTAATGAGATAATCCAGCCATTGACCTGATTCTACTTAATGATGGATGTGGGATGGTCTACCCCACTTGATCTGCATTAGATGCGATAGTATCATGATGCGGGCCTTCATATACCAAGAATCCTAGTAGCAAGAACGCAGCTGTTAATTAGCTTCTCAACCAGGTTATGAGATATCCCCTCACTACGAGACTATTACCCTCACTACATTTCCCTTGACTAAAATGAACATAAACGATCGAATCAAGCTGGAATGGGCTGAAGAAGTGATTTACTAATTGACGACATTGACAGCCATTTCTTTCCCCTCGCTTGCAGGACTAATGCAGCAATAATCCTTCGCCGCCTGAGAAGCGGCCTGAGCAAGTAATCCACAACAAGATAACCAACCATAATCATGACAACACGAGTGGCGGATGCATAGATCACAATGGTGTCTTTAGCTATGAAGATCAACCCCACTACAATGGTGATGGTCTAGTCTACACATAATGCCCCGCGTACAGCTTCACCCCGCCACATACATCAGCATAATCTCGCTCCATTGCTCCAAGATGACGCTCTAGTTTTGCATTGTATCCAATGTCCTGATTCTAGTTATCAGTCTGCAGTATTCTCAGCGAGCGCAGTAACCAAAATGCCTGAAATTCTTGACGAAGAGTGGCACCCCGTGGGCGAGGACGACAAGGCTATCAAAGACGCCTTTGGCAAAGTCTTGATAGAAGGTCCGAACTCGTTTGTAAAGGGGGAACCAGAGTCTCCGTCTTTTATCCTCAAGACAAAAGGATATTATGGTTTGTTCGCACCCTCAGACATGACGCCCGCCAGAGTTGACGGTTAAAGATCTCCAGCTGTATGTCCTGGGGGGCATCCGCTTCCCAGATTCCGACAGGAAGTTTGAAAGTGTTTACCCCAAGAAGGGTGTGCAGGTGCTGGAAGACCTTGATCCAGGAATTCATGAAGTATCTACATCCCACGACATGATAGGTGTATTCATGTTGACTAACTAAAGATAGTTCACTCGAGATACGGTTGTTGCTATTGCGCAACACTGCAAGGAGTTTGTTGACAAAGGACTTGGTCGGCTTAGTGAGTCATTACCCCTTTCCTATCAAGCAGATGCTCTATTCTTAACATTGAATATAGCAACATTGGCAAGTGGGACGATCACATATGCCGAAGAGGCCATGGGCCTGTTGAAGTTGGAAGGAGAAACAAGTTTCAAAGATCAAATTCCTGTCCTTCTTGATCCAAGGTATAAAACACAGCCGAAGGATGAGGAGTTCAAAGAAGCTTTAGAAGGGGCAACGATGGCCCTGAATCGTCTGAGATCGACAGCAAAAGAGAAACAGGAAGATACACAGGAAGTTGTCACATTACTGACTTCTGTAAGTCAACAACTTTCACAAGACAATTTCTACAACAACACTAACAATCGAATCCAGTTTGTAGTCAATACAAGCAAGGACAAGAAGGAGGCCGAATTACTCCAACAACAATTCCGCGATGGACCTGTCATAGATCGTATCACCAAGGAGAAAAGAATCGAAAAGAACGGCCAACCAATCAAGCCATTCAGCAAGCTCTTGGATGCGGAAATCATTCGCCTGCAGGAAGAAATCGAAAGGGAAATCGAGAGAGCCTCGTATGAAAGAGATGTGATGGTCAGTTTTCCCTTCCATTCATCTGCCAGCTAGGTAGCTCACTTCAAACAGTCGAAACATGAACCCCAGCCATTCGCCGCAGCCGAGGGGGATATCATCGGCGTCATTATGGACGCGTACACATACAACCTGGCTGAGAAGAAGTACAACGAAATGCTGGAGCTTGAAAAGACACACACCAAAGAAAAGACTGATGTGAGGCGTTACATCACCATGGTGAGAGCTTTGCTGCTACATATGGAGACGCTGGTGCCCCAGATGGCCAAAGCTCTGGAGGCCGCAGAGGAACTACAAGAGCTGTTCGAGACCCAAGCGGACAACTTTGACAAACTTAGACTCAAGCTTGCGGGTATACAGGAGGGGGTAGATGCCCAAGGGCTGAAATGGCGGAAGGCATGGATTACGACGAACATTGACAAGTCCGTGCAAAAGCTTGAAGAGGTATGCTGATCCTGCAACTATAGGATATCATTGAATACATGGAGACCGGCTCACATTATGCAGATCAAGCAGGCCGCGTTGGCATTTGACAGAACCGCCAAGATCAAGGTGGTAGAGGTTGAACGAAGGCTTTCAAGGTTTCAAAGTCGGCCCTTGAACGGTTATAAGTGACGAGGGACTATGTAGTTGCGCCTCAGACGGGTAATAGAATTCCACGGATTGAGTGCTGGTATAGGTTCCCACTTTCATGCCAATCAATAATCGCCTGTTCCCCTGCAGAGTATCCTGTCGATAGATGATATGCTCCACCCTTTCCTCATTCAACACAAACGGCGGATTATCTGACGTACATTGACGAGCCTCACTGATACTCCCGAAATTCAGTATTTTCACTGGTTCACTTTGCCTGTACGGCTTCCGAAGACCCATCAAACGTCTCTACAGTAACCTCACTCCCTAGGCTGACCGCAGTGTCCTCGGAAGCTCGAAAGGGAGTACTATCAACCCTCATGAGAGGCTCACTCTCGGCATCGATGAGTTCGGGCGACATCTTAACAACAGCCACACCCGTCTCCTGATCGCCATCCATAATGTGGTAATTCGACTTGCAGGAGCAGGCGGGACAAAATGCGACACTCATCGGCCGGGACATGCGAGCTAAATATGCCTTGTATCTGTCAATAGCAGCCCTTAAGGCCGCGTATGTATGGAACAGACTGGAGAAATTTACATTAGCTTCCAAGAGAAGAGCAGGATAGGTAGGTACTGGACACTTACCCGGAGACTAGACATGCTAGATTGCCATACACACAGACCACATGCTTACCCACGGACCCGGCAACGATGAGCATAGTGAAGTATATCACTGTGAGGTATATTGCGAAGAAAAGGTCGGCGATGATGACTTTCACACCAGCGGTAGATTTTGACAATGCTGGATATCGCCGGTATCGATGGAGCAATATAATAGATAATAGGCCAGAGCTGCTAAGCTAAAGGAAGAAAGATCCTGGGTTACGATGCTGTCGTGAAGAACAGGTGTATAGAGATGGCCGTACTTACAGCTACTAGCTGGTTGATCGAAGCCGTCTGGGCATTTGCGGTAAAGATGCCAACTAGGTTGAAGGGAAAAGAGACGATGGCAATAAAAATGAGGATAATTCGAATATTGACAAAAGCTTTATCTGGTCGATGTTCAAGTTTCTCCATCGTGTTAGCTGATTCAGGTGTCTAAGCTAAATGTTTAAGAAGCGGGGAGGTCCCTACTCGATCTTAAATCCCAATAAATAGTGTTGCCTAATGCTGAGTTGCCAAGCCAGAGGGTGCATCATGTTTGTTTCAGAGGGCAAGGAATTAGAATCGGAACTGGCAGATCACTGCTTTGTTCATTGTCACGTTTGGGCTTAGACCCGGTTGATCCTTACCGTAGTTATTGTGGATCAAATGGTCAGCGTCAGCAGCCTGCAATCTTGGCAGATGTGTCCACTACAGTGAGTGCTCAAGTAGATAGCTTGCTGTGTAATGGGCATGGGCATTAGCACCATCAGAGGGCAGGCGATTGTCTAATGCTTCATGACTGCCAAGTTGGATCAGATGATAGACAATAGATTGACACTGTTTCAAGGCTCATCATTCAAGAGAATCCGCATGCATCTACTTAGAGGTGGATTGGAGGTGATCGGAAAGACAAGCTATGACATAACTGATATCATAAAGGCATTACAGGTCGACAAACTCCCCCCTCAGCAACTCATCCTCCTGCAGTCTCTTTAAATAATCACTTACCTTGCCCGTCATCACATCGATATCATACCCAAAGAACTTATACGCCGCCTTTCCAGGCAAACTATGCCCAAAGCGCCTTACACAGATCCCCGCATCCGCGTACCGCTCCCAGCCATTCGGTGCGTACGGCTCAATCACCGCGGCAGGAATCCCACGGTGGTGCTGGAGAACTCCTCGCTTGTACTTGACCGGCTGCTACTCGAACAGGCGCTGGCAGGGAAAACTAACTACCCGCGCGACAATTCCCCCTTGAGTCTCTTCGCCACATCCAGAGCAAAGGTCAGTTCTGCACCGACGCCAATAAGCGTGACGTCGGCGCCTTCAGCCACCTCCAGAACGTATGCACCCCTTGCTACACCCTCACGACGGGTCTGGTTCAGCTGAGGCAGCGCATGCCGCGAAGTCGAGATGATGGTCGATGTCGTTCTGGCTTCGATAGCGGTTATCCATGCCCCGGCGGTTTCTTCGCTGTCGCCGAGGCGGATGTACAGTAGATTTGGCATGGCTCGGTACAGACTGGCTAGTTCGACGGGCTGGTGCGTTGGTCCGTCCTCGCCCATTCCGATCGAGTCGTCGGTGGCAGCGTGGATGACTTGGTGTTGCAGAGAGCCCATCCGGACGACAGGAGCAGCGTACAGGTAGAATATGAAGAAGGAGGAGGTAACGGGGATGAAGGTATTGGGGCCGAATGCAGCGAGACCGTTGGAGATGGCGCACATGGCGTGTCCGCGGACTCCGTAGTGGATGTATCTGCCAGAGTAGTTGCCGTTGATACCGCAGGTGGTGCGGAGTTTGGGCTGGCCATGTCAGTGGGTGTCTACAGGGGTGAGGAGAGGAGCTTACATGTTGAAAGTCAACCTTGCCAGGCCAGGTCATGTTGACGGAGGGCGAGAGGTCTGCAGTTCCCACCATGAAGGAGGTAAGTTCCTTGCCGATGGGGTTGAAGACCAGCCCTGATGATACTCTCGAGGGAGTCAGCTTCTCGGGAAGCTGGAGGGAATCAGATCCTTCCAGGTGGCTGGCAGTTCACCGTGCAATCGTCGCTGGAATTCTTCTCCTAGCTCGGGATATTCGGTGGTGTATCTTTTGACCAGCTCGTTCCATTCTCGAACATAGCCCTCGCCTCTGGCGGGAAGATCGTGGAAGTAGTTGCGCACAGCCTCTCCAACGATAAAGACGATAAGAACTCGTCTCGGTTAAAGCCATTGGCCTTCTTCATCTCCGCGACGTTGCTTGCGCCCAATGCTGCTCCATGCGCAGTAGCCGTACCGGCAACATGACTCCCCAGCCCGATGACCGTGCGGATATTGATAAAGATGGGCTTCTCCCATGATACGCGAGCCTACTCCAAAGCTCGCACGACACCTTCAACATCGTAACACCCGTCTTGAACATCGACCACGTCCCAGCCACAGGCGCGCGTCTTGGCATTGACGTCTTCGGTGTTGGTCAGATCCACCGACCCGTCACAGGTAATCTGGTTATTATCATATATGACTGAGAGATTGCTAAGCTTAGGATGCCCTGCGAACGAGACAACCTTTAAGGCGACACCCTCTTGCAGACAAGCATCACCGACCATGCACCAGGTATGGTTCGATACAACCTCGTACCCGGGCCGGTTGTACGTGGCAGCCAGATCCTCAGTCGCCATCGCCAGACCAACCGCATTAGCAACGCCTTGACCCAATGGCCCAGTCGTCACTTCAATTCCTTCGTGCTCAATCTCCGGGTGGCCAGGACACAGCGCATCAACCCGATCAGACTGGTAGGGTTTAAGCTGCTCAAAGGTAATGGCTTTGTAAGCCGGTCAGGTGGAGGAAGCAATATTGAAAGAGACAGGTATGGCCGTTTGACACAATGAATCGGTCGCGGTTAAAGAAGTCTGGAGTGTGAGGCGCATTATCGCATCACGTACCGCCACAGGGCTACTCCGATGGCAGCCATCCCAATCGCACCTCTGATTTTATCAGTATGGACTGCGGCGTATTATCACGTCTATGTGCCTGTGAGACTTACTAAGGATGACCACCTCCAAACACCTGGCATAGATCTGCAATGAGCATGCGGAATGTGCGCAAGGCGAGATCATGGTCTTTGGATAGTTGTTGGACGAGAGACACGGTGGAGTGACGGCCGCCGTTGGCAGTGACTGGTGCAGATGTAATCGCCATGATGTGTGTAAGTGATGGGGAGAGCGGGCCTACGCTGCAGAGCATTGCCTGTATAATGCAATATCATCAAGTTCTGTCATTATCAAACAGGTCTCTCGACGAGGCAAGGTGTAGCGCATTACCCAAATAGGCAACTTGAGGCACGCATTGCCGAAAGAGGAAATGTGCTATTTGTCAAAGGAAACCAAAAAATATCGTCAAATGACCTGTTCATTTTAGCACCTTACGGTATGGATAAATGGACGGTCGAGTCGATTCGAGGCGTGTAGCTTCCTCCCATCGTGCTCTAGACCATTACCCCGCATGTCGATTCCCTGGAGTCTACAACGTGCGTATAAATCATCCCTGTTAGGAAGTCCTCCACCTTCTATTTCACTTCGTTTGCATCGAATAGTCACCTATACATCTAACTTAACATGACGCCGTCTCTCCTCACGGAATCAAATTCAGACGACGTAGTCGCATCAATGACGCCTCCGTCTAACGACCCCCAGCTTATCCAGACTCCGTTTCCCAACCCATCGTTGCAGGTCACAGCAGACCACCAACTCAAGTTTGTCGAAGCTCCAGTGTACGCTCCCCGACGCGGGGAAGTCCTACTTCAAATAAAGGCTACTGGAATCTGCGGGTAAGACAGTCCACCAGCCAATACAATACATGTGCTGATCTCTGAGACAGCTCTGACATCCATTTCTGGAAAACAGGTCGAATCGGCCAGCTAGTATTCGAGGGGGATTGCATTATCGGCCATGAAGCGGCCGGCGTAGTCTTGAAATGCGGTGAAGGCGTCACCCGACTCAAGCCCGGTGAGACGAGAATATTCCAATATATGAAGTTGCATACTGACGCTTCCAAGGCGACAGGGTAGCCGTCGAGCCCGGCGTCCCCTGTGAACAATGCTTCCTCTGCCACGACGGCCGGTATAACCTCTGCGAAGACGTACAGTTTGCGGGAGTCTACCCGTACGCAGGGACGTTGCAGCGATACAAAGTCCATCCTGCAAGGTGGCTGCACAAGTAATATTGCCTCCCTCCTTTTTCTCCTTTTTCTCCAAGTTGAACTTTAACGTACTTGCAGACTCCCAGACGGCTTCTCCTACGCCGAAGGCGCCCTCCTCGAACCGCTCTCCGTCGTCATGCGCGGCATACAAGTGGGCCGCCTAAATCTCGGCCGGGTGTCGTCATCTGCGGCGCCGGCCCTATCGGCCTCGTTGCTCTTGCTGCGGCGCGCGCATCAGGCGCCCACCCAATTGTCATCACGGACGTTGAGCCTAGGCGGCTTGCGTTCGCGAAAGAGTTCGTCCCGAGCTGTATTACCTACCAGGTTGATCTTGTGAAGGATGCGCAGGGCAACGCAAAGGCTATCAAGACACTCTTCGGGGAAAGCGAGTATGTTGCGCCAGAGACGGTGCTAGAGTGCACAGGGGTGGAAAGTAGTGTTTGCACTGCGGCGTATACTGCGCGCCGGGGTGGCGTGGTTGTTGTGATCGGTGTTGGTAAGGCGACTATGAACAACCTGCCCTTTATGCATATGTCTCTTGCGGAGGTGAGATTCACTCTGAGCCTTGATCAAATCGTTGCTAACGATGGCTAGATTGATCTGCGGTTCATCAATCGGTATCGGGACACTTGGCCGTCAGCCATTGCGTGTTTGAGTGGTGGTATTTTGGGTTTGAAGAAGTTAGTGTCGCACGTCTTTCCGTTGGTGAAGGCGAAGGAGGCTCTGCATTTGTGTGCCGACCCTGGCAAGGGAAGTATGAAGGTGATGGTGGTGGATGAAGTCGATGCAAGTCTATGACCCAAGTAGAGCCATGAGGCTGCGAGGAGGGCTCCGACGTAACCAAAGAGTTTACGGCGAGCAGGAAGAATGCCTATATGCATCTATCTACTGCACTTTATTCAGTTAGATAAATTCAGCATGCCTAATTAGGAAATATGGGGCTAAATCTGGCCACCTGCCTTTGTAGAGCGTCACCTGATAGATACAAGTTGAATCTGCTAGTGAATTTGGCACTTGCCTGGGCCTTCTAATGCCCGGATTTTCCTCGCATCTATTTCCGGTTACAGATTTTTTGCTGCGTCTCGCTAACACTTCGTCAAGTCTATGCTCGAGATTGTTTTTCCAGCTCGTACTAAACCTTGATAGACTCATCTCCAAGCCTTACACATCGCTCCGCCCGGCGCGCATATTAGTGGGAAAGGAATCTTCGAGTATCTCGTTAGAAAGACGTAGGAAGTCCTGAGTCTAAGACGTATCCTCATGGTCGCTTCCAGGACTTGTTCGACCCTGCACAGTCTCCCGTACTAAGTATCCATCATCATATTCAATTCGAATCGCGTCAAGGAGGCCTAATGAACCTCTCATCTAAGAAACTGGCTTCCTTCCTTGCTGTCTGTTTGAATTGACCCGGTTTCCAGGAACATTCTTCAATCCTTGTAAACAGAATTGGCCGGCGGCTTTTGGTGCAAGGATGATCTGCTTGTTACACCAACCGAAAGTAGCCGATGCTTCGGCCATTTTCCTATTTTACCATGCCTACTCTACATTGTCTCGGCGACATAACAAAATTTAGGGAATGCAAGTTCGCTGACATGCCGGCACAGATTCATTTCAGATTGGCAACACTACCTGCAAGCTTGTAACGGCCACACGTGTCCCTGGTGGTGCAAGAAACGACACTCCAGCAGATGCTGAGACCTTCGATCCTCTTTGTGATAATTTTTCGACCAAGTTACAAACGATCAAGGTTTTCCAACTTCTTCATTCTCTCCATCCTCCCTCCATATTCTGCGCTCCGATGATTACTTCCGCTTCCCTTCTTGACCATTGGACGGAATAAGACTGCGCTATGAGCTCAGTAGCCATCTAAATACCCCGCTTCTAGGATCTGATCCACTGTACGCTTTCCAAGTGCCTTTGTTTTGGCACCCGCCCAGTTTGATGTTAACGTAAGGGGTGGTGCAGTGCCATTTCTGGGAGGATATCAACTACCCACTACCTGAGTACGCGCCACAAGAGGGCCGCCCGCAGTTGGGCTTTTGGCCTGTGCTTAATATGCTGCGTGGTGAGGGGGAGACGCCCTTTTCCGTTGGCCCGGCTATCGATACCAGTTTGTTTATTGGGGAGCATACGAATACTTGGGCGTCTATTTGCCCTCCTAACTGACCTAATTCCCGGAATCGCCATAGTGAATTATAATTACGATACCAGGCAGCCGTACGAGCAGTACTACAGGGTCGTCGCACTTTCGAGTACGACCGGAATGCGGATGACGCAGTGAACGCCGACTGGAGACTTTGGTACGAGGCTTCGAATCAGATGGGGAGAAGTCTTGGGCAGTATCCGCCCGGCACAGCTAGCTAGCTAGCTTCCTAAGAAATCCCGCCTACGCTGGTGGATACTAGAATTCTTCGAGGTCTGAGGTCGGCGTGGAGATCTTGCGGGTTGGAGGAGCTGCTTGCTTGCTTGCTTGCTTGCTTGCTTGCTTGGGTGTTTGGTTGTTTGGTTGTTTGGTTGTTTGGTTGTTTGGTTGTTTGGTTGGATTCGCTTACTATTTAACTATAGTATGCTATGATGAAGATACATACAGAAATCTAGATGGATACCTTAAAACACTGTTCAGTCAATGTGTCGTTATGTACAGTTATGGAGGCCCGTAAATCCTCCGCTGATCCCGCAACCATTGCTGATAGGAAGGAGAGCCAACAGGACCCGAGTTAGTTGGCACATGATATGGAATCGGCCTCTTGATGTCCTCCTTGCCCTTCCTTGACAATGTATTGCCTCCATGTGCGGGCTGCCAATGATTAATGGGGTATCTCGGTTTGCCAACGCCCGTGAAAAAGACCAGGTCTCTTCCGACTTTAAGGGTGTCAAGGTATAGATACTGCAGGTTCGGAAAGGGGGCAGCGTCAGCGGCATCGGCAACAGCACTGGTACTGATACTGGTACTGGTAGCAGTAAGAAGCTCGAAGATAGACCCGAATGTCCCAGACGTCATGGTGATGGTTTCCATCTCGAGGCGGCGGAGAGAGGAAGAGAGACGTCTGAGAAAAGCAAGCAGGTCGTCCTCCGTGAGAGAGACACCGCGAAGCCCGCAGTCTTCTAATTGGGGCAGGGTGTCTAGGGCAGCTATGCGCCGGAAGAGCCGCTCATTCGGAATGTTCGCGAACGGATGCCCAAGTTTTAGTCGACAGTAGTGGACGTCCAGGTGTTTAAGGTTTCTACAGGCTTGGATTAGACTTGGCAGGCCCGTAAAGTTGCGTTCATCGTTTGTCTTCATCGTGGCTTCTTCCCGGGCCCGGTCCTCATCCTCCGAGGTGACTTCGTACTCCGAGTCGTCGTTGAGAAGATCATCTAGTGTTACGTGCAAAATGCGCTCTGAAACACTGATCGATAGGGACTCCAGGGAGCGGAGCGGTATAATGAGTCCTTCGGCGGCATAGTCAATGCTGCTGAGCTCGTTACCGGCAATGCTGCAGCGGTGCAGGCCGGCCCTGTTGAAGATGTTCAAGCTGTCAATTTCAAGGTTACTGTCCTTTAGTGCCGAGAAGACAATTCGGTGTGTCTCCGCAGCCATCTGCCAGATAGGTCTCCAGGGTCCGCCAGCAAGAGGAGCGAGTTCGTCTTTCGCATTTGAAAGATAAACTATGACTTCAAGAGACAAGGAGCAAAGCTTTCCGGTAGAGTTATTTGCCGCTATGTTCTTGAAAACATTGCCTAGGATATGAACGAGCTCTCCTGACTCTAGTTGTCGCTCATAATCTCGCCGTCGCTGCTGGAGGGTTTCAAGGTCTGTCTTTTTCGGATCATCTGGATTTGCCCACACAGCTTCTTCGAGTCTCTCAGTGTTGTTCACAGCTCCCACGAGCGTGAGATCGTTTATTTCGCATCCGAGCCAACCGCGCTGCGTTAGAATTGCGAGATTTTCGAGCTCAGGGCCGGTGACTTTGACGCGCTTGGACCAGAAGCAGGACCGGAACTGGCCCTGTGTCGCTTTTGAGCGAAGGCATCTGCTCGTCAGGCGGAGGTTGCCCACATCTGTCAAACCTAGCAGTCTGACAATGCTTTCGAAGATCTCCGGAGGACAGCCCTCCAAGCCAACCGTCATTATGACTAGGGCGACCCTGGAAACTAGGTGGAAGGGTCGGTTAGCACACACAGACTGACACCCCAATGAGGATATCGGACATCTGACGTGTCTCGCACCGCCACGTCGTGCAGAGCGGGGTTTTCTCATTCAGAGTCTAGCCAGGGGATAGCACTGAAATTTTGCGTTACAGCAAAACCATGGAATCAAGAGACACATTCCCTACCTCGGTGGAGATAGTTCCACGAGGTCTTGTAGGACTCCCAGGAGCGTTGGGAACTGAGAGCTCTAAGACGGGCTCGCATCCTCGAATTAATAAGAAAAGAGTCAAGGAACCCTAAAAGAAAGTGATTTTCAACAGAGAGGCTATGTGATAGAAATATGCATTGTACACCAGTTTGAGCTTCTATTTTCCTACCCCAAGGCTCCAGACGAGAGCTGATACCCCAGTTGCAAGAATGAAAGCAACAAGGGCGGCAGGAAACATTAATGTGCCTAACATGGCCATGCTTGTCAATGTAGCAAAAATGCCTCCTGCAGGAGTAAATCCACTATACATAAAGGACTGAAATCCAGCTGCCAATGACCCTGTTTAATAATTAGACAGACAGCTCTTCTTTGCCAGGGGAAAACAGACCTGCAACAACTCCAGCAGGCCCAAATCCAAGGCTCATTATGATTGTGATAACGATTGTAAATGTTATCCACCAAGCAGTGATGGCAGCGAGTACATCTTAAAACCAGTTAGTCATGTATATATCCACTAAGTTGTCAGTTGGTGTATACCGGGGCGTGAGAGCCACTGTAAAACACTAGTCCACCATTCATTCCAGGACCAAGTCTGAGCCACATTTTCCACGGCATATAAGGTTAAAGAGCGCTCGGCAACGAATCGAAAAAGCCCTCCACTGAGAGTCTCTGCCCGGGTGAAATTCAAACTAGCGATCAAAAGGTTCAAAGGACTCATTTGGCAGGGAGTTTGTTGGAAATTGATTATGGTACTGTGTGGGTCAGTTCACCCAGCAGATCTACAGAAGATGTGGGTTGTGACAGAAAAAGAGTGGATCTGGAGCTGGCACAGGCTATTTGGGGCCCCTGGTTATTTAAGGTGGTAGTTTTCAAGCGAGGAGATCCACTTCTCCTTCATGCGTGCTCTGCTGCTGAGCTGGAACGAGCATATGTACTATTTATATACAATGTGAGGATCTATACCGCAAGGGGTGTCCACCATTGGTTACGGCAGATGTAGTAACTCTATATTTGGTCGCGGACTGAAGGTCACCGTTCAAGTTTGCCAAGAAGGAACCAGTGGGCGCTAGCTATCAGCAGTCAATTATGCAATGGCCATTGAGCAGGCAAGATCTCAGACAAGTTATAGTACAACCAACGGTCCCCGCAGGAGTGGCATGTCCAGTCATCAACAAATCACTGGGCCTGCCTGGGATGAGATATACGCCATGGGCGCCTAAGTCTGGAGTCTCCGGACATAGCTAGGCGCCCCAAACACCCATGGAATAACCAGGACCCACCATGTGACTATTGATGGTACAGAAGTATACAGACAGTCTACAAAGCATATAATTGAAGAATATAGATTGGTGCTTATTTTGTGCACCTATGGAAGTTCATAGGCTCTTAGTCAAAATGCTCTATGATGGCTAAATATATTAATAGTTAGATTTACTCTAAGCCCACCAGGATACACAAGGGCTGAGAGACTGGAAGATGCTACTTTCTATCAGTTGTCAGTTGCTTCCTCTCATTGTAATTTCCTATGCACCATAAACTAGTCTGGCTAGTGATTCATGCTGATTTGTAGGACAGACTCATCTGCTATCTAGTGAAGCCTTCAAAAATGGACCGGGACATGCTCTTTTTACTAAGGTAGGAATAACCATACATAGACAGCAAGTTGCTCCTGGGCCTCGGCTTTAGGCTTGTTTCATACAATCAGGAAGGACTTGTTCAAGTAGAGGGCTTTATAATTATATATGATTTTATCATCCCTAAATGACTCCAGCAGTCAAGAATGAAACATAGTCAACAGCAAGCCACAGTATCAGAATGCTGACTCATCTACGTGATGGCCAAAGGAATGGTCTGGGTCAGTCCAGGCTGATAGAATCATCCAACAATCAATCCATATCCGCCAGCCTTGTCGCTTTTGGCACAATTTGATTGTACAACGTCAATGCGCCATGAGCCTGTAGCGATCCTCTTTTCCGTAAGTATCTACATTATCGGATTCAATACGTCAACAGCAACAAGCGTGCCTGGTCAGCTCAGCGCCTAGAAACGCACCATGAGTCACACCCTCGCCGCTGGCGCCTAACCAAAAACATCCTCGAAGACAACATCCAAGGCCAGCATCCACAATACAGCCGTCATCTAGACGACGTTTGCGAAATTTAGGGTTGATGACCTTTGTTCTTCGAAATGAATGGAATTTCATCCGCAGCGAGCGTTATCGCGGTCGTCCAGCTCGCTGGGAGCCTTGTGACGGTGACGATATGTGGAGGTTACATTCAGCTGACCCCGGTGGTTAGTACGGTGATCAGGACCGCAAGGGTTCCCATGCAGCATAATTAGGGAACGAGGTTGTCCAGGCGTGTTATCCTTCAGGTGAGCCACCGACCTGGTGCCGATATAGCGCGGAATCTCCATCAAGTCGTCAAAACTTTCCTCCAGGCCCTTCCAAGATGTATAGGGATAGATTCATGTCAGGAGAAGTCGGCGACAAGATGAATTCAGTAATAAGGATAAAGATGGACTGTAGACTATAGACTATTTAGACTACTATAATAATTTAATATAGAAAAGCTTGATATGCTCCTCAGATATTTCCATGATTAGGTGGGTATAGGACTTTATAAATCATGTAGCAAGACCTTATGTGAACGTCACTCATACCTGTTTGGATTTTGAGGTAATTAGACAATGGTCTTTAGAGCATCGCGCACCAGCATGGAATCAGTCTAAATTTATTCTGGATCCGTTGCGCGATGATGCATTGCGATAAGAATAACAGTTTGATTTGGTCCTCGAGTGTAACGCAGATAACCATGTGATATCGAATATATGAGGTCTTAGATACTACGTAATCAGAGGTGATACCTGTCCAACACGCTGCGAACGGCTTCCGAGAGGGTTCGTTCCTTCTGGACGGTAGCTAGGGTAACACGGAGTTGGTCTTCGCTTCCAGACTGGATATCTGCTAGCAGTCCGAAAAGCGCATACTTGTAGCACTCCGCTTCTTAAGCGACCAATGCCGCCTCAAGTCCTTCACCTTACCATCCCTCCCAGTCGGGTTTGTCCAATCTACCACGGCAATATGTCGTTTGGCCAGATGTCTGCGATAACACGGCTTGCTGGTATTCATTCATCGAGCGCCCCGAGACCTCCAAAGTGTATGAAACTGCCCTTAGGCTCCTTGGTGTCCCTGGTGTCCATCATGCTAGTAGACATAACGACGAAACGTAGTCGCTTCGAGAATACATGTGATGACGATGGGGCGGAATCTGAAGAGAAATATGGCTTTGAAGAAATAGAAGAGTATATTAGTGCCTTGATGAGATAGCTTTCGACTTCAGCAAGAGATCGGAAAGTGGGCGGAGTAGCTAGCTGCGTTAAGATGGAAATCGCTCAGCTCCAGGACGGTCTTGATTTGGCATCAGTGCTGCTTTAACAGTAGTCCTGATTGAGGGAATTCACAGGTACTTACTTTACATAATTAATCTACATACGCATCCCAGTTCCTTCACAATGGATAGATATTTCACAGTGATTCTTTCATGATCTCCTGATTCTCCTCTCACAAATAATGAATGATCACTGACTTCTGACGCTAACAAGTCAGGCATCATTAATCGCAATCACAACCATGCGATGATGAGGTCGATATCTTGGAAATTGGCACCTTAAACTAGTTTTCAACTAGCGCCATGTTGCCAGCTGCAAAACACTTGTCCTTAAGTTCTTACGTGGTGGAGCTTACGTTTGCCGAGATGATGACGACGCCGGCTAGCCGAACCCCCCTGGCCCCAGTCTCGGGGCACATCTACGACTGACTTGCCTCACTCCTCGTCCTGTTCTGGAATACTAACGTGTTCTAGGTCGACCGATCTTCTTGTGATCACCACCATCTCACAAAGGGGCTACTCCACGCCTATCGACAACCTCAAATTCTTGTTGCCAGACTATTAAACCATATGGACGATCAAACTGGTGTGTCACAGCGGATTGCTCCATTAGCCTCGTTCTCCTCCCGAGTGGAGCCGTTCAATTTGCCCGGTGGGTGAATCACGGCTTGGGGAACTCGTGGCCGGCGTCCTCAGCCACTGTTTATCCTGAGAAGGCTGTCTTGGCGACTGTGGAGTAATGCGAATCTTCCAGACTGATTCGTTTAGGATTCGATGCTCTATTGTCTTTGGACTCCGCAATGATTAATTGCGGATACAGAACCCACTGTGTCTTTCCCAGACAGTGACACTCTGGAAATAAGCTTGCGTCCGAGGAAAAGATTGACAGACTCCTGATGATGAGAGGGGTACGAGTACGATAAAAGTCCTTGAGTACTTCATCTCTTGACCCCCTTCCCCATGGGTTCAACTCTCGTAGTAAACGTTACCATGTGAATCTCCATTCCGTCCTCCCCTCTCGCAAGCTTCTCCCAGACTCCGTCTCCAACGTTGGTCCGCCGTGTCCCAATGTCCGCTTGGACTTGGACTCCTGCATGCTTTCGCCGACAGTTCTCCAGACTCCGTGGTCCATCTCCCCACTCGAAATCGCGGAGCAGGCTCTCCTGCCTCATTCTCGCCATCGCTGGTGTCGCCATTAGTCTCCTCTACCTGTTCTATGTCTTCGCTGTTCCGCAACTGCTCCGCTTCCGATTTCGACTCGATTTAAGCCCGTATGATCTGGGATTCTACGGCTTCGGTCCTTCGCGAAGCTACGTATCTTTCGAGTATGAGTCTCCCATGGTAGAAATCACAGAGTGGGGTTCCGGATGCGATTCGCGATACACATTCCTTGCTCCTCGCGGTGACTCGGTGGCTCACCCTGGGCCCGTCATTCTGGATGCTGATGGGGAATTGGTGTGGATGAAGTATAATTGGGACACAACGCAGGACTTTAAAGTACAGCAATACAATGGTGCAGATTACTTGACATACTGGGAAGGGACTGAAGTGGAAAGTCGTGGCTTCGGTTCATGGTACATGGTCGGTTGGCCTGCATCCAGTGTCCCAGACAATGAAAAAGGGAAACAAACTAAGATCATTCGCAGCTCGATTCGACCTACACCCAGAAATACCAGATGTCCCCCGTTGGCAACTTCGGGGGCGGCGATTTGCACGAATTCCACATCACAGAGCAGGGGACAGTGCTTGTTACTGTCTACGACCCTGTTCCCGCGGATTTGACTTCCATAGGAGGATCCGAGCTCGGCTGGATCCTTGATGGGATTTTCCAAGAGATCGATATCGAAACGGGCGAACTGCTTTTCGAATGGCGCGCGTCTAAGCATTACCCCGTCAACAGTACCTATGAGGCGCTGAACGGTGCGGGGAAGGATAGGAATAACGCGTTCGATTTCTTTCACATAAACAGTGTCGACAAAGATGAGCGGGGAAACTATATTGTCTCCGCGAGACATCTCCATTCCGTCAGCTACATCGACCACGCCACTGGAGACGTATTGTGGACTCTCGGCGGGAAGTTGAACGAATTTACGGACTTGTCTGACGGACAGGCGACGAATTTCGCCTGGCAGCACGATGCCCGGTGGCACGCCAACAACACGATAACACTATTTGACAACGCAGCGCATTCAAACAGCGATCCCGACAGTGAAAGTCGCGGCATGGTCGTCCAACTCGATATCTCCGGCCATACTGCCGAACTGCTCGCCGCGTACTATCATCCTCAACAGATGAGGTCTGTATCGCAAGGCAACGTCCAGATTTTGGATGAAAGTGGTCGGGCGCTGGTGGGCTGGGGCCACAGCGCAGCCTTTACGGAGTACACCGCCGATGGAGACTTGCTCTGCGACGTCCACTTTGGAGCGTCGGCGTTCTTCTCTTTCGGTCGGGTCGTGTCTTATCGTGCGTCCAAGGGTACCTGGGTAGGCCGGCCACTGACGATCCCCGACGCGGCGGTCATGGGAAACCACGTGTACGTGAGCTGGAACGGCGCAACGGAGGTGGTAGCCTGGCGGCTGGAAGTCTGGGACGCCCGTGCTGTTGAGGATAGCACGTTTGACGTGTTCGCTCAATTCGCGAAGACCGGGTTTGAGACGGAGATTGAGATTCCCGAGGAGCTGGGCAGTCCGCTTTTCCGCCTGGCGGCTATGGATGCCGAGGGTAATGTGCTGGGGTACACTGAAGTGCTTCAGAAGGAGCAAGGTGTCGATGTGGATGAACTTCTTGACCTGCATAACTGGATCGTGGCCGCTGCTTTCATTGTTAGTGTCGGAGGTCTGGTACTCGGTCTGTATCAGTGTTGCGGCTGTTGTCGGATCCTTTCCCGATGCCGTCGTCGTCAGAATGAGTATCAGCTGGTAGCTTTTGGTGACAACGAGGAGAGCGAGTCCGTTTGAGACTTAATTGTGCGCATTTTCCAGCTTGCTCTCGGGCATATATTTGGTGGTTCGCCCGTAGATATCACCAACAGCATGGTATTCCTATGGCTTGCTCTAATTTGTACATATTATAGACACGTAAATATATACAAATACATATTTTCGAGACAATTACTCCCCCACCGCTGTAGTAACAAGCTAGAGCCAGTGACAGGGTGAAAGCAGTTCGCCTGGACTGTTCCCAGTGTTCTCGGCTTTCCTTGCGTAGAGCACCGCACTATCAATCCTCGACCTATTGCTGAGCACTAGCATCCGACGAGGAATCCAAATCAACCTCCTGGATGGCAACATAATCCGTATACCAAGTCTTGCCGTTATCGATCGTCGCGAACCCAGCGTCAGTGGACGAGAATAGCCCCATGGTCTTGCCGAACGATTCATCCGCAGCGCTGAGGGTGACCGTTAAGTTGGTAATTTCTGCCCTGTTAGCCTTCATCCGTAAGGGGTTGTACAGACCAGGAACTACTTACTGTAACCCTGCAAAACGCCGCAGTTGCCTGAGCCGGTGTAGCACTCGTTCTCGGAGTAGAGATATTTAAGGCCGTTGTCGAGGGCTTGTGATGCTGTCAATTACAGTCTACCCGTCGACAGGCGGATAGGCTTACCGTCAGATTGCTGCGAGACTACCTCGCCGTTCATGGTGACTGTCTGGTAGACTTTGTTGTTCCCGACGGAGACTGCGCTGGTTAGTGTTCGTCTAGCTAGCTTAACTGCAGGGAAGCACTCACTCTCAAAGTCAAGGTTGGTGTTCGGTGGCACAGGTACATACGTCTGTCCGACCTGACCGTCTGTATACTCTGAGCAAGCAAGCCAGTTGATACTCATCGGAAAGAACCTTACCAGGAGTGTAAGTGCTAGCAGCCACACACCACTCAGTGCTATTCGCAGAACAGCCCCTATTGCTACAATCAACTTCGCGGCCAGCGTAGGGAGTCAGAAGTCAGAAACATACTGAGACTCTTGATCCGGAGACCAGTTCAGCAGCGGCTGGTACAAATTCGCGCCTTCGTCGCCGTTTGTGGAAGAGGCTCCCACCCAGACAGAGACCCAGACCTGATCGGAGGGCGAAGACACCTTCACCCCTGACGGGACGTCCGGAGGAACAAGCGAATAGGTTGCTTTCGTGATGGAAGCGCCGGTTGGAGGGCCGAGGTAGAAGAGACTTTTGCCGAAGACCCAGGAGTCGGCGGGCATGGAGGCCGTAGCCCCCAGGGCTAGGGTTAAGGGAATGGAAATGTATGCGTAGTGCATTGTGAAAGATCGTTGGAGATATGTCAAGAAAGAAATGAATGTAATTTACTGAAGAAAGAATGAATGTAGATATCCAGATCTACTGTGATTACAAAAATGATGATTGGAAAGAGTGCGACAAGCTGGTATATAAGCTACCACCCTCGAGATGGCACGCAGAAGTAGAGTCTGCACTGAGCTTCATATTGAGTGAAGCCAGTCGGCCATTGTGCCGTCGATCATCGTATTCGTATTCCTCCTAAATAAGTCTATTATTGTTCACTTGTGTTTTGTACTTTGTGCGAGACACTCAGACAAATTCATCATTCCGAAACCGAGTCCGCCGCTTTTTGACTCCATTGATGTCAGGATGAAACAAGCTTAAGCTGTCGGAATTTCGGATGCTTGTGAGGGATGAGCTTAACTAAATTAGACTCTTCTTCTGAGGAGCATGTTTCGTACCCGTGCAATAATATTACGTTGTTGCCACCCTCTCCTGGGTTTTTGAGATGGCATCAGATCATCATGGCGGAAATCCATCCTCAACCCCTTTTTCCAGACAGATCTGCGTGCTTAACGGTCTGGAACAACTTAATGCAGGTTGATGACCATACTGCCGAGATGGCAAGCCAGATCTGACAGTTTCACACAGTTATAGTGATTGTTAGCATGAAAATCATCAAGGAAATACTTAACCATCAGAGCAACCGTCAACCCCGCTTTTAGCGGGATAGAGATGTGCAAGTATGCGCCTTAGCATTGACCCTCGGTCACTTTCACGACGATAATGATCATCCTGGCTGATTGGAAAAAATAGCCAATGAATTTTAGATGCGTCTGATCACATAAGCGATTGGTGACTGCAAGTTGCAGATGTTCCAACTGTCCATGTTCCTCCGAGTCTCTCGTCGTTTAGCCAGCTCTGGGGCGACACCTCGATACGAGAAAGGATCTTCAGAGTATTGTACGACAACATTCCGCAACATGACCTCAGCCGAAAAGCAGTTTACGGTCGCGATAGTAGGCGGCGGAATCGGAGGCCTCGCGCTGGCTGCAGGGCTCTTGCGCCGCAATGTGCCTGTTCAAATTTATGAAGCCGCTCCCGAGTTCAAAGAGATCGGGTTGGGTTTGACGATAGGGCCTGCAGCTCACCGTGCAATGCCCTTGATTGATCCGCAGATCCGCGAGATATATGATTCGCTCATCACGACCCATGCGGACAGTCCTGGGTATGAGCGGTTCAAACAGACCTGGTTTGAAGTTGTCTGGGCGTCAGGTCCAAAATCCGGCCAGACTCTCATGGACTTAAAGGCCTTGCCCTCGGGGCAAACCACTGTACGGAGAGCGGATTTCTTGGACGCCTTGGTTGGGCTGATACCATCTGAGATTGTGCACTTTGGAAAGAGGTTGATCAAGCTAGTTGAATCGCGGACCGGGGTGGATCTGTACTTTGAAGATGGTACCTCTGCAACAGCGGATGTGGTGGTCGGTTGTGACGGGATCCATTCAAAAGTCATGGAGTTTATGCTACCGGAGGAGTATGAGCAAACCATTCCACGGTACAGCGGAATGTACGGATATCGCGCAGTCTTGGACATGGAGACGATGGTTGAAGCGGTCGGTGATCACCGTGCTCGAGTAGCGACCATGTATGTTGGAGATGGTGCATATGGGATTTCGTATCCCATCATGCGCGCGAAGAAGGTCAATGTAGGTCTCTATGTCTTGCACGATAAGTGGGACGACGAAGCTTGGGTTCGCCCGGCTAGCAAGGACGATATGCGGAGGGACATGAAGCATATGGGGGCATATGTCAATCGGCTGGTCAAGGTATGCGGAAAATAACCATCACATTTTTCAGTGCCTCCAGCTGATAGTGTGCCATGACAGTATATGCCGGATCCCTCGCAGTGGGCCATATTTGATCATCCGCATTTGTCCACCTTTGCGAGATCGCGTGTAGCGATTCTCGGGGACGCGGCTCATGCTTCCACTCCACACCAAGGAGCAGGAGCAGGACAAGCAATTGAGGATGCACATGTACTGGCAGAGCTTCTTGGGGATGCGAGGGTAATTGAAGCAAGAAATGCCCTTGCAGCATTTCAGGCATACGATGCAGTACGACGGCCGCGCAGTCAGAGGGTGGTAACCAGCAGCAAAGAGAACGCATACATGTTGTGCTTACGCCTGGATGGAGTAAAAGATGACGAGGAAAAGTTGAGAACAACTTTTGAAGAACGGTTACGGTGGCTTTGGGATATTGATATCCAGGACCAAGCAGAGAGGGCAAGGCGGATCATGGTGAAGCAAATGGAGCAGATACAAAAGAGCTCGAATTGTGTATCAAGAAGCGAGTGAATAGCACGTTCTCAAACGTACCTGATCGAAGATAATTCTCTCCAACAAATCCAGATTCCTGCCCTACAACTCCTGCATCCTGATGTTGTTGATTTGATGGTTTACAAGAATTGACCAATGAGCATCTGCCTGAGGATTTCGGCACCAAATCATGCGCCAGGCATCCAGGCACCCACGCTCGGCTACTCGCGGCGATTCTCCAGATTCCCCGCATGATGAAATGGAGATCCCCAGCTGAGTGACTGTCGTATAAATCGCCCAGGGGAATGTTCCAGGGAAGTCGTTGATTCTGACCTCTCGCGGTCATATTTTGCAGTATTCCACCCTCACTCCCGTCTTCCCACCTATCATCCATCCAGCCATGGCTTCTCTCCGCCCCTCTGTCAAGAGGTTATTACGACAGCCTCCCTGCCGGTTGTACTCGGGCGCTCCATCATCGTCGTCACGACTCAATCTCCCCATCGACTACAAAGCCACGCCTCTTCTGCATCATACCTCGTCCTCACTATCGAGCGCGCTAGAGCTCCCCGGCTCGACCACCAGCAAATCACTAAATCTATACCAGGCTATCAACTCCGCGTTGCGAACCGCCCTTGCTACGGATAACAGGGTGATGCTGTTTGGCGAGGATGTAGCATTCGGCGGAGTGTTTCGATGCTCGATGGACTTACAAACAGAGTTCGGATCTGAGCGTGTATTCAATACCCCGTTGACGGAACAAGGGATTGTAGGGTTCGCTATTGGAGCTGCAGCGCAAGGCATGAAGCCTGTTGCCGAAATTCAGTTCGCCGATTATGTTTTCCCTGCCTTTGACCAGATTGTGAATGAAGCTGCAAAGTTCAGGTATCGAGAGGGAGGTACAGGCGTAAATGTGGGGGGAATGGTGGTCAGAATGCCGTGTGGTGCGGTCGGACACGGCGCCCTGTGAGTTGAACGCCATTGCGTTGGTACACTCCAGCGATTGCTAATCCGGGGTCTTGTACAGATACCACACACAATCACCCGAAGCGCTTTTCGCCCACGTCCCCGGTGTCCAAGTGGTCATGCCTCGGTCTCCGTCACAAGCAAAGGGCCTCCTCCTGAGCGCCATCTTCCAGAGCAATAACCCTGTCATCTTCATGGAGCCCAAGATTCTGTACCGCGCAGCCGTCGAGCACGTTCCAAATGAATTCTACACAATACCCCTCAACAAAGCGGAAGTTGTCAAAGCAGGAAATGACGTGACAGTCATCTCGTATGGGCAACCAATGTACCTCTGCTCAGAAGCCATCAGAGCTATCGAAAAGGACATGGGCGCCAGCGTTGAACTCATCGATCTCCGAACAATATACCCCTGGGACCGACAAACCGTCCTGGACAGCGTGAAGAAGACCGGACGTGCTATCGTGGTGCACGAGAGCATGATCAACTACGGCGTCGGTGCTGAGGTTGCTGCTACCATCCAAGACGGCGCATTCTTGCGCCTGGAGGCTCCAGTGAAGCGAGTGGCTGGCTGGAGCACCCACACCGGCCTTACATTTGAGAAACTCATCTTACCTGATGTCGCGAGTAAGTGACCTCCAACCCCTTGCTTGTTTCTTCAGGATGGGCAACTCAATTGCTGACGCATATCAGGAATTTATGATGCTATCAAGCAGACACTGGAGTACTGAGCGTTTGTATAGTTCCAATAGAGAAATAGAGCATTTGTGCGCAATGAGACTGCTTTACACCTCAAAAGCAGAATAAGCCGTAAGGTTCTACCGGAGTGCTTGAGAAAGAAGCATAAAAGTAGGTCCAGTAGTCACTTGTACCGGTGGTTGTACAATATATATATCCTGTTCGAAACCTTCGACAACTTAATCCGAAAGATATTCAGAAGCCATAAAACTGCAGCCGGGTGGAATTGATTACTGTTACACTTCGTAAGAGCAATTAACTGGTAGAATGATAAATTTACAAGCCAGGTGCTATGAACGCCTCTGTCTCTTCTAAAATCTGTATTGTTGATGACCCCTTGTTGTTCCTCCCTGCACCCCCAGGATCATGTGACATCACCAAACATTCCAAATCTGGAAATGCCTCTGACCAATCATCGGCGAGCGTTTCAAGCTAGCAAAACAACTGCCACAGAATCCCGGACATTCCGACCTCCATGCCACACAATCAACTATCCTTTTCGGGTAATCATCAAGATGTCCGCCGAACCCGGGCAATCGTCGCCGTACCGATCACCTAATGGAAAAGCAAATAGTCTTTCAGCCGGAAATTCTTCCACTCCTGCCGCGCCTTCTGCTTCAACCCCTTCCACGACGCGGCCAAAGCAAAGAGGGAATGTATGGATGCCAACATTGACCCCCACGGCATTGGCGACGAGATATCCTCAGAGAGATTTGGATCCCAAACAGTTACAACCTTCAGCTCCTCCTCAGAACCAAAACCGGCCGTCCACATCGTCAGCTACTTCTTCGCAGAGACCATTGCATACTCCTTCGACTGCCCAACAATCTCCGAGAGCTCCTTCCACACAACTTTCGAATCCAACCCTTGTACCTCCGCCGATACCTCATGCCACTCGACCTAAAATACACAATGCGCAAGCGCAACCAGTCCCAACAACTCCGTACCGAGCACAATCTGCTCCGCAAGCTCAAGCGCCTCAACCTGCGCCTACCCCAGTCCCACATTATGCGCCCGGATTGCAGAATGCAGCAGCTCAGCAGCCAATACATTCGCAACCGCTGCCCCCAGAGGCACAGACACGCTCCGCCGCTCCCCCGCGTCCTTCGGGGACTGGCGCCGTTTTCGAGGTCGGAATGATATACCCGTCCATGGAGGAAGCCCGCGAAGCTCTGGTTTGCCATACAATTGCCAAGCGCGAATCGTACCGGGTGTACAAATCGGACGCAAGACGATACATGACCCGATGTCGCAACCGCGACTGCAATTACATGGTTCGAGTCAGCTGGAGAAAGAAGCGATGCGAGGCATTCGTGTCCATGTACAAGCCGCATACGTGCAGTCCGGACACGCATGATAATTGGCGTCCGGCAGCATCGGTCAATTATCTCGCACCCACCTACCAGTCTCTCGTCCAAGGAAGTTCAAAGCCGACCGCTGCCCAAATCCTGAAGATTGAGCGGCGCCGGGGCAACCCAATCCAATACCATCAGGGATATCGGACTCTGAAAGCAATTGAGCGCAATCTGTACGGAGATGCAGCCGAATCCTTCGAAAAGCTACCGGCGTTCTTGTCAAGGCTTGCCAAGGTCGACCATGCCGGATACTGGAAAATGGAGACGAAGAACGACATTTTTCATCGCTGTTTTGTCGCGCCGGCCGCGACGTTGCACGCTTATACTCACTGCCGTCGATTTTTGACCTTTGATTGCGCCCCGTGGAAGACGAAATGGGACTTTTCGCTTCTTGTTGCTGCGACATTAGATGCGAATGATCAGGTTCTGCCGCTGGCATGGGCTGTTGTGCCCGATGAGGAGGTGGAATCCTGGGCTTTTTTCCTGCGCCATATGCGCATAGCGTTTCCGAAAATTGATAGTCCGCGTACTGCGCTGTTGCTTAACCCTCGGCTGGGGCTCGAAGATGTCGTCACCCAAGAACTACCCGCTGTTGCCATGATGTATTGCTGCGATTATCTATCCCAAACTCTAATGGAAAAGTTTCGTCCCGAAGAGGAAGTCCGCAAGCAATTCTGGAAAGCTGCGCGAGCGGAATCGGAACATATATTCGCGCAGGCAATAGCTCAAATCAAACATCTCCGCGCGAAACAGTGGATCGAGTCGATCCCACGACAAAGGTGGGCCAAGCATGCCTTGCCCGTTCCTCGGTATGAGCAACTGTCCATGACCACCATGGAATCCCTGCACTTCTTATGGTTGAACACCCGCAACCTGCCCGTTCTACGAGCATTGTATTCAATCTGGCTCAACATCACCGACCGACTCCATCACTGCCGGGAGATAGAGTTCAAGCGATCCAACACGTTGACCGACTTTGCTCAGGAATGGATTGTGCGGCAAAAGCAGCTCTCCAGGACCTATACAGCAGTGGCAAGTTCGCAGGAGCAGTTCACCGTGTTCAATAAAGCCGTAGGCTACGTGGTCGATCTGAATGCTCGCACATGCAGCTGCCTCGACTGGCAGGATCTCCAATTACCATGCCGCCACGCCCTCGCTGCCATTGCTACCACTTCCCGCCCCATCAACGACTTTGTTCCCCCAGCCTATCACATCAGCACCTACAAACAGATCTACACCGGCATGACGATGCCGCTCGAACTGAGAGACCTCGACAACTTTGACCAGTGCAGCGCCCCAGTCACCAAACGTCGCGGAAGACCATCAGTGAATCCTTCCAAACAAAAAGATGCCGGTGTCCAGCCCCACTGTTCGGTCTGCAGGCAGCCCGGACATTCCGGCCAAAGCGACATCTGTCCGACCAAACTCAAGGAGCGGAACATCGTAATCGAAACTCTACCCGATGGCATCCGAGCCTTCGAACACAAACCCGGCCCACCGCCTCCGAAACCCCAATATCCGGCCGTGGCTGTCGTCGTGCCAGTCAAGCCCACGATTACACATCCTACCACATCGACCCCAGTCGCGCCGACCGTGTGTGTGCCCCGCAGGCCCCGGGGCAGCAGCCAAAGCAGCAGCAGTAATAGTAGCAGCAGTGACAGCAACAAGACTCCCAGCCATGAAGACAACGGCACGGGCAATGACCGGGGATCACTGGACCAGGGTTTCACGCAAATCCCTCCCTTGCCCGATTGGGCTCGATTACCCGGGGAGCAGGACTCACCGGGGGTGAGCAAACCCACGACCCCAAGGCCTTCATTGACCTTTGCACCTGCGCCTTCCGAGGTGGGATCCCGGCTGGAATGGGCGCTGGATGCGAAGAAGCGACTCGATGCCGAGAAGGAGTATTTGTCATATGAGGAATTGAGTCGTCTGCAGGGACAGATTCTCGACGGTCTTTTTCTAGCACAGCCCTAGCGTCAGGGACGTGTTATGATACTTACTTAATAACGTTCGAAATGCAGGCACTGTCGACATCTCTTGAGAGCGGAGCCTTCAATTTGAATGACAAATTTACTAGTCTTTCATAAGCCTAGCATACCCTGAAACTAGTGAAGAAAAAAGATAAAACCCTGTAATTAATATATTCATCAGAAGGAATCATGAATATTTATATGATGTATCGCCAAGTACTCGCTCAAATGAAGGATATCTCAAACCATAAATACAAGCCCCCCGTAACATAATCCCAAAATCGCTAAAATACATACTCATGTCACGTAGCAAGAAATGACTAGAAGCTGAAAAGCCCACTCCGGCGCTTTCCAAACGGGTATACAACCAACGCCGCAATGAACAATCCCACAGTGATACCGATCGCTACCTGGATCATTCCGAAACCTAAGCTAGCGATGGACGTATCCTGGCTGCTGATATCGGTATCATTACCGCCCTTGTGCAGATTCTCACGGACTTGATTCGCATAGTTGATGCCGGCGATCAAGGAGCCGGAGGAGGCCAGCCCTGACGGCACGAGGACGAAGATACCGGGTAGAATGGCGGTGGCCGCGTGACCGTGCCATAAGCGGCTGTATAGATTGCCCAGGATGCCGAGGGTGAAGGCACCGACGGTATTGGCTACTTCGGAGCGGGAGCCGAGTTTGGTTGTGCTGAAGTAGTTGGTAATGTAGCCACAGATTGCGATGAAGATCATGACGGGGACTTGTTTCCATTTGGCTTGGTTGATGACGGCGAGGCAGATGACGAAGATGGGGACGAAGATGAAGTGTTGTATGTACTTGCTGCCGTAGATTGAGAGGTCACGGCAGGTGGTTTCGGAGGTGGCGTTGCCGTCGATGAGGCCGTAGACGGTCGTGCCGACTGTAATGCCGTAGCCAAGGAAGAGGGAATAGATTATGGCGAAGACCATGCGGATGGAACCTGCAATCATCTGGTGGGATTGGAGTTCAAGACTGCTGCACAGGACCATGAAACCGGGTAGGATCAGGGCAATGGAGGACTGCGCCAGAGCGGAGAAGCAGAAGAGGGACTGTTTTTGGCCGTCCACAGTTATGCGGATCGAGCCGAACGCGCGTGCCAGGAACGAGGTCAACACTGCTGCTGTCACTTCGAACACATTGGAATAGAGAGTGGACCGGGGAGATATGACGTGCTGCATCAGACCGACGAGCGACCCAAGAATGAAGATGATAGGCATGTCAATAGGCCGGGCGTCGAAGGCGAAGGGGCCGACCGCGGCGCCAGCCAAACCGTAGACCGGAACCAGGATCCATTTATTGAAACGCGGCTTGCGCTTCATGATTTCGTCAAGTTCCTGGATGGCTTCTTCGACTCCGATCAGGTCATGAACGACATTTTTGTAAACGTTGTGCGTTTCAGCCAATCGTCCCAGATCGACCCCCTGCGTCGAACGAACCAGCTTGACTTCGGCCGTTCGCGTGACAGGGTCATCGAAGGACATGATCATACAACCAGGCAGATACAGAAACTGTCCCTCGACCTCCAGGACCCGCGCCGTCATGGTCATGTATTCCTCCAATCGGTGCGTAGGCGCACCATACCGCATCAGCGCACGACACAACTGCATGATATACCGATGCCGTGCCAGGATCTCTGCAATATGCACGGTCACCTTGATTTCATCTTCCAACCGATGCTTGCGATAAGCCTTCTTCTTCCCCGCTTCTGCTGCTGTGTCATTGACAGAACATCGGCGGACGACGGTAAGGTGGCCCGACTCAAGTTCATCGATGCTTCCACCAGGGAAGCAGTCGATCGATGGTGCGGTTTCTTGTACCATTTGACTTTCTCCTTCTTGGGTGTGACTGCCCCCGACTTGGGAGTTGCCGATCCTGACTTGGGCGTTGTAGCTCCCGAGGACATGGGAGAGCCATCATCGGAATCATCGGTGGCCGACAAACCATCCTTTTCATTCTGCGCAGCCTGCAGCTTAAGCAGTTGAGACAAAATCCCACCTCCTCCGCTGAAGGATAGAGGACGGTAGGAATCGTACCACGAACTGGGCCGCTCGGGAGTGCTCTGGCCAGAACGTTGGTACGCAGGTTTCGGTTTGCGATGGCGCAGATTATTGTGTTGAGTCATCCGTCGAACAAGACGGTGCGCCTCTGCGCTGGGGTTGGGTCGGTTTTCGTCGTCCGTATCATCGCCCACAGGCATCTGGTACTGGCTATGGAACCTGCGTATCGGCATCCCACCTTCCAGGTCCTCCGGCAAAAGGGAGACTCCCAGCGCCTCGCCGTCATCCAGAGGTCTACCCAGGCGTTCTCCCAAACGGACCGTCTTTTTTCTAATCAACTGACCTGCCTCCTTCCATCTCTGTTTGACAGACTTCGATCGGTTCGGCGTTCGCTCCCTGGTTGTGGAGTCTTCGGAGATGCGTTCGGGGGTAGAAGGCGGATATTGGGCGCTGAGGTAACCCGACCCATCGTATCTCGATGTTATATCTGTCCCATCATCGAATTGCTCTGCTTTTAGCATATCGGTAACATCTGTGGATCCTGGCGCAGAATTGAGCAGCGTCCGGGTGGAGCTGTTGGAGGTATTCGAGTAGAGTTTCTCGGTAGTCTCGGTATTGTCGGCATCTCGATGTTGGCTGAAAGATCGAAACCTCACTCGATGCGGTCGTGAGAGTTCGCCAGGTAGTCCCAGGTGGTGACTCTCCAGTGCCTCGGCGTTGGCCGGTTGTGAGAGGCTGCGGCGATGACTGTTGCGGCCTTCAACGGCGTTTCGCTCTAAAGACTCTGGATTGGTGAGCAATTCGTAACTTTCGTTATCATGATGAGTCTCCGACATTGGGAGGCAAATGCACTCCAAAGGTCAACTATCTTTGCAATAAAGTTGATGGGAATGTCGGGAAGAGAGTGAACGGGGCAGGAGACGATGAACGAATGTCTGGATGAACGGTGGAGGAACGGATAGAGATTAAAAAGAATAAGCACCGTACAAATACATACAATGATGGCGCAATGATATGACAAATCGAGGAATGCAGTGGTGTTAATGGGTTAAGGAAAGGCAGCAAGAAGCAGAGAGGATGGACGAGTGTGGAGAGGAACCAGAGATGAAACTGAGTGGGAGGGCGTGGGAGAGGCGAACCAAAAATAAGTTGAGTCTAGAACGGATTTTCATCTCAAAAATGGAAGTTCTGCAAGAACTGTAAGAAAGCCATTGACTTTTTAAAGAAACGTCAAGTCTCGGCGCAGAGTTCATTGTTGCGAGATTGAAGAGAGCACACGAAGACGATGATCTCATGGTGGAGGGGCATTGATTGATGGACCTGTCAGTGTTTCGGAGGGTCTTGGACAGATGATCCTTATCAATAGCACTCTTTACTATTGCTTCGACGATCTACAACAGTTTCCATGCAGCACAAGATCGCTATATTTTATTACCTGGTGATTGTTGATTAAGGTACTGTTCTAGAACCCACGCAGTCTACTACCTATCCTCCATTCGATCAGTGTCAAATGACTCGACGCTCAAAGACTTCCAAACTCAATGACACTGCAATCCACGCAAAACCGGTGGAGAACCAATGGCACAATCCTGATACATAAAGATGAATAAGATGCTTGGCTGTGGGTCGGGACTCGGAAGTGGCGAAATGACAGAATCACGACGAATCACGGATGCTGCGGTGGAAGCTGCAGAGAAAATCTCTGTCTTCTAGGCTTGCGCCGTGGCTGCAGCGGACTCGACCGGCAATGTGGTCTATCGGAGCATCCTGATGGGCTGCTGAACTTGTCCTTGTCAAAGTTCCAGCCAATTTACCCGTCAAATTACCCACCTCGGGCAGATCGTCTTGTCCACAGCACAGAGTCCAGACTCCATGTCCGTGCTACCTCCCAACTCCGTATGCTCTTGCGGGGACCAGCGACGCGAATTGAAGTCGCATCAATATGTGTTCTATTTTCGTCCAACACGCAGCTCAGCTGCTGGAATACTACAAATGCATGTGAATGATTATTATTAGACTATTATGGCCATGGAATACTGGATTCTGCACCACGCAACTATCGTCCATCACGACTATCAAAATCCCACTTGTTCAACCACCCAACGCTAACATTCAGGTATATCGCAAAGCAGAGCCATCCAGCATATGGGAGCATCATCCAAAACGCAGTGCGATCAATATCCCACCACATTGCCATCAGTTTCCCGACCGTACCGCCCAGAGCTACCATATCCGCAAGGGCCCACCCAGGTTTCCGCGCACCGAAGAACAACGGCATCCAGAGATAGTTGAGGACCAGCTGTGTCGTGTACAACGTCTGGGACGACGCTACTGCCGTCGCGGGTGTGAGGAGGGTCGCGGAGGTGGTTGCGTGGTGGGCCGCGTAGCCCATCATCCCGTAGAGGATGGTCCACACAGGCCCGAAGACCCAGGCGGGAGGGCGTAGGGGCGGTTGGCGGAGACGGCTGTAGAGTTCTTTTGTGTGGCCTAATTCTGTAGAGGTATGGAGTAAGTATGGGCCAGTTGGTCTGCCATAAAAATAACTAGTGATATCTTATTTATCGCCGATGAAGAAGACGCATACTGTTGACCAGATATCCCACCAGGGATCCCACCCCAATAGGCATCGCTACTGCCAAGACTGGGGAGGTGAAAAACTCTTGTGGGAGTGCTAATGACCACGGCATGGTGTAGAGGTTGAGAGATGTTTTCCAAGTAGAGTATTGATCCTTGTTCTTCGGACAATTTTACAAGTCGGCCATGTTGCTGAGTGTAGGGGTTTTTATGTACTCCGTTCAGCCCATCATCCGATCGATCGATATGCACCAACGTCATTGTTCATAAAACTCCACCTCGCTTGGAAGAGGCGCTACGAACCACAAGTCCATTGAAGATGTGAGGCTGCTGTTTAGGAATATGGAAAATAACAATCATCGAGCTCGAATATAAGGGAAATTAACACAGCAACCAGAATATGTAGTAAAGCGCCTCCGCGTCATCCAGTGTCAGTGACTTCAGGGAAATATATATCAAACGAAAAAGAAAATCAACAAAAGTCAAATCACAGCGAGCCAAATAAGCTCGCTTGTCGACTAAAAGGATCGGCGATGACACGGAATACAGACTCGGCAAAATATGGACACGTTTTATCAGTCGTACTAGATTGGGGACGGTGACTTTTGAAGGGCGGCTGCATCTACCTCCAGGTATCCTGGCATCCAGGGGACGAAAGAACCGAAGTGATTCAGGGGACGGTTTCGATGTCCGACAGAATCTTGTAGAAGGAAAGGCTGAAGTCGATATAAAGTATCGCAATGCTCTCTATCAAACCAAGCCAAGTCGTGATTGAGTATAAGCGGCGAATTTCATCCAGTCAAAAGACCAGATAGAAGAACATCCCAGCTAACAGTCAGCCACGATGCCACTCAAATTGCTTTGCCTGCATGGTTGGGGCACGAACATCAAGGTATGTGACACGAGCATTCCATTCTCGTCCTGCTCGCTGACATTGTGACAGATCTTGCAATCTCAGCTGAGTAAGCAGCACAGCTTTCAGCTGTGCTGTCACATACTAACGAGACAGACGGCTTGATGACCGAACTCCGACGAGATAATACGGCGACATTTCATTTTGTCGAAGGCGACATTGACTCGGTGCCGGGTCCTGGCATAGCAGGATTCTATGACGGTCCCTACTACAGCTATTACAATTTTCCCCGGTCGTTTTCTGACCCCGACGGCAGCGAGGAGGAATCCTTGCTCGAAGCATACAACCTCCTCTATGAGATCATCGACGAGGACGGCCCTTTTGATGGTATCCTAGGCTTCTCTCACGGAGGAACCCTGGCTTCAGGCTTTCTCATTCATCATGCAAAGACGTATCCGCATGAATTACCTCTCTTTCGATGCGCCATACTCATCAATTCCCTACCACCGTTCCGCATGAACCCTGGCGAGAACCCGGTAATCGACCCAGACCTTGACGGCTATATCAAAATACCGACTGTAAACATCGCTGGGTCGAAGGATCCCTTGTTCGAGTATTCGCTTGCATTGCACAGGCTGTGTGATCCATCAAAGTCCACGTGGATAGTGCACAGCAAGGCCCACGATATCCCCAGCGATAAGAAAAATGTCGCTATGATGGCTGCAGGTATCCGCAAGTTGGCTATCGAAGCTTTGGCGATATGGTGACTGTAACCTGGCCTTTCTTCTGTCCTACCTTGCACAGAATAGAATATTCCGCATGTCTATCCTGCATTCATTGGTTTCAATGCCGACTTTTCTCAGTGTACTGGTACGGAGCATTCTTTGGATGTCATTAGATCACGAATTTGAGGTTTGAAGATCGGATCATAACCAAGCCATGTATATTTGTCTGCTGTTTCTGCAATTTAATGATTGTCTTTGAACCCTTCCCGAATGCCTGTGACATGACAGTACGTCAACTTGTCATATGGATGGGCAGTTTGTAGTCTTCCACCATGGCTATCAACTCCTTCGAAGGGACTGGGGAACCCGTCCAGCTCCCTTCTGCTCCCTCTAATGCCCACACAGAAGATGAAGTTTCAGACTCGTTGGACGAGGCATCAATGCCTATTGCAATTATTGGCATGGGATTCCGAGGGCCCGAAGATGCCACCAACCTTGAGAAGCTGTGGAAAATGATACTCGAAGGCCGGGAAGCATGGAGTCAGATACCCGAGTCGAGATGGAACAGTCATGCGTTTTACCACCCAGACCATGCGAGGCACGGCACTGTAAGTCACGATAACAGCCAAATGAGATATGTGATAACAGTATCTGCAGACCAATGTCCAAGGCGGCCACTTTCTGATAGAAGATGTATCCCTTTTCGATGCGCCCTTTTTCAACATGACGAGTGACGAGGCAGCGGTTTGTAGCCTTTCCACAGGGTATCTGTACAATTGGGTCTTATCAAGCTTATCATATCAATTCTCAGGCGATGGATCCCCAGCAGCGGTTATTGCTTGAAGTGACATATGAAGGACTAGAGAATGGTCAGTCCCGCACAGCACAGAGGTCATTGGATAGCACTCACACCTGCCAGCCGGTATACCCCTTCCCGAAATTATGGGAAGCCAAACTTCCTGTTTCGTTGGTTCTTTCAATGCGGATTACACAGATCTCCTTCTACGCGATCCCGATGCCATCCCTATGTATCAATGCACCAATGCCGGACAGTCGCGAGCCATGATGGCCAATCGAGTGTCATACTTCTTCGACCTAAAGGGCCCTAGCATCACAGTTGATACCGCTTGCTCGGGGAGTCTAGTCGCATTGCATTTGGCGTGTCAGACGTTGCGCACCGGCGATGCTGCGATGGCAATTGCGGCCGGAGTAAACGTGATTCTCAGCCATGAATTTATGTCCACAATGACCATGATGAAGTAGGTTTGCATGAGGCACTTGAATGTCATTGGATTAAACAGTATCCAGGTTTCTGTCACCGGATGGACGCTGCTACACATTCGACGAGGAAGCCAACGGATACGCTCGTGGCGAAGGGATCGGCTGTTTGATCTTGAAGCCGCTCAAAGACGCCATCAGAGATAAAGACCCTATCCGAGCTGTCATTAGGGGTTCTGGGTCGAATCAAGATGGCAGGACTCCCGGCATCACTCTCCCAAGTGGAGCGTCACAGGAGGCCTTGATTCGCCATGTTTACAGCATGGCAGGTCTTCATCCACATGATACAGAATTCGTTGAGACACACGGCACAGGAACTCAAGCAGGAGATCCAATTGAGACAGGAGCGCTCGCGAGAGTGTTCTGCGCTGATAGAAACTCAGACAAGCCACTGCGCATCGGGTCCATCAAAACAAACGTGGGGCATCTGGAGGGAACAAGCGGAGTCGCGGGCGTGATCAAGGCAGTGTTGATGCTTGAGAACCGCACTTTCCTCCCCAACCGCAACTTTACTTCCCTCAACCCGCGCATTCTGCTAGACGAATGGAAGCTTAAGGCATGGCATCCCGTATTGTTTCGCATAAGTGAATAGCATGATAACAATTTCAGATTCAACTCAATCCGGAACCATGGGAAAGCACAGGGCCCCATCGCGTATCGGTAAACAGCTTCGGATACGGGGGAAGCAACGCACATGTTATCCTCGAAGACACGTATGGATACCTACAATCGCACGGTTTACAAGAACTTGTTGGCAAGCCACGTGCGCCTTTCCTGAACAACGCTCTTGAGCCATCGCGAACTCCCAACGGCCGCCATGACGAATTACCCATACGGACGCGTCTTTTTATTCTCTCCGGTTTTGACGATCATTCCATTACAAAGCAGATAGAAAAAATTAGCGACTATCTCCGCGAAAGGGAATCGATATCTGATGATCAGTTCATGAGCAATTTGGCATTCACGTTGAATCAACGGCGTACTACCCTCATGTGTCGCGCAGCGGCTACCGGCAACTCAGCTGCCAGCGTAGTCAGAGCTTTGGAAGGTAATATCAAGGTTAGAAAGGCCACGCGAAAGCCAGTGGTTGGTTTTGTGTTCACCGGCCAAGGAGCGCAATGGTGTGGGATGGGACGGGAGCTGGTGGGAGCATATCCTGTTTTCCGCCAGTCAATGGAACGAATTGATGCACACTTGACTAGACTTGAAGCTCCATTTTCTGCCCTAGGTAAGAGCAAAGCCCGTGCCATTGAATCAAGGTTCACGTCCCGGCTAATCGTGCTGCAACAGGTGAAATTCTCGAGAACGAAGACACATCACGGCTCAACCATCCCCTACACAGTCAAACAATCTGCACGGCACTTCAAATTGCACTTGTGGACCTTTTAGATTCCTGGGACATACAGCCAGATTCCGTTACTGGTCATTCCAGTGGCGAAATAGCCGCAGCGTACGCCATCGGAGCGTTAAGCATGGAGGACGCTATATCTGTTGCATACTATAGGGGCATTGCAGCGAGCAAGCTGTCAAACAACAAAGAAGCGAAGGGAGGGATGCTCGCTGCCGGCGTGTCGCCGGCCCAAATACAACCATTCCTGGACACTTTGGAAACCGGGAAAGCCGTCCTGGCATGCATTAACAGCCCGTCCAGCGTTACTGTCTCAGGAGACGTTGAAGCTATTGACGAGCTTGAGAAGGCATTAAAGGAGAAAGAGTTCTTCTGCCGACGTCTGGTAGTGGATGTTGCATATCATTCCCACCATATGGAACTAGTTGGCGGGGAATATCTGGACCTGATATCGAATATTCGACCACGGATTGGAAGCAAATCAGGAAGGCATCCTGTCTCCTTTTTCTCTTCGGTGACAGGAGCTGAAGTCAAAGCCTCCGATCTTGGGTCCCAATATTGGACTAGAAACCTTCTCGGTCAAGTCAAATTTGTTGACTCCGTCAGGGCACTTTGTTTTGAAACCAGTACTCAGAAAACGATGTTTGCGGCCCCTAATAACAGACGTGCCAGGCGACCAAATGGTACACGAAAGGTCACCGTTGATGTCTTGCTGGAAGTTGGCCCTCATAGAGCATTGTCGGGCCCAATCCGTCAAATTCTGAAAGATGACAACAAACTCCATGCGGCAGGGATACAATATGCGAGCGCTTTGACTCGTAAAGTCGATTCTGTCACTACGACATTAGAGGTTACTGGAATCCTGGCCTGCCTGGGTTCTCAGGTCAACTTTTCCGCAATCAACAACCCGTTAGCTGAGACGCTAGATACGCAAGTCATGGTTGATCTTCCTCCCTATGCATGGAACCACAGCAGATCATACTGGGCTGAGTCACGCATCAGCACAACATTCAGAAAACGCAAGCACCCGCGAACAGATCTCCTGGGTACTCTCGACAGAATGTCATGTCCGTTCGAACCTCGCTGGAGAAACTTTGTGCGCGTATCGGAGATCCCATGGCTGAAAGATCATAAGATACAGTCGAACATAGTTTACCCTGCAGCAGGGTACATTGCAATGGCCATTGAAGCTGCATCTCAACACCTGCTGGAGCAAGAGGCCAACAAGCACATGTCAGCGTTTCTTCTCCGTGATGTTGAAATAAGAGCCGCTTTGGTTATTCAGGAGAATTCTGCAGCTGAAGTCATGACCTCGCTACGAGCGTGTCAGGGTAGCACCGAAGACTTCGAGCGTTTTTACGAATTTAACGTCTATTCAGTGACCGCTGAGAATCGATGGACCGAGCATTGTCGTGGCCTAGTTGGCGTCCTTGACATGGCCCTGGACACCGAGTATGAGACTGGTTTCCAGACTCCAGAAGAACCCTCCGACCTCAGTGTCATAGACATTTCGACGTTCTACGAAAAGCTAGCAAGCATTGGCCTCGAATATGGACCTTGCTTTGCGAATCTGACGCACGCTAGTAGTGCTGACAACTTGTGCTTTGCTGAAGTTACTATCCCTGACACAGCAGCTGTCATGCCAATGAATTTCCAGTACCCATACTTAGTCCACCCCTGCACCCTTGACAGCGTATTTCATTCAACATTTGTTCAGACAAACATGGCGAACAATCCCGCTATCCCGGTTCATATAGACGAGCTTTGCGTGTCGCGGTGTACAGAGCGTTCACCGGGTGCGAAAATGCAAATCGAGACGCATATTGACAACCGGACGAGAAAGGATGTTGTCGCCTCAATTACAGTGATGAACAGCAATGATATTATTGCTATGTCAATTCGAGGATTGCGATGCATGAGCCTTGAGAGCAGCGTCCCGAAGCAGCCGCTCAACCCGACTGATCGCCTCGGGTACATGCAGACTTGGAAAGCAGATCCGGATCTACTTTCAAGGCAAGACTTTAGTACTATTTTCACTGAGAATAATCAGGACAGTGCAGAACTGGCAAACAGACCTTCATTGGAAAAATGCGCTTCTTACTATATTCGGACAGCCATCCAAGATCTTAAATCCGTGGACAAGGAAGAATTGCATCCAGACCGAAGACAACAGCTCGAATTCCTCGTCGACCGGACGCAAGAAAGTTGCTTAGCTCCGTCATCAGACATGAATGCCGCCGATATCCATGCAGTGAGTGCTTCCGGACCGGAAGGAAGACTCCTCACTACAATGGGCAAGCAACTCAATACATTCTTGAAAGATCCGAAATTCTCGGCCACTGATATGGATCCTTCAATATGGGAGGAATACTGGGACGATATCCGCTCAGGCCCGGCGTACGAGACACTAGCTAGCTACATCGAGCTAGTCGGCTATAAAAACCCAATGATCTCGATACTTGAGGTGGAGGGTACATTTGGACAATCGTCTCAAGGTCATGTCGAACGGCTCTTGAGTAATAACGGGAAAGGACCCATATGCAGTGAATACACAATCACTCATCAAGACCCGTCGATCCCTGATCACTTCGCCCCGGTGCTTTCCAAGTGGAACCAATCTCTAAAAGTAAAGACATTGAATCTCAATCAGAGTCCAGAGACACAAGGCTTTTCCAAATATCAATACGACGTCGTCCTTGCGCCTTTGGGACTTTGTACGGTTCCATCGAAGTTGCAAGCTCTCAGGAATATTCACAGCCTCCTGAAGCCACAAGGGCATCTAATTATTGTGGATCCCATCGCTGGACATGACAATCCAGTCGGCTCTGTTATCTTCGCAAATTCTCCGGGATGCTGGTCGATAGGTCGTTTTGGCTATACTCTCGAAACCTGGAATGTCATGCTCTCAGTGGCTGGATTTGCCGAAGCAGAAGATGCCAGCACCTCACGAAAAGGGCCCTTCATGATCATCACTCATCCGTTGCATGAGCAGTCAATTCCCAAACGAAGCATGCTAATCATATCGGAAGATGGTGACAATGGTATAGACTTGTCCACTCTGCAAGACTCTCTCAGCCCCGTGTCGTCCGATATCGAAATTGCAGATTTCACCCACGCCAAGCCAGAAGGAAGGGTGTGCATCGTTCTGAGTGCCCTCAGTCGACACTTGATGGCAGAACCTACTCCAGAGGAACTGGAAGTATTGAGGCGAATCTTCTTGAAGGCATTGGGCGTCTTGTGGGTAACTCGAGGAGCGGAAATTTCCCCGGTGACACCGGACGGTGCTCTGGCGACCGGGTTTGTACGAACTTCGCGCTCTGAATCCGGAATTGAAAGAATCGTTACATTGGATTTGGACGGACAGAATCCACTCTCAAGTCATCGCGCTGCTGAAGTTATATGCACAGTGGTGCGCGAGCGAATTCTGGCCGGGGAAAACGGTCAAAGTGATACAGAGTATGCTGAGCGAAACGGCGTGCTCCTCATTCCTCGAATTGTTGAAAACCAGGCCTTTAACAGGTCCCTTGCGGCCTCGCATGAGACGCAAACAACAAGCCTTCAAAATTTCCACCAGGAGGGTAGATTCCTCAAAGCGACGATTCCCGATGCTTCCCGGGAAGATGAAGTGCTCTTTATGGATGATTCTAGGATGAACGACCTACCCGCGGACCACATCCGTGTTCATACTTATGCGGTATGCATAGATAAACTGGTCGTAAACTCTCTCGAAGACCATGATACCTCTCAAGTATTAGCGACGAGCTTCGGGGTTAGCGGGATTGTTCAAGGCGTCGGAGACGCTGTCTATGATTTCGCTCCGGGTGACCGAGTGGCTTGCTTTGCGCAAGGAGCAGTAGCCAACTGCCAGCAAGAACAGGCCTTGGCGTTCCAAAAGTTGCCTGAGGATTTATCTTTTGAAGCAGCAGCGGCCTTGCCTGCGGCTTATTGCACAGCACTATATGCGCTTCAGAACCTTGGCCGGGTTGCCTCATCAGACAGGATTCTAGTATACGGAGCCACAGGAACGGTCGGGCAAGCCTTAGCTGAACTATGCCTCCATGTCGGAGCTGACGTGCTCTTTGTTGTCCGAGCTGAGAAAGACAGACATTCCCTTGGTAGCACAGTCGCAATACCTGATGACCGAATTATCGTCTATGGGAATGGCGCACAGGCAAGGAAGCTTCTGAGAATGAAGCAGCATCAGCGTTTCGATGTGGTAATCAATTTCGAAAGTTCGGACAACGAGATGCTACAGCTCCTAGGCGGGTTGGTCGGTACAGGCGGCAAATTCATACACCTTTACCACGAAAATCGCTGGAGTCAGCGCAGATGGGCAATCCCACAGCTGGATAATGCCGTCTCGTTCGCAACACTGGACATCAATAAGCTCTTGAGAGACAAGCCAACGTTGCTGTACAAAACATGGGGCGATGTAATGCGCATGTTCCGAGCAGGACACATCCGTGGCTCCAATGCCTCGGCAGCGTATAGTATATCAGATATGCTAGACGCATTGAACGCGTTGAGATCGAAGGATCTGGATTCCATAATAATCGCAGCTAAACCAGAGGACCTTGTGAAGGTAAGCTCTAACGAAACATCTCCAGGTCCTTGCTAACAAAAGAGCAGGTCATCGTTCCGAAGCCGCAAGCTGCCCTACTCCATCCAGATGCATCTTATATACTCGTTGGCGGCCTAGGAGGTATTGGCCGAGCCACAGCCCTCTGGATGGCCGATAACGGGGCTCGAACGTTGATCTTTGTCAATAGAAGTGGGCCGTCGAGTCAGGCAGCGCAGGAAACAGCACGAGATCTGAAGCAAAAGGGAGTTCGCGCCATCGTTCATGCTTGCGATATATCCGATAGCAAGCAAGTCGAGAAGATGGTGACTGAACTTGAACGGAACGCCCCTCCAATTCGAGGGGTTATTCAGTCTGCCATGGTCCTTCGGGTTCGTTCATTCAATCTACGAAGACTATTCCCTCTGGAAGCTGACGCATCGATAGGATGTCCATATCGAGAAAATGACCATCGAGGATTATCTCTCCGTGCTGCGCCCGAAATACTACGGAACCTGGAACCTGCACCGCCATCTCCCAGACGACCTCGATTTCTTCGTCATGCTCTCTTCTATTAGCGGAATCATCGGAAACGCCACCCAGGCCGCCTACGCCGCCGGCTCCACCTTCCTCGACGCATTCGCAGTATATCGTAGCTCCCTCGGTCTCCCAGCCGTCTCGCTAGACCTAGGCGTGATAACCGACGTAGGGTACCTGGCCGGAAACCGCGATCTAGCGGCCAAGATGGCTCAGCAGGGTTTCCACGGCACAGACACGGCGACCCTGATGTCTTTGATCGCTGCCTCAATTAGAGCGCCGTTCGGTGAGGGAGGCACCTCCCAGATCATCACGGGATTGGGCGAGTGGAAAGATGGGCAGTCGCTCAGCAACTTCGACGCGCCCCTCTTTGCACACTTCCGTCGACAGTTTCAGCACAAGGGTGGAGAGGACCAATCTGACGAGTTTATTGGCAAGTTACGCGAGAACCTCCGAGAAATCAATAACCTCGGGGAGGCTTCTGGGGTTATCTACAGTGCTCTGAGCGGGAAGATTGCGGCGCATCTGTCTGTTCCGATCGAGAGCATCGTTGGCTCACATCCAATTACGGAGTATGGGATTGACTCGCACATGGCAGTGGAGTTGAGGAACTGGATCGCGAAGACAATGGAGAGCACGGTGCCGATTTTGGATATTCTGGCGAGTAGTACGTTGTTGGATCTGGCGGGCAAGATTGCATCCAAGTCTAGATTGGTTCATTTGGGAGAATAGGGATAGTGGGGATTTCTTTGAGCAATGATATTCCTAATCTAAGCAAGTCTATTATTTGGAATCTTGGTATATAACAAGAGATCACAACAATCCAATAGGATTCTAGGGAGCACATGAGGCGAGTAAAGGGGAGATAGGAAGCGAAACAGTCGCTGGACTGACGACACGACACGAGGCCGCCAAGACCAAGTAGTAAGCTCGAAAATACCAGAATCCCGGTCCTTCCGAGTAAGACCATAGTGGGGAACGCCAAAGGACAATCACTCTGCCTTCTTAGAAGCCTTGGTCCGCAGCTTCATCAGCGCGTACACCAGAGCATACGAACTCAGGACGAAAATGAAAACAATAGCCGTATCCCGCCAGCCGTAGTAATAATCCTTCAAGTTGAGAGTATAGAGGTAGTCGCTCCCATACCGAAACTGACAAACACGGCACCCAGACGTCGCCTCGGGATTGACGAGATTGGCCCGGGACCCGAAACCCTGTAAATACGTCGACAGGTAATCAGCACAAGTGGTGCCATTCGGCGTATCGAAGACAGCGAACTCCCCGTCCTTGCAGGTGACGTCTGTGTCGAACACGGAGAAGACCAGCATGCTGCCCATGAGGTAGTTGAACGGGTTGAGCCAGTAGATCCAGTACCGCCAGAAAGCCTGGATCTGGGCGTAGGGGACGAGAACACCGCAGAAGGAGACGAGAGTACCGAGGATGAGGGGGTTGGTTAGGGCGGCGAAGGTGGCGTTGGGGGCGTAGGCGGCGACGAACTGGCCGATTCCCTGTGGCATGTTAGATAATCAGGTAAGGGGGGAGAGGGTGGAGGGGGAGGGACAAACCGTGTAGAGGAATTCGTAGCAGAGCATGACGAAGAACATTGCGCCGGCTTTGTCGGAGTCGGTGGGGAATCCGACAGTGTAGTACCAGCAGACGAAGTAGAGGACAGCGCAGATGCAGAGGTAGGGGAACTCGGAGACGATCAGGGCAGTGACGAATGCTATCCAGGAGTACATTTTGGATTTCTTCTCTCTTGTGTCGTAGATGTCGCGGCGTTCGATGAACAGGGGCTGGAGCTGGTTGATGACACCGGGGGCGACGAAGATGAAGTTGAAGATGGTGAAGAGTTTCAGTTGCATATCCGCGACGCCATCGCCGATCATCCAGAATGAGAAGCCGTTGAATAACGCCGATCCGATGTGCAGTGCGATCTTGTTCATGATGTAGTCGCAGTTTCTGTATAACGAGGTTGACATTCTCTGCGTGACGATCTTTGTTTGGGACCAGAGAGGCATGGCAAATTCATAGCCGTCGTCGACGGTGCCGGGAGGCTTGGAGGCTGCTTCGCTGATTATACTGTCCAGTTCCCGTGAGGCGCTGGTGTGCTCCGGGGACTCGAGCCAGACCTGGTTCCAATCACGTCCCTGCGACAAGTGGCCGGAGACAACGTCGATCATATGCTCGGCAGGATTAACATTGGCAGGGCATGGAGCACCATACCGAGCGAAATAGTCCTTGACTGTTTGAGCGTTGTCGCCGATGTCACCAAAGTAGACCATCTTGCCGCCTTTGGCCAGAAGCAACAGGGTATCGAATTCAGCGAACAACTGGGCAGAGGGCTGGTGAATCGTCACAAGTACCGCCTGGCCGACGTCGGCGAGCTTCCGTAAGAAACGGACAGTGTTGAAGGCGGATTGGCCATCGAGGCCAGACGTAGGTTCATCCAGGAAAATTAGAATGCTCGGCTTTGAGACAAGCTCCACGCCAATGGTGACTCGCTTGCGCTGCTCGACGCTCAACCCTGCACCCACACGACCAATAAGAGTGTGCTCAAGATCATGCAACTCAAGGAGATCGATGATGACGTCCACGTATTTCAACTTCTCCTCTCTTGGAATATGGCGTGGCTGACGAAGCAAGGCGGAGAACTCCAGGGCCTCCCGAACAGTAGCGAATGGTTCGTGCACGTCGAGCTGCTCGCAGTAGCCCGCGGATCTCTGGAAAGAAACAGGCAATGGACGTCCGTCAACCATGATCGATCCTCTAATGGTACCGTCGGTTTTACGCTGAGCCAAGACATCCAGAAGTGTGGTTTTGCCGGCACCGGAGGATCCCATCAAAGCACCCAACATGCCGGGCTTGACCCAACCATAAACGTTGTCCAGCAGAACACGATCACCCGACGGAGTCTTGACGGTATACGTAAGATCCTTCCACGTAAAGACCGACGTGTTCCGAACCAGATGCTGATCGACACCGCCCTGGGCTTCAGAGTCGGTGCCAGTGCCTTTGTGGCCAGCTTTCTCGTTGACCTGTGCTTCCTCGTCCTTGCGAGCCACAGCGTGATGTTTCGCCACCGTTTCACGGGGAATCAGTAGCGTGTTACCGGCTTCCGCGGCGGACTTCCAACGTGATGTAGCGAAGATGGTCGCCGCGACGAAGAGCGCCCACCAGGCCCAGAGAATACCAAAGTTCCTCCAGACATGCGAGTAAGAGTAGGTCAGGGAAGCCAAGTATTGGTCACCAGTCACATAGGTCATTCCCTGAACCGCACCACTTACACCGGCGCAAGACTGGAACGCAGTATCCTCGTAGCCAGGTCCGAAAGGTACCAGGTTATTGCCAATGCATGGAATGATCTTGTTGTGGAACTCGATGGAGAGCAACGCGTCAAAGGCATACGCCATTGGATTAATCCAATATATCCAGATGAACCATGGGTGCATCGCATGGTAAGGTTCCAGATAGCCGCAGTACATGATTAACGCGCTGATCAGAAAGCCGGAAACTTTTGAGGCTCCGTCAAAGGTAGAGAAAAGCGCTCCGATGGCACGGAACAAGGCTGTCATGACCTAACGGCGCTATCTGTCAGCACATGATATATTCTATATGAACTTGATGTCAATTAAGCAAGACTTACCATAGTAGCCACAAAGATGATGACCCAGTAAGAGAAAAAGGCCCCTGCTGACGCGGTAAGGCCAACCATGAAGTAGACAACGATCGCAAAGATACTGATCTGGAACAGAAGAACCGGGATATCGGCAGCGATTTGCGCAATGCAGAATGCGGCAGGATGGAAGAAAGCGAAATATTTGTGCTTGATCAGGACTGGTCGACCACTGAAGGAATCCGTAACCTCTGACATGGCGAGCAGGCTGTTGTATAGCAACGAGAAGAACAGGGCACCAGACTTGATGAATAAGCCACCGGAGTTGTCTGGAGCATTATAGAACAGAGAACCAGCGACGAGTGCTTGAATCAGGGTAGATATTTGCTTGATGGCGAATGTCGCCTTATCAGTCCAAATGATCTGGTATTGACGGACGATGCATGCCTTGACCTGTTGCAGAAAGTCGACGGTGAACGGGCTGTTCTTCGACAACCGCTTGGCTTTCTCATCAACAACACCAAGTTTGAATTCTTCAGTCCGCTCCCGAGTCGAGTCAGTATCAGGGTAGTCATATTCAATCGCCATCTGAGCTCGGATGGATGACTTCTCATAAGCAGCCAGAGCCTCATCCGCGTTGCGCGGGAAGCGACTCTCATATCCAGGTCGGATTTTACGCTCGGTCGGGACAGTAACACCAGTCAAGAAGTCTGCCACGTTCGATCCTTCACGGCAAACGAAGCCTAGCTCCTCCATGAAAGGCCGTGCCTGCGACATTGGACCATAGTAGATTTGCTTGCCCTCGTCGAGAACCAGAACTTTATCGAAAAGGTCATAGATGCCATTTCCTGCTTGATAAAGGGTAACGATTGATGACAATCCAAAAACGTCAGTCATCGCACGGACAGCTTTCGCCCACTCAAGAGCAGTGCTAGCGTCCAGTCCTCGAGTGCTGTTATCCCAGCAGAAGACTGAGCCCCGAGTTGCAAGGCATTCGATGATGGACACACGTTTCCGCTCACCACCACTGACGCCTCTCACGTACTCGTTGCCGACTTTTGTATCCGAAGTATGAGAGATGCCCATGGACTTGAGCAAAAATTCCCGGGTTTCCTGCCGAAAAGCTTCCTGCGAAGTGACGCCCTCGGGGAGGTTGAAGGGAACTTTTAGTCGGGTTGCAAAATCCAAGGTCTGTCCAACCGTCAAGGTAGGAAAGAACAGTTCTTCCTCGGTGTTCATAACGATTTGACCCCGATATTTGGAGGCCTCCTCGGGAGTAAGCGAGCCGAAACGAACGTCGCCCCGAATCGCCTTGTAGCCGAGTCGATGGTTAGAAAGCATCCTGAGCAGGGTCGTACAGCCGGAACCAGGACGACCGAGAACAAGGAGCATCTCTCCCGGTTTGACGCAGCCATGGCTCTCGTGGAGAATAGTCCGCAAAGGGGCCTTGTTACGAGATTCTCGAATATGCTGAGGAATGTTGAATTGGGACAAAACGTTCTCGTTGATGGCGGCATCTGCGCTGACGACATCCACACTCAGATTCTTCCAGGTTACGCCCAGTTCGCGGCGTCTGAGACCGGACGCAACATTCCGGTCATGCTGTTTCTTGAGATCTGGCATCAAACTCCAGTCCTTGGCGTGAGAGGTGTCGGAAGTGTCTTGAAGAGGAGTAGGCGACTGATCGGTCTCATCGAGTGCCGTGTTGGTGCTGTCTGTATCGTCTCGCCTGTCGAAGAGCGCTCTTGGCTCCATAAACGGTGGGTGGCCCTGGTCCTCCATGGCTCAGCAGGCACTAACTTCAACGGCCAGAAGGGCGAAAATATTCCGACTCGAGATTGGAGATAGGTCCCAGGGTGTCTCAGGAGCCATCGAAGGTATATATTAGCTTGCCATTTTGCAGAATATTCAGCCGAGTGGGTCAGCGGTCTAAACAGACCCGGGCCCGAGTCTCACAGCTTCATAAAAAATACAAGACCCAAGGCTGTGTTCGCCAATCATTATGGTGGATGCCATTGTGATCAATAATCAATGGTAAGCTCCTTGTTACAGGAGGGGGCCTGCGCCGCTGATTGATGGTTCTCCCCAGGGGGGGACCCAGTTGTCATAATGCCGAATCCGAGTCCGGAGTTCCGAATAAAACCTCCATGGATGAAAAATCAAGGATGTCCCTTATCATATCGACCGATCCTGCAAAGGAGGCCGGACCATGTGCAAGACAAAGGTATCGCTGTCGTTCCGACCCGCCGGTTCGATTTGTTTTACACTACACCAGCGGCTTGGAGTTGGGTCGGTGTCGGCGTCGGCGCGCCCCTTTCGCCGACTTACTCTGAAATTTCCGCTGAGTCAGCCCCTAGAAACCAATCATTTAGTTGTATCTTCGCCAAGGGCTCGGCGGAATCATCTTGCTTCCGCTGATTCAGCGGCTGCGGACCAATCTGCTATCAATCTTTACCAGCTTCTCCATGGATTTCTTTCAATTGACTCATGTTTTCCAGAACACCTTCGTTCCAGACCGTAGATACACTGATTGTACATGAGCAATACCGCCAGAGGATTGTCTAATCCAGCCGAGATTAAGTTCTTGATTACAGACCATCGACAGTTCCCATTCGATGAGTTCCTCGAGTTTTGATCCTCGGGCGGAGATCTCGGAAGCTGTCCACATATGGAGATAAGAAAATCTATTGGGTGGGTCTAGTCACTACGTAACAATTGTGCATCTGGACACACATGGCATCCATGCTGGGAAGTCTCGATTATTCTCTGCAAATCTTCTCCATCGGGTATCTAACTTTCTTTCCATAGTGAGAAAGTCTTACGTCACATCTAGCACTGTACGAGATACCTCAGGGGTCGGTCTTTCTATTTCAGTGCCTGTGACGACATTTGATACGAACTCAGCATAATCGTGCATGTAGTCCATGCAGCATGTGTCAGCCTGCATTTGCCTGTTGTATTTTCTTTTTAGTTGGCACAACCTTCGCGGTCCTGTTGACAACCCAACTGTTCACTATCATACAGTGGCATGAAGGATGCCAATATGCGCATATCTATGTACAGCGCAGGAAGTCATGATAGGGTCACTGATCTTCTCAATAAGCAGCAACTGTTAAGAGTTACTTAAGGGTCCTGAGAGAAAATAATGTTATATTGCTCATAGATCACAATGTGCTCTAATATGCTCATCCATTCTCTTCAAGGTACTTTTGCTGACAGCGTTGTGTAAGCTTGCCTGTTATACGACACAGTCCCATGAGGACTTCCGTTTCCCCGATCATTCAATCACGCCCTAGCTACGTTGATGGGTTCTACAAGTCCGTTTGGGTGAGTACTGGCAAATGTATTTGGATTCAAGCGCTTCCCTTAAGATTCCCTCACTATGATCTGTCACATAGACCTGTAATGTAGCAGATATATATAATTATTAGCAAGCCTGTTGTATGGTGCTCTCTATAGGAGCCTTAGGAGGTCACTAAAGGGCGGTAACAATCATTGAAGAATCAAGTGATGAAAATCATCCAATCCTGTTAGGATATCGGCCCTACTATTCAAGTTGACGGTAATTGAGAGGCCAGCTAAATAATGATCATTCCCTACTGATATCCGAAATCTTCATCGCGACTCCACCAGGGATTCCCTAGAATTTCAGACATAGTGGCTCTCTCTGCAGGATTGAGCTTTGTCATCCTGGATATCATCCTCTTTGTCTCAGCGTCAAGGCTTGGGAATCCTCTTCCTTCCACTGGTTGAACCGCATGTCTGGATCATCAGCTGTTGCGTCAGATAATTCCTTCAAGATCTTGCCCCATCTTTGGTCGTTAACATATGCTACCAGCTCAGGAGGAACAGGGCCGAAGTATGTTATCAACCGGCCTAAGATTTCCAGCTCAGGTTTGATTCCTGCTTTTTTTTAGTTCGTTGAAGTCCGGATGTAGAGTTTCCATGCCCGTTATGACACAGAGCCACTGTAAGTAACATTAAGCAGGTATGCTTTTAACTGGGAATAGACCAACTTACCAGGAGCCCTTAAGAAAATATATCTGAAGGTTTACCAATACCCTTCCCTATTTGCCCCTCTGGACTGCGCCACATGACGTTTCTTATTCTAGCGTTGAGGAGCTTCTCGCCTTCCAGTTCCAATGCACAGTCCAGATCGGATAGTACCACTCTCTCTACTGCAAGCTGGCCTTCGTTGTTGTCCCTGCAGTCGACCATGACATTGTCAGGCTTTATGTCTAGGCGAGATCGCTGTCAGTACAGGTTTGGTGGAGCGATATTCGAATGTCTGCAACCAACCTAAGTGTATCCAGTTCCTTTCCTGGCATGAAGACACTCCACTGCCTGTCCGACCTGTTGCAATACGAATTTTCTTGCTTTGAGAGATAAATTTGAGTTGTTCTGTACTAGAGAAAGCAAGTCATGCTCAAAGTAATCATAAACAAGGGTGAGTTCATCTTCGTTGGCATCCACATGTGTTCGGAGTTGCCAAGCATCTGGAAACTCCCTTTTGAGGAGCATGCAATGTTCAAATATTGACTTGGGAACAGGCTTCACAACAAAGGGTCGACCCTCACAACTGGGATTCGTTGCCTCTATTAGCGGAAATGTTGGGATGCTAGCAAGATGACCGAAGAAACCGAGCTTACTGTGCGAGGTAAATATTCAGCTCCGGCTTCCTTGGATGAGCTTCGAGGACCTTATTACGCACATAGACGCGACCTGAGATGCCAACAAGGGTCGATCACATCCTGAGCCTGATTCCTCTTAACTTGTCAAGGTGGCCACAAATAGTATAATGATGAGATTTGATTCTCAACGAGTAGCGGTACCACATGGCAGCGAGATGGCCACCGTGACCGGAGAGTGACGGCGTCAACCAGTTTTGTAGCTCACTTAGCAAGTTGTTCACCCTGCATTATTGCAAGCGTCGGTGATTTCGCAAGATGAACAGTCATCGTTCCGAAGCGTTCTGCCTAATCCATCAAGGCTGATATGGCATCTTCACTGAGAACATTTCTCGCTGCCGTCGCGGAGAAGGTTAGTCTCACTAAAATAAATTCAGAAGTTGAACACTAAAGGTTTGCTCAAGGTCCAGAAATTGATTAATGACTGGGCTCAATGTCGGACTTAAATGAGATCAGTCCAACTTCAGGAGGCTAAACTCTTCATGGGATGTCCAGCTATTTTAAGTCACGTCAGGCAAGGGGTGAGAACAAGGATTTCTATTGTTATGTTCCAGATTGACCTTCACTGTACCTGTCGCCGCAGCTGGTTCACAAGTACACTGATACAATTACAAAGATCTGCTACTATTATGAGTCGATACCGGCGGCCTTTGCGAGTTCCTTCACCAGTCAGCCAGTATTTCTGACAGCGACAACTGTCCAATGTGGGAAGCAAATCCAGCGCGCTATCGCCGCATCCCTTGCCTGATCGAGATTCGGAAGAACCGGTTCCACGTTAGTAGCATTGTTGACTCTCGCTTGTGATTTCCTATGTGCTGACCCGATTTGTATGGTGATCCTTATATGCACACCAGTGGAAGATGGCTTCCTCGGGACGAGCTCGAACGGAAATCTCGCCCCATTGTGTTTGACTTCACAGCGCTCTGTGATAGGGCCATTCGTCTATGCCCAGGAGCAAAAGAGATCATCAAATGGGAGGAGAGAGAAGGTGGATTTAACAGGGTCTTTCTTTTCACAATGGACACAGGTTGAGCTGTTGTGGCAAGATTACCAACCGGTAATGCTGGCCCGCCAAGGTTGACCACCAGCTCTGAAGTCGCAACAATGACATATTGTAGGGCTGATCTACATACTTGTCTTGTTGAAGATGCGATTGACATGCGCTCACATAGTACAATCCAAGCCCTCGCTTCTGATACCCGAAAATCCTAGACTGGAGTGGATGACCCGTCAAAACCAATCGGCACGGAATACATCACCCAGGAGCATGTTGCGGGTGTTCAGCTACACCAGACGTGGCCCAAAATGAACCCGCAACAACATATGCTGTGTACTAAGATGCTTTCATTGGCCATGAGAGACATGGCATCCTTGGACTTTCCGGCCTATGGCAGTCTATACTTCTCCGATGCGCCGTTAGAGTCACACATGAAGATTCCTTTTGAAGAGGGCTTCTGTATCGGTCCAAATTGCAGTCCAGTTTTCTGGAATAGGAATCCGGGTGAACACGAACTCTACGGTGGTACGAGTCCCAATTGTGGTCCTTCGTCACTTTCATAACTCTCAACCCCTTTTTCAACAACAGTTCTGACGCAGCGGGCGCACAATTAGGGAGAGACCTCGCAGGCTATTACCTAGGTTTGATAGAGACCGGTTTCTCTCCTTTACCGAAAGAAGATGCTGGCAACCGCGACCTTCTTCTTCATCAAGGATCGATTCAAGATCACTTCAATTTCTTGGAAATAAGCAAAGAAGTGATGCAGAAGGTGATCAAAGGTAAGCGCATCCAAGATGCCGCTACTCCAGCTCTGCTTCATCCTGATTTCCATAAAAGTAATATTTTATGTCTCAGCCGGGGATCCAACCGTTATTACTGGAGTGTTCGATTGGCAGTCAGCAAGCATTTAACCTGCGTTCATTTATGCCAATGAGACTCCTGATTTTGCTGCACTCCCTCTAGAATTAGAGGGAACCACATTGCAGAATGGACAAGAAGAATGCAAAGATCCTGGCCAAAAGCAAAGAGAAGAGAAAGACGCGTGGATCTGTTACCAGACATACGATTTCTGCATGAAGGGCCCTGCTCCTAAATTACGCCCCGCAAGGTCAGTCGATCCAATTTTGTTTCGAGTCTTCCAATACTGTCATACGACATGGAGAGAAAGTGCAACGGCGCTGCGCCAAGAGCTAATCGAGCTTTCAGCTCGCTGGACAGAACTGGGACTGCAGGGCTCTTGCCCATTTTCACCGACTGAACAAGAAATTGAAGAAGCACGCTCGAGATTTTGAAGGCTTTGAGACTGTCCAAGAACCCAAACTGTGACTAAGAATCTCCCTCCAGCATTCTGATGGCTGGGTTCCGAATAATGTATGGGGCGCTGCGAAAGATGCTCATCGCGCGGCGTACGATGAATGGATACGGACAACCCGAGAATCCGAGTCTCGTGGCAATGGCCTGACAGTAGCAAAAGCGCACAATTTGTGGCCGCTTGACGCTAGATAGCAGCGGGAAAAGTCAATCAATAGATTTTCTCGCTGCTGGCATGTCTTAGTCGCAAAGCTGATAATATTACTGTAGACCGAACCATATCCTCCACCGGGACATGTCAAGGACAGAATGGTTCCTACGGAATACGGATGGGACGCGATCTAGGCGTCACTAGCCGAGCGACAACCACACCGCCGAGTGGTACATGTAGGCTCGGGGAGAAGGTCAGCTGTCATTTGGGGGGTACTCGGCCGAGATGTTGTGATGTCTTTGTTTGAGCTGCCACGCCACAGCCTTGACCGGCTCCTGCGATGGTGGCTGAAAGGAACCGAACCTCTGGGCGGAAGCCACGACGCCTGTTCATCCCGACGCAGGAACACTCTCCCGCCGAATGAGACTGACAGGTGCTCCAGTAAACAAAACTGCGTCTCTGGTAGAATATTCCGCCAAGGAGGTCTGATACGACATAGCAAGTCCCTTCTGACGCTACTAGCTCCGTTTCTGGGCATCATCAACTCAACACGAAGGATGCTTTTTGCATTTGTCTAGAGGATGCTGTTCCAACTGCTCTCATTGTTACAGCGCTCTAGCCATCAAAGACGGCAGGAACTAAAGGCCGCAGCTCTTAAACTCCGCGGAGTGTTCATCAGTGCGATACATATTGATTAGGTCAATGACGAGGGTCAACCTGCTAGCTCGGAAATATATTTGAACGGCTTCACTCACGACAGGCTGGGATGGGTGCGACCTGGAACAGTCGCACTCTTCAACTCGGCTTAGCGGGACAAATCTTCGATGGCCGTGGAAAGTCCGAGCCACTGATTCATGGGTCATAGCCAAGCCACCAAGCCATGTGCAGACGTCGGAGATGCTGCGAGACCAGCCGGCTCCAACTCTAAATCCAAACAATGAGAGTGGCAGGCTGAATACGCTTGTCTTGGTACGGCAGAGCTTCCAGCAGCGTACTAGATTCGCTGGTGGCAATAGACGAGGCACATGATATAGTCGTTCGACCAAGGACCATTGGCAATTCACCTCTACTATTGCGGACTGAGATAACCTTCAAAGCGATCTACCTCGATGTCCCAGACTTCTTAGTGTTTGACAATAGCCTTGCTAGAAACATGCCCTAGAAACATGCCAGCTCGAGATACGCACAGACTAACCAGTTCCTCCGCCAACGTGGAGCACCAGATTGTACAGATTTAAAGGGCGCAAAGAGCTCCCAGGACCCATATCCTACAATATAAAGTTTAATTCTGGGCGCCACCGGACAAATTCCGACTTCAACCAGATCACGTTGGGCAACAGCCGATATGGGGAAGCAAACGGCATAATCAGCACAGACCCTGAAACGTGGGGGAACCCACAAAATACCAGGTTCGCGGGGAGGATATGTGGCAGTATGGAGCAAGCCAGCCAACGGCAAGTCGCTACGGGAGTAAAGATGGTAGGGAGGCCAGTCTAGCATGGAGTCTGCCGAGTCAACTGGGAGTCTTCTCCGCATTTGTCAGAATTATTGATGGGTCATCTTCCCCAAGTTAGCCAATCAGTTATTGCCCCGCGTTTCCCCAGAAAAGCCACGCCCCAGCAGAATCCCGTTCGCCCCGTATATTTCTCCCTAATGATCCATCTACCACAGAGCTCTCCCACTCCCCTGCCCAATCCCGCACCTTCGCAGTCTCTCCGTCCCCGTGGGGTTCCCCATCAAGATAGGATAGGACTGCATACCTTGCAGAACATCATGGCGTAATCGTGCAGTACCGCGGCAGTTCGAGCGCGTAGTATATAAAGATGGCCGATCCCTTTCTTCTTCTGCAAGTTCCACAGCGCAGACTCTGTCGCTTCCCTAACTCATTCTTCTTCTTTTTTGAGAAACCCCCATCGGCTGGCTCGATCAACATGGGCGAGGAAATTACCGACAAAGACCTTCTGGGGGAGAAGGCTGAGATGAGCCACGAGGAGGTCGCCCAGCTGGCTCAGTTGACCGAAGAAGAGAAAGTGATCGAGAAAAAACTGCGGCGACGGCTTGACTCTACCATCATGCCGCTTGTTATTCTCGTCTATCTCATGAACTATATTGATCGGTAAGAATGCCTTCCTGGAAGGAATTACGTCGAGCTGGCTGCTTCTTTTTCTCCGCTTGTCACCGGTCGCATATTTCCTTTTGCGTGGTGACACAGTTGCGCGACCAGAACTGACAGTTTCAAAGGAACAATTACCCTGCTGCTCGTCTACAAGGTCTCGAACGCGATCTAAAGCTCAGCGATGCCGACTATCAAACTGGTCTTTCCATTCTATTCGTCGGATACATCCTTATGCAAGTGCCGTCCAACCTGATCCTGAACTATATGGGACGGCCGTCTCTATACCTGGGATTCTTCACCGCCGCATGGGGCCTGGTCTCGCTGCTGACGAGCCAAGTCAAGAGCTTTGGTGGAATCGTCGCCTGTCGGTTCATTCTGGGTCTGGTCGAAGCTCCATTCTTTGCTGGTGTGCTCTTCTACCTCTCCAAGTGGTACACCAAGAAGGAGCTAGCTCTGCGCATGAGTATCTTCTACGCAGGCTCCCTGCTCAGCGGAGCATTCGGAAGTCTCATCGCGGCAGGTATCCTGAAGGGACTCGATGGCAAACACGGCCTCGCAGCCTGGCAATGGCTGTACATTATTGAGGGCGCCATCACCATAGCCGTCGGCATCGCGGTCATGATACTCCTGCCCGACTTCCCCTCCACCTGGAAGCGCCTTTCCGAGGAGGAACGCCACGTTGCGAACCGCCGACTGGCCATCGAAGCCGCCGATGCCGACGTCGACGAAGCCGGCAAGATGAGCCAGGTCAAGGGTCTCAAGCTCGCCTTCAGCGACATCAAGACCTACGTTCTCGCGATCGCCTACATGTCCATCACCGGCGCCAGCGGCTTCCAGAACTTCTTCCCCACCCTCACATCAACACTCAAGTACGACCACTTCATCTCCCTCCTGCTCGTCGCCCCGCCCTACATCTTCGTCGTCTTCTACAGCATGGCGCACTCCCACCTCTCCGACCGCTTCGGCAACCGCTTCTGGTTCTTCTTCTACCCCATCCCCATCACCATCATCGGCTTCATCATCTTCATGACCACCGATAGCTTCGGACCAAAGTACTTCTCCTTCTTCCTCATGAACATCATCTTCGCCCAGAACGGCACCATCTACGCCTGGATCGGAAACGCTATTCCCCGTCCCCCAGCTAAGCGCGCCGCCGCCTACGCCTTCATCAACTCCATCGGTAACTCCGCCAGTATCTGGACCCCCTTCACCTACCGCAAGCAGGACTTCCCGCACTACCGTCCTGCGCTGGGCGTGTGCATCGGGCTGCAAACACTCGGCGGCGTCATGGCAATCATTATGTACTTCCATCTGCGCTCGTTGAACAAGCGCCTGGAGCGGCTGGACGACAGCGAGGTGACGCTCACGGATAAGGAGATACGGCGGCTGGAGCGCACGGCGGAGATCGAGGGGATTGACCTTGCGGCCGCACGTCGGCTGCAGAAGGGATTCAGATATCTCTTGTAATGGTTTGGGCTATGATACTAGGCAGCTCGAATGAAGTTTTTTTGGAATGAATAAGTTCGTACGATACCTACGACCGTGTCTTCACATTAGATCAATCTAATTCATTCTCTGCCCACTGACACAGAAGAACAACCTTTAATCAGTACCGTTCTGGTTACTCCCATCATCCCATGACGAACCCTGTAGATCCCACTACCTATCATCACGACTGCGACCATAAAGATGTGCGACAGCATACATATAGCTCCGAGGCAAACCGCAGCATGCATCGCGGGTAATCACTCACCCACTGAAGCTCTCACCAGCCTTGCCAAAAGACAACGATGTCCAACTTCAGCAACAAATCATATATCCCACAGTCGGAGTCATCCAGTTCCAACTTCACATATGCACCAACTTGTTAATCCACGTAGCTTGCCATGCAGCAGGTTTTCGCCGCGTACTGCATTGACGCTGACGCCTGCACGACCGGTAAATCTTGTCTTTGCGATTGTACCGGCATCCTGTCCAAGACATCGCTGCGACATCGGTTCTCGCTTCAAATATTAAATTGAAGTTCATTTGGAAGATGTCCTTAGTGAGCATATTTTCATGCTTTAAGCCTCCGCTGTGTTTCTGGTGGGTTTGAGTTGTTCTTGACCCTCTCCAATACACCATCACAGTGCGCCATGTTCGTACACACCGCGTCTTTATCAATCACGGTCACGTCAACAGGGCGCTGGAAGAAGCCCCGAGGGCTCGCACTGCTCGCGGCGCTGTTGATCCCACATGACGTATCCAAAAGGGCATCGCGACGGGGCTGATAACTCGGAGTTTGTTGGGTCACGGCATCTTCTGTAGTTTGGGGATGTTTGTGTGGGATCCTGGCTATTGGAATTATATGGCCAGGAGATTTGTGTCGCGGTATGTGAAGCGTGGTGACCTTTAGTGGGGAAGTAGATTCTTCAGGAGAGTATTGATTTGAATATTAACCACTGTTGCTGTGGTCTTACAAACTATGATACGGGATATTCCACATCGTCATTAGCCACAGAGGATTCGAGAGGGCTAATGGGCACCTAATCTTGCCAGGTTCTTTTGACAGCCTCTGTGCTGGCTCTCACAGACCGAGTCCACCTACGACCTGGCATGGTACTATTGGTCGGCTCACCAGCTCCTCCATCGCAAAACTGCAGGTGGAGGCTTAGACAGTGGTCGTAAGTGTGACAAGTGCTCTAGTTCTCTAGTTGATCCCACGAGGCTGAAAACGCCCTACAAGGTATAACTGAACGCCCCTATGCCCCCATTCTTTGCAAAATTCCGTATACCAGCTCTCAATTAAATATCATTTACTCTAGAATATTGTGAGATAAGCGAGCACGACATTATGGACCTACACGCCTACGATCTGGACTTCACATTTCCCTTCGATCGAGATAAATACCCTCTTGACAGTCCCGAGTCACTCCAGGATATATTCGCAGCAGCACAGCATGAGAAACATTTCCCGAATCCGCGAAATTTCTCTGCTAAGACCGACATTAGATGCCTTGACGTGGATGGGATGAACTCAGGTAAGCGCACTTTTTGATCTGGTTGGATATACGTCTATAGACTGACCGCCTCAAGCATGGCGTCATCTGGATACCAGGTCTCTCAGTGATCTATTACAGGTAACACAGGATTCTCGAGCTCTCCGTATCTTAAGGAGCTGAATCATGTTTCAAAGAATGTTTCGACTTCTGACCGCTCTACATCTTCCACTACCCTGAGTCCAGCGTCGAATGAGCTGAATTTGAGGCCACGAAGACTACTCGCATTGTACGCTCGCAACTTCCCTATATGTTTCCGCTCTCTGACATGGGTAGTTTTGTCCCTCTTTCACCGGCTGTGGGCACGTCTTTCGGGAGCTGCAGTGCAATGACTCGAGACAACGTTAGAGAATTATTTCATACCCTCCAAGTCAACCCCCTGTTTATCATGAACTTGCTAGGGCGCGTTGACTACTGGGCGCCGCAAACAGAATGGCATACAGACGATGATGGCAATTTTCTAGCTTGTGGTTTGCTTATACCTCAGACTGAGGCTACGAGTCCAGCTGATATCATCCAGACTTCTTCTGCCAGCATCCGCGTTGGAACTTGTACTTTCTAGGTGCACCCCTATCAGTCTATATGCGCTATAATGCTGCTCTCAAGCTTACCACTTATATTATATCGCACAAAAATGGAGATTCCAGTATAAGAGTCTTGACTGAGATTCTAGGCAGCGCTATGAAAACTGCCCGTCCGGATAAAAGGGCGAATCTCTTCCTTAATGACCCATTCAACATTGCCATTATGCTCTCCACATTGTCCTTTGAGGCATAAAAATATCATGTTCGGCAATTTCGGCGCGCCATATGGACTCAGGTATGAATTCTAGTTCATGGCAGAAGCCAAACCTCGCATTTTGACAGCTATGCAGATCAACAAGATCGATGACTACCTCTCAGACCCAGAAACCGGCGACCGACACCAACTGAGCGATTTTATCAAACAGTTACAACATGCAAAAGAAACTAATGCGGAGTGTCACCTTAATAATGCAGACGTCTCCATTGTAACAGCAACCACAATTCGCACTATCCATACTCGCCTGCATGAAGCTATATCATGCCCCTCTCACGTCTATGAGAGAGCAGCCAACACGATTAGCCACGTTATTGGGTCTATGCAAAAACAGAAGATCTGGTTACTGAGTTACAAGTCACGCCAGAATAGCACCTTAATGTTAGCGTCTATCCTTGTGGGGCAGCAAGACGCAGCCAGTAATATACTGCTTGCCACTAGTATGAAGCAGGATAGTACTAGCATGAGTGCAATTGCTGCTCTTACAATGGTGTTTCTCCCCGGGACATTTACAGCGGTGAGTATCAAATGATCCCGCCTCCCCCCTTCCTGCGCAATTGCCGTGACTTAGAGAGCCTTTGCTGACGAAGCTGGGTAGGCTGTTTTAGATGCTGGTATATTCGCGTCCTCGGAGAATAGCACACACATAACGGTCACAGGGTTGTGGTGGCTATGGCTTGTCCTTACCCTCCCTCTGACGCTTCTTGTGATTGCTTCCTGGTGGTGGTACAAGAAAAGAAAGGAATCGAAGGGACTGGCGCCGAACTTCAGGACCGAAGATGATAATGGCATTGAACATCCTCCCCTGAACAATATGAATATTCTCCGGACGTGGATCCGGCGACGTAGAGCCTTAGGTAGGCTTATAAGGGGATGAACCTATTGTCGTATACATATACATGTGTAGCGTGAGCATAGATTCCCATAACTGCTTCGACGTTGAGAAGTAGGGTCGAGGACGGAGTCCATGTAATGAAAGGTGTGGCTGTGATGCCATGTGTCCTAAGCTACACCATAGTCACATTCTCACATGAAGAGATCCATCATCAGTGTTGCTCAGTCAGTAATAATGCCTTATCATGTCATACCCCTGTGACATCCTCTTATTGCCCCTCATGGTACCTATTGTACATCCTATGTATACTATCTCCGAACTCCTGCCAGATTCCTCCACGCCTTCTCCAGAGCATTTTCTCCTCCCCTTGAGCAACTCTGCAGAGCATCACTAGATCATCATCAACCTAGAGAGGTAACAGCTGCTATGCCACCAAGTAGGACCTGCCCAGCTGTGCTATAAACTATGATCGAACAAGAGATGGACTTGTCGAGAAGCATTATAATGCGGTATAATGACAAACTACATCGACTCTTCCTCAAAGCCCTCGATATGACCGAGCTATTGAGGATCTTCAGTTCCTGTTCGGCAATGGACAGCGACACAAATGCCTATCCCAGTGCTGCAAAGGCTTTGTCCCATACGACATACTCCCAGCTATCTTCATAATATCCTAGCAAGCGGGTTATTCGCAGTTTTCCAGTGCAGCTCAAGGGCTGGACAGTTAAATATCACTTGCCTGCGCCTGTCCGACAGCGGCCATGTCATCTAGTAGTCTTACCCTAACTGTTGCGGCGGAGATGACTGAAGTTGATATACAGGTGCTATACAGAGCACTTCGCTAGGGCATCTGGATAGTCATTCTGAAATATTGTAGCGTATTGATCGGCCTCGATTCGCTTCGCTGCGCTGAAGTCTTCATACAAGCCCGACCATCAGGCCGCGGAACACCATCGTGGCAGTATGAACCAGTTCTTACTCGTCTGCCAAAACCCATCCGCCGTGCGAGTTGCCGCTTCTAAGGATGGAAGAGATGATTGTCGCGCGCGGACAGTCTTCGCGGAACTCGAGATCTCCAGGCTCGGCTTCCACGCGGGTGCCGGCAAGCTTGCTATGCTATGCGCCTTTGATATTCCGTGGTAGAAGGTCTCCAACATGTGCTCGCATTAATCTGATCCAGCTTCGAGACAAAACTGTACGCCCTAGTTACAGAGATGAAAGGGCTCAACTCGGACTGTTCTCCGAAGCACGATACTCGGCTGAGACGACAGCTGTCATTGCATTGGTCACGGGAACCGTCACACTCTACTCCGCGCGGATGGAGGATGACGGCTGTCTGGTGGCTACTGTTCTTCCACGTCTTTGGCGCAACACGACCATGATCCACGCAAATAGAATGCCGAAATCGAGGGACTACAACGACCCTCAACCACGGAAACACCACCATGTCATACACTCATCATCTCAAAGCACGTACGGTAGCACATCATCATTACCAAATACAGTGGCGTCTCCTCAAGCTACTTAAACCCCTCAATCAACACACCCAACTCAGTCAGTCGATCCACATACGCGTCCCATCACTACTACACCTCATCGACATACAAAATTCCTAAACCATGCCTCGAAGCCGAAGCCGAAACCGAACCCACACCCTAGGCGAAGGCCGAAGGCGAAGCAAACCCCGAAGTCGCGAGCCCCGCCCGGCACCCACCAGCCGGACGTCATGAGGGGATACAAAGCGTACGCCCCCCTGACAAAAAAAGGAAGAAAAGAAGACTGACGAGGAGCAGCACCGCCATGAACCCAAATGCCTCGGATGAGGCCAGGCAGCACGCGCAGGAGCAGCTAGATAGATACCTCGATAAATACGAGAGTGCCGAGGGCGGGAGTCAGAGTTGAACCCAATTCGAATGAAGGACTATGCCCATGCTGTTTTTGCCTGTCTTGTGCTCCTCATTGCGACTGGATCAGCATCTGTATCTCCCTTCACCCAAATCAGACACTATACGTACTTGGGTAAAGAAGGCCGGTGAGCTCCTGAAACACATGCGACATACCACCCGATAATCAGCGATCTAAGAGGAGCAAGCGAGGCTGTATCTGGAGCGAGGCGAAGTGGCGATTGGCTCATATCGTGGAACATGATCAACAGATTGTGTTGTTCGTGATAGAAGTTCTTCATCACGCGGGACTACGGCTTTGTGTACGAAAGTCATCGCCAGGCGGTCTTGATGCTTGTGTATAGACCTTTGAGTAAACACAATGAGCAGGCCATGATAAATGTAAAGCTTGGGTGACGAGAACCTATTGTATATAGCGGACAATAATCGCCTTGGGATACCCAGGTGCCCGGTAGGTGAGATTCAGCTCAGCGCGGATGCTGTTGTTCTGCACATCCTAGGTCCATCCCACAAGCAGAGGTCAGACTTCCCATGGTAAAATGCATTGTAATTAGCACCAGCGCTGTACTGGGCGTGGGTATGAACCTGGAAGTCCATACCCTTGTTGTAGTAAGGAAGAGCGTCTCCCAGTTCCAACCCAGGCCACCAATGGTCTGCCAGGCGTTGGTCTGGACATCTTTGGCACGGGTGTAGGGCATGCCATTAATTGTGGTAGTCCCACCTCCGGCGACAATTACCTCAGCCCGGCATTTCTGTAGGTGTACAACAAGGAGGAATATATATAAGAGAGGGATGTAGAGAGGTATATAGAAGATGGAAAATTGATGGTCAGGGAAGGAAGACGGCGGTGTTTATGCTTCTGCCACTTCATTGATGGAGAGGCAGAAGGAGAGCAAAATGCGGACATACAAAGAGGCATCGTTTGCTCAGTTGAAGGAAATCAGAGACTCAACCCCTTTCAGGCGGCCAAAGAAATTGATACTATGGCTAGACGTCGTAGAGGCAAACAGCTGTGCGGGAAAGAGTGGAGTATTGGATCAATGCCTGTCTGCCTGCTTGCTAGACCCTAGATGCACGTACCCAGGTATCCTTCAGTCTTTCATGCTGAGGTCCGAAACGGATTGATGGGAATGTAGACAGTGGCCGCTTTCTATCACTAGATGTCAAAGACTGTCAAGTACAACGCAAGAATGCGGGTTAGAGCGCTGTCTGGGAAACTTGAAAGGGATATCATTTTGTCTGTGCAGAACTGCTATGACCAAGACAAAGACCGACTGAACATCATTGACTTCGCCTGGATGAGTCACGTACACCGTCCGCATCAGACATCGGAATATCTGCCAGGTGAGAATTTTCTACGATATTATGTCCGTCACTAGCTCCCAATCAGCACTGGGCCGAAATGTATTCAGGGAGACGTCACTTACCCCAAGCGCTTGTCAGGTAGCACCAAGGCAAGCAGAACAACGGGAACAGCGATCGCTAGAGCCGCATAACAGATGTAACTGTTTGGGATGTTAGCTTAGCTGTATTCCAGATCGAAGTAGTGACAACGAACCCCATGACGTCAGAGCACTAGTCGAACAGATCAGCAGGTGAGGAAAAGCAGCAAAAGACCCGGAATACTTACTGCATGATTTACTGCCGCTCGCTGCCATGTTCCCCACGCGGGTAAAGTTCCCGTGATGGAATTATACAACTGATCCAGCCTGGCCTCGCCAATGGCACTACCCAAGCGTACGCGCAGTCGCTCGCGGAGTTTCCCAGTATAGATCCCGCCAGCAATGGCAGACCCTATTGCATTGCCAACGAATGCGCCCACCATAACCAGCGATGTCACCTGAGCGAGTTCCGAATGCGGTACAGAGATCTGGGTTGCAACTATCGCTACTGTCTCGATGATCCCGCTGCCTAGCCCCTGTATCAGTTGGACGATGAAGAGTTCCGCTAATGAGCTTGCGTCTGTACGAAGGCGAACCATCAGCCCGTAGCCGATCAGCCGAACGATAGAACCGGCTACAGCGATCCATTTGTACCTTCGCAGGCGGTACATAAGCAAACCGATGCACATCCCAGCGAGTGCCTGCATGACGCCACTTGTCCAGGAAAGAAACTGGGCATTTCGAGGGGTAAAGTTGTGTGAGACCATCGACCAGGCGTAGAGGTAGGTGTGAGTGGTGCCGAACCCAATGTTGTCGATACAAGCAAGTGCCACCGGTACGAGGACGGACAACGCATGGAAGTATCGTACAGGAATTACCGGATGTTTAGCAATGTACTTCTCGTAAGGATAGAGACAGGCTAGAAAGCCGGCACCCACGACAATAAGCGCATCTATCCATGGTGTCTTCCATCGACTTGTTGTTGTGGCCGCCAAGGTGATAGGAATCAACAGCGAGGAAAACCCGCAAGTCAGGATCGCAATACCTCCTAGGTCAATTCCCGAGCAGAAACCATGCAGGCTCGGACGATGACAGACAACAGAACCGGCCTTCTTTGCACGATGTTGAAAGACAAGTAAACTGATGATTATGATACTGGCGCAAGACGGCATTAAAATGGCAAACATGCCGATTCCCCAGCGCCATCCAATGCCATTGACGACGCTTTCAATGATAAATGCTGAGATCCAGGGGTGACGAGAAATGGAAGGTATAATATATTATAGACAAACCCTCTCCACTGCATAGAAGAGATATCAGAGATGACAATCGCGTTTAGTATCGAAGTTCCAGATTGGCCAAGGGCGTAAAGGACGCACCCGCCGGCATAGGTATCGAGGGACCTAGCTGAAGCACATAGAATATAAGAGAGTACGTAGCAGGTAACCGTGATGATGTACGTTTCAGCTCTTCATAGAACGTCTGACAATTTGGCAATCGGTGGTTTGCTGACAGCGGCAACGATACTCGTGACAGTGTTCAATGTTGCCAACATCGAAAGCTGGCCGAACTCGGACGCTGCATAGTTACGATAAGTGCTCACCGTCGAATTGTCCAGTTCACTGCATCATTGTGGTTAACACTCATGCCAGATTCTGAGGTGAAAGAGAGTATGCACAAGATGATCGTTACCATTACCAGCCTAGATTATATCAGTGCCTTTCGTACATGAATAAGGCTTATATGCATACCCAGCATACAGAATATATTTACTTCTCGGACCGCTTACTGAGTCAATGACTCCGATCCTGGTGACGCTTGCCCCTTTTAGACGCTCATCGTTATGAGCGTTGTCTTTTTCATCTTCCGGATTCGACAGACGATCTTCAATCAGGTCGGTCTTCCGAATAGTACTTGTATCGAGGCCCATTGATATCCGGATCCGCTCCGTTTGAGTCGGGATTATACTATCTCCTATTTGCAGAAAGCCGTTTGCCGGCAATAAGTGGCAGCCTGAAAGGGAAGATGCTACAATGCGGATGTATCTAAGCATAGAAATTGAACCGATGAGGTCTATCAAAAGACAAGAGATGAAATCAAAGGATAATCCGGGCCAATGTGTGCAAATAATGAGTTGCGATCAGTGTCAGCGGTTCGGAGTAAATCTCCCGCGGCGATATGCCATCAGGGCACTGACAATGATCGGTTTGAGGGAAGAGAAGAATAGAATTCTAGCGAGGGATCTCCGACATACTACCGAAAGATCGCATCCCTGTCGGTCCAGAAGGACTTGCAGATAGAAGGAAGCCATGGATGCCGAAAAGAGCAGGTGACGCTGAGGATCGACATGGACTATCGATAGATCGAGTAGCACCACGGAGGCGAAGCAGTGACTGCCCCATTGCAGCTGGATCGACAAATAGTTGATTCGGACCACGGACCCCCATCGTTTATTCAGGGGAGAACCATACAATGCCTTGCTTGAGAGCTCTGGTTCCGTTCATGGTTGAAAAATGTAAGACAAGAAGCCATCATGAGCCCCTACGCCTCTTCCATGGTTGGAGAGTCAGGATTAAGATCCTCCACAAACCCATGATCTCCTCATCAGCCTATCATAACTACATGTGGTTCTGAAGTGAGGCACAGCTGTTAGTCCAGGCCATGTTGATTGTCAACTCGAAACTGAGTGATGAGAGATCACATGACCGTCGGGTATGCGTCGCACAATACCAGGAGTCAAAAATGTTGGAATTTGTCAGTTTGCATCGATGCTATCGCTGTCAAAGTGTTGTCCATCATATCATTTGTTTTATTAATTGAAACATGTCAATCGCGTCAGGGAGAGGCCAGACCATGGAGGAAATCAATAAAAGTTTGTGGTCTCTGAGAAAGACACTGACCATAACAGCGGGACGGAGATCGATAACTTCAGTTACTCGATCCTAGGAAGACACAATAACCCCACTTAGGTCGATCGGTGTCTCTGTTAGGTATTGGCCTCCTCCCAACCGCATTCTTTCTAGCCCAATTTGCATTTTCAATGATCCAGTCAGATTTGTGGGTCACTGCCGCCTCTTCCTCATCCCAATTCATCGTGTTATGATTCGCTGTTGCTTAGTGTTCATGCCGATGATGGTCAGTAGGGGATTAAGTGCTGCACCTCAGCCCCCAAAGTGCGCCGTCCCCGTCGCTCGGACATTGTAGGCCTTCCTTCAGGTCAAACCTCTCGAAATGTATCTTTAGACATCATGGATTTATCCTGGCTCCAGAACGTCAAGACGGATTCTAACGCACCCATGGTTCTGGAAAAGCAGAACGGGTCTTCCCGACCGTCTCCGCCTATTCCAGGTCGGCGGAACAAGGCACGCCCCATTGCGCTGGCGCTGATGGGATTGGCAGCTTTTTCGTGGTTGATGCTGCCTGACGGAGTTCATCAGTCAACAGCAAAGGGAGGAAATAACGCACGACCGCCGGCGTTCAGTTGGGACCAGGTACGACAGGAGATCTATTCGATTGACTTCTGTCTAACAGCAAACGCAGATTACACCGTCCAAATCTCTGGAATACCATGACTGCTTCGACGGCTTCCAGTGCGCCCGACTTGAGGTGCCCATGGACTATCATCGGGAAAACGGTCAGGGCCGCCAGATGGCTATTGCCATTGCGCGCTTACCTGCAAAGGTCCCGGTGACGGACTCCCGGTATGGTGGTGCAGTTCTAATCAATCCCGGTATTCTCGACTTTCCCCTTCTCTCCACGTAAGACTCTGATGAAGGCAGGGGCCCTGGTGGTTCCGGAATCGGACAGGCTCTGTTGTTCGGTCGGGACATGCAGATTATTGTTGATGCGGAAACCGATCCTGCATTGCCGACGAAAACTGCGAACTTGTCGGCTCGATACTTTGATATCATCGGCTTTGATCCACGTGGCGTTAACAACACAACTCCTGGGTTCAACTGTTTCCCCGATTCATTTTCGCAGAGAAACTGGGAGCTCCAGGTGGAGGCAGATGGCATGCTGGGTAGCTCTGACGATTCCCTCATGCGCAATTGGCAGCGTGCCCTTGCTCTTGGAGCCGCTTGTTCCGACGCACTACAGTACGCGCCGAAGGGAACTGATGAAGCTCTTGGAGAGCATCTTAATACACCGCCAGTCGCGAGGGATATGCTCGAAATTATTGAGCGACACGGTGAATGGCGGGAAAGGCAAGGTCAGACTGAACAAAGGATGTACGATCGCATGTACGGGTATGAGCAGCAACAGAGCATCCTGACACGAACCAAGTGGAAGAGAGGCCAAGAAAAGCTCCTGTACTGGGGCCGTTCGTACGGAACTGTGCTCGGAAGCACCTTTGCGACGATGTTTCCTGGTCGGATCGAGCGTGTTTTACTGGACGCAGTGGTTGATGTCGACAAGTACTACACCGGGGAAGGACCTGACGCGATTGCTGATGCTGACGCAATCTTTGACCGTTTTGCATTCTACTGCGACACGGCCGGGCTAGATGGATGCCCCTTTTATACGCACGGAGGCCCTGCAGTCATCAAAGCCGCATATCTGGAACTAGAAGCGGCCCTATACAACGCATCCGTGCCAGTAGCACCGTCACCCACACGGGGGCCGGAAGTCGTCACGTGGACCGATCTGAAATCGGTTCTTCGCTACTCGGTGTACCAACCTCTATTTGTATTTCCTCTGCTGGCACACTACGCAAAGTCACTGGCTGAGGGTGATGGGTCTCCGATGGCCGACTTCAAGCAGCGATCTCGCTCGCCTTCGTGTCCATCTGACCAATGCTTGCAGACAGGGCCGTGGTCTGGCCAGTGTCTAGAGAAGGGGGCGAATGAACTGTATGCTATGTCGGCAATCTTATGCTCCGATGCCCCATATCTACGTGACATGGACCAAGCGCGTTTCCAAGAAGCATGGGCGTCTCAGAAAGCCCAGAGTTTTACCTTGGGGGATTACTGGGCTGCTATTACTGCACTAGGGTGCGTTGGACACAAGTCGAGGCCGAAATGGCAGTTGACAGGTATGCTGGCTACCCATCCACTCCGCCCCTTTCTCACCAGATCTTGGTAGGGCCGTACACAGGCAATACATCTCATCCAATTCTTCTTGTGAGCAATACTCTAGATCCAGTCACTCCGTTGAGAAGGCAGGTCCCCAATCTCATTCCTCTCCGCAATTCCACCACTATGCTGACTGTCGATCATTTACAGTGCGAAGAAGACGTCTAAAAATTTTCCTGGTTCAGTCGTACTCCAACAAGACTCAGAAGGAGTAAGCATTATCCCTCCTACCATTCTATCACCTGCATTGCCAGCAAGAATGCCGTCAATTCCGGGTCTAACCTCCAGTAGCACACCAGCTTGGCCGCACCATCGCTGTGCGTAAGCAAGGCTATTCGCGCTTACTTCCAGAGCGGCGTGTTGCCCGATCAGGGAACGGTCTGCAGTGCGGACTTGAAGCCCCTCTTGGGGGAGTCAGGGTCCGTTCACGCAATGAACGCTGCAGATAGAGCTATGTACGGAGCGTTGATGAACATGGTTGCCCAAGCCAACAATCTGAGTCGAAGACTGCCGTTCGCCTAAAAATCCTTTTCTTCAGGAGAGAGTATTACTTTTTCCGAGATTGTTTATCACGGTGACCCTCGCAAGCCAGTGGTTGTCTCCACTTTTGTCCGCAAGCGCGGGGTCCCTTTACGCCCTTTTGTCATTTCTGCTTACATAACACTCTACCCCTCTTCTCTTTGGAGTAGCTCTTTGCTGCTGCTGCCTTGAAACCACAGAATATTCATTCAGCCTTCGCATTGAAGTGAGTCGTTTCCAAAAAGCCTTAATTGAACGGGAACCGAAACGATTGGAATCTATATCTCGTCAACATGTCTCAGAAGTCTTATACAGGCACCTGCCTCTGCAATGCCGTGACCTACCGGATCGATCTCCCCGACTCCACAACTCCCAAGGTCCTTATTCACCCTGCAGTCTTCAAAGTTCTCACCAATCATTTGCTGACTCGCAACTCGTCTCATAGGTTATTCTCTGCCATTGTATTAACTGCAAACGCTACACCGGCTCCGGCTTCTCTGCCAACATTGCCGTCCCCAAGACAAGCCTCCACTGGACCAAGGGCCAGCCGAAACTTTACGTCGATAAGAGCGAGCGCGGCACTGGTGTTCCCCGGATGTTCTGCGGGGACTGCGGGACGCCCTTCACGTCCGTGCCAAGTGGTCAGGATGAAGTCATTATTATCAAAACGGGGACGCTGGATGATCCGTACAGGGATGAATGTGGGGAGTTGGCGATGGAGATCTGGTGTGTTCGCAAGGATAAGTGGGTTGAGCAGATGAAGGATGAGACTATCACGAGACTGGACAAATCTATGGGCTAGTCAACGGTCATTTCCTGAGTGATTTTTATGATAAACATATAGGCCTCTTGGTCAACTGGGGTATATGTTGTCACCTTGCAGTTTTCGCTTTGGGCTCTAGAAGGATAAAAAGATGAGAAATACACGGTCACCCCTGGGATCAAAGCTATATCATAGCCACGAGTAGAAACCACGGCGTCGTAATGATGATAATTATGGTCCGATGATTCGGTGGATGGGTACTAAACCTCGGATGCTGATCGGCAATGCAGGAGTCAGCACCCAGCGAACTTACCCCGCTTGGAACCGTAAACTCCGCATAATCTGGGGTCGATGTCACAGTGTCACCACCTGATTACAAACCTAGTCTCACCTTTCGCCAATATATAACATAACACAAGGACGACTAACACTCGCAAATCCAAAACACATATATTGATATATTGACATATTGATATATGAAATAGCACCGTCGATATGGCTCCTCCAACCGCCACAGAAACCGTCTCCTCCAATGTTACCCTCCAATCCCCAGAGTCTTCCCAGGCGGCCGGTGCCGAAAAAGCCAAGGTCAAGATGACCATGCCCAAGCAACCAGTATTCGAGAACAAAATGGAGGAGCGCGAGTACCTCAAGGGGCGTCTAGCGGCCGCATTTCGCATTTTTGGAAAATATGGATACGACGAGGGTATGACTACCATAGTCCCCGGACTTGTGCTCTGCCGTTATTGACAATGATAGGGGTGGCGGGCCACATCACGCTGCGTGACCCCGTCGAACCGGACACTTTCTGGGTCAACCCGTTCGGCGTAGCGTTCTCGCAAATCAAGGCGTCTGATTTGATTCGCGTGAATCACGAAGGGCAAGTCATCGATGGAGGCGAGGTTCGCTTGCTCAATGCCGCGGCATTCATGATCCATTCTGCAATCCACGCTGCGAGACCAGATGTCGTGTGTGCGGCGCACAGCCATAGCCTCCACGGCCGAGCGTTCTGCACGCTGGGGCGACCGCTGGATATCATTACCCAGGATTCGTGCGCGTTCTACAATGTAGGCTTGTATTCATGGGCAATGTATAAAAGCTAACGGTTACAGGACCACATTGTCTACAAGCAGTTCAATGGCGTTGTTCTTGCGGAAGAGGAAGGCAAGAATATTGCTCAGGCGCTGGGGAATAAGAAAGCGGCTATGCTGCAGAACCATGGTCTTCTGACTGTTGGTCGGACGGTTGAGGAGACTGTCTTTTGGTTTGTCTCTCTGGAAAAGTGCTGCTATGCGCAGCTTCTGGCGGATGCTGCGGCTGCTGGACGGGGCGGACAGACTATTAAGATTGATGATGCGGATGCTGCATTTACTTACAAGACGGTTGGGACTCCGATGGCTGGGTGGTTCAGCGCGAAGCCTATGTTCGATGTGATTCATCAGGAGACGAACGGCGACTATTTGAAGTAGACAGATTTCTCGTTCTGCTGATGCGGGGGGCGTCTTACGATTTTGAATATGCTTTGGATCTCCTCAAAGTATGTACATTCCAGTAGAGTACGCTATATGCAATCCGACGGTATCAACACATTCCCGACCGAATAAACTATTTGATGCACCGTTTAGCGATAGCCTCAAGATGCTCTTCATCGGTACCGCAGCACCCCCCAATCACGTTGACATTAGGGACCAACGGCAACACGCCCTCAAACCCATCCGTAAAGACCGAAATATCCCCCCGATCAAGAGTCTCACTATTATCCAGCTCATCATGACTCTTCAGACTCGCATTCCCCTTGATCAACCCAATCCTCCCGCGTACATCCTCCGGCACATCGCGCAACGCCGCAGAAATCCGCACCGGATGCGCACAGTTAACACCATAGTACACCACATACCCGCCCGTCTTCTCATCAACCGTCCGAATCGCGCTCTCCAAACTCCTCCCACCAAGCAACCGCCCATCAGACTCAATACTAAACGACACCACAACCGGCAACCGCACCTCCGTCGCCAACTCCACCACCGCAATCGCCTCATTCAAATTCGTCACCGTCATAATCGCCAGCATATCCACCCCCGCATCCGCAAGCACCCCCACCTGCTCCCTGTATCCCTCGCGCGCATCCTCCAGCGAGATCGACTCACTCGTATCCTCGTACGCGTCCCGCAGGGGGCCCATCGTCCCGCTAATCACAACGGGGATATTGTTCTCCCCGCCCACGGCTCTATTCCTGGCTTCCTTGGCTAGTCGTACCGCGGCGCGATTAAGCTCGAGGAGTTTGTCGGTGGAGAGACCCATGGGTTGCGCCCAGGGCGTGGCGCCGCGCCAGGTGCGGGTGTCTAGGACGATACCGGTGCCGTTGGCCGCGGCAATGGAGATGTATGAGTTGTAGTAGTGGGAGATGAGTTTGCGGCCGGCCTCGGAGTCGACTAGGGGCAGGGAGGAGAAGCAGGGGAGGTGGACTTTGTCTTTGTGGACGAGGCATGTTTCCATGCCGCATTCTGTGAGGAAAGGTTTGGGGGAGATGAGTTGTGGGAGGGCCATGTTGAGTGAATTTTGTGTGACAGGTTGAATGAAGATATGGAGATACGTGTAGAGCAGGGATGTGGAATGCTTGATCGAATGGGATGGAGTGAGTGTGGTTGAAATAAAGTCTCGACTGGCTGGCCACCTGGCGGATATTGATGGATCCCCGCAAAGTGGGGATGGCCTCAAGTGTGGAGGACTGGAGAACTTGAGCATAAACTACGAAACGCCGAAGATCCACGCAGTATGCATAGGTTAACACCATACTACGCCACATAACTCTCGTCCTCTTGTCAACTATCCGAAAATAACTCTCCAAGCTCCCTCACCAAGCAACGTCACACTAACTCAATACTAAGGCAGCCGGCAACCGCACCTGTCGAAAGCAGAAAAGGGAAGAGGGTGTGGATCATCTCTTGCCCCTTTACATACCTGAAAACTGCGCTTAACTTCCAGGATTGCCTGAATATGCCTTTCAGATCTGGACCTTATGACCCCGTCGGTTATAGCAGTGTATGAGGCCTCGCTAAAGGTAGGGGTAAACAGGAGACGTTCGATAATGCACATAGTAAGCGATGATGCACCCACCACAGAAATCAGTTCCTGTATTAAGAGGATGAGATATATTCACTGTCATCTCGTCCCTTGGCCTGTGGTACAATTTTGTGTGGATGAAATTGGCAAGCGTGCCTTACCTGACCCATTAGAGTCATCAGAGGCGGATCCTTTGGCGTGTCTGTACGCCTCTCTCTGTCGATATCTCTTGCCTTTCGTTGGAACACTGTAGCGCTTCCCGGAGCTTCTTTAGGAGTATTTCTTGGTTTCATGTTAGCAAAAATTGCTGCTTACCCGAGAGCCTGACTTCAGTTCAGCAGACTTGTGTGGGTTGCTTTGCTCAAGGCGGCCTTGTTTGATAAAATTGTTGGTAGAAGTCCCGAAGTCTAAGTTGAGACCCTCTTCTTTTTCGTTCGAGTTAGCGCCATGTTAGAAGAACTGAGGATAGCAGAAACAATCGGTCACAGCGGAAGAAGGATACTGAAATTAAGAGCAGAAAGTGAATAGTCATGAGCAAGAGATTCCAAATAATTGATTGCTAGAGACTGAGAATCTGGGGCGAGAATTCCTTGGGATGTGAATGTGCTGTAGTCAGAAGACATGGTACTAAACTTGGCCATTTACAGATCTTTTGACCTGTATTCTAGATATTCACAGAATGACTGCTCGCGTTCCACTGTCTGATGACTTGCAGGACCTACTGTCTAGTCGGCCTTGAGCGGGAGGTGGGCTAGGCCGGGGCATGATGGGTGACATCCTGCTCACTATTGCCGATAATTGGAGCCCTGCGGAAGTATTTGAAGTCTATGTTGATCATGGTCAGCTACTCGGAAAGACTCACGGGCCTTTGACTTGCCCGGAGAACGAAATGTCTAATAGGGAACACTTGCTTGGCTTGAAGAAACTCGCAGTCGGAATTGATGCTCCATCGCCTTATGTGAGTATCTCTCACGGAGGATTCTGGGGAACTTTCAGGATTCCGGCCGGTATGTGGCCCTAATAGTTACCTGTTGACACCCAATGCATAGTTAAAACATATTAACGTATATAGGAACCAACGTTATCACTGTGAGATTAGCTGACGCGATTGAGTTGGATTGGGGCTGGTGGTACGCATTTTTTGCACATCGGCTTGATGAACCATGCTCAAGTTAAATGGGAAGGGTCATTACCAGGAATTGCAACCCCAGTCTGCAACATGCCTGTTCTATATACTTTGTGTTAAAAATGACTATCCGAGTACGGAGAAGTTTACTGGGCCTAGTTATTCATCTGATAATCATTAATCTATATCAAAGCAAAGAACGCCTAATTCTCGAGCAATGGAATTTGAGTCCTTAGATCTTCCATGGGAGAATCGAACTGCTCTTTGAAGGGATAGCGGATTCAGTTACAAATAGATGAATCAGCAACATGGGGCTAAAAACAACAAGCCTGTCATTAACTTGCCCCAATAACCGAAGGGGCCTTGGAGACAAAAAAGTCCTTCCCCTTGATCGCCTTGACCATGAAACTCCACGGCGTCATACCGAACAGCTGCCCCGTTCCACCCGACGCTCCGACGGGGACAATCATCATGATGCTATCTCCTTGATCATACACCCGCCTCTTGTACTTTGAGCCAAGAATGTCGTTCTTTATGTTTGCAGCAACAACAGCAGCCTGCTCAGCAGCCTTGAAGGAGAGGCGCATCGAATTGTTGGTTATATCGCCTGCCGCATAGATGGGTAAGGGCGCATTCTGTCCGCCCTGTACGCGAAGCTCTTGGTTCACTTTCACCCAGCCGTCAGTGTCTAGCCATTGCTGAGGGATAAAGCCGTTGTTAGGTAGGACGCCCGTTGTGGGGATGTACAAATCGGCGGTGAGTTGCTGTCCGTTACTGAGAGATATGTCCCACGTCCCGTTGGTGGACAGAAGCGCGTCTGTGACCGTGTGCGACGTGATGATCGTCACTTTTTTCTGGGTAAGTAGGCTTTCCGCAGCTTTACTGCCTGACGTCTTGAGCATCGGTAATACCCGATCCGAAGCAGAGACGAGAGTAACCTTTACTGATTTCCCCTGTTCTTGCGCGGCTTCGGCGATTTCCCCGGCGAGTTCGACACCGATGGGGCCTGCACCGGCTATGACAATCTGCGATGCAGATGAGATAGCCTGTTGCGCGCTCTCGATGAGTGTTGCAAAATTATCGGCGTTGGATTGCTTAAAGGGAATGGGGACGTCACTGCGGGTCGTTGACCTTGTGGTACTCCCCGCGGCAATGACCAAGTAGTCAAATCCGATGGTCGTTTGACCGTCAACAATGACGGATTTATCTTCCGGATTAATGGCCGTTACGCGTCCCTGAACGAACTCGAAAGATTCTGAGGGGTACTTCTTGAATGCCGACTCAATTGGGATCAAGTATTGCTCTGGTCGGAATGCTGTGGGTTTGGCCATGATTCGGGGGCCGGCAATGCAAAAATAAAATGTGGGAGAGGGGTTGATCAGAATAACCCTGACTGTTTTGACATCCTTGAGGAGAGAATGCGCAATTGGTGCCCCGGCAAAGGAAGCACCAATTATCACAACAGTTGTTTTGGTTGATGTCATGTCGGTCAAGTCTTCTCTTCGATATCCGTGGTGGTTCACTGATTTCTGGTTGGTGACCTAACCTTGTATTAATATAGTTAACATACCCCTATCTTGTTCTGAGTAATCGCAAAGGATGTTCGCCAAGCTTTCTATTGTTAATTACTAATGCTTATAAACCGAACAAGGTTCATAGCTGATCCTTCAAGGTTGCCCAACCTTATCTCGCAAGAGGTGCTGACCCGTGTCCCCCCATTGGCTAGTCATGGATCCAACCGGCTTATCTTGTTTGAGTCAACACCGGAGAGCGAAGGAATTATTAAGCATCACCCACAAACCACTAACTAGTTGTCTAACTGGCGGATGATTTGGGATGATAGGAGGAGGTAGTGTACTTTCAAGGAATAGCTTAGTATTTGGTTCCGGGACCGACTTTACAATCATTCATTGCCGGTCTGAGATGGACAAACGATCCATGTAAATGTCGTCAGCTGAGGTGAGGTGTCTGTGGGACAATCACCTACCCATCTTATTGTGTAACCAAACTATGTTTAGATAATATGATGCATAAAAATGGCTTGAAGGCTTACTGTATTAGAAGTGGCTCTCATAAAGGCTGAGTATAGATTCCGTTAGTCACATGATGGAAAAGATGGCCAAACAAGACATCTTATTAATCTCCCATCCATCTGCATAGCTCCGATAAAGAGCCGTGATATAATGCTGACCAACCATAACTCTGTTTATGTGTTTTTTTTTTTCCTTGTCCAAAGTGGAAACGCGGGGTGCTGTTCCCTGAGGGCTGCATTTTCTCCGAAGGCGCCGAAAATGATGACCCAAAACTTGCTGTCAGATAACCAAGTCCTAAAGAGAACAACGCCTTCCGGAAAGGCTACGACGCGAATGTACTCAACCTCATAGTGATATTTGCTCAATATAAAGCCAGGTACGGATGGAAGTTTGAGGCATAGATTGTAATTGAATCAGATCGTTCTTCTACTGATCAACACGACGAAATCTAAAGATAAGGATATCAGGGACGGTGAAGATCTTCAGTTCGTAGGTCTGCAATGTTCTATTGGTACTGCGCAGCAATCCACAATACCGAGTGCATGATTTAGGAGGCCGTGGAACTAGCAGCCAAGGAAGGATTATCCTGTGCTTGCTCGGTTACATCGACACTGATAATTCTTAGAGGCTGCTTCCAAGTTTTAGGCGAGAAATGTCGTTAGTAAGCGGAGATATGCAGTCGCGTACTTTGATCAACATCGACATCAGGTCGGTTCAAGAATGTAATGTCCCGGCGAGTATATGACAGTTGGCTCACGCATACACAAGATGACAGCGCAGATTGCGAAAAATATTTTATGTTTAGGAGATTGCAAGACTATTTTTGTTCCTGTCTTCAGAATATGCTTTCCCTGGAGCAAGGAGGTTACCCCAGGGCCAATCAACGTTGGTTCAGATCATAAATGATAGTTACAGACGTACAGTGCGTGGGACATCGGATTCCATCCCTCTCCTAGATGGGGCGGAACGCATGGGCGACGGTGTCATCCCTGTACAGTTTGGCTAATGAACCCTTGCTCATGGAGAATGTAAACTAGGGTTATTGATACTCAGTTGAAGGTGTTCGGCTTCAGTATAAGAGTGCAGTATACTACTCTGCTGATAAGCAGAAGCGCGTGTCTAACTACTTGAAGTTCCAAGGGAAAACTCCTTCGTGGGATATCTATCCAAATGCTTTTACCATTGTACTGCATACTAGCCCAATGTGGACTTACTGCAACCATACTGGCTGGCACCAGGGCCAGATACTCAGTTTATCAAGGCTTTGGTGTGCTTTTCTTGTGCCTCCTGTTGTACATTGAAATAACCAGCCTACCGAGTTTGTACAGCAGTCCAGTCCTACGCATGCCGCACACGTTCTTCTCCGCAATTAGAACCGCCCACCTGATGAACCTGTTATGCTTCGTCGGCCTCGACGATAAATCTTTGACAACCAAGCACGAATCTGGGAACCGCCCCGGTATTTCCTCTCGGTTTCGCCTCGCTCTCAGACTTGCTACAAGTACCCGCGGAGTGGGAACCAAATGGCAAGTAAAGAATATCCCGCCCTTTCCAGCGTGGGTCACTTCGGCAGACGGTTGTAGCGTTAATCGGACGAGGTTTCTGATCCGTCAGACTGCTATCTCGATGTGGCAGTATCTGGCTCTGGATCTCCTCTACTTTGGCTACTTCGCTCGTTTTTCCGAGATTCAATCTTTCACACATGCTCCAGGCACAGAGTTCTTGGGCTATTTCAATCCCACAGCAATACAACAAGCCGCGCGTCTTGTTATCGCCATCGTGTTTATGGTGACTTTAAGACTATTATTAGATTGGGCTTATCGATGCTTTTCTGTCATATCGGTGGGTATCAAGTTGACGCCTCCGGAGGATTGGCCGCCGCTCTTCGGCAGTATAGCGAATGCATACACGCTTCGAAATTTCTGGGGGTAAGTTACCACTATTATGAAGAATTAGTACAAACAATTGAGGCTTTGCTAGACAGCTCTGGCATCAATTTCTGCGCTGGCCGCTGTGCAGCATCTGCCGAGGGATATCTATGAATCTCCTCGGGCTTCCTGCGAACAGCACAGTAAAGCGTTACACTGAGTTAATCCTCGTGTTCGCTCTCTCCGCAGGGTTCCATTATATGAGCGCCATATGGAGCGACTTCCCTGGCCATACAGGATTCTTGCTCATCATGACTCTCCATCCGTTTATTATCATGCTTGAAGACGGGATACAGTCTTATGTAAGACGGTATGTCCGCGAAGGGAATGGGTTGTTATGTTACGTGTTGAGGAAAGAGGCATTTCGGAGGTTGATCGGGTATTGCTGGGTTTTGTTCGCGGGATTATATGTGACTGTCCCCTGGTGTGCATTCCCGATTATGCGGTTGCCTGTCCAGAAGATGGCTCTGGCGCCCCATAGTTTGGTCGAGAGGCTTGGACTGACTATGGGAACGTTGACTCTCGGGAGCTTAGGAGTGGCTTTGCACTATATTTTTAAGATGGAGCTTTGAGTAGTAGATGGTTGATGTTTATTAAATGAACTGATACCCCTCTAGTGCCATGGAGATCTGTTTTTCGTGCGACGAGTTCAGCAAGAACATGGCGGACATGAGATCACGGCGGAGTGGAATGTCACGCCGGTAGAGAGCAGCAGTATCAACGACAATTTCCAACGAGAAGGTCAGTGTATATTTCCCCCTGCGCCCCTCTATTGATCGTCATATCTCACTTACACCTGCAGGATGTCACCTATTTCCGTATCAGGGGACAGAAGTCCGGTGGAGAGACTGGACTGGACTCTTGCAGCCTGAGCTTGAATATCCTACGAGCTTGTGCTCGATGTAGGTACGATCCGAAGCCTGGCGACGATGAGGTGGAGGACTTTCGCCTGTGGAGGTTGCAATGGCGTTATAAATGCACTGAAGAAAGGGAGATTCAAGCCGAATAGTTCGATGGTTTGGATCGATTTCGTCATACCCCACAGAAATTGACCGTAGGAAACGAGCCAGACTATGTAGAAATCCTCTCTCGACTACATCCTCGGCTGGGATTTCGGACGGCTTTGTTCTCTTAGAGGTAAAATGAAGGGCATGGAGGGTGCACTGCGCCGCATGGTGATGACAGTAGTTTAAAGATCGGCTCCTCTCTCCTAGGTAGTAGGCTACTTCCCGTTAGAGAATATTTCCTACTAGTCATAGTTTATTTACTGAGCCATCTTCATATATAGGATGGTGTCTGAAGCCAGCGAAGTGGGAGTTAAGCCCGCATTCAATTAGCAAATATAAGTCAAGTATTATTTTTAAATCGGTCAGAACTTTCCAACCATATTCCTAGCTCAAGGTTCACCGGTGCATTGCTGGAGATCAGAAGCCAAAATTTGCATGGAAAAGTGCTTTCAAAGATAAAACTACATAGTATGCTTGTGTAGTCTACCTGGCCAAACGACTGGGGATCCTACGATCCACCACGGTAAGACCAGAAGGCATGGAACGCAAGGAGTTCGTTATTTTTGAGGAATGCTTGATGGATATTTACAACGACATTCTTGTCATAAGCCAAGAAGCACAAGGCCATTTTACCACGGGAAATCAGGCTAGGGGATAATATTTCGCATTCCAGACGGCGCTAAGTACGTATCCAAGAAAATAGCCGGCCAGACATGGAACGACAGCCCATAGAAAATTTGAGTTTATCGAGACCAAAGGAGCTTATAAGGAAAACTCCCTTGAACAAGGATAACGCCGTGTCAGGGCTGGTTCGTTAGTTATTTCCCATCCATCGCCCGCTCCGCCATTATGTGGCTGAAGCACGCAACTCTCACCATTAGAGGTAAAGGCAGAGATAGATAGTCTGTACTCGTCGATGAAGATGGATCTAGGGTGACGGGCGTAGTTTTATGCGGTGATCCTGAGTGTCCTATTTTCTGTTATGGCCGGATATTCAAGAACCTTTCATTGTTTTTGATATGCTGGAATGCGGAGCTTGCACACAACTCCCTTGGACAGCATCAGAAAATTGTTCCGGACACAAGGGGGAACTAATACAAAACTCTTTGCAAAGTCACATCATATCCATTTTGTAGAGAGCGAGTTTGATAAAAGAAGCGCGCTACTGGAGATTCCGGCGCGCGGTGAAGACATACAAATGTACATCGATGACGTAGCACAACTACTCGCATTCCCCCCTGAGCCTCCCGGAGTCGAAGGAAAAATAAAAGTTGCTGATGAGTGTGAGTAAATGTAAATGGGCTATGCTAACATTTTACTAGATCATGTTCCAGGCTTCTCCTCGCACTAGCAATTTCAACTGGAGAGTTAATCAATGTTACATCGGCTATGAAGCTTGAGTACTGAGAGATACGTAAGTTTCTTATGGCTCCATCCAATTGTCTTGCTCGATATTATAAGATTATGTCAGGCTTTGATCATTACTCCCCTGAAGATATGGGGCTGTTAGTACATCTATGGTCTAAGCGTCATCTTCACTGGCTAGAGTAGGTGTCATTGATCCCTGAGCCCGGACACAAATAAAGAAGCAGAGTCTATTACCTATTATTGCAAGCAGAGCAGCCCATTAATCTTTCCTTTTACTTGCAAGACACCCTTTCCTTTTTCTATTCCCACTTTATGCAGCCAGAACCATTAGCTTCCTCATCCTGAGCTTCTAGTTCCCCCAAGCTGGTTTCCCAGCCATATTGTGTTGGTGTTCCGGAAGATAGCCAAGCAGTTCTTTCTTTTATCATACGGCTCTTCTACCACATACCAGTCGTGATCATCCTCATTAACTATGGGTGCAGTTGCGAAAAGCAGGATAGAGCCCAGGTCATCTGAAGTCCACCTTGAAGAAGAAGGCCGAGACCCTATTGTCTTTAATCTTTCTACGCCCGAGGCCATCGGCAATGCCCAGAACCAAGCATACGCGCCTCTGAAACCGGCTACAATGGACTCAACGCCTCTTATCCGCCTGGATTATACTCTTTATGACCTTTACTCCATGGATAGCGAGGGCTGGACAAACATTACCCTGGTATACTCATTTATGCACGAGTCGGCGGTGAAATTTACATACCAGTATGAGTTGCAGGGGATGCACAAGGCGGCCCAGCCCTCTGGCATACTCGAGATGAAGCTTAGGCCTCAGCGACATGGATTTATCGCTGGCAAGATGCCTCTAGCTATCCTAGAGGCTGACTCCCAGTGCAACGACCAAGCTCTAGATACACTCCGCGCGGACCACGCTGATGTCTTTCGAAATTTTGCCCAGTTATCTTTTGATCAACAGCCAGTTGTGAGCTTTGCGACAAGTTCAAAAAGTATACCTGTAGAGCCAGGCGCTCATATTGCAGTAATGTTTCCTTCAGACTGCGTTCTGCACTTACAACATCTCGTCGACCCTGAGATTCACTATGAGCTACTGTCCAAACCTGGTTTGGCTATGTCAGGACTGCCAACGCCGCCATCAAAGGTTATTGACACTGTTCTCACTCCACATGAGGTACACGATCAGGACCTACTCAGGGGTGAAATTTCCAGAATCACCCAGCTACTCGACAATCACGAATTGCCATTTGTTCTAAAGCTCCCCCAATCAGCCTCTGGGCTAGGCGTCTTTAAGGTCTTAACAGACGCCCAAAGAACAGATGCCAAGGCAATACTCGCAGCGCAGCTCGGCCGGATGCTCCAGAAGATTAACGAATCAAATCATCATATGCGTCCATGTTCTTTGGTGATTCAGGACTTCATTCAAGGCACAACAATGGGCCTATCTCTTTTTGTAACAAAGAAGGGGCGGCCCATCTTTATAGCGTGCTGTGATCAGCAATTGGACGAACATGGGCACTGGATTGGTAGTTCAATCTCTTACAAGCGGCAACCGGAGCTTAAGGAAACCTATCGCGACATATCGGAGAAGATCGCCGCTTTCCTGCATGCGAAAGGCTATTATGGCCCGGTTGGGGTAGATATAATAACAAATGTGTATGGAAACCAGTACATCGTCGACCTCAACGCCCGTGTCACTGGCAGTTACCACTTAGGACCGCTCGCGGGACACTTTCTTCAGCGCGGCCTGCTGGAGGTTACTTTCATGCAGGCCAGTTTCCTTTATTCTAGGGCCGCATTTGAAGCGGCTTTCTCGGACGAACTCCAGAGGGGCACCTTGGTAATCTGCGGCTGGGCACACGCCCAGTCGATACCACTCAGTCAAGCTGCAATCAATATAGGAGGCCGGGATTCCTCCGAAGTGGAGGAGACACTCAAGAAAATCAAGGATTTTGCTGCTCCTGTTTGCAATATGTGAAGAGAGTACGCCTAAAAGCAGGCGATGATGCACTCCGACAACGATGCATAAGATCAAAGAGCAGACTCTATCTTCTGATCTAGAACCCGCTCTCTTACCCATCGGATCTCCTCTGCAACAACTTCCGGTCGAATCAAATGCACGTTATGCCCACAGTCCGGCAAATAAACCACCCGACTCCGTCTAGACAGTTTCAACTGCTCTTCCTGCATCTCACGATTCATCCCATCCCATTTCTCCAGTAGCTCACGGAACGCCGCTTGCTGAGCCTGCGTCCCATTCCCAGCCTCGACAGCCTTCTCGTACAGTCTCCGGTAGTCCCTCAACCCATTACACCGGATCACGCTCAAAGGCTGATTCACCAGCGCCTGCTTCTTGAACTGCTCTTTCTCAGCGAGCGCACGACAAACCTCCTCCCGCGCCATGGCTTCTGCCTGAGAAGTAGCCGCTCCCCGCGCAATGTCCATCGCTCTCACCCTCCATTCTTCCCGCGAGAGCTGAGCAGCAGCACGCAGCCCCGTGACCTCGGCAAACTTCAGATTACCAACCATGGCATTAAGGTCTAAATCCGGGTTCTGGAATAACTCGATGTTTCGTTCCGTTGAGGCATCCATGAGGACCATCCCCACAACATCACTCGAGTAGAGATGGAGATATTCCCGGGCGACGATGGCTCCATAGGAGTGAGCGGCCAGGATAAGTGGCGGAGGGATGTTCGCGGTGGTGAGTAAGGTGTGTAACTCTGCGGCTGCTGACGTGGCCGTCGGGTTTGCTGTGTTTGGATTACATTCGCTGCGACCGAGGCCAGAGCGGTCGTAAAGAACAAGCGGGGAGAAAGGCGCAACAAGGCGTTGAACGGCGCAGTAAGACGATGCGACGTCGCCTGCGCCGGCGATGAACACTACGATAGGATCTGGGGGGCTGCGGCGGGGTGGGCCGCTGATGGAGAGGTAGAGGCGATGGGTGCCGATGGAGATCATGGTATCCGTACTCTTAGAGGATGAAAATTCGGCCATTGGAAATAGCGAGTCAATGGCCAAGTGGGATAATATCCCACAAGACAAGGGGCTTGCAAGCTTACCAATATTCAGACCCGATCGGTTTAGCCGATAATGTCCACTGTGATATTGGCTGAGCTCGGCCTCAGCCAAGACACCTGGTGTGCACTCTTTATGCAGGAACTCGATAGGGCATAATCTTTAGATGATTCGGCCCCCCCCCAAATCCATCGTGTGAGCAATACGAGATTCGACTGGTAGTACAGGATGCTAGATTAGCAGATAGTGGCATCATTTAGTGCATGTTAATGGCTGTGGAGAGTCCAACAACAGATACATTCTTTGTGTCGCCTTGTTGGCCACATTTATACCACGTACACCTGCCTCTATAGCCCCATGACACTCCAAAGCAAGATAGCAATATCAACCAACACGGCTGGTCTACCATGAACATGGAATGCAGGCACTAAATGAGAGAGGTACGGACTCAGCGCTAATCGACTAGATACTTCTTGAGGTATATGTCCCTTGAAGGTGTATCCTGGCATGTCTCTAAATATACCATTAAGCTGTCCCAACAATGATCAATGCACATAGCCTGACGGAGAACAGAGAGACAAGGAAATACCCTACGCTCGCTGCGGCTAGTGGTCTATAGTTATATGCTCATGCCTGTTTCTTATCCGATCCTTTTCCCGCGAAGACCGACCGAGCGGCCCACGGTGCAGGCCAGGCCAGGGATCCGGGGATATCTCTGTGATCGTCCCCTGATACAAGATGATCAATCACCGCGATGAAGATATAGGCGCCAACTCCCGTGCATATGTGCCACCTGCCGATTCCGGTATCAATTACATCATCCAAAAGAAAATAGGGCAGGCCGCAGAACAAAAGGAAGACTGGTACATACCACCCATGAAGCTCTAATAAGAAGGCCCAGGGAAGACCCACCGTCTGCCTGATGCTCTTCAGGTACGAGCACATCCACCCATCAACCAGCCAGAGCCAGTAACCCAGGTTGAATATAACTTCGCGATAAAGTTAGCAGGAGTTTTAATATCGGACTGAGGTGAGTATATTACCAGCGGCAAATCGAACCATGCCCCAGATCTGCCTTCGAGCCTCAGAGCCCGCCCGTGTGCGAGTGTTGATCATTCGCATGGTATAAATCCCGATGGCGGTTACGGAGCCAACGAAGAACAGAGAGTGTAGAAGTAGCTCATCTGTCTTTACGTGGTAAATTACTAGGGCGAGAAGGGTTGACCCCAGGACCATGCCCACAATGATCGTGACCCTTGGGCTAGCATTGGCGGTCATGACGCGGTGGAGCACGGGGGTTGTTGTGAACATCATGGAGAGGTCGTCCACTGATGGATAGAGTGAGCAGGGAAAGGTAATCAGAGTAGAACAAGGGATCGATAGTGGAAACCTACACATCTGGGTGTGGTACTTGAGGCTGATGTGGAATAGAGCCGAACAAATCCCCACTGCCATTAAACCGAAGTAGGGTACGGCGCGAAGAAAACCAGCATTTAGTTTCTGCCGCAGCTGATAGAACCCATAGATGGCGTAGATTACTGGACGTGTTTTTTCAGTGGGATTCTCATTTCACTCAAAACTGAAGAAAGGGCTTACTGTATACTACGTTGGTCAAGGTGTTGATGAACTCCGCAGCGTATCTGGTAACCATGTAGTCCTAAGCCATCAAGAAAACAATCAGCTGTGCGATAGAAATTGATATACAAGTGCTGTGCTCCATGGCTACCTCCTCGCAAAAGCTGTTTGATACTAGTTAGCTGACATTACTTGCAGGAAAGCTATCGGCAGAGGAGGCTGAGTACTGACTTGGAATTTGCAGTAATCGGGCCCCAGAAAGGGGTCTCTGAGTCACCTGAGATCATATTTGCCGCTGATAAAGTTTAGGGTAATTGTTGTACAGGAAGATAAAAGCAACAAATGTCATGGAGGCGAGGGAAACAAACACAAAAAAGAGCGAAGGAGGGGCGGTGGACAGGCAACCACAATAATCCACAAGGGCTTACAGGGGACGAAAGCAGGTCAGACACCGGAACCAAATGATGACCGCAGTTAATGTAGAATCAGAGGCAAGGGTAGCAAAACAAATGAATCGCCATGTGTCTCAAAACGATCTGACGTAGTCTCCCTTCCTCTCAATCTCCGCCTGCGCCATCTCAGTTGCGTTAGAGACAAGCATATTCCGGTCGCTTTTGCGGTAGGAATGCTGTTCAATAATGTCGTCATTGCTCTAATGCAAATTGAATAGAACGGAATAGATTGTTAGAATGATTGAAGCTTGCAAGAATCCGGTGCGCCTATAACTGGCGAGCTTCCATAGGCACCGTCCGTTTCAGGACTGGGTCAGATGTGCTCACAAACATAATCCAACGATAATGAATATTTGCGTTCGGCAGGGTGCCGATCTCAATAGGGTCCGATGGCAAATTGTAATGTTCAGAAGTTGCAATGCATTTACTCCAGGCGGTTGGCCGGTGGAATAAACATACGCTCCTTCAACCGGTTGACGGACTTCAGTCTTGCTTAAGTATGGTCCATGTTTTAAACATCGGGGCTCGATTCGCACTCAATTGCATTACTTTCAATGTCTAGTATCATCCCGACTGTCTGTTGTCCACCAAACACCACTTCCTCGTTGCACTTCTGAAACCCGCATCGTTCGTAGAGTTTCATTGCAGCTTCGTTGTCTGCTTCAACCAGTAGGACTAGTAGAGTTCGCTCTGTAGCTGGAGAAGCGCCTCGGGTATATCTGGCCGCCTCTTCAACAAGTCGACGACCATTACCCCTTCCTCTTGACGCTGGAAGCACAAACATGCCAGCGATCATAAACACGGCGACGGCGTTTCTGTCATCCGCTTGTGGCGTCGTATACCGATCACCTTCTGTAAAGACCCTCCACGGCGCGTTGAGATCAATTTCACTGCTGAACACAAGTTTCGGTCCTACGATGGTCACAGTTCCCAGCCATTCCCTCGACAAAAGGGCCGTCAACGCATCGCCCGATGAAGGAACGGTTTCACCCTCGTCCAGGGCGATAAAGGTCCTTGCCTGTGGATTTTGAATCCGGGCCAGCCACTTTTCGTACGGAAACTCCGCTTCAGTCTCGTAGGTTGCCGAAAAGGCCTTTGGGTCTTGCTTGAGGCCTGCTAAGCGGAGATGTTTGTACAGGACGACGATTTTGTCCCGTTCTTTTGATGTGGGAAAGGCCTGGGGGATAAGGACGATGTTACTCATTGTTGCAATGGGCTCCAAATAGCAGGAGTTTTGCTTCATTCGGTAAGGAGGTGCTTATAACTTATATACTTCGTATGAGTCATAAGGTCGGAACAAGGTTGCATTAGAGACGGGCCATACGAGGTCCGATTATCCTAGCTGGCGATCGGACATTATCAACGCTGGCGCATTCGGCATCACATGGATTCAACTCAACCCATCCGTCACGAATCTCACATATAAGTTCAAAGAGACCAACTGGGGACTTGGTAGACCGTTAGTTGCAGTCATGTCGCCGAGGCTACTCAGCAGCCGGCGCAACAAGGAAGCTAGAGATATCGAGGGCGAGGTGTACTCCCAGACTCAGAGTCATCCTCACTCCAGTTTTCTCTGAGGCAGCATCAATTTAAGACAAGCCCTGTGACTTTCTGGACGACAAAACAAACGAAATTTCAGGAGTCGTGCGTAAGCTTTAAAAGGACACGCCTCTGGTGATTAGCTCCGTTAACTCCGACAGCTCAATCTCACCAGGATAAAAAATCACCAAATCATCATTCGACCTCTTACCAATCCTTCTTCATTGCCTGAAGTACTCTGTATTGCTATATTGTATCCTAGACGATCAAGATGTTCTTTGAGTTTATTGACAACAAACTTAGCGTCGATCAAGCCGCTCGAAAGCAGATCCGTCGCCATGCGGCCACGGGAAAGAATAAAGGCAAAGCAACCGTGCGATCTCGAGAAAGCACGTGTCAACGACGACTGTATCTTCATTTGGTCTTCCCGGCATAATAACTAAGGGGCTTGGTCCGGTGAAAGAAAGTTCTCGGATTGAACGGCCGATAGACGATGGACTGGTCTTTCCAGTGCCACTGTTTGGGGAATCGAAGGCGCTTGTGAAAAGAGGTATGACTATCTCCTTCACTCAATGTTGCCATAGCCTCTGCTGCTGACCTTTTTTTTTCAACATGCAGTCGTTGGGTTCCTATGCGCCACGCGATACGCACCTCAACTAAGCAAAGCCATTGACTCTACCAATCTGGCCTCGTCGATGTTTGTGCGGTATATCTTTATCGATCAAGCTTGTAAGTTCAGAAGGTCGAATGATGACACCACATGGTAATAACTCAGGCTCACTTCTCGGCAGGCTTTCATTGCGCCGTGGCAACCTCCATCCTGTGCCTCAACAACCTCGTCACCAGGCAAGAGGGTATCCTGCAAGCCATGAGTCACATATCCCTCACGTTTCGTTTGATTAACCAACGACTATCCCGCCAGGAAGCGATCAGCGATACGACCATGGCAGTTATAGTAAGCATGGCTCATTACGAGCGCCATCTGAACCAATATCAACGAGGATTTGTCCATGTTCAAGCTTTACGAAGAATGGTCGAGCTACAAGGCGGGCTGTTGCAGGTATCGAAGAGCCATCATATACTTGTTCAAAAAATGCTGCGGTACGCCCTTCAGCGGATGGCACTGCACATCTGCCGACCATGCTGACCATTGTAGTGTTGATCTCGAGTATGCTCTGCAGCTGGGTTCATCGACACTATTTAGCCTGGAGGACGCCATCAAGGAAAACCGGATAATAAATAAACTCTACGGGGACCTCGAGCGACAGAATCATGCGGGTTGCAGCAAATTCTATCGGTCTCCTTTGCTAGGAAGACTGCGCCGCGATATTCAAGATATTTTCATTGAAGTGATATCCGTTGCTTCAATGCTCAATGACGCAACAAACGGAGTGGGTCCCAAGCTGAATTCCTGCGCTTTTCACAGTGACCTGCTCGTCCTTGGCTATCGTTTGGGGAATATGTACACCCTCTGTGGGTGTCGTCCCAAGTGCCCGATTGAGAACGCAATCCATCTAGGTCTCACTGCATTTCTGGTTACATTCTTGTCGGGACTAGATCATCGTATTGCTCATAATGCTCTTCTCTCTAACTTACTTGCCAATGCTGCTCAAGATCTTGCAGATGATACACTAGATGCCCAGGAAATCTTACTGTGGATACTTTGTATTGGAGCAGCGTCATCACCCCAGCTGGGGGCTCATCCTACGTGGATTACGAAATCAAAGGAGACTATCGATACTCTGAAATTGAAAACGTGGGAACAAGTCCAGGACATACTTGCGAAATATCCCTGGGTCAACGCAGTTCACGATACTGCTGGGAAGACCCTCTGGCATCAATCTAACATAAACTAATTGCCGACAAACTGAACTTCAAATTTCAAGTACAGCCGCCTTGCAGGCGTGTTCCTCATTTCAAGCTCCTTTCTACACACCCAGGCTCAATGGATTCCAACACTTCGGCAATAGTTTCCCAGCTATGTTGTTGCCATTTCTTTCCTTCGTCGTCTGTCACCCAACTTGGCACTACATTCCTGGACGCACGTCTCTGTCAGCACCAGCCATGCCCGGTCGTGAGGGAATACTCGACTTACTCTCCAATTTCACAGGAATGAAGCAAGCACCCATGGCTCTCCTTTCCGGCCACAGCCCCGTGAAGAAGCGTGCGACTGCCATCCTCAGCAGTCCGTCCATATTCTGCGTGGCGCTTGGCGAGGTCCTCCCGAAATGGTGCTGGTGCGTTGCGGCTCAGGTCAGTCTTGCAAAGTCCCGGACAGACCAGATTCAACACAACTCCGGTGCGATCCACCGGTATCAGAGTTGCAAGATAACGTAATGCCATGGTTGTCAAGACCTTGGAAAGTGGATATCTAATTCATGACTTCAGCACCAGCTAAAGAAGCTTATATGCGTCTGCTGAAGACTTACGTTCGCATCGGTGGAATGTCATCTCCATCCATCTTCTTCACCGGATCATCCTTGATCTTGTCCCAGAGATCTTTAGCATCGAATCCAACCCGACTGGTCACGAGGGTGAGATGGGGTACAATTCCATATCGCTCCCCACTTTCCCTCATCTTGGGCAAGATAAGCACAGCAAGAAGGAACGTGCTGAGCACATTGACAGTGACAGACAAGCTGTGACCTTCAGCGAGGACGCGCTCTGAGACTGCAACAGCCGCATTTTCGATCACAGCGTCAATCCTATCAAGCTCTGTAGTCGCCTTCCGTGCAAATGCCTTGACAGAGTCATAGCTTGCCAGATCGAGCAGCCAGACCTCAGCAACACCAATCTTTCCCGTTGACTCTTCGATATCCCTCTTAGCCTTCTCACCCGCGCCGATGTTACGTACGGCGAGGATGACTTTTGCAGCCTCGAGCCTGACCAGGTGCTTGGCTGCCTCGAACCCTAGGCCCGTGTTGGCGCCAGTCACGATGTAGGTACCACCAGAGCAGGTTTCAGTGGTAGCTAGAAGAGGGAGATTCCGCCGTTGAGTTTGAGCTGCTACAGAAGCCATGATATGTTGATCTGGTATTGATAATTGATGACAGTCAGAATGTGAATGAAAGTTGTTGTTTACTCCCATCTCTGCACGAGGCCAGGGCTGGATTTTATAACTGTGTCCCTGAGTTATCTGGGTACATACCATCGGCGTTTACGGACTCAACGACATTGCTACGAGCGTAGTTTTGGTCTAAATCCGAGTCAATTTGTCATGTTGAATTGACATTGCCTACCTCAGTATCCTCAACTGGCAATCCAACCAATAGGAGACTGGCTTCCTAATCGGGAAGGTCTTGGCGCCATGGCCATTTCTGGCGCCTTTGTATATGCGAAGGCTTGTATCTGTGAAGATCAGATAACTGCATAAGACTGTTACCTGCGAGAGAGCAGAAATATAAATATGGTCATGAATCAGAGCTGCATGAGACTACCTCTCTTCATTAGCATAGTCCCTTCCGCCGGCTGTGCAGTACGTTGAACCGTCGATTTCACCGAATACCTCGCTCCCTATGGAGATCTTGTTTAACGGTACTGTTTCAGAAGCATGCCTCTGTCGGTCATATCCTGGTGAGATGTACAGCTAGGACTGTTCGGGACGTTGCGGAAGTGCGTCGCATCAAGTGACAAAGTTAAACTAATCACCCCGATCGATGCTCGTATTCGATTTTGACTCACCCAGTAAAATCTGCTTATAACACACGACAACCTCGCTCAACACCTCCGACGACCATCTTGCGCAGAAAACCTGATAACTGCAGCCGTCTTTGCAATCATCATAATCAATGTTCACTTTCCGCCCAGTCAACCCCCCACGCCATGTGCTGGTTACAAGCACCACGGTTCTAGGGCTCGGCCTCTACGTCTCGCTGTTTCGCACCTCGCCCTTGAAACACCTCACTGGACACGAAGTCTTCGTGCCAGCCCCTTCTACCCGTCGAATCGCGGACACCAATGCCCTCCTCGGTGTCGTAGCATGTGCCCTACAGCTACCGTATTTCCTGAGCTCGTACATGCCCATTGAGGAAAATCAGTGGCTGCACGTCACTGTGCCGATTCGACTGTTTGTCTCCACTGCTTTAGGTGTGAATCTCCTCTTACGCGCGCGCCGCATGAGTGAGGAGGGCTTTTGGGAGTTTTTGGCGCTGGGAGTTACGGATTTTGTGGGTGCTGTGATGCTTGGGTGGGAGTTGGGGAGGTTTGATGGGATGGTGTTGGGATTTGAGTAATCTCGAGGCCTAGAGCGGGTTTCTTCAAATGTGAGATGGCTGGTATGTGGCATAGTGGGTTATTAGTGATTGAATCCGTTGATATCATTGCTTTGTACGGTAAGAGGTTCAATCAGTTCCAAATATAACTTCAGGAAAACCTGTCAATCGTCCAATAACCTTTCAAGGAGCATCATCAACCCACCCGCGTAAGCTACCTGAGATCTCAGTACATCACATATTTCACATGACGCCATCCTCTCAGCGGACAATTGGAGTTATTCCGACTACCAGCCAGCGTTGTACTCCGTTGGGTATGGAATTCAGGCTAAAGTGTGATCCGGATCTGTCGTTTCACCTTCCGGATCCGGCAACACCAGGGCGATCCCTGGCGGGAAAGCTGGAGAAGGGAATTCTGGGGTTCCCCGCATGTCGGGCTTATTCCGAAGGCCAGGAATGTGGCATTCACTTGATTGAGGGGCTATCTATGAGTGATCATATTGGCCTACCTCAAGGTATTTGAGTTAGAGTTAATGGTAACCAAAGCGTTGTTAGAATCCTTATGAAAGGCTTGATCAGCGCCGGCAGTGTCACCTGGGCAAGTCATATAAAAGACTGTTACGCAATTCGGCTAGAGGCAAGAAGCTCACCTAAAGATTAATACATTTCGTGCTGGATTCCACCATGGATGACCTGATATGATTCTAAACATTGTCGCTACTTATAGTCCTCCGTAAATGGTGATTCTCCCGCAGTATTGATCTGTAATTCATCATGTCATTTCAGAGCAGTTCTCTTAATAACAGAGGCTTCGGGACACCATGTTACCATGTCCATGTTCGGCTAAGATGCTGACAGAGGATGTTACCCCAAATTCACACTGCGAAACCTGCACTGTGGGTCTTGGTCGTGCAGATCGCTTCTCTTTGTCCTTGCTGTGGTGGTATATATGAGTGCCATATCCATTTACCGACATGATCATCAAGGTTACCAAGTATCCTCTCCCGCAGCTCAACGCAGCGAAATATGTTAACTCCAAAGCACGAAAAGAAGCCCTACTTTGGGCTCACTGGAGGATGTCTCACCCTCTGGATCACGGTGAGTACCCAGAATTTGAAATCCATTCAATACTAAGACTTAAGCAGATTGCCTGTGCTACGGACATGACATTGTTCGGCTATGACCAGGGAGTGTTTAGTATGTACACGAGTCAGTCCATACTACCAATGGGCTAATTAGTCTACTTAGGCGGGGTCGTCGTCACAGAGGACTTCCTAGTCGTCCATGATCTTGTCGGGCCAACCAAGACGAAAACCCTGTCGACTGTTACGGCCATTTACGACGTGGGCTGCTTTCTTGGCTCGATTCTAGCATTCATCGTGTCGGAAAGGCTCGGTCGGAAGAAGTCCATTCTCCTGGGAACAACCATAATGGCAGTCGGCACCATCCTCCAAGCCAGTTCCTATAGCTTAGCGCAGATGTTCGTAGGACGAGTTATTCTGGGGTGAGTAGACCATTATTCGACCTTCATATAATGGCACAGCGCTGACATCTGTAGTGTTGGCAACGGAATCAACACGTCCACAGCGCCCGTATGGCAAACCGAGACTGCCACCGTCAAATGGAGAGGAAAGCTGGTCATTCTGGAAATGGCGCTGAATGTCTCTGGCTTTGCGCTAGTCAACTGGATCAACTACGGGCTTTCGTTCAAAGGTGGTGCGCTCGCATGGAGGCTGCCCATCGCACTGCAATTCTTCTTCATCTTCATCCTCTACGCGACTGTACCATGGCTTCCTGAGTCCCCAAGGTTGGCTGTTGCGAATCCACATGGACGATCCACTGCTAATGCATGTTAGATGGCTTCTCTCGCACGGGCACAATGAGCAAGCCCTAGATGTCATCTCCCGCATCGAGGCCAAACCAGCCGATGATCCGTACATCATAACTCAGTACAACGAAATCGAATACAGTATCAACTACGAGCGTGAAAACGCCGTCTCCTGGACTGATCTACTGCTACGCCGTCAAAGAACAAATGACACCAAGACACTGCGGCGGATCCTTCTTGGTGCGGGAACGCAGGCTCTCCAGCAATTTCAGGGTATGAATCTCCTTCCAAAATGATGAATACTGGCTAATATGTACAAGGGATTAACATCATGTCCTACTACCTCCCTCTGGTGCTCATCAACTCTGTCGGCCTGTCAAACAGCATGTCACGCCTCCTCAGCGCCTGCAACGCGACATCCTACTTCGTGTTTGCCTGTGTAGCAGTCATCATGGTGGAGCGGTTTGGTCGAAGGGGACTTATGCTGATGTCGACCTTTGGCCAGTTTGCATGTTTCCTGATTATCACTATTCTCCTTCGATTTGCGGAGAATGACCCAAAGTATGGTACCGCTTCAGTGGTATTTTTCTTTCTGTATTACATTGCGTTTGGAATCGGCATGCTGGGTGTTCCTTGGCTGTATCCGACTGAGATCAATTCTCTTCCTATGCGGACGAAGGGTGCGGCTGTCTCGTCTGCAACGAACTGGTATGTCCATATCCTTTTTGTGGTCAATATGTCTCTGTATTTACAGTATGCAGGATTACAAACTTCGTCATTGTCGAAATCACACCTATCGGGATACAGAACATCGGGTGGAAATTCTGGATTGTATGGACAATCACCAACGCGGTTTCTCTTCCAGTTATCTACTATCTGTACCCGGAGACCGGTGAGTGTAATTCGCGAGATAATTCAATTACAATATGCTGACGGTCTCCAGCAAACCGAACTCTGGAGGACCTCGACGCATACTACCGTTCCAACCCGCCGCTGATTGTAACGGGGGACCCGGATGCCATCTCAACCGGCCGGCCATTGAAGTATATCCAGCACGAGGATGAAGAACTACAGCGACAGATGAAGCAGAGGCAGTCGACGGGGGATGAGATTAAGATTGGCTCAGCTACTGTGCAGCATGTGGGATAATTACCAGATTCATATATCCCTGTTCGTTCCCGAGATGAAGCGACAACTATAACGGAAGTCTCATCAGACCATACATGGGACCTTGTTGAACAGTATAATATGTGAACAGTATATTATACTAAATTGATTATAAACAGTCGATATCTATATATGCGGTTCTTCCAAGGATTATGCACTCGCCGCAAACCGCATTTCTGCAGCCCCGACATCGAATACTGCCACCACATTCCTCAAAAAAGTGCCTCCTAGGACAAATATACCCTGACGGACATCTCCCCCGGCGTTGATCCCGCTAATGCAGATTTTGTTTCCCGAGTTATCCGTCCCACCTGGTAATATCATATCCGTTGAATTGATGTAGAAAGTCGAACCCGCGATGGTGACACCGTGGACTGGCGCTGTCGCGTTACAATCCACCACATATGTCCCATCGTAATCATTGTACACCGCTGGGGAATAAATGCCGCATTGATAGCGTCCGCTACCGAGTTTGGGTAGTAGTTCAGTGTTGTTCCAGAGTCAACCTGTGATTGTTAGTCGGGCCCGAGTCCACGAACGGTACATCCTTACGAGGTATTGAATGTTGCCACCAGCCTCCGGCAAGCTCTTGTTGCCTAGCGCCACTCCATCAATATTGACAGTGTAGAAATCATAATCCCTCCGATAGCCCTTGATGTTTGTAACCAGGATAGGCGTAGTACTGAAATTCCCTTTGATGTCAGTAGGCGGCAATCCACCTAGAGTCAGGTAACCGGCTGCTGTGCCATTGGATGCATTGCGGTTCATAACGATGCTGAAGACAGGGTCGATGAGGCCCTGCTCGTACATGGTCGCGAAAATGGGGTTGTAGAGGCTTGGCTGCTTGTAATCCGTCGTGTAGGCGTTCGCGCTGGACCCACCGTCAGTTGGCAATCATAGCAATGAGACTGATTAACCCACAGAGAAGAATACGCGAGACCCATCAACCCCGACGTGACACCGTCGCCATACCAACCCGCGTAATCCATTACTCCGAAAGTCTGGTTGACCGTGATGCCGGCTAATGTTACGTTCTCGGTACCGATGACGCCGGAGAGGATCTCCCGGTCTGCGTACTTGATGTCCACAAACTCGCCGACGATTTCATGGAAGGTTGTATTAGGTGCGTATGCCGGCCCGAACTCACACTCCCACTGCGGCACCTCCCTCCTACTCTCAGGGTTGATGCATATGAACCCTTCTCGGACGACCCATAAATCGCTGGACCCTGTGTCGATGACTACCTCGAATGTCTGGTTGCCGATTGTGATAGATGTTGCAAACCCGCCTACTTCGGCGAAGGAAACTAGATTTGTGGACCCGGTTCTAACTTGGCTGTTGAGCTCGACTGCGCTGCGGGCGTTGCCTTTGTTGTTGATCTTGGTGAGTTCAAGGACATGTGGTGTTTTGACCCTGTCGGTCGTTGGGCTTTTGAATGCGGATGGTTTCCAAGTGCTTGTGGTGAGGGCTGATCTTCGGGAACGCTGCATATATAGAGGAGACGCTGCTGTACACGATGCCGAGGCGATCAGGTATAGAAGAACGCTGCTTGTCGAGAGATGCATTGTGACTGTCTTCGATACCAAACTTGGTCTTCAGGAAATCGAACAGCAGGTTGCATATTTTCTCTCCTCTCTCAACAACTGGAAAGTTTGGATTGGATATACTTAAAGAGCTCGATAACGAAGTGGTTGGTCGCAATATCTTGCATGACCTGCCACGTTGACAGCAGCATTCTTCCGCATTCGTTCCGTCCGTCAGCCAAGCACAGAGATATACAGCCTTCATGATTTAAAGCAGGCACAATATATCTTCAAACTGTAGTTATCAATTTTACCTTAAGATATCATCTAATCCAGTAACTATACGATGTAGATGTATGCAGAATCGACTCTAAGATGTAAAATCATTGTTGTAACGCCAAAAGCGGAAACATGTTTGGCCACCGAAAATGGCTTATCGATAAGCAGATGATAAGATAAGTACGGACAAGATAAAAGAAAGAGACCAAAATAGAAGGCAGGAGGGCCACATTCCGATGAATGTCTGCTTCCAAGATATTCGAAGCTAGGGGCTACCACGGTTTCGGCATCGAATTGAAAAGACTCGACCCTGCCGGCCGGGACGTACACGTACACACACTCAATGAACACTGAGCATCTTCAAAAACTGATCCCCTAACGCATTCGCCGCCTGAGGATTCCCTCCCGTCACTAACTCACGGTCAACAGTGATACTCCCAACCTTCTCCCCGGCCCTTCAACCATCTCAGCCCCTCATTACGCAGAGACGACTCCACCTTCTTGATCTCCCCACCCAACATCGTCTCCATGACCTTCTCCTCCGCATCACTCCAGCACGTGATCCTATACCCCTTATAGATAAACGACCCATCCCCCGCCTGCTTCGTACTCAGAAGCGCAATCGGACCATGACAAAGCGACGCGGTGGGCTTTTTCTTCGCGTGGAAATGCCGCAACACCCGACCCACCTCCTTATCGCCGCCTAGATCCGAGAGCGGCGCATGTCCCCGGGAATGAACACCCCCACGAAGGAATCCAGCTCCGCGTCGCTAATGGTGCCGAGCGGTCTGGGGCGACTGAACCCGTTCTCGCGCTTCATGCGGTCGATGAGCTCATTCTCGCGCCGGCGTTCGTAGAAGTTGCCTGCGAAGGCGAGGAGGGATTCGCTGAGCGGGTCCGGGACGGGTTCTAGGCCATTGGGCGAGGCGAAGGTTACTTCGTAGCCGGCGTCGAGGATTTTCTGGAGGGGTTTGGCGAGTTCCATGAGGAAGAAACCGGATGGGTGTTCGACTGTTTTGCCGGCATCGGAGCCGGAGGTTTTCTTCAGGGGGAAGGATTTGGCGTCGCTGAGGATGATGAGGATCTTTTTTCCGGTCATGGTGATCTGATTATGGAGTTGATTCAGTGCAGTATTGATTGAGATAGAGTAAGGTCAAGGTTTGATGCTGTCCACTGGCATATATAGGAACTGCCAGAGGTGACATCGAGATGACGTAGGCCGTGGAACATGGATAGGACTGATATGCATGTTTTCATGAATAGGTCATAATATGACGAAGGTGAGAGAGTTATATTAGCGCAACCAGTTCATATAAAAAGCGTAACGGAGGGTCCTCAGATATACCTTGTTAGGTATCAGACTGAATTTGGTTTGTAGCCGGAGCTGGTATCGGCATGCCGGATATCCTGCGGTGGGCCTCACACCCTTCAAATCGATGGGTCTTCTGTGTTCTCTAACGTATAATATTTGAAATTCAACTGTATTTATCAAACAGCCATTTGGTATAGTTTGTACATGATGATGATTGGAAAAGTATATATCAATGAAGAGAAGGGAAGTGAACGAAAGGTGAGTACGGCTTTTCTCGGCAATGAAATAAACCGCAAGGGAAAGACGAAAAAAAGACAGAGACAGGAACACTAAAGACTATGCTTTGGTGCATTCAGTGTGATGACTGTACTGAGTCTGAGTGGCATAAGCGTAAAGAGTGGTGGCATCCGACAGCCCGTGGGATCTTCTGAAATTCTCCTCCTTGGACTGCGATCCGATCCGAGACCAGAATTGACGGTGGGTGACTTTGAATAGAGGCTTCAGGTTGGGAAGACACGCAGCAGTGATGCCTACTGCCGCTTCGATGCACGTCCAGACAACAACGGGGATTTGGTTGTCTGCGGAGATTAATGGTTAGATGTAAGAGCAAGACAGCGGACAGATTACTACTCACAGGTGATATCGGGCCCAGCTTTCGTGAACTCGATCATAGCCACCAATCGTACAATATCGAAGATCAATGTCCTGGTGTGCGGTTAGTGACCGAGGAACAAGACGTTTGAACATGAACACGCAACGTACAGTCCTCCGACCATGAAGACCCCGGAAAGCAAAAGTCTCTGCGTCTTTGAGATCGGTAGAGCCCAAACAATCTTCAATGGCATAATGAGAATGATCAGGTCCGTCAAAATATTCGGAATCTGCTGTCCGTAATAGAAACTGGCCGAGTCGATGCACGATCCCTCGATCGAAGGCTTCCAGAACTTCTGGACCGGCAAACACATCAAGGCACCGACCAGGAATATACCTAGAGCCCAGAGGATGACAAACGCCGCGATGGCATTGGCGACGATAATCATGCGAGGAACGGAGAAGAGCCGTTTGTATAAGGCAAGAATCGAGAGCTTGATGAAGAGGATACATCCGGTGTACACGAACGAGTTGGACCATCCGATCTGCCAGGTAATGTCAGCACTTTTCCTTGTGCAAACTCGAATCCCGTATGTACCTGGTAGTAAGCCTCCAGGTTCTTCTCGGGAATCATGTCTATATGCGATCCTAAGCCATTGAACAGGACTGCGATTGTCAGTATTCGAACTCGCAGAAGAGCGCGGACAACTTACGAATGGTCACTCCTATTGAGCATCCGTATTTGAACAACTTGGCGATAGTCAGCATGTGGTGGCAATTTCTAGGATAAACGTTCATACCAAGGCCACGAGAATCAGATAATCATCGAGGTACAACCTCGTTCCATTGATCTTTCTCGCCACCAGGCGCAAAACAACTGCAGCTGTGGACAGAATGAAGGCGAAGTACAGCGCAATGATAATAGATCGGCGCAGATTCTGATTTGGATGCTCAAAGTCGCCTTGAGTGCCATTGCCGGAGACCTGATCGAGTGACATGGCGGGCAGTCTGTGCGAAGGTTCTGCAAAAGCGTTAAAGGAAAGAAACGAGGATTAGAATGAATGAACCGTTGAAGAACGAGCAAGGTGGCTGCAACTATTTGAAATCACCAGAGCCATCTCGACGATGGCAACGGTGCTGCATATTAAATGTTTCCCTGGACAGATAGATACTCGGCAGTCATCGCTGCCAGATCGGTCACATTCTTCCTCTTTCTCTATCAAGCTTTGCAGGGCCCGAAAGTTTCAATATTCGGTCGCTCACACATCACATTATTGACACGCTAGCATTATGTTTGTCCCATAGACCTGTTCACCGAGTTTGCGGGTGGCCGATCTGGCACCAGAATTGCGGCGTCTTCGCAATCTGGAGGGGTTAGGAACTCTGGCAATAACTTGGGGGAAATGATCTGATGTTGATCACTACGAGAATCGAACGACCGAGCGCAAAGCATAAATAGAGAAGTTCTTTATCGATGCGTGTCATGGTTGACAGGTACTAAATGATGCAAGTGTTCGTGTGTTTGCCCGAAAGTGGATCGAAATCCCTGCCAATCTGAGCAATTTAATTCTTTCTACCGGCTTGCCCTTGCTGGACCTCACAGCCTTGTCTGAACAAATCAAGGAGGCCAGAGCCTTCTCCGATAAGGTTGAAGCAAGGTTCAAATGCCGTGGGTGGATCAATCATTTGTCGAATGTGATACATCATACTTCACGTCCTATTCCGTCCACTTATCTATTCTGGATACACCGCCAGCTCGCTCAGTCAATGTTTGCTAAGCTTACAAGAAATTCTTTGTCTGTTCACTTAGGCGACTAATCTCGCACTTTCCAAAAGCTGAATATCTAAGTTCTTTTCTTGCCATAATGCTAAAGTTAAGGTCTACATGCTGGGGAAAGTCAAACTTGACAGGTCATACTCGATTTCTTAACGGACGATCAAGCCGACCAACCTCCCTTGCTTGTCAATAATTTTCTATTATTCTAGAAAACCTGCCCCTGCGTTCCTTTCTCTTACCCATTGCGATGGAACACTTCCCAGTTCTTTGTTTGTGTTGCTCATTTTGATTCTATGGTCAGCCACCATATCAATTGGTGCCTGTAGGTTGTTCTTCCCAATAATAGTTATCTAAATAAGTAGTAAATAGCTCGGGAGTTGTCCGAAATGGTAGAATGCTCGACGTTTCTGCAATCATCTTTGGCTGAATGTTCTCGAGGCGTTTGCAGAAGAGTGAACCACACGACGACGGGGTTTGGCTGCTTGCACATGTGACACATGGCTGTTCCTCAGGAGTCTACATGTAGATGACGCGGAATCCAGATTCAGTCATCAGCGAGCGAATGAGGTCTGATTATTTCCTGACAAGATGAATGTGTCTTCTGAATGTTGATTTGTCGACTCGATGCTGAGTGGACTAACTCTTGAACAACGAGTAGATAGTTGGGAGGCTACTGAAATCTAGGCTCGGCAAAGGACTCGCTGCATGCAGAGTAAACTAGATCCAGTATCTGTTGTCCAAAACTCAAACTCTACATTACAATTTCTATCCATGCGGGCCACAATGCGGCCATTTCTCCTCAACTTCAATGAAGATGCACGAGAGGTATGTGATCCGAAGTGCGTCTCTCTCAAGGTCATGACAGAACACGCTGTTCTGAAGAGACAGGGCTCATTGACTAACTATTAGTTGTAAACTATGGACAATTCCTCCTGCAAAATGGTGATATATGCGGTCCTGTTTTGAATACAGCTGGTCAATGTAATGCTGCACCACGTCATGTCCAGGATCTTAGAACCACTATTTGATCCAGGCTTGATTCACATGGATGCTTCATTTAGACATGCAGGGATGACCGTGGCTGTTTACTTGGCAGACTTATCCCATGCATTAGCGTAAAGAATAATGAATGCTTGGACCTTTTTCAATCAGTTACATTTATAAATATGAAGCAATGTGACGACATTTGACGTCTTGCGTATCCCGCCTCCAATCAAACAGAAAAAAGTAATTGTGGCATTCTATCTCTATGTTTATTATGCAGTTGAGATGCCAACAATGCCCCGACTTTCCTGCTTAGAGGGAAGGCGACCATTACTGGAGACGCTTGAAGCAAAACTGGGGTTTGCTTTTTCTTCAGCTGCGTGGTAGCACAATCCGTCCATTGCGGTTTCGCATAGCATAAGCAGCTAAGTTCGAGTCCGAAATACGAAGCGGTTGAAAGATGGAATTCCCCAAATCCTTGCTCAACATCGTTCGGGGTCTTCAGCTTTGCAAATCCTTAGGTAATGAAGACTTTCAGACAGTTGCCTCATCCAGGAAGTCAAGACTCAATCGGCCTTCATCTATGCTGCTCCCATTTTCCCACGATATGAGCGTAAGTGTTCTAGAGAAAAATATCCGAAAGATGACTAGTTAGTACTCGATGGTTGATTTTTTGGTAAGCTAGCTGCCCTCGAAGGGCCGTGTTGTAGTGATTAATGCTATCATCAAGTTCTAGTATCAGTGCTCCGTCAACACGTTTCAAGGCATAACTGATCAGAAGGTCTCCTAACCCTTATAATATCAAAGCAAAGAGGATACCTTCAGGGTTGGACGAAGGAATTTCGGAAATATACATCAATGAGCTTTGGGGTCATTATTGCTTTGTCAGGGATATATATATTCCTTTAAGGCGCGGACAACAGGATAGAATGGCATCCTTACCCAAACCCAGACACCGCACGTTTTGATGGGTAGCAAGGCCTTAAATCAAGACTATCTCCCTACGGCCGGAAAGTTCAACAATCAAACAGCTCAAATAAACGAAACTATGGGGGACGGCGCATTTTCGTTCCCCGACCTCCCAGAGGCCGACTACCTTACCAAAGACGCTACTGGTTGACCAATCATAGACCTTCAGCTGTCGGATCCGACAGATACGAACCATCTCCGGGCTCCACCATAGTGAAGGGTTCCGCAACATTCCTGGTCGTGACAGGTAGCTACTTTGGGTCTAACAGAGCGGGCAGTAAATACATGCACATATTTACATCGTGTAGACGGGTGAGCAGCGTGGTCCACGTTACATCTTTGAAAACAAGTCCAAGGACCGAAGGACAAAACAGTCAGCAGCCTGTTGAACGCATAACTCTCAAGTATAGCCACGAAAAAGCCGGCCTGCTTCTTCGCCTCGGATAAGTACTAGCCGTCGGGCTGTGGCAGGCATCCTCAGAGCTACCAAGTTTATCCACAAACAGTGGGGATATGACATCCACACGTGAAAGTGGCGGACCCGGATGTCCCCCATTCACCCGGATTATAAATTCTTCCTTCCTCTTCTTATTCATCGACCCTTACGCACAATCATGAAGCTTACCGGTTTCTGTGACCTCGTTCTGCTGTAAGTATCTCATCCATGCCAGATATACTCGCATCTATTCGACTCAAGTCTGATCACCAGTTAGCAGAACATGATCATCACACGCGGAATCTCCCTTGTCAACTTCGCCGTCGCGTCCTCGGCGCTCGCGTTCCAAGTCTTCGTCCTATATCCGTGGCACAATCAACTAGATGCCGAGTTCAAGGCGCTAAAGGAGGAACATATTCGAGTGCTGAACCAGATGAGTCGGAGGACCGTGTCTCAGTGACGAGGTTTTTGATTGATGGGCAATGTCCAAGTCCCCTACGGTGACTACGACAGAGGGTGGATACGAACGGTATAGACTTGGTATTCTTCAATGCAGGTTGGGGCTACGAAAGTGAGAAAGACGGGATGGCACAAATAATTCGAAGCTGGTGATTCTGCGAAGCGAGGCCTGTCTGAGAGTATTGAGGTCCGGGTTACTTTCGACAGTAACTCTCTGAAATGCGAGCTTGCTGCGACTCGAGCGGTATGACACTGGGATTGTTCAAGCGCACTATCATACTGGCTTTATCCATTATCGAATCCTCTGAAAGAAGGCCCCAAACAGAGGGGCTCAAGCCACACATATATTCGAACTCAATCAAATTTGGCTTGATAGGCTGTAGTGTGAGCTCTGGTTTCGGGCAGGGTGATTGATGCAGGGCTAGCGGTGCTCGTCCCCATATATATGGCGCGGGTTACGCTTTCCTCTATATTGGCATAAAGCGCTGTATCACGATCCCTCATAAGCCAAGAGTTCCATGCAAGGAGCTCAGACATAGTAATCTCGTAGACTGAGGCAAAATCATCACGTCCGTAGTCTGTTCAGAAGGTAAGAGCAACGGAGTCCAATGTAATAACTGTAACACTTTTGCAAGTCGATGAGATTGGGTGATTTGCGGCGTATCCTACCATTATAGGCGTCATCCAACATGACCTAGCTGAAGCAGTCGCAGTTCGGGGCTGTGCCGGCCTCTGTGGCGTTCATTTCCGGATAACAGTAGGCCGTGATGTTGTCTGAGGGTGCTATTTCTATTAGACTCGGGGTCTCCTGATCTAGTCTCCTTTGTTTAAAACTCACCTGTAGTATTCTCGTACTGTTGCTCGGTGACAAAGTGCAAGTGCTGGTGCTTTTATCGAGGCTCGGGTTCCAGGCGAAGAGTTGTCGGTTGAGATCCCGTATTGGTTGGCAAAATAACGGCAGAGCTCGGTATACTTGCCGGGGTGTCGTACAGGTAGCATCCCGGAATCGTGCCCGGGGCAGTTGGTAGCAGTGGCGGATGGGTGTATAAGTAGCCAGGGTCACGAGTCCTTGTGGGATTTAGATGCTAGAATTCATACGTTCTTAGCAAGTAGCACGAAAGGAGATTATGTCGATACTTACCATAGACCATGGGGTACATTTTGGACTACTCCCATCTGTAATATTAGTTGTAGTCGGCATGACACCTGTGGCTCCAGTTCCTGCTGTGGCGGAAGCGGTGACAGTTGGGTGGTCTAGGAAATCACCGAGGTCTGACAACGTAGAGTTAACATTCCAGCACGGAATCCCTGGTGCCAAACAGTGACTGGGACAAGTGAATTGCTCAATTGAGGATTGGCTTACTTTAGAAACCATAATGGGAACAAAAGGCGACAAGTGAAATCTGTGGCCAACGCCTTTTACATGTACCGCTTAGCCCCGGATGATCAACATACCTGGAAGCCCCTGCAAATTGTTGCGTCCATGCAAGTTAACCCAAGAGGGCCAGTATTGCAGTCCATAGCACTCGCATGTTCGGTTCCCCATTCGTGGGGCGGAGGAGGAATCTTATCGTGGACAGGGGATGGGAGAAAGTGGTGAGTCGCTGCTGGCCCCACAGGCTGGTAGAAAACTGAGTGAAAGAAGGGAAAATTTCAATCCTCAAATGTGGGATTATGAAATATATTCAACAAAGAAGAAACAAAACATAAGATGCCCATTTGGACAGGAGTGTCTTTTGGAAGCTCTTGTTAAGAGCCACCTGAACAACAGGATGCCTCAAGTGGTTTCGGCTTCGCTGCGGCGTCAAGGATCTCAACTCCACTCCTACTGACGTCTAATACCTCATATATGGAACGGGTCACTGACGGACCACAGTGGACTCCGAATTTTCCGAATTTCAACAAGTCCCTGGCAATACTTGTAAGAGTGGAGTGATTATATCCGTCCCTAACCTTTCAGCAACAAAATAAAGAAGTAAAATCCAGAAAGCTAGCGTTTATCTACCTTGTTGGGTTTCTTTTCTGGCGTGACTAACTGTCCAACTCCAGGGGTGGACTGCCTACTTCAGATTTGAAACGACTTGGAAATTTAGTGGGCTTACTCTGTCATAAGGTAACTTATTAGGGCCTAGCCTTCTCGATGGTCCCTGACAATCAATGGCGGATTGTTTCCATACGTAGCCTAGGGTAGTAGTACCAGATTCGTCAGTTGAATAATATATGGGTATGGTATCCATGGCCTGAATAGTGGCCTTTTTCGACCAATCCCAACGACAAAGCCAAAATACCCGCTCTGTAGTATCATGTTGGATATTTGGGCCGAGATTTGAAGCCTTTTCCAGGCACAAAGGCTATTTATACTTCAACAATAAGATAATGAGCACGCACAACAGGGCCATAACTGCCAACAGGTAAGCACTTGAGAACCAGCTGCCCTAGCGCACAACTAAGTTATGATGTATGGATACTGCTTGGTTCCACTTGCATTGGGGTGAGATATAATCTTTCAACTGAGGCCAAATCATGTTCTGGCGGCTCGCTCGGTGTCCGGTACATAATTTCATTTGCTGCTAGAATCGAGTTACTTCAACTCCACATAAGATTGAAAGATTACCCGAGAACAATAAGCTAGTTCCGCAGACGGTAAATACAGACGACGAACTCCACATGCAGCGTCAAGAAGACTCAGTAGTCATATTCCATTGAGGTCGCCAGAGTCCCACTGCTGCCTACCTTGGGACAGGATACGCGTATAAGCGGGCATATCACGGAGCTAGTATAAGATGGACGAAATCATCCTTCACGGCATAACGATTTGCTTTTCAGTATTAAACCTATTAGAAGGTCTTTGCCAGCCATATTTATGAAGTTACACCCTTCTTGACTGGATTCTCATCGATTCCCTATACGATTTACTGGTGCATAGCCTCCGAAGGAGCATTACTCAACCCATCAAGAACCCAGTTCAGAGATATACAATGACCGAACTACAATCATACAAAGGCTACTATCTTTGGCACTACGTTCCCTCTAAGGCCGCTGCAGTGATATTCGCCCTTCTCTTCTTGGCCGCTACTCTCTACCACGTCTGGAAGATATGGCGAATGAAGACCTACTTCTGCATTTGTTTCGCCCTCGGAGGTTTCTGTAAGTACTATCAGTTATGATTATGTTATCCCAGTCACGCCATCCTAATCTAACTCTCGCAGTTGAATTCGTCGGCTACTGCGCACGAGCATCCGCCCACGACAAGACCGGCAAAATGATGCCGTACTGCATCCAAAGCGTATTCATCTTACTGGGACCTGCGCTATTTGCCGCAACGATCTACATGGTCCTGGGTCGTGTCATCCGCGCCGTCAGAGGAGAACAATACTCGCTTATCCGCATCAACTGGCTCACAAAGGTGTTTGTTACCGGGGATGTGTTGTCTTTCGTGGTGCAAGGAGGAGCTTCAGGGATGATGGTCCAGAGCTCTCTAGCCGATCTAGGAAACAAGATTGTCGTCGGTGGCCTCCTCATTCAGGTCATCATGTTCGGCTTTTTCCTTATCACAGCGATCGTCTTCCAGACTCGAATGCGGCGGCACCCGAGAGGCCTGTCTACCTCTGTTGATATCCCCTGGAAATCTCACTTGCGTACTCTGCACGTCGTGGGTCTCCTCGTCATGATTCGGTCAGTTTTCCGCGTCGCTGAATTCGTTATGGGCAACGACGGTTACCTATTGAAACACGAGTGGACTTTGTATGTGTTTGATGCAGCCCTGATGTGGATTGTGATGGTCGTGTTCGCGTACAATTATCCCGGAGACATTAACACCTCCCTTCAATCGCTGGAAAGTGTCGGTCTTTGCGCCATGGATCCGAAGCCCTGATTTCCTCTGTCGTCTTCTAGTCATTTTCTTCGAAGTCTAACTCCTCAACCGGCGCAGGCTGGCCCTGTTCTGTGCGATTTCGGAGAGTCTTAGATAGAATTTTGGTAGAGTTATTCAGGCGTTGCTGTCTTATCAATATCTGCTTACTGCGTCAATTTCCATAAGTAAGTTTGCATGCCGATCTGCGAAGAATAAGATATAGAAGTACATTAAAAGGCACAAAATCCCTAAAAAGCCGCAAAGATTTCAAAAACTGATAGTTTAATGTAATGTATGAGAATCGCCGTAAGGTAGGTGGATCTGCTCTTCCTGAGACCTAGGCAGATCATTTCAAAATGGAAACAGATTCTCTTGGGTGAGGGGATGTTCTAGAAAAACTGTAATATATCTTTCCCATCTCCATCAGGTTAGGCTCTGCAATAACTATTGACTCGATGGTCGATGGCTCGCGGGTCTACTGGTAGGTCCACACTTGGTCAGTGCATACGCGGGTCCAGCCTGGAGCATCTGATAGTATACTGTAAAAAGCACATAGGAGCCTGAATTTGAGAACTAGAAATGAGCGGACAGGATGGCCCAGAGAATGGACGAGGTTCTCTATCACTGCCGTACGTAGGCGCCATGGCGCCATTTAGAGTTGTGGCGTCAGCTGTGGTATGCAAGTTGAACACGGCAATGATTGCCATCGGCTAACTGACCGACTCCTACCCAGTCTCGTTAGGTCTGGTCGCACCTTGCAGGACTCAGATCTATGGCCTCCTGGGTGGGCTTACTTGTCAAAATGTATAGCCATCAATACCGGGTCGAATTTAGGGCCTGAAAGCACATCATACGCTCATCGTCCTGCTATGGAGATAAATTTCGGCGCATAATTGGGAGGTCGCTTAACCTCCATTCGATTCATTGTCGTAGCAACTCACAGTGGTTTTGGGGAATATACCCAATCTTACCTTGTGTCAAGCATATCTCAGGGTGCTGGGGCCGATAGTTAAGAAATGAAGGCACTCAATCAAGTGCAGCTCAGCGAGTCAGCAGGTGGCCGCATGGGCTTGTTGTGTCAAATTCCAAAGGCTTGACAGGGCTATGCTAGAGCGTCACAAATCTTATGTATCCGGCTTTTGAACTAGTTCGACTATTTATAACCAGTAATCGCCGCGCTATTGGCTAGCCCCTGACTGCGGTTGCGGTAAGACTGCCTAATTTTCTGTGATACTACCCTGCAATTTCCCCTCATTGTCGAGATCTTTTATTGACTCGCCTAACGTTGCAAGACTTTTTTACTGGATATAAGTTGTGGAGCGTCTCTGACTCCCCTTGCGTAGTTTTCGACGATCAAGAATATCAATCGCTTCTGCAGGTTGTTTTTAATGTGTTCCTATACAGAGTACACAGCATGCAACCAAAACAAAACGGTCAAGGGCTCCCTTTCCACTGTGGCATCGCTGCTGGTGCTAGCAAACGTCGTCATCGCCGGCTGTTCCACCCTCAGCTTCACCACCAGCGACGATGGCATCGTCCACTGGTTCGACCCAAACGCAGGCGAAATCCGTGACCCACTTGACTGTGCGGGCGGCCACGCTCCTCCAAAGACCAACGTCCCTGGATGCGCCGGGTTACACAGGCACATATGTTCCCACAACTTCATATCTCTCTTGCTGAACGCCGTCAGATTCTGCGACCTCAACTCCTGTCACCGTGAGCTCTGCTAAATCAAGAACCCACACCGCTGCAGCTGGCAAATGCACTCCTTCCCCTACGACGACCATGAGTACAGCGACACAAGTCGCTACTGGAAACAGCACCACGCCTTCAACCACTTTGCCCCGAGTCAATCGTCGAACTCCACGACTCATGGCAACGGCACGTCTAGCACGAGCGGCACTGCCGCGCCGTCAAGCCCGACAAATAACAAGGGGCACATGCTGGATGGCTCCCTAATAGCTGTTGCTGGGGCGGCGATTGGTGCGGTTGCTTTGATTTAAGCGTATTAATGAAGGGCTACCTGCATGGTACAGCCCGGTTTTGCATTTGTAACGTTCTGTGATGTCTTGGAGTAAGGGATCCAGTAGTTTATCATTTAATAACCATAATCCCCGTCGAGTGGATCAATGCGGCCCCGGCAATAGTAGGATAGATGTGCTTCAATAGCTAGCGATGCCTGCGGAATACATCACTCAGGACAGTCCATACCACATTTCGCTCTGGCGCAGACGCGGAATCGCCAAGGCTTGGATTTTTACGGGAGGGGCGAGACGAGGCTGAACCTGGCAAATTTGGTTGCCGGGGAAGGAGAAAGCTGACCATGGCAGGGTAGATGGTGTAGTGGGAAATAGGTGAGGCGGACTGTATTTGGGCTGGTGGGGACCGTGGGGGCCGGGGCGTTAGACACAGAGTACTAGGTACCTTAGGTAGCTAGTATGAACTGGGACAAGATCTGACATCTCAGGTTCACTCAGCCCCTAGCGTCGATTTCTCTGAGTCAGGCAAAGCCAGACACTTTACTAGGTAGTTCAACCTCTTGAACAACACCATGCCATTCTCACTCTCTGATTTGCCCAACGAGATCATTCTTGCGATAGCCAAGGAGCTACATTCAGAGGGCGCGATCAATGCCTTGGCTCGAACCACCCGCCATCTCTACTCCCTGCTCAATCCCTTCTTATACAAATACCACGAGCACCCGAAAGTTCCTGCTCTGCACTGGGCAGCCCAGGGAGGGTATGCAAATACCCTCATTAGCCTACTGAACGCAGAGGTTGATCTTTATGCACCCTCGAGATGGTGTCCCGAGCAAACACACACACTTACTCACCATCCGCTCATAACTGCCATATGGTACGGTCACGTACATATTGTCGAGCTCCTTTTGGACCGAGGTGGCATGAGCGAGAGGTTAAAGGAGGAAGATTACGAGTTACCGCTGAATCGAGCCATATGGCACGGTCATATCCCGATATTGCAATTTTTTCTGCAGAGAGGGGTGAACCCCTGGAAGACCCGTAAAATGGACCCAGCTCTGGTTGCCGCGGTGCGTCGTGGCCATGCAGAGGTTGTTAAGCTCCTTCTGAGGGATGCTGAACGTCGACAACTTCTCGGCGCTGCTCAGCGGCTTCAAGAGCTCGGACACGCACTCTGGGTCGCTGCCCACCATGGCAACGACGAGCTAATTCACTTGCTGTTGGCGGAAGGTGCTGATGTGAATTTCCGGTGGGATGGCACAACCTCGCTAGATTGCGCAGTGGTCAATGATCATTACCCCACTGCCAACATTCTCCTTCAAGCTGGGGCCGATCCGAAGATGGTAGATTGCGATGGCATAGGACCCCTCTCGCGGGCTGCGAAGCCAAGTGAAGCCATCTGGTTCGGAAAGAGCACTGGGCGCTACCTAAGGCCCCGAGACCCCAGCCACCTAGTGGTTCCATATCCGCAAGTTGTTAGAGATGAATTGGTGGCTATGACTCGTCTGCTTCTTGATTATGGTGCAGATGCTGCTGGGCTTGATGGTGCTACAGCACTGCGGATCGCCATGCGATCAAAAAACTCCGAGCTCACCCACTTGCTCTTGATGCACAACGCTCGTGTGTTGAGAATCAATTGAACCATTCATGGCGCCAATGGAGAAATTGATTATAGTGATGATCTGTTTGGTTGCGTAAGACACTAATGTGTTAAAGAGGAGGAAAAATTCTCAGCTATCCAAAACTAGGATAGTATGAGCAGCGCATTGTCAGCTTCGCTTGGTCCAGTGATACATTTCTTACATGACTTGTTGGCAGGATAACTCCCTTTAAATATGTTGCAAACTTTTCCTATTACCTCTTTCTTTTTTATACAGAACCTATATGGGCGAACATCTGGTGAAGCCACGAAATGGATGACTTACGTCTTTGTTTGGATCATATAGCAAAGAATGCCAGTCGTATTTCAACAATTGGGCTTGTGGTTTAGTGGTATAATACCCCCTTAGCATGGGGGTGGTCCGGGGTTCGATTCCCCGCGAGTCCATTTTTTGCCTTCCTCTTTCTCCCTCCTAACCCACAATTACCTTTTCCAAGGACCACTGTTCCGATCTTCTTAGCAAAAGTTTCCCTTACTGTCTTCTCTTTTTTTTCAACCTCTCTTTTTCCGACTTTTGATCTTCTTATTTGAGGTGCGACAAGCACTTTTTTCCAACTTGCCATTCTCAAATTAGTGGTAGTTAATTAGTAGAAGTCAAAGGCACTTTCTAAGCTAGAGATGACAGAGGAGCAAAGCTTATAGAGCCGTGGACGAGCATGTACATCGACGCCATAAGTGATGCCCGATTTGGCGGCGCTGTACAGGCACGCTACCATATCTATGGCGATGTGGAAAACGGGATCGTCAGCGGGTCAAATAATATGACTGTGCTAGATGTGCTAGATGTTATCAAGGAAGATGCCCTGTCATGCAGGGTGAACGAACCGGAGGAATACTTCCAAGGCTTTATTATTTTACGCAAAAATTAGCGCTGCAGACCGGCATGCTGATGTGATCGAGGCCCTTACGAACCTGGACGAGCGGGAAATCGCCGAGTTCAAGGCTAAAGTGGAGGCGGAGCGTGAGGATCAAGCCTGAGAGGCGCCTACAATCTGGTGTTCTTGGACATAATGTTGGATTGTTGGAGATAGATGAGGTGAGAGCCTGAGTGCACTTAACTGGAGAAGTGGGTGATCTCGGACTCCCTACTCGCAATAGCGGCAATTGATGAGTGGGGACTTTTGGTTTCACAACCCTTAAGCCAATGGAAGATGGCTGAAGACTCGACCTGTTCAACCTTGGGTCCCAGGTCTCATATCAATCGGCTAGCTGGTATTTCTTGCAGTCGCTGGCTCAGCCATCTTGCTGTGAATGCAAAGATGTATGTACATCCAAGTAATAATGTATATATAATATTGATCGCGAAGGGCTAACTAGGTACATGAAATGAGTGTCATTATATATCGTTTCTGGAAGTCCTCCCGCCGTGTCTCTCGGTACACTAGATGGGGCCTGATAATATGTGGGATGGATTATCTCCCAAATTCCCCTTTCCAATAATGCGGCTCCCTCCCTTTCCTGGTGTTCGGCCATGATGTGACTAATGTGATGTATGGAAATCCAGGACGCTGGACAGTTTTATTGACTCTGCCTCATAGGCATTATGAGACATAGTATCTACTCGCTTTCCATGACGTAGTTTGTAGTTACTGCGCCACTCCCCGGCTGCGCGATATTCATGTGTTCAGTGGGCCAAGGACACAAGTATCGAGTCAGGTCATTGATTGGTCTTGTCAAACGTCAGGACGACATGTAGATCGCTGTTCCTGAGGCCACATGCACACGGAAGCCTTTGATGGCACTAATGATTCGTCAAATAGAAAGCCTTGAAAAATTCCTCCGGAAAGGCGATTTACCAGTGGAAGATCGTCTAAGACACTTTTATCCGCATCCTCGCAACAACACTCGTCTGGCCCTTGGCCTTGACGTATTTATGCCACTCTGGACGTTGTGGCTGTGGGTTCACGCAGCCTTAATAGAAGCCAAGCAATGCATTGCCTCAAATCGCAGTAGGATCTGCGTAAAGGTCAAGATGGGAAAATGGGCCTCTTATTATCAAGCAGAAAAGCTCCACTGTCTGTATCTGATATGCTAAGAGCCTACTTGGCCATGGCGGGTGAGGCAGTTGTTGAATGATGACCATGGCTGTGTGACTAGCCGTGCGCCCATTCAATAGTGGCTATCTTGCAAGTATATTATGATAATTACGATAATAAGAGAAATGAAGCAAGTAGTACGGGAAGAATTAATAAATCACAACCCAGTGCATGAATACTGGTGTAACCATACATTGAATCCATAACATAGTAGCAAGACTACACAAGCTGACGTCCCCGCCGTGGACCGATGAGCAGCAGTAGTAGTTCCAATCTTCTCTATGGAGCTGAACATGTAATCGCAGACACAGTTACCACCTAACTAATCTCACATGATTATGCACTGCCTCGGGATATACGGCTTCATGCTTTCTTGATACGCTTCTGGTGATGTCATGCTTTCAAGGACTGGAAAGAGAAGTTAGCCAAAAGACAAGGCCCTTAACTGCCACAAAGATCCGATATAACCCACACTGCCTTTTAGCACGTTTACTCTCAGCCGTATCGTGCCACAGCCGTAACAGCCATGTAGCAACCAGTGCATCCTTCATCTCCCGCGGCATACTCCTCGTAATTGATAATTTATATCTGTCATTCTCTTTCTCTTCAATAGCGACCTGTCTGCCATTGGAATCGCTCCACTTATAGTAATTGCGACCGACCTTCCAATCTGGGCGGATATCAAACAATAGGACTTGTGGTGTGCCCTCGTCGAACAAGGGCTTATCCGAGGCGGTTTTCTTCGGGCTTAACATCGCTTTGAAGGATGTCCTTTGAAGCCGCGCCTCGGAAGTCTCGAGTCGAATATTGCCTACCATCTCGGGCACCGCAGAAGTGATGTAATACATGGCAGGTATGTCGGTCCGGTATTGCGCATTCACGGGGTGTGCGAGGTAGAAAAGATGTCGCTTTTGCGGCGTGCCAGCAGTGACGCTCTCGATCTCACTCCCGAGCTCAGATACACCGTGTTCGACTCCTTCAAGAGTCACGGACGAGTTTTTGTTTGAGATTGAGGTAATGTCACTGTTCAAGTGGTAAAGCGGGGTTGGAGTTGCAGCCTCAGCGAGGACAGATTGACCTGATAAAAAGAGGTCGGCGGGCTCAAGGAGTTTTCCGCCTGGCTTTTGGTATGATTCAGAGTCCGACTCCATTGTTGCAATCCAGTATGCGATTATCCGACGGTGAATGTGCAATGTATGTTCAGCAATAGATGTACAGAGTAGTAAGTGGTAGGTATGGTTTGTGGTCTCAAGTTGCCTTAGACTCAGAGTAGACGGGGGTAGACCGCCCGTGGTCGGGAATAGGGCCCCCGAGACCCCACCTGGTTGCCCTGATAACTTTAGTTACATCAGCGGAGAGACCCGCCGGTACCTGTTCCGTTATCATCACATTTATGGATAATGGCAGGCTCACCTGCCTTAACAGTCTATGGGTATGGGCGTAATTGTATGAGGCAATTTTTTCCTTCTTCCTTCTTCCTTTCCCTTTCCTTTCCTTTTCCCTTGACTCTCTCTCTAGCCTCGTATGAGGATTCTCTGGGACAGTGAAACAGTGAGACTGCGAGACATGAGTACTCAGTAGATTAGGCTTAGCCGGAAGTACCTAATCTCAGCTTTGAGTGGAGCTGGTGTTCAGCGGGTGTGGCTGTGAGCTCTGGGGCCCGGGCGCTCGCCAAGCAGCCTGGGGGGGCAACGCCAAGTAGATGCAAATCAAGGTTCTGGACACCCCAATCCTTGGTCCGGACGTCCCCAGCCGCCAGGCCCAGAGACTCGGATTATTATTAGGGAGCAATTCCAAATAGATGGCAGTCTACTATCATCAGTTCTCTAATAGGGAGCGAAAGTGTCTCACTATTCGCACCGCGCATTCTGTGATCCCATTTCACATACTAACATAGCAATCTGAATCCGTCTATATTGTACTATGGATAAATTATGGTTCTTCCAGCTTTCCGAGCCGCTCTTCCCGCATGGAGCCCCTTCTGACCCCCGTCACCTGGCATGATTAGCGTATAACTTTGCAGTGTAAGACATCCTGCAATCTTGAGCGAGAGCATGGGTCGGATAATCTATGTATGTCTACCCTCCTCGCAATAATTAAGGTATCTGCAGGTCTGGGCATCCTGCGGGAAGAATGTGGTAGATCATGGCTGATTCAGCTAACTTTTATTATATGTTCCCTTCAAGTCTTCAAAGAAGAAATCACATAGGACTGCAGTCTCTTAAGGGTATTATAAGAAAGCTATAGGACTATAAAGTCCACCCTAATTCCCTTAAATTTTACTAGGGCTAAGATATTAACCTTAGAGAGCTATCCCCTGCCCTCTAGAGTCACGATGCTCTGGATTATGCTGCCAGTCTGTCTGAGGTCATCACATCCCAATTTTTCCACATCTCGGGAGATTGAAATCGATCCCAGTATCGACCGCTTATGCATGTATTGCGGGTATAATTTGGACGGCGCTTAATTAGCCCTGGTGTTATAGACTGTTCCTAGCCAAGAGGAAATATCCACATAGATATTGTATGGTACCAGACTGCACATAATAACTTTTGATCGAGAGTATCGTCATACTCGTAAAATCATAAAAATTTTATTTTCCCCCTTTTGTCCCTGTCATCCTCTGTATATACAGCTGATGTAGCCCTGAATCTGACATTGCACCTACCCACTTGGCGACAGGCACCAACCCGTGCTCATTCACTAATCACTCATTGCTCAACTTCTTTCACTCATTCAAACAAGACCGACATCTACTAAGCACACATAAAAACCCGCCTTAAGAAGTTGCACTCCCTACTCCCAACCCTGTCTTATCCGGTAAGCCATTGGCTCCCGCGGATGTTCAATTTCCGAGGAGGAATGTAGGGGGCAAGTAAGGGCGGAATTAATAAATAAGAAGCAGAAGGCCGTTCAACAGAGAAGGATAAGTGGAGGAAAGGAATCAGTGACTGTATCATACCTGAGATTTGTTCCTCCCTCCATCGAACCTGTATGGGAAATGAGCCAAAATCGACGCCGGCATCACTCAAACACACCCACCTCGAATGGACTCGTACCTCTGAACATGGCTCATCTCCTACCAGCAAGAAAAACCGCCCAAACACAGCACCTCTCCAGTATGGACATGGAAGAACCATCCATAATCGACTGGGACGGCCCTTATGATCCCGCTCGCCCCGTCAACTGGTCCAAGTCGAAGAAATGGCGGAATATCTTCAGTATCGCCTTTCTCACCTTCCTTACTCCCCTTACGTCGTCCATCGTGGCGCCAGCCGTGCATATGATAATGGGAACCTTTCACTCAACCAACAAAGTGCTGGGTTCGTTTGTGGTCTCTATCTATCTGTTAGGATTTGCCGTCGGACCGTTGGTTCTCGCTCCTCTTTCTGAAATCTACGGCCGGCTGTATGTGTACCAGGTCTCCACGGCCATCTTCATCCTCTGGAATGTCGCTTGTGCGCTAGCTCCGAACCTGGGGGCTCTCTTGGCCTTCCGTCTTTTTGCAGGGATTTCAGGGAGCAGTCCGCTCACTCTGGGGGCAGGGTCTGTTGCGGACCTGTTTGTCGAGAAGGAAAGAGGAGTAGCAATGGCACTCTATGGTATAGGCCCGTTAATGGGTCCCGTTATCGGCCCGATCGCAGGTGGCTATCTATCTGAGGCCGCCGGATGGCGATGGGTGTTCTGGCTGCTTGTGATTGTGGTAAGTTCATAAGTCAAATGGTAGTCATGTCGATTTGCATTCGTGATGAGCTCTACTAACGGTCTAGTCTGGCGTTGCTCTACTCTTCGCTACCATCCTCCAGTCCGAGACCTTTGAGCCAGTATTGCTGCAGCGACGCATTAAGCAACAGCGCAAGGAAACCGGTGATCTGATTATGCGCTCTACATCAGCCCGTCGGATCGATCCCAAGCAAAACATGGTTCAATCGATCGTCCGGCCGCTGAAACTGCTTGCTCTTTCGCCGATCGTCGCACTTTTCGCCATCTACATGGGTGAGCATCCCTTGCCATTGTATTGTATATTTCTCAGTCGTTAACTGCGGGGTGCAATAGGCGTCGTGTTTGGATATCTCTACTTGCTTTTTACTACGATCCCCGCCGTATACCGGGAAACGTATCACTTCAGCGAGGGCTCTTCTGGCCTTGTCTACATTGGAGTTGGCGTGGGTGCTCTCATTGGTATGGTCGCATTTGGTGCTCTTTCCGATAGGATTCTAGTCCGCCTTACCGCAAAAAACAATGGAACGTCTGAGCCTGAGTTTCGCCTTCCCCTACTGGTTCCCGGAAGCCTGCTGCTCCCCATTGGATTCTTCTGGTATGGATGGTCTGCCGACAAGCGTCTGCATTGGATGATGCCGGTTGTCGGTATTGGCTGGATAGGCTGCGGGATCACAGCGACTATACTCGCCATTCAGGGGTACCTGATTGATGCATACAGTGAGTATGCAGCCTCAGCTGTAGCAGCGATCACGGTCTTCCGGTGCCTGGTTGGCGCCTTTTTGCCTCTGGCAGGACCGCCCATGTATTCTTCGTTGGGTCTGGGATGGGGAAATTCCCTACTGGGGTTCATTGGTCTGGGATTGCTTCCTTTGCCTGCAGTTTTCTACTTTTATGGCAGAGCCATTCGAACGAGCCCACGGTTTAGAGTCTCCCTTTGATTCGGTTTCCCTCTTCAGCATTCGCGATGTCTTGATGTATCCTTCCGCACCCTCTGTCTTTTCTGCGTTGCACTGTCCTATCTCTAGTTCAGAATACGCCAGCAAAATTATTACATGGTCGAGAAAGTATGGAGCATGGATATTATTCTAGCATTGATTGTGATTTACGGAGTAGTACCAAATGATATACTAAACTTGTGTGCTTCTTACTACTTCTTTACTAAGCAAAATAGTAAGGGGTTGGTTAAACTATATCGTTAAAACCGCAAAGACCGTCCGTAACCAACGACTCTTACCGACCCTGAATCAATTCCACTCCCCCCTAACCGAAACCAAAGCGATTCCCTAGGCTAGGCACCGAACCCTCACCGCTGCGAGTTCGGTGAGGGCTTGATTTAATTCTAGCGGTTCGGTTATGCAACCCTGGACTGCAAAATGGGCATCCACCGTCCGAACCTCTCTGTAACACAGGTGGCGGATTTACAGCTTATCCCGGCAGTCGAGGTGGAAGACGTTAGGCGATCGGGATGGTCCAGCTGGTACTGGGGAATAGCATGCTACTTACTTACACCCTGCATGTCTATAAAGAATTTTCAGACCAGCCCGATCTTCAGATAATAATCGATCTCAACTCCTTCCAGCAGCTCTCCAAAGAGTTCTTCCACAGAACAACATTTCATATTCACCTCAGAAACAAGAAGAAAAAAAGGAAAAAAAAAAAAAGAGAATTACTGATCGTTATTTATAACAACGCAGCTTACTCAAAATATCATCCCAACGTGTCTGGTACCCTGACAGATAGAAACATATAGTTGGCAAAATCTACAGGGATAGTGGCACTGGGGCTCCAGGGCCGAACTGGTTGGTCGGATCCCACTTTTGCTTCAACTCGACAAGCCGTGGAAGATTATGGGCTCCGTACCAGACCTCTGGACCTTCATCACCGTAAGCGAAGTTCACGTAGGTATGCTGCTCTTTAAAGCCACTCGTTTTCTGGAAATTCTCTCTGATTGGCTGAATGAAGGCATGCACCTCATCATCATGGCTTGCATCGTCAAAATAATTCAGAAAAATCCTGTTCGTGCCAGTCAGCGTCAAATTACATACTAGGAGAACATAAAACAAAATGCATTTCACATACAACTGCGTTTTTATATCGCGCCATGGGAAAACTCCCCATTGACTTGTTGGCACTGCCATCGCCACTTCAGTGGCATATCGCTCGATCACCAGTCTCCCGCGGTACCAAGGATTTTTCGCAGAGAACGAAACATATTTCTCGAAGGCGGACTCAAATGTGCTCACATCCGTCGTAGCGAGGCCAAGGTGATAGGTACTGGCGTGGTCTCCCTCGATGCAAACCGCAGTGCCCTCCCCAAATCCGTTGACGGTCACCATTATATCCCATGGGATCGTTTGATTACTCCATTTAGTTGGGTTCAGCGCCACCAGTCTATCAATGTAAGGTTGAACATCTTCTTGAGGCCCTTGGTATTCGGTAGTCACAATGATGGAAGGCTGCCAGCATTTAGCTACGTTGTACGCTATCGGAAATTGGGAGACACAACGAAGCCTACCTCTTTGATTGTTTGGTTGTAAGACAGTGTAATCACATAAACAAAGGATTCAAGCCTTTCATTGTCTAATGACCGTAGGAACTCGAATAACGAGCGGTTAGCGGCAGCAGGGAATTCATAGTCAACATTCAAGACCTGACCCCCGTTGGTGGCGTTGTATACTTGATAAGTCGCAGAGGTGACGATGCCAAAATTAGCACCAGCTCCACGGATGGCCCAGAAGAGGTCAGGATGTTCGTCGTTGGACACTGTTATCAATTCACCCGAGGCCGTCACTAGACGAACCGACAGGAGCGAATCAATCAGTAGGCCATGTATGCCTTCGAGCTGCCCTAGGCCAGCCCCGATCGTCGAACCAACGACGTTGATACAGGGGGGGTTCGCAATCGCTAACTGTTTTATTAGTCGAGCGCTTCTTAGATTCTGGATCAGAAACCTGACGCACGAAGTTCCTTTCCGGCCTTGTAAAGCTCTGCATAGAGTTGAAAGTTCATTGTCCCACTTCCAACTGTAAGAAGGTTGTTCTCCGTGTCCAGTTCTGTTGAATTGAGCCCACTCATATCAATATTCACTACATTTCTGACCTTGAGAAATTCGACTTTTGTGTTATGGCCCCCTCCTGTAGCCAGAAAAGAAATTCCGTTCTGGGACGCAGCTTTCACCTGTAGCCCAACTTAGAACAGCAACAACAGAGGCGGAAATAGTTTCCCTTCTATGAAACCTACAGTGTTTTGAACATCCTGCTCCGTTGCCGGTTTGATGGTGGCTATGTAAGAAGGACTCGCAAATGTTGACCATCGCTGCTTCACCTGTTTGTTGTAGTCCGGGTCGGCTGGGAAATAGATTTGTGCTTCTGGAGACAAGACGGGGCCAAAGATGGCTGCGATATCGCTAGTCTCCAAACTGCTCGTTGCGCTGGCAAACAACAGGAACACTACTAGGAGGAACATACTGAAAAACATGGTGCTAAGCAGAGATTTCCACGGAGAAAACTGGTCAGACGTGCATTCATGGCCGTATTTAAATACTCATCATCCCTTAACTGCGCCTCTTGTTGGCACGCAAATGCCTCCAGCATTCCTGGGATGGGTACACACACACAGACATCTCGAAATTGCGAGTATGGAATGCAGACTATCACACAGTGGACCGGACCTGTCTAATTAGTTAACACACCTACAATCCTGTTGTAGTATTGCTAACCACGTCTATGCACTAACTATGTGGTCCAGCAAGCCCTTACCTTTCAGTTCTCTTCCTTTAGTTAGAGGCATGTTGACTTCGTTAATTACAGCCTTCAACTACTTACAGTATGCGTCTCAGTCCGTACCTAAAACAACCAGTACTGCCTGATCCTGATCGCCTTCGTGCGCGATTTTGCGCGATTTTGACTCTTCTCTTCCAGCTTGATGCAGATCCTAGGTAGCTATGTCTTGTCTATCTGTCTTAAGAGCTGACCGAGGAACTAGACCATTACAATCAGTCGCCGTGACTAGACCTCACATCCAAGACAGAAGCCTGTACTCCGGAGCGTGGGCTTTGTCAAGGTCTAGGTGCAAACAAGGTCTGGTATGATCGACCAATTATTAACAAGGCTATTCTAAGAAGGTATACACCTATGTACTGGATATACATTTCACGCTCGACAAACCATAGATTCATACAAAATTATTACTATACTAAGAAGACGTTGTGATCCCTTGTGCAGGCATCATCTCAATAACCGCTGTATCGGATATTTTATCTTTAAAGACCCCGGTAACTCTCAGCCCTGCTCTTATAGCAAGGGCCTGGAACATGCCCACACTGCGTCTCTTCCCACCAATATTAATCAGAGCGATGTCCAACAGCGCAGTGAGTTCGGAAAGCGGGTGAAATAAAAGCTGCTCTGATATCAAGATCCTCGAGTCCGGAGCGCAGGCGGACACGATGGTGCGGAGGATCTCGACGCAAACATCGTCGGGCCAGTCATTAAGAACCCGGCGAATGTAATAAATTAGCGCGCCTAAACGTATGTAAGTCAATGTCAACAAAAATAGTTTTGGAGTTATAGGGTCGAAATTACCTCGAATAGGTTGCTCGCAGAGAAAGTTCCCAACCACCTTCTTCACCGGCCGCAATAACACATCATCCTCTTGCTTCGCCTCAACTATCACTTGCTCTCTATCCATGAGCACACACTGTGACGGTGGAACCTGCGGATTTTCTTTGAGAATTGCCTTAAGAGCCTGTCCCTTTCCACCTCCTACATCCACAATAACAGTTCTGTGCTGTAAGTTCTTGCTCTGGATGGCTGATCCAACCCATGAGAAATCGTACATGCCAGTGATTGGCAGTCCTTCCGTAGCCTTGGCCATGGCTCGATTCAGCATGTCGGACTTGTGCGTCATCGTTTCGAGAACTTCATAGCTTGTCTTCTCCGGGTGTCCAAAGGCGAGTCCAATTGGCACCCGATTAGCCTGCGTTGGTTCAGTGAATCCGTTGGATCTGAAGAACTGTGGCCAGTGGATCGCCGGGATGAGGAAAGTGTCAAAGAAATGAATAAAGTAGGGTAAGGTTAAGCTGTTGGACTTGTATTGCACCGAACTCTTTGTATGCGCCACACGTCCGGACATGGGCGACGACAGGACGTCGATCACGACCAGGAAGTTCGTAAAGCGTTCTAGGAGACGAGGGTCCAAATTGCATTTCTTGGATAGTCCATCAACCGAAATATCTCCTGTATCGGGAATCGCATCGAAAACTTCATACTCGACGAGGAGCTTGATCACATTCATCTCGGCCATTGTAGTGCACATCTTCATGAAAGGGGCCATGGATTCATTGTCAGGGGGCTTTGGCCTACCATGGCCATTCTCCGTGGAGGCCACGTCGTGTGTAGCTCCCATCTTCCAACTTGGATGAATGGTCTAAGAGAAGCACAGGCAACAAATGTGAGAGGGTATAGGATAACTGTTTGTGTTGCAACTTGAGGAGAGATCTGGTGAGTAAACCGGTGATGGGGCCCTTAAAGGCTTGAATTTGTCCAGATTCAATCAGTAGCCGTCTAGATTCTTATACTACCTAGGAGTACATTATGGCAGCTGGGTCTTGTGGTCTCCACATAATCACTGCAAACAATTAGCTGTTCCATTGTGACTGCTACGTTCTAGGAAGCACCGTCATTCTTTTCCTATTCGATTGTAAGGAATGCTCATCTTCATTCTTGTGAGCCCCATAGACCTATTAAATAGATATTCTGGGTGTAATACTTGCGCATGAAACTGCCCTTGATTGATTCAAACCATAATAAATCGATGACCACTCGCCAGTAATACAAGCTTGATGACTACCACTCGCTTGTAGGTAGCGGAAAGGATCCTAGAACTGAAGGAAGAGCAATCATAGACCACAAGGTACCTATTTAGAGCAAGGATCTCTCACCGCTACTCATCTCCTGTGCATGAAATCTGTTGTAGGCAGGCATATCTCTAGCTGAATGTAAAGTACAAACAAGGGATAACAGGAAAGCAAGGGGATCCGCTGCATTCTCCGTGGCAGCATATATTACAGAGACAGAATAAGCCAAGACTATATGACCATCAAATAATCGCACATTGCCATTTATTTAGAATATCAATATGAGATACCGGAGCTAGGAAGCATCCAGAATCCTTAATCCTGCAAGCCGATACATCTTGGCAGATCCTGTCAAGTTCTAATCTTCCCAATATGACGCACGAGAAGCCTCTCGCAAGCCCGAGTTCATCGCCGCTCCAGATGCTCAGCCGAACATTCAATTTTGCTAGCGAAGACGAAGCAAAATGGTGGGCTAATACGGCTCCAATGTTCGCAAAAATGTTGATTAAAGCAAATTACGATGTGCACCGGCAGTACAGGTTTCTGTGTCTCCATCGCGAGTTCGTTATCCCTGCTCTGGGTCCCTATCCCCAGCCAGGAAAGCCATTGAGGTGGAAAAGCATGCTCACTCGCTTTGGACTTCCTTTCGAGCTGAGCTACAACTATTCGAAATCTCTTGTTCGCTTTGCTTTTGAGCCTATCGGAGAGCACGCAGGCGCCGATAATGATCCGTTCAATACCAAGGCAATTGGCAAAGTTTTGCAAGGGTTCGGCACCATCCTCCCTGGCCTTAACATGGAATGGTATAATCGATTTGCCGAAGAATTGACCATCTCAGACGATGAAGCGGAATTGGCTCGCAACACCACTGTCCCATTCAGAACGCAAAGCATTATCGCCGCGGACATGGATCCGAATGGGGACATTCTACTCAAAGCATATTTTTACCCCAGAATCAAGTCGGTGGTCACCGGAAAATCCAAGGAAAAATTGATTTTTGACACGGTCCGCAGAGTTGACTATGATGGTGAGCTCGAAGGTCCATTATCGGCGTTGCAGGAGTTCCTGGCTTCAAGAGGCTCAGGCGCAGGCAATGCACCTATAGCCCATTTCTGCTCATGTGATCTCCTTCGGCCACCGGAGGCACGAATCAAGATATACTGCTACGAGACTGAGCTTGACTACGAATCCCTGGTCAGTGACTGGACGTTGGGTGGAAGACGTAAGGAACCCCAGACAGCAGCTGGACTTGAACTGCTCAGGGAGCTATGGGACTTGCTCCGAATCTCAGAAGGCCATTGTGACGGCCCTTCTGGTTTCCATGAGCTTGGTACCTCACCCGAAGAACGTCTCCCCTTTATCGTCAACTTCTCGCTTTCTCCGGGTAATCCTCTCCCTGTGCCCCAGATATACTTCCCAGTGTTTGGATTGAACGACAAATCCGTTGCAAATGCTTTAGAAGCATTTTTTCAACGTGTGGGCTGGACAAACCTGGCGGAATCGTATATGCTGGATTTGCAGGAATACTAGTAAGTCTGGGGTAACAGAAACATTGGAAACCTATCTAACGGGTACCTAAGCCCTGATGAGAATCTAGAAGCCACTAAACATCTTCAAGCCTGGGTATCATTCTCTCTCAAAGCGGGAGAGCCTTACATAAGCGTTTACAAGTACAGTTATGGGGCCTTCGAGAAGCATCCAGGAAACTGAGGCGTATATGGATTTCTTCCCGAGCTAGGGTAAAATGTTTAGAAAGATATGTATACAATTACAGGATGTTACTAGTTAACACAATAGCCGAGTTTGTCAAAGTCCAACATCAGTAACCCGGCCCAGATGGCCCGACTCTGTGGACTGCTCACTCTGCCACGGCATCGGTCGACAGCCATCTTAGCAGGGGAGTATTAGTAAGTGATTTCATTACTATCTGAGCGGCTGTCGATTTAAAATAGCCAATTGCTTTACGTTGGGGCGAATACGGTCGCCTCTTCTGGATGTACCTAAGCAATTGGGAATTTAAGAACATTTGACGCCTTACTGACGGCCGCGAGCTGGCCCAACACTGGGCGCATGGCTTTTGTGTTGAATGGATCGGCTGTGGTGCCGGTCAGCAGGCCCAGGGGCTCAAAAGCGAACCGCACGAGGAACTTGGAGTAATTGAAGCTTAACTCGAAGGGGAGACAAAAGCGGGTCAAGGTGTTCTGCCAGCGTTTGGTCTTGTCGGTGCCTGTACCCTTGGCAGGATAGTGGCCGAGCGTGGGATGACAAACTCGCGGTGCAACACAAGGAAGCGGTACCGCGCATTGAGGTCATATTTGGCGCCAGCTAGGGAGTGCAGCGAACATCGGAGCAGTGCTGTGGCACAATTTCGCCTCGTCCGCGCTGTTGAAACGGAAGCTCTTGCTGAGGACTCGGAAAGGGAGAATCTGCGAATCCATTGTACTGCATTCTTCAGTTACAATTGCTTGGATTGTTTCGAGTGCAATGGAAGGGATCTAAGGCGTGTTTTCGCCCTGATATGCGGCGTCATGGACCGGATTTTCAAATAGCTACCCCAACATTAGGTCTTAGGCACGTTACTTGCAATGCATCTGGATCTCGCAAACCTAGCTGCTCGCTGCTCACGCCCTCACTATGCCACGGTTGCCACCACAACTGAGTTCACCTCATTTTTTTCACTGCAATATGCAAGGGGGAATGGAATCAGACACAAGGGACGCGCTGCTGAGGTTAGAAATCAGGTCCTACAGAGCCATAGTTCCGGATCCAAATTCAGAAGAGGTTTTTCGTTTTTCTTTGCTGTCATATCCAAAGATAAGCATAAGACACACGATGTAACCAAAAAAAACAAGCTTAATATTTCCGCTATCAGATTATCTGAGTATGAGGCGCTTTACAGTGCGGTGAGGAGCATATGTAGAGCTCATCTGCCTGAAGGGAGTTACGCTACAGTGTATTTCAAGGATCGACTTACGGTTTTACCAGTGATTTAGTGTATTCGCTTACAACTTGGCACCACTACTTACCCGAGTCTGAGGAATGTGGTTTATTTGAGGTTGTCAGCACAGTCGTCGGCAATGGAAGGGATCATACAAGACATGCATTCAAACACGTAGCAGACGTAAGGGGGTTTCAGGGTAGTACTGAGGGCCCAAAAGTATGCTTCCAGCGAATCCAATCTCATTTGGAGAGAGGGTACTAGCTTGACAAATAGGCCCATGCCCGCAAAAAGGCTCTGATGACCTGGTCATAAGCACAGCGTAAGGTATATAGTGATCCATGAAGACGGGTTTTCAGGCAAGCGTTCAAATCGTATGCCATTGAGTCTGACTCCTCGAAAAGGAAGACTTTTGATTGCTGTACAATCATATTAAGACCCTATATCCATAGACGGCGATGACTTCATGTGATGCTCATATCCACTCAGGTGCTAGGAAAAACGCCATGAAAGAACCCATTGCTATTGTAGGCACTGCCTGCCGTCTTCCGGGCGGCGCCATCTCCCCTTCAAGGCTCTGGGAGCTTCTCCAGGATCCTCGCGACGTCCTGAGCAAATGCAAGCCCGATCAATTAAATATCACCAACTTTTACCATCCCAACGGTGACCATCATGGCTGCACAGATGTCCCTAATCAATCTTACCTCCTGGAAGGAAACATCCGCCACTTCGATGCCTCCTTCTTCAACATCAGTCCGGCCGAAGCGGACGGGATGGACCCTCAGCAGCGAATCCTACTTGAGACGACCTATGAAGCCATGGAGGCGGCGGGGTACACGCTGGACCAACTGCGTGGCTCCCCCACAGCCGTCTTCGTCGGCGTGATGACCTCTGATTACCATGATATCCAGACGCGCGACCTCGACACAATCGGCAGATGGCATGCCACGGGAACAGCTCCAAGTATCCTCTCCAACAGAATCTCATATTTCTTTGATCTGAAGGGTCCATCAATGACGATCAACACCGCATGCTCAAGTTCACTGGTTGCACTCCACCAGGCGGTCCAGAGCTTACGTATTGGCGAAGCAACTGTCGCGATTGTGGCGGGTGTCAACCTCCTATTGGATGCTGGCACCTACGTCAGTGAGTCTAAACTCCACATGCTGTCTCCCACGTCCCGCTGTCGAATGTGGGATGCGGATGCAGACGGCTATGCGCGTGGGGAGGGATGCGCGTCGGTCATTCTGAAGCCTCTGAGTCGGGCTCTGGCTGATGGCGATGATATCGAATGCATTATCAGGGGCACGGGAGTCAACTGCGATGGCCGCTCCGCAGGAATCACGATGCCGAACCCGGAGGCACAGGCTGCCTTGATCAAGCGGGTATATGAGGATTGCGACCTAGACCCCGTCCGGGATCGCTGCCAGTATTTTGAATGTCATGGGACGGGGACACCGGCCGGCGACCCCGTGGAAGCTGAGGCTATTCAACGCACATTTTTCCCGGAAGGCACCTCGTTCCCAACTGAGGAGAAGCTCTATGTGGGATCGATAAAAACGACTGTCGGGCATCTTGAAGGTTGTGCCGGTCTCGCGGGGCTTCTCAAGGCAGTCTTGTCTATCAAGCATCGGACCATCGCTCCGAATATGCACTTTGCCAAACTCAACCCAAACATTCTCCCCTTCTACGATCATTTGGAAGTTCCCACCCAAGCTGGTCCGTGGCCATCTGTGGCAAGCGGAGATTCATTGCGTGCCAGCATCAATTCATTCGGCTTTGGAGGAACAAACGCTCACGCCGTCATCGAGAGTTTTCCATCTCCCACGCCACCAAATCATGTGCCAGGACCCTCTGGGGACGTTGTGGTTGGACCCCTGGTCTTCTCGGCCATCACACAAAAATCACTGCTACTGAACGTCAAGAACGCGGCCTCATTCATCAAAACCAACCCATCATTGGACATCAATGACCTCGCATGGACGCTTAGCACCAAGAGAAGTGCGCTACCCCTCAAAATCTCCTTCACAGGCTCTACCCGGGAGGAACTCTTAGGTTGCATGGATGGAACAGTCCAAGCAGTGGAAGCAAGCCCAGACATCGACTTCGGTATACGCACGTGCAGAAGCACAAACGAGGCAGGAAGGATCTTGGGTGTGTTTACAGGGCAGGGTGCGCAATGGGCAAGCATGGGAGTAGACCTCATTCAATCATGCCAGACATTCTATGAATCAATCCATCGCTGCGAACAGGCCCTGGCTGGCCTCCCCGATAGGCCTTCCTGGTCTTTGGTTGATGAACTTCGAGCTGACAAAAGATCTTCGAAACTGTCAGACGCCGCGTTGAGTCAACCTCTGACCACTGCTATTGAAATTGCAGTCCATGATTTACTCAATGCCGCAGGCGTGCATCTGGACATCGTGGTAGGCCATTCTTCAGGGGAAATTGCGGCGGCGTATGCGGCAGGAATCCTATCCCTAGACGACGCAATGAAGATCGCTTATTACCGTGGAATGCATGCAAAACCGGCAACGTCATCGCAGCAGAGCGGGGGGATGATAGCGGTTAGCATCTCTTATGACGATGCGAGGGCATTCTGCGCCCAGCCTTCGTTTTCCCAGCGGCTGGTCGTGGCCGCCAGCAATGCTCCGACTAGTGTGACCTTATCAGGTGATCTGGATGCAATCTATGAAGCCAAACGAGCCTTTGAGCAAAAAGGGACGTTCGCCAGGATTTTGAAGGTGGATGTCGCGTATCATTCGCACCACATGAGGCCCTCTGCGGAGGCGTATCTTGCGTCTCTGGAGGCCTGCAAAATCCAGCTCCGTCAACCAGAGACGGACTGTATGTGGGTCTCGAGTGTCACGGGCGCCGCAGTCTGTCTGGATGATGACACTATACCCTCCCTTGCTGGGCGGTACTGGGTAGAGAACATGCTACAACCCGTACTCTTTTCGCAGGCAATCCAGCAGGCGGTCAATCGGGTGTCTTTCGATATTGGCATCGAGGTAGGACCGCACCCTGCACTCAAAGGCCCGGTCTTAGAAACAATAAAGTTGGCGATTGGCAGTGACATCCCGTATTTGTCTATCTTGAAGCGGGGTGTTCCTGACGTAAACGCTGCATCGTCGGCCATGGGTTGCTTGTGGCAGCATCTGGGTCCTGGCGCAGTCAACCTTGGGGGATACCATCGCGCTTTCGGTTCCAGGACCCCAAGATTGCTAAAGGATCTACCGGGATACGCATGGGATTATGGCATGGAATACGGCAGGGAATCTCGCGTTTCGCGGCGGTATCTTCAACAAGGAATGCGACCACACCCACTCTTGGGCCGCCGAGCACCAGATGATTCTGACCTGGAGATGCGTTGGAGGAATATCCTGCATTTACAAGAACTTCCTTGGCTACAAGGGCTCAAATACAAGGGCCAGGTCCAATTTTCGTCGTCGTGCTATCTTTTGCTCGCGTTCGAGGCAGCCCTTTCTGCAGCTGGGGGACAATCAGTGGCGCTCGTCGAGATTGAGGACTTGAGCATCAAACAGTCAGTAACGCTCGAGGAAGATGGACCTGGTTTTGAATGTATAACTTCGTTGAGAGTCGTGCACGAGAACCACCAGAGGATTCGAAAGCAATGTGTTGAGGCCGATTTCGCCTGTTATGGATGTCCCGTAGATGGCGCATCACTGGACCGTTTATGTACCTCGAGAGTGATTCTTCACTTCGGGCCCCCCTCCGTAAACGAGCTGCCAGGAAAACCACCCAACCGCCGAGACCTCGTCCCTGTAGAAGTCGAGACCATGTACGGAGTGTTCCAGCGGCTGGGCCTCAACTACAATGGACCATTCCGTGAAATCGATGCGTTAAGACGAACACAGGATTACGCCACGGCGTCTGCTTGCTGGTCTGATGAAGCTCCATTGGCAGAGTATATATGGCATGCGGCAACGTTTGAGATTGCCTCGCAGGTTCTCCTAGCCGCGTTCGCTTCGCCGTTGAGTGATATATTGCGGACTGGCTATCTACCCGTCGGGGTCCGTCGAGTCGCCCTAAACCCGCATCTGTCGCCTCAAAGTGTCCCAAAAGACGCCAGATTTTACCTTCATGCGACTGTGACCGCGTCCTGTGCGAGTCACATCGAGGGCAACGTTTCTTTTTACAATGCCGACGGACACTCCCTGTTTCAAATCGAGGGTCTGACGCTCAACACCATTGAAAAACCAAGTCCTGCAAACGACCGCAGACCTTTTTCTCATGTCGTTTGGGAACCTGATGCATTCTTCTGTCCTGTACCACTGGACGCATGCTTGGGTGAGGAAATTACTGAGCTAATGGCTGTTTTGGAGAGAACAGCCCTGTTTTATTGCCAGAGAACTCTGGATGAGATTGACATATCCGAAGCATCCGGATTCGATTCCCACCAGAGGCTTCTCTATGATGAGATCCTACGAGTGGTCGACGCTGTCGAAAGCCACCAGCATCCTAGCGCCAATCCCGGCTGGCTCGATGATACCAAGGACACCATCTTGGATTTGTACCACCGCTTCCCCAGGCAGCCTGAGCTTGACGCGCTGCATGCAGTTAGTAAGTCGTTGCCAGCAATTCTACGTCGTGAGGCAGATCAGGTCAAGTTACTTACAGAGCACGAGATACTTGGCCGTGCATATCACGAGGGAGCCATCTTTGCTCCCATGCATAAAACCCTCTGCAAAATTATCAAACGTATCCACCATAAACATCCACATATGAACATATTCGAGATCGGGTCAGCGAGCAAGGCATCCACCACTCTCGGGGTATTGAATGTCATCGGTGGCGCATACGCCTCATACTGCTTTACTGACAAGTCCAAAGAACTAGTCGAACAAGCAGCTTACAAAATGAGAGATTTTTCGGAGAATATGGCGTTCAGAGTTGTGGATGTCGAAAAGAACCTGGCCAATCAAGACTGTGAGACCGGAAAGTACGACCTCGTCATCGCCGCTCATGGGCTTCATGCGACGAATGATCTTTCCGAAGTACTGCACAATATCCGTACATTGTTAAAGCCAGGTGGCTATCTTGTCCTTCTGGCGGCGACAGGTAAAAGCAATATTTCAAGGCTCCTGATGCGTCTCATAGGTTTCCTGACCGGACCCGGTCTTTCTCTTGAGGAATGGGACAAATGTTTACGTTCCGCCGGACTCTCGGGCGTAGATGGCGTTATCCATCATTTGCCAGATGCAACGAAAAGTTGCTTATCTGTGCTTGTCTCACAAGCGTCTGATGACACGGTGATGATGCTTCGGGAGCCAGCGATGTTAATGAAATTGGTGCCCATTTCCAAACCGGTCTTGATCATCGGGGGCAATACCTTATCCGTGTCTCGCCTCGTACAACAGATCGAAAGAGCGTTGGCCGCGTCAAGCATCACTGCTCAAGTCGTTGAAAGCCTCACTTGTCTGGATGCTGTGCATCTCCAGGAAGCAATCTCAGTCATTGTGGCGATAGAACTCGACAGGCCCATGCTGTCGGAGTCAGACATTCTCATCAAGTCACCAAGCATACAGGAACTATTTCAGAAGTCCCGTGATGTATTGTGGCTCACAGCTGGACGCCTATCCGGACAGAATAATATGCCTGGAACGGGAGGCATACTGTTTTCCGAATACACCAGAGCCAATGTCCAATTACTTGATGTCGCGGATGTCAGCTTACTGAATCCAAAGGTGGTGGTTGATGCCTTTCTGCGCCTATCCTGGTCTCAAAATGGCAAATTCACGAAGGAGAACATACTATGGACTCATGAGTCACAAGTACATTATGACGGAAAGATATTACGCATTCCTCGACTGGTCTTCGATCATCAACGGAATCAACGATATAACGCGGGACGCCGACGAATTACCAGAGAGGTCTACCTTGACGAGGCTCTAGTGGAGTTGAAAGTGGCTTCCTCCGGAGGATCCGATACTTTGATGCTAAATCAAGCCCCCACTTACTCTCCAGCGGAAGGAATCCTATCTGTAAACATACGATATTCCATTTCCATCCTCTTCTCAGGTGGACAACAGTACCTCCTGTGGCTTAGTGACAGGCATGATGACCAGCCAAACTTGATGGGCATCTCGGGCCAAGGCTGTTCGCTTATTCAGGTGAAGCCGGACGATGCGGCCTTGATTGATGAGGAAGTGACGCCAGACTTATTGCGCAGAATAGCTAGCTACATCGTTGCTCGTACGCTAGCAATTAGCACACCATCTAATGGGACTGTTTTGTTCCATGAACCGCACATAGATCTAGCTGCAGCGATTCAAACTAGTGCTTATTGGCAGGGACGACGATTCTATTTTACAACATCGCGCTCTACCCACGCAGGAGGAGCAGGGATACAACTTCACCCTCGGATGACGCGTTGCGATCTTGAAAAGGCCCTGCCGAGCGATGTGTCCTCTTTCTGTGATCTTTTCTCTGCTTCCGAGGGTCGACTAGGGGCTACATTGAGCGACAAATACCGGAGAATCAAACTGAAGCTTGATGTTTTCGAACGTCACCTGGCATCCTTTAACCCACGGGAGCTGATCTTGGAGGCTTATACAGACGCTAAGCATAGATTTCAAGAACCGGGGGGTTCACCAAGGGTTATCTCAATAGGCGAGCTCAGTGAATCACGCTCTTCCATATGTGCATACCCTACTGTTGTGGAGTGGACACAATCAGAGAAGATAATAATTCGGTGTCCGCCTCTTGATTGCAGCATTTTATTCTCGCCGCACGAAACCTACTTGATGGTCGAAATGGTATCACCACTCGGACTTTCCATTACCCAGTGGATGGCGCAGCACGGTGCCCGAGTAATTGTCCTCGCCGGTAGAAGCCGCCCTCGACCCAATTCGGCATGGCTAGAGGAGATGTCGGCCCTAGGAGCCTCCGTGGAGCTTGTCGAAATGGACGTGCTGCATCGTCGGTCCGTCACATCAGCCTGTGCGGAAATCAGCCGTGTCCTGCCAACTATCTCTGGAGTCTGCTATGGAGCCATGGGATTGTCTAGCGAGATAATGAATAACATGGCCAACGACGATACAGAGGAGATGCTCAACGCTAATATTAAAGGGGCATCAAATCTTGACGCAGTTTTCTCAAAGCCCACGCTGCGGTTTTTCATTCTTCTTTCCACATTGGACACAGTTGTAGGAGAACCTACACGGCCGAATGCCCGAGCAGCGAGCTCCTTCATGTCTGGGCTCGTGCACCAGCGTAGGATAAGGGGACTAGCCGCCTCAATGCTATACATCGGGATGGCAATCGATATTGGACCTGCTTCAAGGCGCAAAAGGGAAGAAATTGCCCTCATGGCTGAAAGTGGCTACGCTCCACTCACCCAGACGGATATACAACACGCATTTGCCGAAGCGATCCTTGCCAGCGATCCAGGCTGTTCTGAGGATCCTGAGATCATTGTCGGACTGAAACCGTTCAAGCGGTTCGTCAATAACGAGAAGCATCCAGGACCAAATCTTGAGCCTCTCCTCTCTCATTTCATTGTCCATGATGGAGCGCCGCCACAGCCTCAACGGCAACAACAGGATATTCCGTCATCTCTCAGCCTCCGCCAACAAATCCAAGATGTTTCATCACAAGACGAGGCTTTCGAAATACTCCTGCAGCGCTTTTCGACCAAGGTGGAATCGATGCTTCGGCTACACGCCAGCAAGCTGGACATAGATATCCCACTTCTCGACCTCGGGTGTGACTCAGTCCTCGGGCTCGAGATCCGCAGTTGGTTTCTGGCTGAGATTGAAATTGACCTTCCCGCAATAAGTGCCTTGCATGGTACCGTGGCTGAGCTTTGCAAAGACGCTGTCTCGATATTCTGGGAGAAGAACTCGAGAGAACGCCTTCGCGAGGAAACGGAAAACATGTCAACATCGACCACGGAGTCAACACTGGGCCTCGGCGACAACAGTAGCAGTTCTGATCCAGCAATGGCGTCCATAGCCACACTTTCGGCTTCTCCTCCGATAACTCCCAGTGTTGAGCTATCGGCTGGATCGAAACCGGCTGTGCCAGTGGCTAGGCAGTTCCAACGCGTGGAGCACGTGTCTCCCTCTCAATTAGAAATGTGGCTTTCAGGGCTCTACATGGAGGATGCGACGCAGAACAACGTCGTCCTTTCCTATCGGGTTCGAGGTACATTTCAGCCTGCACGGTTCGAAAGAGCCTTGACCCAGGCTGTGGCGCGCCACGAGTCAATGCGAACCGCCTTCTTTGCCGATCCCGCGAGCGGAGACTTGTTGCAAGCGGTATTAGAGCAGCCCCTGCCATTCTTCGAACACGTCACGACATCTGATCCGGCGCTTGTATCACAAGAGTTTTCCAGTGCTGCCTCTCGGAAGTGGGACCTGGAGCACGGAGAGACATTTCGGGCTACAGTAGTCTCTGTCTCCCCGGATCAGCATACGGTGATCTTCAGTTACCATCATATCATCATGGACGGGGTTAGCTGGGCTGTCTTCCTGCGAGATGTCAGTAGTTTCTATGAATCAGCCACCCCTCGGTCGGATCCCAGCCAGTATATCGAATATGCTGTGCTGCAGAATCGAGCCATCCGCGAAGGGTCCTTCGTCCGGGAGCTTGACTACTGGAAGCAGGAGCTTTTGCCACTGCCAGATGTGATGCCCCTGCTTCCCATGGCGCGAGTTAAATCCAGGTCGCCGACGGATAACTTCACAGCACATGCAACATCACGAGAGATTGGAAAGGATTTGGCGGATAGGATTCGAAAGTCAAGCCAAACGCTCCGCGGGACGGCGTTCCATTTCTATCTTGCCACCATGCAGGTCCTCTTCGCGCGACTGCTGAACATCGAGCAGATGTGCATCGGCATGAGCGACGCCAACCGTACGAATGACCAATTTCGTGAAACTGTCGGCTATTTCGTCAATATTTTGCCCCTCCGCCTGTGTGTCGGTGCCGATGATCGATTCGCGCAGGTCTTCCAGCGGACATCGCAAAAGGTGCTCTCGGCATTATCGTATTCCGCGGTGCCCTCAAGTGCTGTCCTCGATAGCCTCACCGTCCCACGAACAGCTACCCACACACCGCTTTTCCAGGTTGCAATCAACTATCGCGTCGATGAGATAACTCGAATGTCCGTGGCGGATTTTGAGCTCGAGTATGACCGTAGCGTTATGGGCAATGCCCCCTACGATGTGTCCTTCCATATCACACCCAGAGCATCCGGCACCTGCATATTGGAGATCATCTGCCGGGATTACCTGTACACGCAGGATGCTGCAGAATCGCTCCTCTCTCTGTATGTGAAACTCATTGAGCAATTTTCTTTTGATTCGTCGTTGCCCGTTCACGAGTGTACAACCTCGCTGTATTCACCGGCTCAGGAAAACCATGATAACTGTCTATCAATCAGACGTGGTCCGCGATTCTCGCATTCTTGGCCGGTGACCTTGCCCGGTAGATTCCAAATGATGGTCGAGATGTTCGGGGAAAACCTGGCCATCGTAGATCAGGCCGGACAGTACAGCTACGCGCAGCTGGCCGCTCACACCAGCCGGATCGCCAACGTCTTGCGGAGCAGAGGAGTGGGCGACAAGTCGTATGTAGCTGTCTTGTGCGAGCCTTCATTTCAGGCGGTGGCGAGTTTGCTTGCCATTCTTCACATCGGAGCTATTTACGTTCCTCTGGATTTAAGTATCCCTGCAGCAAGACATGCGGCGATGATTGAAGCTTCAGAGGCCGGTGTCATCATCTGTTCTCCTTTCACCTTTGAGAAAGCACAAGAACTGGCGCGTACGACGCCTGGTATGGTGGTTGTTGATGCAGTGGAAGAGGCACGCTCCACGGATGCGCCCATAGAGCATCGGGGCACTGGGGCAGAACCATCAATCCTTCTATACACAAGCGGCTCAACAGGCCGTCCCAAGGGAGTCATCTTACAGCAAGCCGGGCTCATCAATTACCTGGCCGCAAAGGCGGACGAACTCTCCCTCGACAATACAATCACCGTGCTGCAGCAGAGCTCGCTGGGATTCGACATGGGCCTGGCACAGACCCTCAACGCCATCATGAATGGTGGCAAACTGATTATCGTGCCCCAATTATCCCGTGGCGATCCTGTGGAGCTCGCTAAACTGATCCGCAAGGAGAAAGTGAGCTTCACGCTGGCCACTCCGTCTGAGTATCTAGTAATCCTGCAACATGGTGGGGAGTATCTACGGGACTATGGCCTCTGGAGACATGCGTGCCTTGGCGGCGAGCCCTTCACGGATCGCCTGAAACAGGAGTTTGCTCAGCTCGGCGCACGCTGCCCAATCGTCCAGGATTCGTACGGTGTGACAGAAATTTCCGCGTGCACGACGTTCCAGACTATGACCGCGTCCCAGTTAGAGAACACTTATAGCGTTGGCAGGACAATCCCCAACACATCTATCTACATATTAAATAAAGAGGGCAACCCCGTTGATATCGGATCGCCCGGTGAAATCTGCATTGGTGGCGTTGGCGTCGCTCTCGGTTATTTGAACCCGGACCAAGCTCAGCTGAAGAAATTCGTTGACGATCCTTTCGCGTTGCAGGAGGATATCTCACGAGGCTGGACTCGAATGTACCGTACAGGCGACAGGGGTCGTCTGCTGGATAATGGATCGTTGATTCTGCTCGGCCGCATGGATGGAGACACGGAGATTAAGCTTCGCGGGCTCCGTATTGACTTGGAGGATGTCGCATCAACTCTGGTCAATAGTGCCTCAGATCTGCTGTCGTCGGCAGTTGTCTGTGTCAAGGGGAAGGGTGACGAGGCTGTACTCGTTGCCTATGTCGCTCTTGTTCCAGGGCGGATGGCCACCGACGAGGAGCTTCAGCATCTCGCAGGCAGTCTCCCCTTGCCGCAGTACATGTGTCCGGCCTTCGTGGTGCGCCTAGACTATATGCCGCGGAATCCAAACGGGAAAATCGATAGAAAGGCAATTGAAGCCCTGCCCCTCCCATGTGCAAGTACGAGTACCAGCATCTCTACCATCTTCAGTAGCCAGGTCAACAAACGAGACGGTACAAGCACTGGCGGTCCGTCGTCCGTCCCGCGACTGCTGACCCTGGACGAAGGGGAAGTGAAACTTCTGTGGCAGTCAATTCTGCCGGGCAGCCCATCCGTGTATCCCCATTCGGACTTTTTCATGCTCGGCGGGAACTCGCTGTCGTTGGTCAAACTGCAAGCTGCAATTAGAACGTCAATCGGTGTGGCCGTAACGCTGCGGGAGCTGTATGCCGGCAGCACGCTTGCCAGCATGGCGTCTTTGATCGGTACCAGAAAGGCCGAGAATCCCTCGGCAGCCATCAACTGGCTACAGGAAACGGCCGTGCCTGATAGCGTTCTTCATGCGACGACGGCGGATATGCCTCAACTGTCCCGCAAAGCCGGGTACGAGATCCTCCTGACTGGATCGACAGGTTTTCTCGGAGCGACACTCCTACAAGCACTGCTGGACATACCTGCCGTCCTCCGAGTCCACTGTATAGCCGTGGAGAAGGGACAGGAGACACTTCTTCCCAACGATGACAGGGTCCCTGTGTACCACGGCAGTCTCCTGGACCCAAATCTAGGTCTGTCTCCGGCCGAGATCGACAACTTACAAACTCGAATCCACGTCATAATCCATGCCGGTTCCAACGGCCACTGTTTGAACAGGTACAGCTCCCTACGCGCGCCAAATCTCTTCTCCACACACTTTCTCGCCACCTTCGCCCTGCGCAGCGGGATCCCGCTTCACTACGTCTCATCGGGCCGCGTCATCTTACTTTCTGGGCGGACGTCCCTCGGGCCGATCTCGGTCTCCGCGTCATACCCACCGGTAGACGGCTCGGAGGGTCTTACAGCGACAAAATGGGCGAGTGAGGTATTCCTTGAGCGACTTCTGCAACAGGTCCAGGGCAGCTCGGCCATACCTGTGTATATCCATCGCCCCTGCACTGTTATCGGTGAGAACGCACCGCAACATGACGCGCTAAACTCGCTCCTGCGCTACTCGCGTAGTCTGGGTGCGACCCCGCAGCTGAACAATATGGATGGGTATCTGGATTTCCAGCAGGTGGAAGTTGTTGCAGAAAAGATGGCCTCGCGGATCATGACTAGTCTCGATGTGTCTGCGCCTATCGGGTCTGTTACCTTCTTTCATTACTCGAGTAACGTTAAGGTCCCGGTGAAGAGCTTTAAAGAATATATGGAGAAGGTACATAATCAGCCGTTTGGGGAGCTTGCGCTGAGTGATTGGTCTGTCAGGGCAATAGAGCTGGGGATCGAGCCGCTAATTCCGTCGTTCCTGGAAGCGGTGGCAGAGAATGAAGAGATCATGCTCTTCCCGTATTTAGGGGAGTGAAGAATGATTCTAGTGGGTCATAGCATAGTGTACTCGTTATGTGCATTCTACTTGAATGAAACCTGGTCAGTCCTTGGCCGTAGAATTTTCCTGGCGAAGAGGGAATTCATTAGATGTTATAAATCATGGTCAAGCTACTTTGGCATGCTGGTTGAAACCATAAACGCGAACCGGATGACCAAAGATCTATACATCACTTGGGAGAGTACCCTGATCATGCGTACATCACCTTCAGAATATCCACAGCTTTTCTTGATTTCCCTATGCTCTCTGGCCTCTTTTTCTTCCGTATCAGTCCAGTGAACGATCAAAGTGCCTTACTACCCAGATTGCATGACCTCCAATTTCATGTGATCTGCCTAGTGAGTAATTATGAAGTTAGCTGGCCCTGATACCTATGGACGTGATGAGATACAGTAGATGTGCAGCGGCGGCGTTATCTCGAACGCAACATCTCTTTGTGATAGTGTTGTCAATTTTTACATCAGTTCCTGACTGTAGGGTCAGTCTGCTTTTTCTTGAAGTTCTCTTTTGAGGCCATGGTGTTTCTGTCCCTGAACTGACGAGGAACTCACTTTCAGTTATAGTCTACAGATCATGCAAAAGCCTTCATCCTTGGTACGATCGCGCGAAGGGCTTCGTCTTCTGCAGGACGTCCAGTCTGAACCTGATCCCCGCATACTCGCAGAAATGAAAAGACTTCAGGAGCTGCAAAGAATGACGCTAGCCGAATGGGAGTGTTCATGTTAATGACTTGAGTGTCTACATAATATAGCTACCCAACGACCTCTTCTCGCCCGTTTACTGTAGTCCTCTTTCATTACTAAAGATGCTCTACTCTAGCTCTGTTAAGTATCCTTCTCTAGATAGGCATTGGGATCATAACCTTGCTGCTTATAAGTTAATAGCAACACTCTTTCTTCTTGCTTTATAGGCAGCCTTTTAGGCAGCCTTCTGAGCTTCTGAAAGGCCGGCTATACTAGAAGACTAAAACAAAAACAAACGTGGCAATAGAGCATTATATCAGGGTAAGTAGAGTATAATTAACAGAGGACCTAGAAAGTTGAAGCCTTCCCATTGGTAAGCTTAGGATTCAGTCCATATATAAAGCTAGTTTCTTCCTGAGCGAACCATACAGCTGAGCTTTCAGCGCCAGGCTAACAAGCTAAGCGGATTTAACCATGTAAGCAACAGGCCATCTAAGCCACTTGTCTAAAAAAATAAGCAATATAGAGGAATGAAGCAAAAGCACAATGGCCAGTGAATAGCCAGAACTCGCCCATCAAAGCTTGCCGTTCCGAGTAGCGCCTTTCGGAATCCCCCACTGCGAAATATCCTCATTCGTCCTGCCATCGACTGCCAACTCCGCCAGCACACGACCAAAAGCAGGGGCAAACTTGAACGCATGCGCAGCCCCCAAACCAACTATGATATCCGGATAATTTTCCAACGGGCTTATGATGAAGCGTCGATCAGGAGTGATCGTATACTGACAAGTAATCGTGCGAAGCGGTTGGCGATCCTTGTCGGGGATGAAGCCATTCATGAAGGATGTCAGCTCCTCAAGCAGTTGCGGCGAGTGCACGAACGTGCGCTGCTCCGGCGTCATGAGATTGTTGGAATAATCCCGGCCAGCCTTGATAGTCGGCTCGCCGTAGCACGGGAATCCGTAGAAGCAATTGGCACCGTACCAGATCCAGACGGGGAATCGGTCGGGCTCAAATGCGGCGGAGTTGGTGGGCTTGAAGTATGTTACTTGCTCTTGCATAACTGTCACGGGGATGTGTACGGACAAGGGAGCGAGAAGCTTATTGATCCATGCGTCTGTTGCGAGGATCACCTTGCCTGCTTGGAATCGTCCTTTGGGGGTCTCGATAATGACACCGCCGGAGACTTGTGGGGTAAGGCGTTCCACTGGGGCGTTGTCCTTTAAAATGGCGCCGTGGGAACGCGCCAGAGACTGCAGCGTGCTGACGGTCTTTGCAGCGTGGGCGACACCCGAGTCGGCTGTGTACACTGTAGATACGCCGTCGGGGATATTGAACTGAGGCCATCGACTCTTCACCTCCTGGGCATCGAGCAGCTCATACGGAACATTGTGAGTATCTAGACTTCTCGCAAAGTCGCTCGCTGATGTTGGTGAATCCGGAGCGAAGAAGACCACGCCGCCGGTGGTCGTCAACATCTCGTAGCCCGTAACTTTTTCCAGCTCGGCCCAGTCCTTGTAGGCTGATTTGGCCAACGCCACATATTCGGGGGCAAAATTCGAAGTGCGCACAATACGCGAAGTATCATGGGAAGCGCCGCGCACATGGCCCAGCTCGAACTGCTCGAATGCAATCACTTTGGCGCCCTTTTTGGCAGCATAGTACGCCGCTCCGCTTCCAAGGACGCCGAGTCCGACAACTGCGACATCAAAATGTTCCATTTTCTTTCTCCGGCTGTTCCGGGTATCTGTCAAAAAACATATGCAATCCCACCAGGTGCATCATGAGTTGGACTCGCTTTTATGGGTTACATGATCCCCTCTTTACCACAGATGCCAGCATACCGGCCCGTCCACGTGACTCAATTACTGCAGAGACGGATCAAACTCCCTTCTGATTACTAGGCGGAATAATCGATGATAAGGATGAACTAGATAGATGTAGAGCGGAACAGCATGGGTACCGATCTTGGTCACTTGCAGTCGGCGTTGATTCCTTGCCCCCGTCATAGATACGATCAGGTGATCGGGCAGTTCTCCGCTCCCCGCTCTCTCCCCGATCACTTGATCGGATATCAAAATGACTTCCGATGAGATCATGCGGGTGGAGCTGTGATGTTGATCGAGTTCGCTGCTTTTTATTACTGGTATTCCGAGTGGTAATGAGATCTTAAGAACAGAGTAGCTCTCTACTGGCCTGGCTTGTTTCTGAGCTTTATACTTTGTATAGCGGTGACCAAATTGATTCATATATATAGAGATAATCAATGTCAGGGAAAATCCCGTAACAGCGACTCCAGTCCTTGCATGATATCAGCTTTTAAATCATCGAACTCTTCAATCCCGCAACTGATCCGTAACAATCTGTGGTCGCAGCGCGCGTCACTCATCGCCCGCCACTCCATCAGACTTTCAACCCCTCCAAGACTAGTTGCGTGCTGAAAGATAAACATCCTGCTGGGCAGTCGGCGCGCATACTCCGGGCTCTTCGTCCAAACAGCAAAAGCAGGCCCAAAGCCTCCCGGCATCTGCTTCTGCAGCCAGCCGTTCTTCAAGTCATCCTCCTGGAGCGAGGCGTGCTGGACATGGCTCAGAACCTTTGCAACAGGAGACGTTTCGTCCTTCAGCTGCTCCTGTAACCACCTAGCCAGCCTTTTCGCCGTTTGAGCTTGTCTCGCCACGCGGAGCTGCATGGTGCGAGCAGACCGGATCCCCAGCCAGCCCTCAAAGCTCCCCATGACACTACCGATGTATTGGCGATTCGTACGGAGTGTTTTCAGCCACCCCTCCTTAACTCGATCTGGGTGGATGACCAAAACCCCGCAAAGCATATCGGAATGGCCGCCCACATACTTGGTGCCACTGTGCAACACAATGTCGGCTCCGAAATCCAGGGGGTTCTGCAGCGGGGGCGGAGCAAAGGTCGAGTCCACGGTTAGGTATGCCCCCTTCTCGCTTGCTTTGGCACGGTAGTAGGCGAGATTGCGCGCCTCCCCGGTAGGATTGAGTGGCGTTTCCACGTGGATTATATCCCCCGGGCCGGCTTGGTTGATCTGTGTCAGATCCAGTTTTTGGATGCCTGTCAGTCTGTTGATAATGTCCACAACACTGTGGCACCCGTGGTATCCATCTCCGATGAAGATGCGCTTGGGGTTGAGGAGGACAAGCATCGCGTGAAAAGCCGAGAGTCCAGACGAGTACGTAATCACTTCGCCGCCCATGAGGCTGCGCAGCAGGATTTCTAGGCGATTGGAGTTGGGTGCTGTGTAGCGGGAATATATGTGGGAATCAAAAGGCGCATCTGGCTGCCGGTCTCGTTAGGCCAAGACAAATGAGAAGAAAATGAAGCTAAGGCTCTTACATCCTTATTCTCCTCGGGCACCAGCTCATCTGGATCTCGTGCATAGCGGAAGTTCACCGCGGTATGCATGCCAGGGGCAATGGCACGGTGAGGACTGACGAAGTCATCGGCATGAATGGCTCTGGTGGCCATGTGCATATCAGGCAGAGCATTGTTTAAATCCTCTGCTGTCAGTATGAATCTAGTGGGATTCTCGGAAGGGTTAATTGATCCCATGGTGTTGTTAGCTACGAGCAGACAAGGAAGTAGGGGCCGTGCCGAAGGAAAGTCTGCCATGTGGCGGAAATAATGACAACTTCTTATAAGTGATGCATCTCCTTTTTGGTGCACCTGACCGGAGGACTCCGTGTCCATAGAGTAATTATCAAGCTCAATCACCAAAGGTCCGAGCCGTAGCATGTGCTGGGCAGAGCTCCCGTCACGAGTACTGTCTAAAATGGAATCACATAGCTGTACATATCCATCCAGTACTCGGCGGCCCCATATCTCTCACAATTGTAACTTGGCACTAGCTGAGGGAATAGCTGGCAGCTGACGCACTGCTTTTTCAGGAGACCGAGGATGAGGCAGCTCAATTTGAGTTCAAAAGAAGGCCAATGATTATCATGTATTGTGCTCCAGAAATGTAAACGATTTACCACCGAGATATCCCCCGTTATCTCAGGAAGCATCCTTTGAAGGCAGTGTGCGCGGCAGAATGGCGTCTCAATGCATCATACCGTTTATCCGCACTCATTCTTAACCTTCTCTCCTAGAAGATATGCAGGGAAGCCTAATTTCCTAAGCCCCGATCCCGTGACCGGAGTCAACGCCGACGGACCGGCTGAACCCATGATCACTTACCAGTCTGTAGTACACATCGACTGCAATAACTTGTTGACAGAGGGTTAGGATTTACGATACCACGGCGCGCTCGCCGGTGGCTTAATCCCGAGTCAGAGCTGCCATTCCGATTCCATCATGTGGTCGCGTGACCGGGGACCTTGACTGGATTCAGGGCACGACATGTGGAAGGCATATATATTATGTCATGACTGAGTATGAGTAGACCTTTTAGTGGTCGAACTGTCTGCAAAACATCAGACTATCACCATGGCTGCTACAGTGGCGTCTTGGTTTGGGTATACACCCTCCGTTCCAAATAAACAAAAGGTACCAGATGAGCCACCTAAAGCCCTCCCAGATTCCTGGTACTACTCCCCAGAGATATATCAGTTGGAGCGAAGAGCTATCTTTTCAAAGAAATGGATCTTGGTTACCCACAAGTTGCGCTTCACAGAACCCGGCGACTTTCTTCGGTTTGAGGAAGCTGGATTCACCTTTGTGTTATGCCTCGATCGAGAAGGTAACTTGAACGGCTTTCACAATATCTGCCGTCATCGTGCATTTCCCCTCGTCTCCGAAGACGAGGGCAATGTCAAGATTCTGTCGTGCAAGTATCATGGGTGGTCGTATGGCCTCAATGGAAAACTGGCCAAAGCTCCCAGGTTTGATGACGTCGCGGGGTTTCGGAAAGAGAATCAGGGCTTGTTCCCCGTGCATGTCCATACTGATGCATTGGGCTTCATCTGGGTCAATCTTGATTCTTCTCCCAACCCAGTCCCCTGGGATGAGGATTTCGACGGTGTCGACCGGCAAGAACGATTCCAGAGGTTCGACTTTACCCAGTACAGGTTTGACCATACATGGCAGATGACCGGCGACTATAACTGGAAGACCCTGGCGGACAACTACAATGAATGCTACCATTGCACTGTTGCGCACCCTGACGTGGCGAAGCTGGCTGATCTATCATATTACTATACCGTTTCCACACCGGGGCATATTCAGCATTTCTCCCGACCGAAGCCGGATAAAGTGGATGAGGATATCCAGAATGCCAGCACTTACTACTTTCCCAACGCCTGCATGACAGTCTCGTGAGTTTCTTCTTTCTATTTTAGAATTCTCAGCAACCTCATTCACTGACATCAACTCACCCTAGGCCTCATTTCTTCTACATGATGCGATGCGTCCCAACGTCTGCAGCAACTTGCTCCATGGAATACGAGGTCTACCGACACGTAGAGGCCTCGGACGAAGGCTTTGAATACATCGACTCCTTCTTCAAGAGAGTCTTAGATGAGGACAAACACCTTTGTAATGCTGCCCAGAAGAACCTGAATGCTGGTGTGTTTGTAAATGGTCAACTTCATCCTGACCTGGAGAGTGCGCCGCTGTTCTTCCAAAATACGGTCCGAACCCTGCTCAGAAGTCACCGGGACGAGGAGAGAAAGATGAAAAGAGAGATCTGGCCGGCGCGGCAGCATTCAGCGGGTCAGGCAACTGCAGAGGATATCGCTTTTTGTTCAGGGTTAGCATGCTCAGTGGAAGGAACTGCTGAACTGGAATGGTAGCTTCGATTTTCCAGTGTGATCTAATTCGATACACTGGGATAAATTGCCTTTGATTTCAATGCTTTCACTGCGCTATATCCAGAGCTCCTTTTGATTACGATGGCCTTGAGTATGTTCTTGGGCCATGTCCTATTTACTCAGGTGACACAGTTCCGAAGGACAAGGGTCTTCTATTTATGTGCATTACTCTGATCTGAAAATAGAAAAAACAAATAAGAAACAAGAAATAAGACATAAGGATGTAGAGTTATGATAACCTTTGCCACTTCTGGGTATTGTTTCCCTGGGTGGGTACCACTGTGCCAACTGGCGATCGGCTGGTCTCCGCGTTATCATGATGCAGAAGCCGATACCCCGCCCCTCGGCTTTAAAGCACTTTTACGCCATACCATACCTTATCAGCGTGTTTTGTATCCCTCCGTTTCTCTGCCATCTGCAGGCTCCTCCTGATGAATAATCGTGTTAGCAAGAGATCGCATCAAGCCTGTGAGAACTGTAGGTGAGTGAACCATGAAAACTATTATGTGTAAGAGCTGATTGCCGACTCTCCGTAGGCGGAAGAAGACCCGATGTCCGGGCGAGAGACCGGCATGCTCGAGCTGTACGCGGCTTCAACAAGCATGCCAGTATAGCAGAAATTATAACTCGTCGCAGAGATCCCCAGGCAGCGACCGGGTGTTGGTACGGCTGGCCGGCGCACAAAGCGATGAGTGAGCAGACTAATTCGAACCAGGAGAACCGGTTGCAACAGCTTGAAGAGAAGATGGAATCAATATTGGAGGGCTCAATGTGCGGATGGCTGTCATCCCTGGTCTTGGGAAGAGTGAGTGCTAATCAAATGCAGACCCAGTCGCCATGTTGAAACCCCCAAGGTGTATTCTCGCAGCCTCCATGGTCGTGGGAATACATCGGAATCAAGCAGGACGCGGGAAATGTCCTTGACACCAGGGAATCCTAGCGATGAGACAAGACTTGACAATGCAGATACGTTGCCCTTCGCAATGCCGCCGAAAGAGATCGTCGCGGAGGGTATTGCCCTTTATTTCCAATACTGCCACAAGCAACCACTATGGCTCTTCCTTCCAGATAGTCTTTCCATCCCAGAACAATGTCGTAGTGAGGTGTTATTTGGCATACTCAGTCTTGCGCTGCGTTACTCGAACAATCCCTTATTCGATGGACGAACAGACCGGATGTGTCGACATTACGCTGAGGCCGCTCGCAGCTATGTCATGTTCCGAATAGTCCAGGGAACCGTCGACCTCTCAACTTTGCAATGTCTCTGTTTGATAGCACTGGCTGAATACATTGGTGAGATCCATCCTATACTGACAAAGTGACACACCATTAACGTGCCCCTAGCTAATGACACCCATCTCGCTTGGCTACACATCGGCCTTGCTACAAACCTGGCCCAATGTGCAGGTCTTGACATTGAGCAACATGAAGGCGAATCCACACCTGCATTGGAGGAGCGACGAAGGGTGTTCTGGAGCATCCATCTTCTTAACCAGCAATATCCCCCCCACAGCAGGCAATTGAATATGCTGCGGGACATTCACAATCCGAAGTACATGGCTGTCAACATTGACTCTCCACGGGAGATGGGGATGCAGCCACCTCAGAACCCTCAGGAAAACGATGCCTTAGGAGGAATCTGGGTGTACATGGTGCAGCTATCCACTCTTTGGAGCGAAGTTCAGCATTATGTCTCGCACTGCGCCAGTGGAGATCCCGCACCTCCCTGGTCGGTGGACTCTGGATATTGTATCATCGGGGCTCACCTGATGGACATTGAAACCAAGTTTCCGACCTCACATCGATACGATTCTGTACGGTTTCAGGAGCGGTCTCCAGAAGAATTAAACCGTGCCCGTGAGTACTGGAGTCCCTGGCTGTACCTCCAGTTCACCTACCATGCAGTGCACAGTGTCCTTAATCACCCTTTCCTTTACTCGTGGCGGCCGCAGCAGTCTGCCCAGCTTGCAGTACCAAACACTTTCTGGAAGACATCGTCAGAGCTGGCACTCATTCACACAACGTGGACAGCTCGCCTCATTGACATGATCACCGAGAAGGAATATCAATTATCTGATCCCTTCCTCGGCCATGTCGTGGCGATCGCGGCCACAATTTTGATTTATTACTGCCGTGCCGCGGATCCCTCTGTGAGGGATTCCGCTCAGCGGAAGCTGGAGACTTGCACAAGGTTTTTGAGTGACCTGGCCACCAAATGGCCAAGGGTCCAGGCAATTGTGAGTCCGCATCAACTGCCCTCGCCCGTCTCGCTAACAGAGTAATACAGCATCAAAAAGTCCAGGGCCTCATACAATCGGCATTCGCCGTCAGTCCACATTCGGGCGATCACCGTTTACCACGCAGGACACTGTCAATAGATACGTCATTAATGTGGGACATTCTCTGCTATAATTCCACCAAAACTCCATTCGCTTCTCCGGGAGACGGTCTCTTCGATGCGTCCTTCTTACAGCCCCCCGGGCGGAAGCATCCAGACCAGACGACAGTCGAGACCGAGATCTTCCATCATTCCGCAAGGACGGTAGATACTTCTGATGGAGGGCAAGCGCTGCCGCCGTGCTCGAGTACAGTGCGCCACCGGGATAAGTCTGAAAACTCCCAGTCCGAGCCTTGGAGCGGTGCAGATTCCATTGTGGCTGAGGATGGCCCAAGTCAAGGACCAATGCCGCGGGAACCGTTGGGGTGGTCGGGTTTGGGGTTCCCAGGCGATGTTTCCTTCATGGACGTTACGCGTGATCCGTTTTTCCAATTTCAGGACCACCAAAATCCTTACCAAGGGATTTGGGAAATTGGAAATCTCTGATATTGATAACTACTATCCCGGAGCATCTATTACTATTAATAACACCGAGCATAAAGTCGAGTCTCCGAAATCGTACACATAGAACAATCACCCTCGTAAACTGTTCAGAAATCAGCATTTCTTGCCTAGTTATCGGCGTCATAATCCTTAATATGCAACATAGCCTTTCGCGTATTTCGGTGTATCGAAAGTAATATGACGGCCTTCGCGTCTCTCGACCCCGACGGCCTCGTAAGCAGGCTACCCTTCCACACTCAAGGGCGGTTAAGAAGTTATTCCCACTAGATATAAAGGCGTATCCTGGTGCTTTTCCTAGTGCATCTTTCTGAATTTGATCCACTACATTATCATATTAATGGTCTAGACCGCCGCCGTTCCACAGCACTGGAGTAAACATCCTATCGCAAAGTAAGAGCCAACGTAGAGAAATGCTGTGGCAACTACTAATGCTGCACGCCCTACGAGATTGGTATCCAATCAATTGCACCTGGTTTCCCTGAGTACCAGACTGCGTCCTAGTACGAGGAATACTATGTCTTCTAGCCACATTCTTGCATCTACGACAGAATCCACATGATTAACAAGGTCATAAGTAGAAACTAAGCAATAATTAGGCGTATATTTTAATAATGAAGACTAGGTAAGGTTGATTAAATATCTCATTTCTCATCTCAGCTAACCACGGTGTATTACTACTACGCTTACATATATTTCCGCTCACGCGTGCCGGATTAAACGTCATTATCTTCCCGCAATACAGCCTCATTGCAAAAGTCCCATATGCCATGGTCCATAGTCACGGATTCACGCTCGTGCGATTATCATACATGCCTCTACTAGTCCAGAGCGTGCCCACCACCCGGTCACCCAGCCAACCAGCGAAAAGTCCATATAATCCCATTTACTTCCCCCATTTCCTGCCACCTTTGTCCCTGCTGATCAATAAACTGGCTGTAAGGAGCGTAGACGCGCTCAGTGTATGGAACGAAGGAGATTTTCTCGGCCTCGTAACCACACTCCACGAGTAAGTCAATGTATTGCTGGCGGGAGAGTACATGGCGGAGAGGTGTATCAAGTAGACGGAATGAAACCCATAACTTCATCCGATCCAAAATAGATGTATTCTCCACGACAAGATGGTCGGTGATCGCGACGGATGCATGTATCTCATTTCTAGCGTACTGTAGAAGCGCCTTTCGCGATGGCCGAAAATCGACCAAAGTATCCACGGCAACCAGCCAAGGATTCTTCAGCGATTTCACACGCCGGTGGATGTCTTCGTTCCAGGTTTCGGGCCGGGCAGCGTCAGCATGGAAGATACGGTACTCGGTATCGCAGTTGAGAGCAGCAGCTTTCTGGGCCTTTTGTAGTCTGGAGTCTGCCATGCGAACCTGCATTGGGCTGATTGTCAGACCGATCCATGTGCGACACTGGTCCGTATAATGCTTTAGTAGCACCAGGGCAGTCTCAGCACAACCACAGCCGACTTCGACGATTGAAACGTCTCTCTGACTCGAGATCCCAGACTCATCCAGCAGTTTGCGAAAGAGCGCTTGGCACGCCTGTGACGAATGAGTGGCATTCTGCGGTCGTGTATCAGTATAACTATGACCATCATTCGAGCTGAGGGGTGCCACTTATCGCATACCTCCCAATAGCCTAGGTTAACCCATAGCGTCTGGGGCTCCAGATCCGCGTTGAACCACAGGTTCTCCATGCCATAGGCGAGATCGGCGCTTTCGCCCTCAATCTGATATTTTTTGTTCATGGCCTTGCGACGACTGACCATATGACTAAGGAGGGGGTTCGAGGGGCAGTGGTAGAGAGGGAACACATATGTACAGAACATTGCCATAACAAATCCGATTGCATAGCTGCTGAGAAACAAATAGAAGGGCGCGCTGTTATCGTTGCTCACATCCGGAAACAAATAGATGGGCCCCAGCGCAAAGGGAACCGAGAAAAACCCGACCATATAACGATACATCGTGAAGGATGAGGAAATTAGTGTGTGTTGGGACAGGTCCACTACCCATAACAAGCGTCTCATCCGAGATATTTATAATATTAAACTCGATGTGGGCTGCTTCGCCAAGAGCGGTTGCAATGTGCAGTCCACCAGACATGCTACCATACATGCATTGTGTTTCTTTGGGATTCAGGCCGACTACCACTTCACTATTGATAGGCGAAGGTTTCTATGCGGATATTAAGTGGCGGTCGAAGACCCCATCTCTCCATTCCATGATCAATTTGTTCTCTTAACTGCGTTCATAAAATCTTACCCAAGCAATTATCCATTAAGTATGCAACCTACACATAGTATCCCCACAGTTAACCAGTAGTCGTACAATTGTATAGGCTTTGCTGCCTTGACAGATTGAGACATAAGGCAATTTCGGGCGTAAAGGAACAAGATGTGGGTGCAACCTTACCTGCGAATCCGGCCGCTGCAACCTTACGAATCCGGCATGTTGTATTTGGAATTGTTCATGATTCATTCTGTCAACTCCTCGCGTTGTATATTTTTACAGCGGAAGCGAACAATTTCAGCCCCTGACATACTTTAGGCTTAACTCAGTGGTGAACGATTCCAACCCCATGCCTCGCAGATAGCATCGCCTCCGCGCAATGTTAGAACGCATAGAATCCAGAGATTCAGATATATGCGACTATGTCAGGGGTAAGGACACATGCTGCTTTATGAGTGCCACGAGCGTTTAGGCATCTTCTTTCATGTAAAATAGCACATGGGTGTGTATGCACGTTTCACATTGGCTAATCATCGTTATCTTGCAGGAGACGACTTTCCCAGAGACTACGTTGCGACTCGTGGCATACAAAATATGATTGAAAGGGCAAGCAACAGACCCTACCAGTCAATGGACCCAACAGTGACTGCTCTCAAAGACACGTTGGAGGGTGACAAGGGCTTAAACGCCCTCTGTCGATCCATGTTCGCCGAGGGAAAGGAATTGGTTCTCGCGGACAGGGCACATCCTGGCTACCTTGAGATAGATAACATTCCGATCCTGATGCGACTCTTGGACCACATCCTAACGACATCCCCAGAATGGGAGGACCTGGAAGTGCCAGACACTCTGGGTGGTCTTCCCTTTAATCTTGTCTTGATGGTCTTGATGGAAACGCACAGTGGCCAGCGCTTGTTCGGACATGATCGTGTTAATCAGCATCTAAGGAGAATCCTTAAAAAATGGTCACAATTCCTGGAATCACCCGAGTCAACCTACGTACTCAACTCGCGAGATGGATGGTTTTGTGAAGGTGCAATTGCACGATTACAGGAGATAGCCAACCGTCCCACGGGAGACCACAGAACCTTCATCGACATTTTTGACTGTCCCGATCCGTCAAACCCGGACACCCTTGGATTTTCGTCCTGGGATGCGTTTTTCACGCGTCGGTTCAAACCGGGGATTCGACCGATGCCTTCTCGACGTTTACTCTATCTTGGCGAAAAGGGGGCTGGGGCTCCAATTTTGAACGCTTGCGAGTCCTCTCCCTGGCACATCTCCCGCCACTGCTCGCTGAAAAGCAATATCGTCCTCAAAGGAAAGTCGCATTCTGTGTCCTCGATGTTGGGAAACAGCACCCTTACACCACATTTTGCCGGCGGCACCGTCTATCAAGCATATCTGTCGGCCTTGAGCTATCACCGCTGGCATTCTCCTGTATCAGGAACAATTCGCAGCATCCTCTATCTCAACGGGAGCTACTTCTCCCAGCTTCCCATGTCGGATATCTTGGCCATGGAAAAGTCGCAAAGTTACTTAGCTACAGTTGCTACTCGCATAGTAGTTTTTATTGAAGCTGTCGATCCTCGTGTTGGGCTCATAGCCTTTGTGGCAGTTGGCATGGGGGAAGTGTCATCCTGTGAGGCGTCGGTCAACGAAGGGGACCATGTCAAGGCCGGGGATGAGATTGGATGTTTCCACTACGGAGGATCAACACATTGCTTGGTCTTTAGGGGAGGGGTAGATGTACGTTTTGAGCCGTTGGTTGAGGACAATCAGAGGGACTACCCTATCCCCGTAAGAAGCCTGATGGGTCGTTGTTTTGTGTAGTCACCAGATAACAAATTTAATTTCGATCTGCGTTGTATCTTTCGGTAACTTGAATGGTTTCTTGACCTGTACTGAAGAATCCAAGGCTCACATGCCCCAGAAACCGAATAAAGGTTGGCAATTTATATCGGGTTTTATTAGCACAAGAACGCAATGGTGATTGATGAGTCTATGAAAATCAATAATGTCAAACCGATTACATCCTCGCTGCTCAAGCCCTTCATTCTGTACCTCCTGAACACGAACTGTCATGTAGGATCGTTGACGCAGACGGCTGAGTAATCCTTGCCGCAACCGTTAACCATCGCCGCAATATCGGTCGACGTTTCCGGAATTCCTACAGGCGAGGGGATTGACGTAGTACCGAACATGCAGAAAGTCGAGACACCGGAAGCATCGGCCGCATGTCTCGCTTGAGAGGTCTCCGATAGTAACCTCGGGAGCGGTGTGATTGCGGCGAAAATTGGAGAAGGCATATATAGAGGCGCAGACACGACCAGTATGGACCGAGGTTTTAGGTAAATTTACCTTTCCCATAAAAACTCAAAATCTTAATTATTCGGTTTGTTCTTCCTGTCAAAGTTCTCTCATGGCCCAGCAACACTTTCACGGAGCTGGCACATATGCGCCGGGCAGCTATCACAGCGATGGTCTGCTTGGGAGTGAGTTGCAAGTTGACTTACCATGCAAAACCGACACGTACACCAGCAATATATATGGGGAAGAACTACGCGAACGCCCGGAGGTGTTGGCAGCTGCGGCCTGGCCAATCGCCGCGAGTAAGTGGTTTTACAAGGACGAACTAGAGTTCCAATTGGTCTGCAACAATGCCCTATCAAAGCTGCCGTTAAGGGCGTGCGTCGCACCAGATCTAGACGTGGGCAGTCTACTGGACCAAATCTCGAAACAGAGAAAGGATGACCAGCAGAAAACGTTTTCAGAGCCGGAGCTTTCCAGATTTTCGATTGTTTGTCAGATGGGTATAGAGTAACTCCAGAGACATGATATGTTGGAAAAGCTGACTGTCGCACAGAATCCACTGAGCCTAAAGGCAACGGGATGATAGTGGTGCGATTCAATGTACAGGGCTCCTTCCTGCAGATGCAGATACAATTTTCAGACAAGAGATTTCATCCAAAGGAGGCTGAGAACCTGGCTCGTATGCTACAGGGCATCCTCCAACAGTTAAACAAGAGCTCTAGTAGATCTACACTGTTAACGGAACTGAACTTAATAAGTCAGCAAGATCTCGCAGAACTGTGGAACAGAAATTCGACCGTTCCCCAGCATCTGAAAATCTGGTGCATACTATGGTCCACCAAATCGCCCTGAACCACCCGGATTTCCCTGCGGTGTGCGCATGGGATGGATCCCTCACATACAAAGAGCTGGTTGACCTGTCAACACGCCTGGCACTTGGTCTAGCCCGAAAAGGGGTAGACAGAGGCGTGGTTGTGCCATTATACTTCGAAAAGTCTTTATGGATGCCGGTTGCAATTTTGGCGGTCCTTAAGGCTGGCGGAGTCTTTCTTCAACTGGCAAATTCAATACCCAAGGGCAGAATTGAGGCTATATTGAATACTGGGAACTCACCATTTGCGTTGGTTGGAAATTCCACACCGGCTTGGATGGGAGACATTGTGCCCACGCTCACAGTCGAGGACCTGATGTCATTGGCGGAGTCCACTGACCCGCCTTTACCAGACTGTTCAGGAAACCAGGACGCCGTTCAACTATTTACATCCGGAAGTACTGGCATACCTAAAGGCATTGTTTGGACACATACTGTGCTGGCCACAAACTGTGAGGAGATAATGAGAAAACAGTCATTTGGGCCAGGTATTCGGCAGTTCCAGACGGCGTCGTACGAATTTGATGTCAGTATGATGGAATCTATTGCTATTTTAATTTCTGGCGGATGTCTTTGTATCCCGCAAGAGAACGACGGGGTGCATTGTTCTCCTCAAGCCCTCGAGGCACTACAGGCGAACTCGGTCTATCTCACACCTACATTGGCTCGGAAACTCGACCCCGACAGTGTCCCTAGCCTGAAATACCTGGCGCTTGAGGGAGAGGTCTTGCCCAAAGATATTGTGTCTAAGTTTGATAAGAGATTGACCATGTATAACTTTTACGGTCCGGCGGAATGCCCCCACGTGGCCGCATGCACAATCGACCCGGATTCCTTCGAAACTGGGTTTGCTGGGGCAACTTCCGTCTGCCTTCGGTGGATAGTGGATCCGCACAATCACAACAACCTTCTACCTGATGGGGCTATTGGGGAGTTACTCGTGGAGGGCCCGATTCTCATGGATCGCTATATTTGTGACGACCCCGACGTAGCAGCTTTTGTGACACCAACATGGCTGTGCCAGGGCTTTGGTCAATTCTCAGGACGCCAAGGGCGATTATTCAAGACAGGAGACCTGGTCCGGTGTAAGCCGGATGGCGGCCTGGTCATACTAGGCCGCAAGGACTCGCAGGTTCAGATCGGCGGCGAACGGGTGGAATTGACTGAGGTTGAACATCATGTGCGCAAATTCCTGCAAGGCAGGGCAGGCGTTGTTGCCGAGATGGTCACTCCAATTGCCGGTCTGAAACCAGTACTGGCCGCTTTCATCGCCATTGGTGATGAGATTTACCTCCCTTTAGGGGCCAGGCTGCAAGCTCTCACTGCCGGCATAAATGAGAAACTGGCGCAGCATGTCCCGCGTACATTCATCCCCGAGGTGTACATACCAGTGGATGCAATTCCAATGACAGCAGCAGGCAAGACAGACAGAAAGGCACTACGCAAAATCGGCGGCTCTATGACTTTGGATGAGATATCCCGGTTGCAGGAACCCAGGTTAGCGAATTAACCTGATGGTCTGCGAGCTGAAACGGTCCGTAAACTGGGCGTTATTTGATAAGGAGAAGATATCGGGTGTCCTGAAAGCATACAGCGGATGGACCGAGCGATTACGCCAAACAACGTCATTCGTTTTGCTGGCTCTATCCGCGTTTAAAGGGACCGCGTTGGAAGCATTCCGCAAGAGCAGGCGAGCAGGCGAGCATGGGACCTCAGACACAGGGAGTGGCAACAAGACAAGCCCTGGCTGATTGCGAACCCTCCCCCCAACATAGAGTATAGGAAGTTGGACGGGCATCTGTTAGGGAATTCTTTGTACCTGGTTGATTAATTGAAAAAATTTTTTTCCTTCTCACATACGACGAAATACCTTCCTAAACTACAGCTTGCATTTAAGAAGAGAAGAAAAGAAAGACCGCCCCACTCATACTTCGCCTAGTGAAATTTGCTTCTGCACAGCAAGGTGCAATTAAGCAGGGGTCTAATAGCTTAGGAAGTATAGATAATAGGGCTACTTTAGTAGCTATCGCGGAGGCGGTTATCGCAATCAGCGCCAATATAACCAAGACTAGTACTCCTCCAGAAACTCAGGTGGATACGGTCGTTAGTGAGATCTGATTTGGTGGCTTTTCTACATCTATGAGCCTCACCACTATGTACTACGTGGCATCGGGTACAAGGATTGGCCCCCAAGCAGCGAGTCTTTGAGCGATGACAGGCATCGCAGGCCGACCGTAGCTTGCGTCCAGGCAGTCATTAATAACACATCCAGCGAGACCAAGAACAATGCCATCATTCGACGATGATCCTCCCGGGCCTATCTGACAGCCGGTTGGGTTGTTCAGTAAGAACATGTATCTCGCAGATAGCTCTGTAGACGAATATCCACATCAAGGTTAGTCCAATACAATAGAAATGCTAGGAAAAGAGACTGCTACTAGGCCTAGATAGGCATAGCTAGAGCCACTACTAACTAACTATGATTAGATTCAGTTCAGTTCAGTTTCAATTTATATAACCTGAATCGATTAATTTCAATGGTTTTCAGAATTCAATTTCTCCTATATTAGGCACCTATCAAACATGCTTATACACTATACAAATCTAGATCTAAAATATCAATTCAATATTTATAGGGTTGAATGGATAGTGGTTAAACTCATTCTTAAGTCATAGTGATTATTAAAGGTTGGTTAACCTAATCCAATAAAACCGCAAAACCATAACCAACAGTAACCAAACTCGAATCAGTTTCACCCTAAGGAAACCGAAACTGAAGCGATTCCCTAGGCTATGGACCGAACCCAAACTGCTGTGAGTTCGGTGAGGGTCGGATTCGATTTAGCGGTTCGGTTATGCAACTCTATATAGTGATAAGTGAAGAGACCCAATTTATTAGTCCTTAAGTAGCCCACCGGTTGCGGCATCAGTCTACTTGAATTAAAGAGTGTAGAATAGTTAATTGATTAATTCTTTAATTTTCTGGTGTAGCATTTCTCCACTTCCTATGTAATTTAGGTTTAACACACTGAATAGTCAGCCGCTTACAGTAAAAAGAAAGATATAAATTTGATCAATCTGGTAGTTCACCTATACTAAGGTGATATTATGATGTAATAGACTGGTTGTGGTAAATTCATGACTATGGTAGCCTTGGTACTTTTATAGTAGAGTAAAGCTAGCTATAAAAGAGGAGACTGGTGACAGGCTTAGACCAATTATTTAATAGGATCAAAAAGCCTTTTAGAAAACTAATACCTATTATTTACTACACATTCTGCACTTATTTTAATCCGACATGGAGCCTTCCACATAAGTGACCTGTATATTTTAGATTATATATGTAGCTCTTTCCATTCTTTAACCCCCTTTTCCTACTATATCTTAGTGGCATTATATATCTAACCATTGCACTTTGAAATGTCCTAGGAATACTCCACCCTAAACTTCTATTGGTGAGGGTGTCAAAGTAGCAACATATTATATGGAGGATCCTACATTCCCTGAATACTGCTAAGGTTTCAGAGGACTGAAGGATGCTGGTTGCGCACTGCTTGATTGGTATTAGGGCTTAGGCTGAATGCGTGATATTATCCTGCTATGGGTTGTCTCCTGAATCTGGTTTTCCCCAAATCCTAGTGTGAATGCAGGGACTATAATATACTAATTGTTCATCATAGCTCTATTTCATAAGTGGTTGTAAATCTACCGCACTAGACATGAGCTAAAGTAGATGTACTTTAGGTCATGAGCATGGCCATGGAATGTAGAAGACTGGAATGTATGGACACATAGCTTTTGAGCTCTAAGCCTTTTAGTTGTGTTTGCTGTTGGTAAGATAGCTAGAATAGCTATTGGATATATGTACAGCTACCATCCTAGCATACCTAAGCCTTAAGTAAGGTTCTAAGCGCATTTTAAGTGCCAATGGACTGTTTGTCGCACTATGTCTCATACATTATAGATAACGCAGAATGCCCTGAGGAGAAGTATCTTAAAGCACAATGGCAACTCTTATATCTTGATACACAGTCCTTATTAATACTGTTCTTTTCAGATGCTTGTCTTGCTGCTTTAAATGGTCTCCTTAACAGAGAAGGGCTAGTATATAGCCACCTGTAAGTGGTGACTTGCGCTCTATAATTACCAGAAGCCTAATTAAGAGAATGCAGTGATATCTTGAGGAGATTTGACCTATTACTATTTATAACACCGATCATGAAGTCGAGTCTCTGAAATCATACCTATAGAATAATCATCCAGTAATCTGTTCAGAAATCAGCATTTCCCGCCTAGTTATTGGCGTCATAATCCTTAATATGCAACATAGCCTTCCGGTGCGCGCTTCTTTCCATCCAAGCGATGTCCCAGAAAATTTATAGAACGCCTTCGCATTCTCGACATCAGAAGGCTGCATCTGAGGAGGAAACTAAACTCGTACCCCATCACCGAGAGCGGATTCCGAGGACCAATCTGCACCGTGTACACGTCTGTTTCGTCCTCCATCTCCTGTGCAAACTCATGCCGCAGCCCAAGACATGACCCAGCTCATGCAAAAAGATATTCTTCAGGTACGGAATGGTCCCAGGCCGGAACGTGCCATTGTATACGTTGAGCACACTCAGATCTACCTCGTTGGGGAAGGATGCGTCGGCGAGAACTCCGCCCTGATTGCCTGCGAAGGAGAGGACGACGACGGCGTCTTCGAGATCGGATACCCATTTGAGCTGCACACTGAGGTCAAGGGCGATCCAGTCTTCAGCTGCTTGGTTCCAGGCCGCGGCTGCGAGGAATGCCCATTCTGGTTTTGGGTAGCCGTGTTTGAAGACTGCCAAATTGACGGTTTTGGAAGGGCCGGTTTTCCAGCGGGGGATGACCTTTCCAAGGCCGACTTGGAGTGTCGCTTTGTGAGCACTGTCTTTGAAAGCGGCTGCCATGGGCTTCTGCGTTGAACGTGTATATTTCGTGGGTGTGGTTGGTGAGCTAGGCGTGGGTTGCAAGTTTTCTAGTTTGAGAGCGTCGACGCCATTTGGGCCAAGGGTCTTGAGTGCTTCTGCACCGACAGCTCCTTTCAGTGCCTGGAAGAAGCTCGCCCTGGAAGGGTCGATGGTAGTACGTTGATCGAGCTGATGTATGGTTCGAGTGTCTGTTGAAGTTCCTCACTTGGGTTTTTCTGTAGATTCCAGTTTGGGATAATGGAGATTTAGTTGTGGCTAACTATTTGGATCAAAGGAGCTCTTTTTAAATCCTGGATTTAGATGCTATAGTCTCATAGTTATGGAGCAAACAGCTACATATAAGGTGCTTCCGTCGGAATGCTCCCACAAGACTCAACGTTGTGAGTAAATTATACATAACCCATCAAGGGACAAACAAATCTAGTGTTACTCCGAAATGTTTCGCAAGGGACCAACAGATTGATCATTAAGTAACATTTAAGCTAGCAGTGGCAACTGCTTGTTTAGTGATTATCCTTCCCATGGTACAGAAGCAAGCCAGCAGATAACTGGTGTTTGACAGCATAGTGGTACATGAAATGAGATCTAACATGCTAAAAGAAATTATCTGGACATCATGCGCAAAGCCCATGTGATCCTGCTGTTAAACGAGAGAGGACCGGTCTGGTTCAGGTGCTTTCTCACGTGGATCTTCAGAACGAAGTGCGGTGGTAACTGCGGACTCCAGTGGGGCCAGCTTGCTTATCATAGGGTTGATACTGTCTGGAGACCTCCAAGCTATTAGGCCTCACTTACCTGGTATTTGCTTACAACGCGTGGTGGTATTGGCTAAGCATAAAAGTGTGGGCGAAACAGCAGGGAGAGCTATATGCTTTTCCGCCTACTCTCTCTTGCCATTGCTGGTTTTCTTAGAACCCTACTTCTAGTCCAACCTTCTCTTGAAAGTACTACCCATGACTAGATTAGCTTCCATAGAAACATGTAAAGGCCACATAATCGACATAGAAAGTGCTCCTTATCCGCAAATGTTACGCCAGGCTTCCGAACCGTGAATGACATAAAATTAACTCCCGATACCTGAGCCTGTGGGGCCGCGGTTTACCAAGTCAAAGAAGAAACACATCTAGTCAGTCGACTCATATCCCCGCCTGTTGTGTATTTTCCCAATCTGTTAGTTGCTAGAGTTTGAGTAGCCGATCACATTGTCGCTTCTGATTTCTTAGCGATCTAACTAAAAACCGGCCTAAAAAGTCTTTGGCATTGTTAGAAGGAGCCACGCCTCTGTAAGCTTCTCCAGGGATTCCTTCTGACAAGCCTTGGCATCTAGGGAACATACGCGATAGTGAGGGAGGCAGAACACCCAATAATTTTGCAAAAGAGCCCAGTTTCATTCTTAGGTTCGCTCTTGTTCGTTTCGTTGATTTCGTCTAAACGAGATGCTAGCAATCGGAATAATGAACGAGAGCTCCTCAGGACAAAGAGAATATTATCGAAGCCAAGTGGGACCGACATGACGAGAATGATGCAAGTTGGTGTAATTGAGGCTGGATAAGATGTTTTTAAGTCTGTGGATTGTAGAAGGCTGATATGGATGCTTAAGCTCTTAGATAAGGGGGAGGCTTTGCTTAGCATTACGGTGGCTGTGCTTGGATGCCTTGCAAGGCGGACTGTTTCTACAAAAAATATGGGATCATCAGAGCCTCATATAGTACCACAGGCTCTAGAAATCAGGTCTCCCCCTCTGCTCAGCCAGTCTTAAGCCATACAGGAAACGCAGTCAATCCTTGAAGAGTAACTTGTCTCGAAATAGTCTTGTGATGCTTTTAGCATGAGTGTTGATAACATAGGTAAGGACCTGCCGATGAGCTCTCTAGGGGGATTGGGCGCGAAGAACTTAGTAGCCCACAATGAAAGAAAGGTTTAGCTGTTATGAGTTTAAGCGCTGGCCTTCCAGATTCATTACAGTGGCATGGATTGGACCATCTAAGATTCTAAAAGGCTGTGTGTGTTATTCTGATCCCCCTACTCCAGGTTGTTCTGATTCGGCCATGCTATATATAATCACCACAAATCACTCATAACTGCTTCCATGCCTCTATATCTGACTTCCACATGGATATTGGGGTTCCTTAAAACCTGTGACACAGACCTCTCTAGAGAGCTTTTCCGTTACGACAGTGAACGTGGATGGGGCGGGGACAAGGCTCTTACTCTTAAATTGAACAAGCCGATTGACCTTTGTCTAAATTCACGGCGTTTCTATGACAAGGCTGAGACGCTGGGATGAGATAGCCCTCACTACGATCACGCTAATGCATACAAGTGTCTCCAGCCTTGGAGTTATAAAGCATGATTACGCGCCCACACCGAGGTGTAGCAAGGCTGAGGTGCCTACTTGTGAGGCATGCTGCATAGATGGATTAGTGGGCATCCAATACGGGAGTGCCACACCCCGAAAATCTTTGAAAGTACACACTCCGTCTCAACTGTAAACTAGACAGGTGCGGTTTAGTTTGACATGGCGTGGTTCAGTTGGCCAGATGTATATATTGACACCGTCCCCTATTAAGCCCTTCCTCTCCTTAGAGACCAAACGTCTTTCCGTGACTTGGCTAAAATGACGGGTATCCTGTTATCGGTCTTTGCACCAGAATTACCGACATTACCCCTCTCAAACCCGAGTCGTATACAAAGTTCTCCATTTGCAGGGATTGCACTGAACCTTCCGACCCCATCAGGAGGGGACAGCTATTCCAGTGGTCGCAATAACTCAACAACATCAACGGGTAACAGAAACAGGGGACGTATTGATCGTGAACGCGCCGAGCGAATGAGTGCAAGTTCTCGACCATTTGTCATTACAAAACAGTCACACGAGGGTCGCAAAAGTGACCTAGGAAAGGCCTTGGAGCCAATGCTCGGAGATGGCATAAGTGCTTCAGCCCTTCTCTGCTGGGGAGAAAAGCACCGTTGTCACATTACCCCAGTGAATATTGCCAATTCAATGGATGAGGTGGCCGTCTGGCGGGAAATCCAGCGGGCATGGTATACTTACAGAGGGCATTGGAGAAGATATTTGCCTTTCTTTGGCGTTAGCCAGGTGGATATTGTGAAGGTCCGTCCGTCTCACAGCACGGCGTCACTATTGTCAGGGGTACTAGCTGAATTCCAAGGTGTCAATCGCTGGGCTGAGGTCAGAAGGCAACATGCAACCAGTCTTTGTGGGCATGTATACAGAGGAGGATTTGGGTGCCGAAAGAAGACAACTGGAAGAGGTCATTACGAATTACCAACCACAGGACTACCCTTGCAAATACAATCTATCGACAGGTATAGTGGACTGTTTCTCACACTGTGTCTCATACATTATAGACGACGCAGAATGCCCTGAGGAGAAGTATCATGAAGCGCAACGGCGACTCTCACTTCTCGATACGCGGTCCTTATTGACGCTGTTCTTTTCGGACGCTCGTCTTGCTGCTTTAAACGGTCTCCTTAACAGAGAAGGGCTAGTGTATAGCCACCTGTAAGTGGTGACTTGCGCTCTACGGTTACCAGAAGCCTAATTAAGAGAACGCAGTGATATCTTGAGGAGATTTGACGAATGGCATTGCCCTGAATTAAGCGAGCTCCGATTCCGTGGTATAAGAATTCGGGAAGACTGGCAATTTAGTTCACAGCACATTCTCTTACCTCTCGCCGTTACCTTGCTTATTCTCCTGGTCGTCGTTGCCAAACTTACTTTTGGGGACTGGGCGACGGCATGGAACGTCGGCTGCTTCTTTGTTGCGTTGGCAACGCTGCTATGGATGTGGGCTGACTATTCTGTCAGACAGTCTGCCTAAGGCAATTACATCTAACCACAAGGCTCCTGAGAATACGAAAAGAGAGGAGCAGAATACAAAGAAATATCTTGCCATTATGCTAAGAACTTCACTAAGAATGTTATGACTGGATACTATCAACATAACGACTCGACAGAGCGAGCGAAAGTTAGAAACAATGGTAACCAACGTGTACTCCACGCTTTTGCATTCGCCTTAACCCCCTAAGTCATCTACAAGAGCCCAATTGCAGCGGCAGCGACAGCCACAACAGCAGCCTGGCCAAGTCCCGTATTCCCCGAAGCAGCGTTCACAGCGACAGCGCCATCATTCCCCGCCGTCTCCGTCGCTGTAGACCCTGCCTGCGTTGTATCAGACACTGTCTGCGTCGCTCTAGACGCCGTCAACTTCTCCGCGCCGGCGGTCACCAAAACAGGCGTATACCAAATATCGCCAGAGTGAAGGGTAACCGTCGCCGAGGACGAGGTGACGGTTTTTCTTCCGAGTGCCGAGACTTCCACTTTGGCGGACAGTGTGCATGTGGCCAACTCGGTGGATGAGGTGATGTCGCAGTCTTGTACTACAGTGTGGGTTTCCTCGACTCCACCCGCCGAGGCTGAGTAGACTGCGCTGACGCTGTAGGTGGATGGGCCCTGGGTAATGGTGAAAGGGCTGCAGAGGGCGCAGTGATCTCCGGGAGGATATATGTTTCCCTCGCACTTGATAGCGAGAGTGGTGGCGACAACATTGGCATCGACGACGCTGGCCTCCACGGCGTGCAGCGGAAGGGTCGTGGGGCCCGGTTGGAACACTTGGACATCGGTTGCCTTCACGGAAACAACGGCAGCCAGAGCCGCGAGGAGGATAAAAGCGGAGTGCATCTGGGGCAGTTTGACTGAGCAGGGTGTGGAAGATTTCCTGGGGCAGGCAGGAATGAATGCTAAACTCCTCTGCCCAATCCGTTCGTCTTATATGTGGGATGTGAGATACCAGAAATTGTTCTGCCTTGCAATGACAGGGACAATCCCTGATGACAGCACATTGTGTAACATTGCGATCCGACGCGATCTCCCATGTCGATTGGATTTTTCCTTCGCTTGTCACGTCTCACTTCAATATCTAGCATGCTAGAATCGAGGATTCCATGTCGCTTGGCCAGTTTTTATCCCCATGAAGAACTGACTGCGCCACTGCGAGGCTCGCACGATAGAGTACGCAGTCAGTGGCCGATTGGTGGGCGTTGGTCCGATCTGCAGACGCTGAGAATATCGTCTGTCTGTGTTACAGGGATGACGAGACTCTGGAGGGGAAAATCCAGACGAGGGGCTTTAAGGATAATGACGGCAAAGAAATACGAGACAATCTATCATTGTGTCAGTCATTTTACCAACCCAGTTGTACATATCGACAGCACATTGTAATCCTTGTCATTCAATGGCCTATTCCGGGCGAAACTATCATGCTCGTATTTCAGCATGCCAGCTCGGTTGCCCACGACTTCGTATATTCTGTTCGCGATTGTGCGCAAGCAGGAGGTTCAATCCTTATACAATAGTCACGGTATTCCCTTGTATAATTCCAGAATTAGTGTCCATACCGACGTGTACTGACGTCACCATGGGTTCTTCGGAGCCTGGAATGGTTACGAGTTGTTGCCTATGTGATTGGTAGTCTTGAAGAACCTTCCGGAATTTCTCAGGTAGGAACCGGATAAATGAGTAGGGCTCGTTGCCGAAGTACGTAAACGGCCCTACATCAATATGTGGTTGACGGGAGGGAATAGGGAGCTTACCATGGTGCCAACACCGCCATGTCTGAGACTCTGAGAGATAAGGGCTATCGTATGAGGCACGCTCCGTTGACAGGCTCGCAATCGGCACTGTCAGACCCTGCAGGAAGTCTATCAGTTTGACCGCTGCTGTCTTCGTCATCGGTGAGTTTTGTCATGCTAGTACCCTGGACCTCTGCCCTTCTGCGTCGGCCACCTGATGACGACCGCGGACTTTTGGGCCGGGTATTTTCTTCGCTGTCGATAGCCAGGTGCCGAAAATTAATTGACTGATTAGCGAATGGAAGCTTCAAGGGGAGATCTCGGACAGAGCCTCGCTGTCTCTCCAGTGGACGATAAACCGAGCAAGTGGACCTTGCCACGAGCTCGTTTTCGTGGAGCAGTCGATATCTATTGGCCTAGCGTAGCAAGAATCTCACCCATTTCTCCAACCGAAACCGCCCTGATAACGCCAAGGATGAATGTTGAGGGTGAATCCGTGGACGAGGGAATGCGCAAGTGGCTCCTTGGCGCAGCCATGAAGGATAGAATGCAAGACGGGATGTAGGCGTGGTACAGAATATAAAATGAAGCTGTCAGTACTCTGAGTGGTATGCATGATATGTGTCAGTTGTATTTCTTATAACGCTATTTGAACTTTCCCACTGATCCGAACACAAACGAAAGAATCTGGTAGAAGGCGTTAAATACTTTGTTGTATATCACCAGTTGCGTTACTCTCTACCACCAGGCTGATGCTTCCCTTGGCCGTCTTAAGTACGAATAACGGTGCGTGTTTGATTACCATCACTGAGCGGTGCAAATGACACCGTTGCATATTGACGACCATGTTGTAGCGTAGGACTCAGGGGTCAAATTTAACACCGCGAGCCGGGGCCTCTAGTTCGACGGGAGCAAGCGGAAGTCCGAGTTTCCCGACTTGTTCTAAACCCTTAACCCCAAGGACACAATCGAAGTTGCTCGTCTGGCAAGGGCACGGCCGCACGATTGCTTGGATTGCGACCCTTGAACAATGCAATGCATATCCCCCTCGTGTTCTTCTCCGGTATGGATGCTGTCTTACCTCCTCTTTTCTTTCATTTTCCGATTTAGGGTTCCCCGCCTAGCGAGCAATCTGGGCCACCGTTACAGTCCCCAGGCCCCTCCCGTCCATGCCAAGTAAGGATGTCTCACTCCAGTGCACCACACATTTTGGTACAGATTAAATTCCGTAGAGGACAGATCTAGAATCCAGTCAACTTCAAGTTGATAAATGTGGGCAATAGTCCAAACCAGAACTGCCTTTATACTTGATCGCGGTCCCTCGATCGCTAAGTGATTCATGGCGCGGAGTTTCAGCGGACTGCGTGTTCGTAAGGGCCTAATGTCATCATACACAACAAGGCTTCTGCTCTCACTCTCACTGCGATGAGAAGACTTTTCTCAGGGTGCATAACTCGAGCCGAACAAGGCCGCCTTTGTCCAGGGTGTCGCAATTGGCACCGGGGACTTTCCCATTTGCATCGAATAATGCATGAAGGCGCACGCCAAGCCTGACTCAATTACATTCGGTCAAGGCTGATGCCCAGTGACCCGCTGCGATATATTGCTGAGCCAACCAATACCCATGAATAGTGTGGATTGGAGTGGCAATGCCTCTAATCGGTAAATGTGCAATCCAATCGCACATTAATCTTCCGAGTAGATGGAAACAGGTATTTGCCAAATTGCCAGTGCGCAATCGTGCATCGTGCCGCGGACATTGCAGTTCACGTGTCTCTAGATGCAAACATAAGGTACTGGAAGTATACTGACCAGCCAAAGTCAACTCTTGGCCGTCATACTGCTGGCAGAAGATGGAATCTCTTACCTCATTACTCATGTCAGCTATGTCCTCGAACATGAGTGCCAAGGCCTTGTGCTTGGGGCTTATATTCTGTGCTCACCTCAGCAAGGTCTAGTGCCATGCGTAGAGGGAAGAAGGCTCTAAATCTCTCGTACAGCAATAGCCCATGCGTCGCCTTGTTTGCGTAACATCCCCTCGTTGCAGTGCTCTCATCCTGCAGTAATTTCCAGGAATGTGGATCCAAGCAGCAAGACCAACCGGTCCCGCCTTTTGAAGCTCAGGTATCTCGAACAATCGGGCGTTCCGAGCCGCCAGTGGGAGAAGGCACGGCAGCGAAAGAGGGGGATGTTTAAGCGTGGCCTGATTATGGATATTTATAACCGGCTCGACCATTCAAAGGGTCCATATTCATATCAGTATACAGTGTAAATATTCACGCTTGTAGAGAGAGCGAGTGGAAGGAGAGACTTAATATCTAGGACCTGCTCAATTATATCTTCAGAGCGAGGCTGCCATCTAGGGAGTGATGGTTTAGTATAATTAGGAGATTTGCGTGAATATCATAAAGTGATCCACTATCTTTTGATCTCGATATTAAAGGTCATAAAAATGCCACGAATTATCTTACTCCACCATCTGGGAATATTCCACCCATATCAAGGATCCACTATTGACACCATCACCTCATCTTTGTTTTCCCATATTCACCTTGCTCTCTAAGCGAGAATTTAGCCTCATCTGCCTCATATGCACCAGTTATAAATACTCCCTTCTCACCTCACTACGTCTCTCCCATCCCTCTATCCCACTTCTCACTATCAAGCTTCTCTAAGCCAATTTAACATTCTCCCACCTCTCAAACATCACTTCCGTTTTACAACAACAGCTAAGATGGTCGCTATCAAGAATCTCTTCAGTGCCCTCGTGGCCACCGCCCTCATCACCAGCACCAGCGCCCTTCCAGTCCCCAACACCGTCAAAGACGTCGTGCATAACCTCAACGCCGCAGCAAACAAGTACACCAACCTGGACAACGCAGTCAAGGCCTTCGATGGACACCCTGCTCAGTACACCGCCATTACCAAGAAGGAGGCTGCTGTTGAAGCATCTCTTCATCGCGCCATTGACGCCGCTCATGCCACCGCTCCTCTTTCCGACGAAGACAGCAAGTTTATCATGCAGGCGCTTGCGAAGCCTTACCCCACGTTCATGGGTGATCTGCTTGCTGATATCGTTGCCAAGGTGAGTTACTTCATTGCGCTAGATAATGTACATGACGGGAGAGACTAATGTCCGAACAGGAACCTCAGGTTAACCAGATTGGCAAGAGCGGCGATATGCTGCGCATTCTCAAGAACCTGAGTGTTCTCTCTTCCGAGCTTCCTGATGCTCTTGAGAAGATCGTGGATGCTAAGGATGCGGAGGAGATTGACGGTGGAGAGAAGTGGGTTCAGGCATTGTTTGCTGATGCTATCAAGGCTTACTCTCAGTGAGCGGTTTATGTGACATGGTTTGACGTGACATGATAATGTACTTTGGAATTTTAATCACCGGAGTTAGGACGATGACTGTTCATGACCAGCTGCAGTTGAAGTCAAGACTGCTTTGAATAAAATCTATTGGTTTATGGCAATTTAATCCTGTTAACAGTGTATATTTCTTTTAATACGCTAGTCCCACAACTCCATAAATAAAAGCTAAAAAGTCACTTTGAACATCGGATACGTCCGAATCCTCTTCCCATAGTAATAAAACACCACAGGGAGCGGCAACATCGCCAACGCAATGAACCCCAGCATCGAATTCCCCCATCCCACCCCTAGCCTTCCATACATGGCCGGCCCCGCCAGCGGCAAAAACGCCCCTATCAACGATCGAACCACCGTCATCGAAGCCGTCACAGACGCAGCATACTCACTAAATGCATCGACTAGATACGTCTGGATAGGCAGGAAGGACGCTAGCATGCCGAATCCCACCAATCCAGTCCCTACGATAGGCATCATCCAGTGAAGCTGTTTCTCGGCGGACCAGCCGTACCAGAACAGTCCGATCGGGATAAAAAGGCTCCCCGGGATGAGCGGAGGCATGCGAAATTCAGGCTCGCGTACGCCGTTGTTGCGTTTCGTCAGGTAGATGAGGATTTTGTCGGAGATGGTGCCGAAGATGAGGAGGCCGATGAGGGAGCCGACGCCGATGCCGAGGTAGGTGAGGCCGGCGGCGCCTTGGGAGAAGTGGTAGGTGGTTTGGTAGACGGAGGGCATGGTTGTGAAGAGGAGGTAGAGATAGCCGTAGACGATTCCTAGTCCAGTCAGTGAGTGAGTCTGCGTGTGGGTGTGTGTACGTACCGAGGTAGACAGAGAAGATCGCCACGATGGGAGAGAGAAAAAGCATTTTTGTTGGTCGGACAATTGCCCTGATGAAGTTGTCTCTGGCGCCGATATTCGGAGCGAGTTTAGATCGCAGCCTCATGTTACCCGTCTCCTTTTTGAGCTGGTCAACGCGTCGTTGTAGAAGAACCGGCTCGTAACTTTCGGTTTGAAAGACGAGCGAGAATGCAAAGACCGCACCCGCCTTGACAACGTCAGCTGATGCTTTCTCCTATATCAGGGAGATACTGACTGCCATGGAAATGACCCAGAATATCCACCTCCACCCAACAGCTTCAGCCAGATATCCCCCAGCAATAGGACCAATCACCGGTCCCATCAATGGACCCATTGAATAGATTGACATGGCCGCACCTCTTTCCTCTGGGACAAATAGGTCCGCAATTGAACCAGCACCCAGTGTAAGCGGACAACTTCCCGCTATTCCAGCGAAAAGCCGGAAAGCTAGTAAGGAACTGATGTTTGGAGCAACTGCACAGGCTATATTCCAAACGATAAAGAAGGCGTTGCAAGCTTGATAGACCCGAAGACGACCATAGATCTCGGATACGGGTGCAAGTGCCAGCGGCCCAACAGCGAATCCAACGAGGTAGATCGATACAACAAAGCTGGCCAACGACTCGCTGGTGACATTGAAGCTCTCGATGACCAATCCTTCGGCGGGTGCTACCGTCGAGGAAGCCAACGGGGTAAGGAAAGTGAGGAAAGCAACGCTTGTCACATTCAGCCATTTCCGCTTCTTTTGCCAGTTGACTGGCCTGGCAGGGTCATCGGGCCCATCCCAGTCGACTGTATGGGAGGTGACATGCTCTGTTATAAAGCAATCTGATGTTGGATTTTCGAGTTGCACAACCAGCCTCTTTTCGAGATCCGAAGAACTGGTTGGCTTCTCACTCTTCATTGCCACAGCTCTTGTTGAGTGCAACTCTGTGGTCGGTTAGTGCATTCTCACTGTCTCTATTAGTATACGCAGCCGAGGTCTTTTCGGATAAGTGACAAGATGAGGGTGGGTCAATCTGCGGGAACCAGCACAAAAGGTCCACAATGAAGAGAATTCTGGAAAGTCATACAGGTGTGTTCTTTAGATTGTAGCGAACACAGAAAACAAGACGAACATCTCATCGATCCTATGATGACCACTGCAAATCTTTTCCCATTGTTGACCACCTTCCCCTCCCCCGCCTTTTCCCCAATGCACAACCAACCGACACCCACCTCGATGAGAGGCACTACTCGCCTTGGTATCCAATCTACACAAAGTCATTGGTCCCAGGTCAAGTCTTGTCAGGATTAAAATGCGCACAATTTATTATCAGGCTTGTGCGCACTTTGTCTCCAATATGGGCGGGGGGGTGTCCGATGCGTCGATGCCGGTTATCCGGTCGGTGTCGGCAGTCAGCAGAGCATCGTGGCCGATTAGGAATGAAGTAAGAAGGTTTTAATGGCTAGATAGAGTAGTTCATTCGATGTCATATCTAGATACATTTGTCTGACGAGGTGGAATCTCAACCCCCGATCGGCCCTCCTATAAAGGACACCTTTCATCGACATATATAAACCAGGTGAAGCCACCGTTCACAATGTGACGTTTTAATCGAAACACCGTTTGCATGCCAGGTGTCCAATTAGGAGGCCGATTTGGCTTCAGTTCAGCGTTGACTGGGGCTTGAAGCCGTCAGGATAAACATATGTTGAGAGTCCGATCAGACCCCGCAGACGACAGACCATGTGTTAGACGCACACTCTGCTGAAGGTGATGATTGCACATAGTCCTAGACAGTCGAGATATGTAGGTTGATTCTTGGCTCACAGTTCCACTAGTTGACATATCTTGGAAGACCCATACAAGTCAAGAATCGGGACTCTGGTTAAGAAGGCGTGTCCTCCGTACCCTATAAATGAGACAGTGACATCTGAGCTATACCATTTGAAGTTAGACTGCGCTCCCTTATCTGAAGAAGATGATTGGTTCATAGCTGATAACCCAAAATAGAAGAATTTTCTGCCGAATATTGCTTAACCCCGCGTGTTTCACCGCCCCGCATAGAGAAAAATTTCCCCTCGAGTCACCGCGTTGCAACCTTCTCGCTGCTGGGTACCAGCAGTCATCAGCTGTGCTCCGGGCAATTGGTCTAAGAGGCTAGTCAATCCAATTTTCTCTTGCATCCCACATCTCGTCATCATTCAATAGTGACAGTCTCAACCGGTACCATTCCGTCAAAACCCGTCACAATGGCTGAAGAACAGATTCCGTCGGCCACGTTCGACACGATCCTTACTCTTGATTTCGGATCGCAATACGTGAGTTAAGCCTTGCAGCACACACGAGGACCTCTGCTGATAGATTAGACCCATCTCATTACCAGAAGACTGCGTGAGATCGGAGTGTACAGTGAGATGCTGCCATGCACTCAGAAGCTGGCCGAGCTTCCATTCAAGCCCAAGGGAATTGTGAGTCATACTTGGGTCTGCTGCGCGAGATAGACGGTCACTAACAAAGGCTTTTCAAGATCCTTTCTGGCGGCCCCTACAGTGTATATGAGGACGGTATGCGACACAATGCGAACTACATGACGAATTTAACCTAACGACGATTAGGTGCCCCCACGCTGACCCTGCGGTCTTCGAACTCGGTGTTCCCGTTCTTGGAATCTGCTACGGTCTTCAGGAAATTGCCTACCGACTTGGAAAGGATAATGTTGTCGCCGGTACTGCTCGCGAATACGGCCACGCCGACCTGGACGCCAAGAGACTCGACAACCAGGGACACGTCGACAAGCTGTTCGCTGGCCTGGAGGAGCAGGTCAAGGTATGGATGAGTCACGGTGACAAGCTTGTCAAATTGCCCGAGGGCTTCCACACCATCGCGACTACCGCAAACTCCGAGTATGCCGGTATCGCACACGAGACCAAGCCTGTTTATGGTAATTCCCCCTGACGGCGCGCAACCCTTCAACAAGATATTAATGAAGTCATAGGCATTCAGTTCCACCCCGAAGTCACAGTATGATCCTTTCGCTCGATAGTCGCCAAGGTGAATGAATGTCTAACAAAGCGCAGCACACGCCCGATGGAGGCAAGCTCCTCCGCAACTTCGCCGTCGACATCTGTGGAGCCAACCCCAACTGGACCATGTCCAAGTTCGTCGACCAGGAAATCCTTCGCATTCGGAAGCTGGTTGGTGAGACCGATCACGTTCTCGGTGCCGTTAGTGGTGGTGTCGACTCCACCGTTGCCGCCAAGCTCATGAAGGAAGCTATCGGTGACCGTTTCCACGCAGTTCTTGTCAATAACGGATGCATGCGTTTGAACGAGTGCGAGACCGTCGCTGAGACCCTGAACAAGCACCTCGGTATCAACCTGACTGTCGTTGATGCCTGCAAGCGCTTTTTGGATGGTCTCAAGGGTGTCACTGATCCTGAGAAGAAGCGCATGTTCATCGGTGCTACCTTCATTGACGTCTTTGAGGAGGAGGCGGAGAAGATTGAGGCCTTGGCCGAGCACTCTGGTGCCAAGGTCAAGTGGTTCCTCCAGGGTACTCTGTACCCCGATGTGATTGAGAGTATCTCATTCAAGGGTCCTTCCGCCACCATCAAGGTTTGCTTGCCCCGTTTATTTTGGGGAGACTGTTACTCATATATTTCTCTAGACACATCACAATGTCGGTGCACTGCCTAGTAAGTTCTACTACCATTTTAATCGTTAAGACATCAGTTACTAATTTGTTACAGAGCGTATGATCGAGGGACAAGGAATGAAGCTCATCGAGCCCCTCCGCGAGCTCTTCAAGGACGAGGTTCGCCAGCTTGGAAGAGAGCTGGGCATTGCCCACGAGCTTGTTATGAGAGTGAGTTCTCCCCCATGGGTATGGTCTTCGAATTGCTGACGATGTCAAAGCATCCTTTCCCGGGCCCTGGTATTGCCATTCGGTAGGTTTCTCCGTTGTTTCAGTAGCCAATTAAATTTTCTCCGGGTCTAATGCAACGGCAGGGTCCTCGGTGAAGTTACCCCCGAGCGCGTCGACATCGCCCGAAAGGCCGATCACATCTTCATCTCCATGATCCGGGAAGCCGGTCTGTATGACAAGATCTCTCAGGCTTACGCTGCCCTCGATCCCAGCAAGGCCGTCGGTGTCATGGTGCGTTTAGTTGCATTCCTTGAATTGGTTTTTACTCTAATCCGTTTGCAGGGTGACAAGCGCGTCTACGCTGAGATCATTATTCTGCGCGCTGTTGAGACCACTGACTGTAAGTTGACATTGGAAATCGATGGAGATTCTGTGCTAAGGTGTATCAGTCATGACCGCTCGTGCCTTCCCCTTTGACAACGAGTTCTTGAGCAAGTGCGCTACTCGCATCATCAACGAGGTCCACGGTGGTAAGTTCCGTCTGCTCGATTACCTGTGCAGATGGGTGCTGACGAGCTGCAGTCTCCCGTGTCCTCTACGACATTTCTAGCAAGCCTCCTGCCACCATTGAAATGGAGTAAATGTTTTCTTGGTATATAGAGCGATACAATCGGATTGGAGTTAGATGGGTTACAAAATTACAAGATTTTCAGACAATTGGATGATCTAGACCACGAGAGAACGAAACGCGATTACAGCGACTAAGCTGCCTTACTACTTCGTCTTTAGCCACTATTTAGAGGCTGAGTATTGCCTGGTCCTGAATACGACACCGAACCTGGAGTTTCCAATCCTCAATGCACCGAATCACCACAATTTCGACTCCTTGGATAAATGATCCAGTTTATCCGACTTTTCCCAACCCTCTATGTGCCCGCTGCGCATGATCCAGTTAAACACCCAGTACAAAGTAAAGCCGTCCTACTCACCAGAAGACCGGAATCATCGCCAAAACGCCCCAACCCTAGTTAAACTGCGCCATCATATGCCCACCTTCACCCAGAGAACTCATAACCATTGCTCAGCCCCTGTCTATAATCTAATACGCGACGATCTGTGAGCCCCACAATCCCGAGGTTCTGAAACTGCTGTAGAGAATCGCTGGAGAGCGAATACTGCATCTCCTGCATCGCCACGGGGAAGGCCGATTGGAGCGGTATACTCTGTTGTGTCGTCGCGTAGCTCACGGGAAGGTCATGCTGCATGTAGAACGCAGGGACGAACGTCCCATTCGTCGCCAGCGGCAGTATAGTCTGGTATGGAGATTCCGTGAAAGCTGCGTCTTCACAGGTATGCGTATGCGACTGCGGATATTCCCGGCCCATGATGGCCGGATGATGGCGTTGGAGATGGTTCGCTAGTGTTTCTCTGCGGGAGAAGCTAAACACAAACCCCAGTGGGTAACATTTAGTCCTCACTCTTCATTCTGCCGTATGGGAGGGGCGTCGTACCTCTTGTGACATGTTCTCTCTGGACAATTGTACAGTTTTGTGCCGGTGTGGGTGCGCCGATGGCGGGCTAGACTTGAGGACTGCGAGGTAAGCGTTAGTTCGTGGGTGTGACCGTGGTGTGGTAGAGTGAGACATACGTCTGAGAAGGCCTTCTCGCAGCCGGCAAAGTCGCAGACGTGTGGGCGTTCGCCGGTGTGCGTGCGGAAGTGGACGGTTAGCGCGCTGCGCTGGACGAAGCTCTTGTTGCAGCCTTTGATAGTGCAGTGGTACGGTCGTTCGTTGGTGTGGATGCGGTGATGTCGGCAGAGGTCGGACTTGCGGTTGAAGGACTGGAGGTTTTTGTGAGTTTTGATATGTGTGGTTGGAGAGAGGGTGATAATGACCTTTCCACAGTGCGCCCAGGGGCACTTGAACTTCCTTAAGCTGGGCACGAGCATCATCGGGGTCATTTCCATGGTCGTAATCTGATTTATCGGAGACAAACTCCTAAGGGGCAAGGGAAAATCAATGGTTAATAAGGATCAGAGCACAGAGGACATCTGTCAGTGGGACGCCGTAGTACTTTTGCTTGTCAACGGGGACGATCGGCGGAAGGATCTGGTCAACAGCCACTACTCCGTATCTGGAGCATGCACGATCACGCCAAGGTATTTTGCACTGTGCAGGGCAAGGCTACAGGAATATAGGGGGTATTCCCGAAATTCCCCATAAGGCGTGCCGGTATCTTATCTCAAGAATGGTCTGGCTGGAGTCACACCGGTATGGTGGCGACTGAAACAGGGGCCAATGGACGCCGGTGCAATTGCAGCCGAAAACAGTATTTCGTTGATCCTTCTACAAGTGCAGGTGCTTTATCCAATGATGGCTTCAGACGCGTGATTGCCTGTATGTTTACAAGACACTGCGCTTTAGAGAGCAATGGACCATGTATACTTCGGTGAGACATAAGGAACTATGTCTATATCCCGTCAATTCGGCCCCTGATGATCCATGTGACAGATAAACCTGGAGAACGATACTCTATGCATCTCTACACTGTCACAGGTCTCCTTTAGGTCAGTCAATCGAGCAGCATGGCAAACTATCAAGCATGGAACCCATGTCGTCCCAGTGGTACAACCAGCGCCACTATATCAGATTCTATGTCGCCAAGAGTGGCAAACAAAGAAAGAACAGTGCTCAATTTTGAACAGGTAGTCAAGGCGACTCATGCTAGGTCATGCGGCTTGACCCATCTGGATATCCGGTGACGTTAAGCGGTCGAGTGTTCGGACTGGTCCATAATGAGGCGGAAAATGATGCATTATGATTTGGGGCGCTGAGAGAACTTGTAAATGTCGATCTTGGAATCTGTCAGTTCCAGCCCGGTCTCTGAGATCCACGCAGGATTTTCCTCATGCGCCTCGTCCCCGTTATGGTATTGGTGTGTACGACCCAATATACCTGACGAAGCTTGATGGATCCTTCGGAGCAAGAGGATTTCCCGATATTAAGGTATCGAGAGGGGTATCTCATTCGACGATTCCTCCCTCAGCAGTAAGTTGCCAAGGTCGTTCTAGATAGGAACCTGTAGTCTGTCATTCTCCTTATTAGTGGATTTGAAGGTATCAATCACTATTGACCACCAGAGAGTATTGACGAGTATAGCCATTCATGTTTCAGGATGTTACCACATTCTTTACTCCAAGCAGGAATCAGAATTCCATTCAAAGAATGGACCACTGTCGTCATTGCAGCGCTGTCGACTTCGGGAAAGAGTTCCGAGACTAATGCAGAGTAGGTAGTCGTATCTGGAGAATGAGATACATACAACAGACCCCGGTGGATAGATACATGATAGTAGGAATCGAGCTTACCTCCTACCAAATACACAGTAAGCTCATCGAGCGATACCCACAAATAATCCGCCAATAGAACCGTGGACTAATACTAGGTATACTTTACGAGTGGCCGTAGATCCCAGCCCTATCTCACATTCGCCGGGCATCAAGGGCAACACTACGTATACGCAAGCAGGCCATCCAAGGGCTCGCTTGGGGTCTGATAGTTCATCCAAATCAGGCCTGCTAATTCAACTATCGCTTATGGCGGAGTGAAGCGTAGCACGTCTTATGTATCCCCTTTTTACCTCGTAGGTTCAGTGCTCAATGTGATTGGTGGAGTACCTTTTGCTATTTAACCTTCTGAGTGGCTGAAAATCCTACGATCCCGTGCTCTTCTTCCAGGTAAGTTTAGGTTGCCAGGTATCATCATAGCTCTCCTCTGCACCTCGCGCAGGACATACACTCATGGAAGTAGGGGCCTTGAGGCTAGTTGACGCCGGCAAGTATTATTTGTCAGCCACTGTCTAGTAACTACCACCAGCCCCATTTCGCAAGATCGCACACACGGAGTACCCCTCTACGCCGAACAAAATACCCGCATATTTAGCAACAGATGGACTGTCGATCACTCCTTGCATATTTGGAATTCCACGGAGCCTGTGGCTGTGCGCATTGTGGCTGAACCGCCCAAGCCACAATTAATTGTGCCTAGTTTCTCGAGAGCTGAAAGGCAAGGAATGCGACGAGACTATTGATACTAACCGAGTCAGAAGGGAAGGAATGGCCCACTATATTTACGGTTCTACCAGTTTCCATGCGTGAGACCTGCTCGGCCGAGTCAGATCTAACGTGGATGGCGCGTTCGCTCGCCAAGATGCAGATTCTTGATAGGCTATAGACTACAGCATTATCGGACAGACGGAAATCCATGTGGCGTAGGTTTGGCCACATCCAAGATTAGCTTGGATCTGCAATCGCTTGCGCAAATTGCACGGTCTTTGCTCTTGTCGGCTCCTTGACTTTCCTGGAAATGATGGTGGGGTCGATGCGAGGAATGTGTACCAGACAATGCTGGTAGCGAGGACAGCTCATTTTCCATGCTTGATTTGAAGGCTAGCAGGTGTACCCCGACAGCCGAGAAGGAGCTACTTCGATGCTTGCGTTGGGGCTATCTTAGACGGGACAGAAGGAAGAAATAAAGATTACTTGGTTGGATTGATATCTTGGCACTCGACAGATGACTGCCTGTGGAGGGTGGGTGTGGGTGTCTATGGTAAGCTTTATGATCCTGACTCCTGAGACAATATGCCCTTGTTGACTTGCATGGCTCTAACAATTCGGTAAATCGGTGATTATCCCTCAACACCCTCATAACATGTAACGGACGCTAATTCACAGCAATAGTAGCTTGTCCACTCGTAGATCACTTGACAACTCCTTGCATGATACGCTTTAGTCACTCCACATGCCTTCATCTTGGAGCTCGGCGTCTTCGTTAGCCTCCTCCATCGCTCTTCGATGCGCCTCAAGCAGAAACCAAGTCTCCTCAGCCGGTGTATCCGGTCCTATATTGGCGTCCTCCAATTCCGCAACACTCACACACACCGCTGCAGTAAATGGAGGCGCCGGCTGCTGGAAATCTTGTGGAACCTGGACCGTCGGACACGGCGAGGGTAGCGGCGCCTCCGCTAACCCAGGTGAAACCTTCCAAACAACCGTGACAACATAATAGTCCAATTGACCCGGTCGAACCTCATCCCTCAGCCATCGCTCTCCCTTTAGAATAGAACTCCCTGTCCACTGCGACACCGACATATCAGCCTTATCAGCCGTCAGGAACCTCCCGTCCTTCCGCCGGAAGAACCACTTCTCAGCCGCCGCGTTGGCAATATACTCCACCTCGTCCCTGCGACGTTCGATACTCTCAAAGTCCATGCTAAAACGCGTCACACTTTCCGGGAAGCGGATCCTATTCACCCACTCCGCATCAATATAGAGAGGCTGGTTCTCCTCCCACATCCAGAAATCCGTGTAGCGGATCGTCAGCGTGATGCTCCGCGGATAGAAATGCGTCATGTCCAGCAACGCCTTCATCTCATGTCCTTCTTCGAGCATGAAAAGCTGCGCGAAGATCCTGATCCTGCCGGCTTCGACCTTGCCGTGCATCCGATGGATCAGGTCCAGGCATTGCTGGAATGCCCTTGGCGAGAGCTGTTTCGGTGCTCGGTCGTGCCATGTTAGGTAGAAGGCGTGCTCGGCGTAGGTGAACGGCATGAACCAGGCTTCCTGGTAGACGCGTTTACATGTCCGGAGGAGCTCTGTGTGGGTGCGGTGCGGGGCGTCATAGCCCGGCCGTGTCCAATATGTGTCTTTGCTGTATGGGTTGTTAGTGTCCTCGAAGGCGGCAAGAGCGTAGGCGAAGATTTCCCGGCGGATTTCTGGGGGTATTATCGAGAAGAGTGGGCTTTGGTTTTGGACTAGGCATGATGTGAAATTGGGAGGGTGGATATCTGGTTCTGCCATTGTGATGGTGGTAATTTATGGTCAGGTCAAGAAATCCAAGGATTAGACTGTGCTTTTAAGCTTCGGGATAATGTGGGGAAACAGCATGGCAGCCTGGTGGTGGCGTGCGGGTGCCTAATGTCACCGCGCATCATTGACTCAGGATAAAACCCTTCATTATATGGGGAAGCGCGTCAAGTACATGCTAATGACTCTCCCAAAACTGCGCATCAATAGCAATCAACCGATTGAACAACTGATCTCTCGCTTTCATCCCCGTCAAATGATACGCCTGCTCACTTTCGCTCCCAGAAATTACCAATCCATCCGCAGCCTCTTTGCTCCCCGCCGTCAGCTCAACAATCAACTTGCCCTTCCATCCCAGCCCTTCCGTCTTCTTGAGCTCTGTAATATCACTAACAGGAATCTGAAACAAAACTGATCCCTTCTTCTGGCTCTCCAGCCTCAAATCATCAATCGATGCAGACTGCGTAGTCGTAAAGTACATCACAGGCGGTTCCTGCGCCGAGTCGATCACAGCCGTCCCGCGCTTCCGCTGGAACTTTGCTTCAAATTTGAGGGGACCTGTAGGCGCCGCGAACCAATCCTTCTTGGCTAGGAGCTCGAGGAGGGTCCGCGTGTGTGCCGAGTTGGCGATGCGCATCGCGCGGTCGAATGCGCCGTGGCTTTTGATTGCGGTCGCGATTGTGCGGCGGACGATTCGGAGGATTTTGAAGAACCATCTCTTTCTCTGTTTCGGTACTGGTTCGGTCTGCGGGTCTGTAGATGAGTCTGTCGATTTGGTTGCTTCTAGGTTCGTGGGGGCTGCGTTGGAGGCGATGACGGCGCGTGCTTTGCGGCGGATGAGCGACGAGGATTCCTTGTCTTCGGTGTCTGGTGGGGGAGGGAGAGGAGAGGAGTTGATCTCGCCGATGCGTAGCAAGGTCAATGTTAATTGTGCGTTGGTTGGGATGCCTTTGAGGAGTGTTCTATGCTTTGTTAGCATGGGTGGGTTCTAGGAACGTTGGACATACTTTTGCAGGTCGAGGTGTTGCTTCCAGTTGGGGATGTTGCGATTGAGGTAACCTATGCTGTAATTGATGATGGGCTCTCCGAAGAAGCCCAGACCAAGTGTAAAGGCAGTAGCCTTGATTATGAAATTGCTCGACACAGCGAGCGACAGCAGGCATACGGAGGCCATAATTCCCACCAGACGTAGACGAGGGGTGTATGTGACAAATGGAGGTGTCGG